CAGCTTTCGAACTATCAAAGGTCGGTTGCTCTTTTCCTTCAGATCCTGGTACTGGCTTCAATTTAGGACATACATACGGTTTTCCAGAAAGGATTTCGGCTGCCATCTCTTCTGACTGATTAAAATCAAAGTCGCATGTTTCTGTTCCCATACTCGCCATATGTTGGCCTCTATTACGCCTGTTATGCTGATCTTCCTCTCTGAACAAAGACTCTAGACGTCCTGCCTTGGATGCAAGACTTGCCAAATCCTCAACATCCAGGGCAGTGAGTGCCTTTCTTAAACGATTATGCATATTCCGGACCACTAAATTGGTCATCTCTTTCTCACTGATTACCGTAGGACATCGTCCCTTCATCAATCGCACCCTTTCTATAAACTGTGAAGCAGTTTCTTCTGGATACTGTCTCAATTCAAGTAAATCAGTTAAAGAAACAACTGGTAAAAGATTAAAGAATCTAGCGTGAAATGCCATCTCCAGTCCTTCCCATGTCTGAATTTGTCCTGGAGGCAAACTTACAAACCACGAAAACGCCGTTCTAGTAAGAGATAAACCAAACAGCTGTAACTTATAAAAAGGGTTATTGCCAACTTCTCCTAATTGTGCTGTGAACCGACCAACATGTTCTATGGTGGAAGATCCGTCCTCCCCTGAGAATGCATGAAAGTCGGGTGGTCGAAAATTCCTTGGGAAAGGGTGTTCATTAATGATCCTTTCTGGGAAAGGTCTCTGATATGCAGGGCGGTTAGCCATCTGAGGAGTTAATCCATACTGATCCCTTAATATATGTGCAATCTCGTCAGGATCTACATGAAAGCGTTGATGATCAGGAACTTGGAACGGATCCTGCACAGGAATATGAATAGGATCATGTATATATCCTTCAGGCCTGTCCTCCCTTGTATTGCTCGGCTGCGGATTGGTAACCCTTGGTCCCAGTGGAACATTGTTGGGAAAAGTCAAAGGAGATTTTCCCCTATCCATTCGGTTGGGATTTGTGGCACTTGGGAATGTACTATCCACGAATGATGGCCCTGCGAAATTTGCCTGTGGTCTGGACGGTGACACTCCTGGTGGCGTTTGAGTGGGTTGAAGACTAACCCTTGACAGTGCTTGATCTATCATGTTCTGCAACTGACTCTGTTGCTCACGCAACATGTTCGTTTGTTGCTCATGCAACATATTCTGCATAACCAAGGTATGCTGGTTGTTCATTTGTTGAACATAAGACCACCAATCAGTTGGTGGTTGTGGGATTTCCCCGGCATTTGGCACAATGGGTGGTGGAACGGATTCTCCCACCGGTGTCGAAGATGATTGCGGTTGTGAACCTGCCATAACCCTTCCGATGATTCGGCCGGATCTAAGACGTATGAAATTATCGCCGGAATTGGAATGAGCAATTTTGTCTTGCTCCCACTGTGGTCGCCAATTTGTTGATGTAATTTTTCAACAAAAATAAAGTAAAATTCAAAGATATTAAAAATATCCTTAAACTTGAGTAATTAGTGCCTGAGATTAGGAATCTCTAAACACTGTAACGTACAGAAAATAAACTGGAAAATAAAAGACTGAAATTTAAAGTGGTGATCCCCAAATCTGACTTTGCTTTGTTGAAGTTGATTGAAGATACCTTGCCAAATGATGATCCAAATCCTTAAATATTCCCTGGGAAACCGTACTGAAAACCGTCACCCGAACGGTTACAACGTCTCCTTCTCAACCGTCTTCCCACCTTTCTCATGCTGACACGTGTCCCCAGCAGACCAAAATTCCCTATATTTCACTCCTTGAGCCGACCACAAACCTTCCGCTCTTTTGGCCCGACTTCGTCCTTCGTCCGACCTACTTCTTCGCCCGACCCCACTTGGGCCGACCTCCATATCAACCGCCCCCTGTCTTTGATCAAAGGCCTCCGCGTTTGTCCGACTCCTCCTTCTATCCGACCTACAGTTTACCCGACCTGCGGATATCCCATCTCGACGACTTTTCGTCTCGAGGACCTCCCGACTTGAAAACCTTCCGACTCATCGTCTTTCCGTCTTGCGGACCTCCCGCCCTGAAGACCTTCCGACTTGAGGTCTTTCCGTCTTGCGGACCTCCCGACCTGAAGACCTTCCGACTTGAGGTCTTTCCATCTTGCGGACCTCCCGACCTGAAGACCTTCCGACTTGAAGTCTTTCCGTCTTGCGGACCTCCCGACCTGAAGACCTTCCGACTTGAGGTCTTTCCGTCTTGCGGACCTCCCGACCTGAAGACCTTCCGACTTGAAGACCTTCCGACTTGAGGTCTTTCCATCTTGCGGACCTCCCGACCTGAAGACCTTCCGACCTGTATTTTCCTTAGAAATAAATAAATAAATTTATTTTTCCTTGATTTCCTCACGGTGTCCTTCAGCCAGTTCAATCAACCCTATTGCCAGGCACATTCTTCTTTTTACCTTGGGCTTTTAACCTAATTCTAAATTTCGTACGTAACAATTATTATTCCCCCAAAATCTCTAACAATAAGTTGTTTTCAGATATTAATAATACCTAATTTTCAATTTGGATCAATTAATTTATATAAAATATTTATTTCATCAGTTAAAATAATATTACTATATATTTAGTTATTGTCCGTTAAACTTATGGATGATTCATTATAGTAGAAAAAATTATGATCACAAAATTTTATTACAATTACTTTAACAAATAATAATTAATTTATCTTTATATTTACCTATCTTTGTTTAATATTAAAATATTATTGTTTTTAATCTCCATATTTAAATAAAATTTACATAGTTTTAATGAACCGAAGATGTATAGATAAATTAATTTGTTTACTTTTACAAATACCACAAAATCATAGTTGGAAATAGTAAAATTATCATTGGCCTTTTTTTTTAATATATATAATTTTATTGCAAATTTAAACATGTATGATCATATAAATTTTTATACACTAAATTATAATTTGCCTTTTGCACCCAATAAAATTCCATAAGATTATCAATAGTTGATATGATAACACAACTATTAAATATAAATAAAATTACATTAATATCTCCATTTCCTAATTATTAAAAAATTTAAAATATTGTAAATAAAATACAATTATTTATGCCCTTTTGTGGTTATTAATGTATGAGTATCGTTAATTGTATAAAAATAATAGACACGTGGAATAAGATGTAGTAATGGATGTTCCTATCATTAGGTGAGTTAGATATATCCTTTTACTTTAAGAAAAATGGTAATAATATTATATAATTCCACAATAATCAAACATTTGTGTGTTACGAGACAATATATATATATATATTTACAAAATATCATAAAAAAAAAATCACTCAAATAAAAATATAAAAATTAAACTAAAATGCATAATCTTATATATATATATATATATATTCATATTTTGAAGTGTGTGTTTTTTATATATAGTTTTGATTTTTGTAGGTAGGAATGTTAAATGTAATAGTTTGATATAAAAACTGATTACATGTAATATTTTTGGAAAAAGGGAAAATAGTGAATAAAAAAAAAATGTTTTTAACTATATATTAAATAAATATTTTTATCTTAAAAAATATAAAAATTAACAATACAAAGTGAGAATAAAAATATAAGTGATCAGTTAAAAAAATCATCTCAGTCTCTCTCCCTCTTTTTAAACATATATAGATCAAAATTAATTATTCATTCGAAATTAATTATTTAAAAATATAAAAATATTATATATTAATTTAATTTTTTTCATTATTTTTAATGATAATTTCAATTTCTTAACCCTGATTTTTTTGACATGATTTTCAATAAATATTAATAAAAATTTAATAAGAGTTTATAAATACATTTACATAATATAAATAATTAATAAATTATATTCTCTTAAAAAATAATACTTTAAAATATTATATTATTTTTTATATTATCAAAAAAATTCTTTATATCTTATATAAAAAATATTTAAAATTAAAAGACTAAACAAGCATATTTTCAAAATTTATCTACATTGAAGTTTGAAAGTAAACCATGAATAGCAATTATTATTATTATTTTTTTGATATTTAAATATAGTGTTTAATTTTATATTTTTTATATAAAAAATAGTTTACTTTTATATCACAATAAAAGAAAAAAAAAAAGAAAAAGCTAAAACTGCCCCGTTAACTCAAAAAACAAAATAAATAAATTAAAATGATCTTCTAAGTTGTAGTCCGTTGACTTGAGATTTGGCCCTTAAAGAGCCCAAAAAAATACTTAAATTAATTAATAATTTCCTCTTACGCATCCATCAGGATTGAACTGTGATCTTATTTTCAAGCGAGGGATATCACATCGCTTGATTTATAAGGGTTTGACATTTGTTTGTTTTAATGTCTCATTTGTATGTTTGATTTTAAGTAAATTAAAAAATAATAATACTAATATTTTATTAATTATTAAAAATGTTTATAATCTTAAATGAAATAAATATTTGTAAAAGAATTAATAATATTTTAATATTAATATATAGTTATTTTTTTATAATTTAAAATTAATACTTTTAAATTAAAAGAATAAAATATATTTAATTGAGATAAATAAAATATTTTTTCTTCAAAGTATTATTTTTATTCGTTCTACTCAAGAATATTCATTTAATATTTTAGTAAAATTAATTATATACTATTACTAATATATTATCATATGTACTATTACTTTATAACTGTATATATAACTAAAAAAAAAAAATCAATAATTTTAATATATTTTTACTAATTAATAAAATAGCAGTATTATTTTTAAATTTATTACAAAAATTTCAAATAAAATTTTAAATATGAGTGATAAAGTATTACAAAATACAAAAGACATTTTGAATTTGGATTCCGATAAATAAAGTTATACTACATCAAACCAGATTACGGCATTTATTACACTGGGAGAAAAGGTAATAAAATAAGGAAAAAAAAAAAGAAAAAAGAAAAATTACACTGTAAGCATAAATAAATAGGTCAGTACGGATAACAATAACATCAAAATTAATAATTATAGCGAACGAGGGCGGCGTGCAGCGAAGCGGATTCCGACCGAACCCCAACGGCGGACTTCTAGAGAGAGAGAGAGAGAGACACAGAGCGAGAGAGAGAGAGAGGGGAGGCAAAGATCCAGAAAATCGAAGGAAGGAAGAGCCGTCAGACCGACCTGCAAGGCAACGGTCGCCATCGTTGTCCGTCGACGCGAACTCCGAGGTGAGACACAAACCGCCTCCGCCTTTTCCTACTTTTGTTAATTGCTTCGTTCTTGCATCCTGGGTGTTCGATTGTAGCTACGTTCCCTGTTTTAGGATGTTCTTACGGTGGCTTGTTTGCAATTGCGTGTTCGGTGGAATAATGTGAGGTGTTGATTTCGATTTTTTTATTTTTTTTTCCCCTTTTTTTTCACTGTTCATCTGAAAATTTTCGAGTCTGTGCAGTAGGTTTGAGATTGGCTCGATTTGTTGGTTGTTCAATTATTACCGAGCGATTCTGCGATGGATCTCCCGATTTTTCTTAGGTTTGAAATTATTACATTATTAATAACAGATGCGGAATTCATGGTTTTAGAATAATTGAACATATCTGATTGTAAGCGGGAAACTGGTAGAGTATTTTATTAAAGTATGTCGTTTTGATTTGCTTTGTGTGCTCCATGTGGGGAGGGAAGTCTTCTTTTGGAGGAATCTTCTTTTCTTCTTTGCTGCTTTTCCTTTGCTCTTAAGGTATTTAAAAGTGTTCTTTCTGCTGAACACCACTTGTGATCCATGGATTCAAAACTTGATTTCAATTTAGTACATCATTGTTCCTCCATGTAATAACAATAACATTAACAATAATAATAGTTTGTTGTGGATGTGCAGACAAGCTCCATTGTTTGTGAGGACCTTGTAAGGAATCACTGGATACATATATACATATATATAATTTGAGCTAGCTAGATGTCGTTCCGGAGCCTCGCTCGGGATTTGAGGGATAGTATTGGAAGTTTGTCGAGACGGCGCGGCGGAAAGTCTCACGGCGCTGTTCATGAGTCGCACGATCGTCCCGAAGTCGTTCAGAGCAGCTGTTGGGCGGGTCTTCCGCCAGAGTTGCTTCGGGATGTGATTAAGAGGTTGGAGGAGAGTGAAACTACGTGGCCTGCACGAAAGAATGTTGTTGCCTGCGCAGGCGTTTGCCGGTCGTGGCGAGAGATGTGTAAGGAAATTGTACAGTCTCCGGAGTCTTCCGGAAAGTTGACGTTCCCGATATCGCTCAAGCAGGTTGGATTTGATTGTCTGAAGTTAGCCTATGATTGTGTATTGAAGTTTTTTTGCTCACTAATGTCTTAAACTTGTCGAACTGCAGCCGGGATTTCGAGACGGAACCGTTCAGTGCTTCATTAAGAGAGACAAGTCGAAATTGAAGTACCAGTTGTTTCTTTGTCTGAGCCCAGGCAAGTTCTTATTCCCGTCTTTTTATCAATTAATGTATTGTGTAGGTTTATTGCAGTAGTTGTCAGATACTCTCGATGATTTGTTGTTTCTATTTTGGCTGTCGATTTCTCATTTGCGAATGCTGATGTCTGCGGTGTTCTTGCAGCCCTGTTAGTTGAGAACGGTAAATTTCTTCTTTCTGCAAAAAGACGACGCCGTACAACCTGTACTGAGTATGTAATATCGATGGGCGCTGACAAGATTTCGAAATCGAGCGGCACTTACATCGGAAAAGTGAGGTTAGTGTATATATATACACGTGTATATATCTATCTTACGAAAGCTCATTCAGTTACGCGACTTTTATCGAACTTTTTGAGATTCCGATAACTAATCCTCGATTTGTCAAAAACAAGGTCAAACTTCCTCGGAACTAAGTTCGTCATATACGACACTCAACCTCCTTACAATATTTCGGCCCTCGGCAATGCCAGCCAACGTTTCACGTCAAAAAAGGTCTCTCCGAGAGTCCCGACCGGATGTTATAACATCGCACAGGTTGCTTACGAGCTTAATGTGCTTGGAACGCGGGGCCCGCGTAGGATGCGGTGTGTCATGCACTCGATCCCGACGTCGTCCGTCGAACCGGGCGGCACAGTCCCGGGACAACCCGAGCTCCTTCCCCGCTCCCTTGAGGATTCGTTCCGGAGCATTTCCTTTTCCAAATCGATCGACGGCTTGTCTGAGTTCAGCAGCGCCAGATTTTCAGACATCGCGGGTCCTCGGGATAGCGAGGATGGTCTGAAAGACGGGCCTTTGGTCCTGAAAAACAAGGCCCCGAGATGGCACGAGCAGCTCCAGTGTTGGTGCCTAAATTTCCGAGGACGAGTGACGGTCGCCTCCGTTAAAAACTTCCAGCTCATCGCCGCGGGTAGTACGACTCCGGCGCCGGCGCCGCAACCGTCGAGCCAGTCGGATCAGGACAAGATCATCTTGCAGTTTGGTAAGGTCGGTAAGGACATGTTCACCATGGATTATCGGTATCCCTTGTCTGCGTTTCAGGCGTTCGCCATTTGTCTGAGCAGCTTCGACACGAAGCTGGCGTGCGAATAGCAGAACGGGAACGGCGACAAAGACGAACTGGGTTTCTTTCGAGACAGAAAAATGTCGATTCGATTTCGATTTCTGGTATGGTGTGTCTGTTTAAATTCGAACAATGTGTTGTTTTTGGTGTTTTTGTCTGAGCTTCTGATCTTGAGTCGAATCGAATGAAACAATCTGCTGTTAAGTTGTTGTATGGTTGTGGTTACAAAACAATGCCTTGGTGGTTTTATTTTCATTACATTCTTGAAGGGATTTTTCATAAATTTGAATTTTTATTTTTTATTTTTTTTTATATTGTTCATATGGAAAATAGATTGACGGCTACTTAGTTTATATGTTTGTTCTTTTGGGACCATAATTTTTGAGTTTCTGATTATATATTTTGTGTTGTATTGATTGATTCCTTTGGGACCATGTTAGATGTGTTGGTGCTGACACGGCTGCTTCATCAACAAAAAAAAAGAAGTTTCTTTAGTTGAATTAAAGCACAATTTTGACTATATTTATTTTAATATAATACTAATAATTGACATATTCTATTAAATCAAATATTTGTTAGTATATCTATTTTATATAGGCTGAATTAGAGATTTTTCTCATCCTCAGTCACTACTTTAACCATCATTTTCTTTTAAGTTTGATTTTGATATAAGTGTGTATTAAAGCTCCGTAACAAATTATTCATTTTTCTATTTTAATCCGTTTCATAACAAAATATTAATTTTATTTTTTAAGTAACTGTACTATCTATTTAACATTACAACTACTTTTACAATTTACAATGTATTACACAAATGTCATTACCTTTATATCACACGTATTAATAAGGTTATTTTAATCATTTTTACTTTATTCTTATTATATCCCAATATAATACTAAAATTACGTGCAAAAAGCAAATAAATATTTACTTATGGGACGGAGAGAGTATTTATAAACTACACATTTATCTCCTACACAAGATTATTTATACCTTATATGAAAAAAATTCTTAATATTTTTACAAAACAAACACACCTTAAGGCGTGTATTATGGAATTGGTGAATTAAATATTTATTTATTTTTTAAAAATAAAAATATTTTAACTGTAATGTAAAGACTATTATGTCATTACCCCTTAATATCTATATCTATCATATTGGAGTAACATACTGATAAATATGTAAAGAAAATAAACATGTTTGTGTTGAATGGTGGGTTCTATATATTAAAAATATATCTATTTTATATATAAATAAAAATATCTATCTTATTATAAAATAGTCGAAAATGGAAAAATATATATTGCTATAGAGGAATATATTATATAATTTTTTTTTAATAAAAATATTATATTATATATTTATTTATATTAAGTAATTTCAATTATTTATTTAACTTATTTTCAAACTAAAGTTTTGAATCCATTGGTTCGCTTTACTAATTTCTTTTTCTTTTTCAAATATTTTGGACTCATTTAAAACATGATAGTTTTATTTCATTTATCATTAGACAAATATTTTATAAAATAATATTTTATGCTAAATATAAATATTTTAATAAAAATAAAATGTAAATTGTATCAGAAAAAAAAAATATTTTAGTGAACAAAATCAGTATTTTAAATTTACTACAGTCATACATATAAGTATAATATAAATTAAATATCATTAAAAAAATCTCAGATCATTTCCGTTTCTAGTTAAACACAGTTCCAATCACAATTACAAAGCCTAGGAGAGTGTTTGGTTGATATTTTTCATTTTTAATTTAAATTTTTATCTAAATGTAATTTTTTGTAAAGAAAAAAAAATATATTCTTGAAAAAAAGGAAAAATTTAATAAAAATTATCCAAAGCAAACTCATGTTTCTTGATTCTTTAACCAATGTGGGGTAATTAGATTTTATTTTGGATTCTTGGAACTTGAGAAGGTATGGCCTATCTATTGTCGATATTATACATAAACAATCTATTTAACTATACATTATTCCAAATATTCCTATAATATCTTATTTTGATTTTATTTATTATTATATTTTTTTATTTATTTCATATTATATCAAAATTTTTATTTTATATTTATTGAAATATAACATAAATACCTTTTTTTATATATATATTATACCACCAAACATTTCAATTCAAAATTTTACTATTCTAAAAATCTACAACAAACACACCCTCTATGATATTGAAATTATTCAACAACATGAAAATATAACTTCCCCTCTTAATTTAAAAAGTGTAGCAATGCAATGGGTATATCTTAATTGGCTAAAAGAAACAATACAAAAAAAAAAAAAAAAAAAACCCTAAAGAAATGGCTATTTTTTTTTTATATATATTTTTAACTTTAGAAATGGCTATTTCTTACATTTATTATGTTTAATTTTTGGCTTCATTTTTAACAAGGAGCATATACTAAACTTCCCTCAATGATTCTATATAGCCTTTTGATCATCATACATCTTGGAATAGACAACTTACAAAATCATGTTTATTCTTAAATTAATCCCCAAATGTCATCAAGAAGAAAAGAAAACTGATAAGCACAGCCAAACCCTAATTCTAAAAGTGAAGCTTCCATTGCCAACAAAAAAAAAGGCTTATATATATATATATAGCCTTAGGAACTTTTATACATCAAGAAATTCAACTGAGAGTATCCAGAGATAGAGATAGAGAGAGAGAGAGAGAAAGAAAAAAAAAAAAAAGAAGCAAAAAACCTACCAGAGAAGACAACCTCAGCATCCTCGAAAACAAAGTTCATTTCAACAGCCGCAGAAGAATTATATATAGATATAGATATAGATATAGATATGTATATATATATATGATTCTCCAAAGAAAATTAAGCTTCATGGAAGATCTCCATGGAAATATATATATATATATATAATTATGACAGATAGTGACGAGTGAGCACAGTGGTACCGACAAGAAACCCCAATTCTCCTACGACTAAACAACCACCAGATACATACATATACATATATACATACATATATATATCTAATGATTCAGCAGCAGCAGCACATTATCCCTCCATCTCTGTCACAAAAACAAAACCAAACCCTAAAAATTAATATATAAACAAAAAAAAAAAAGAAAAAAAAAAGAAAAGAAAACCCTAAGAATGGTGAAGTGATTGGGACAAGCAATAGAGCTAGTGACTGCACACACACACATATATATATATATATATAAGTCACCTTTAAGTTTTTTCCTAGTTGTCCTGAAGCTGGTTGGCCAATTGTCATCCCAATAATAAAAAAACAACAAATGGGAACAACAAGAACACCACATCATCAATTTATAATAATAATAATATGTATTTATGTATAATCATCATATCACTGGAATCTCATCGATGAACAATATATATATATATGTATGTATATCTTCCTTTTGCTTTATTGGGATTTGATATCTTTCTCACTCCTCACTTATGATTATTATTATTATTAGGTGAGTGTTCTTTAATTTTCATTTATAGTGCAGTAACATGGCAGCCTGCACACTACTTTAATTTTAATCAATGAACAAGTTTTTATTTTGGTTGGAGAATTGAAGGAGAAAGCTACCTATGCACCTTTAATTAAATTAATAATTCAAGAACCTATTCAATTATTAATTTTTTTTGGAATTTATACATACAATACATATATATATATGTGTATATAGGTGTTTGAAAATTTGGGGGGAGCTCAACCCACCCACCCACCCTCATTCATTCAATTCTGTACCCACTTAAATTAATGATCAAACTTCACTTTCTTGATTTTCTGAATTTAAGAATAATATAAATTTTGTGTATATATTTGATAGAATTTTCTTTCCATGAATAGTGTTAAAAGTTTTAAAACTTATATGCGACTAAGTAACATTAATAAATGTGACATTGTAGGTCATTTTCATGTACGAGTTCAAACTTATAAGCATTGTCGATCCCGCTTAAATTTAATATTTGAATCGAATTTTTGATCATGTAATAAATATTGCATTACATTATAATGTCTTGGAAAATTTAAGGGCCCTATTGTTGAAATCTTGCAAATCATGCTTTAATAATGATACATCTTTGTTTGTTCAAAAAGCTAGTAAAACAAATATTCTTTTGAGGAGATAAGAATTTTTTAAGAAATTATTCAATTTATAGGGGTTTGTTTGAATAGCTTTGAAAGATGTGGCTATGGTGAATAATTTTAAGACTTTTGAGGACTTTTTAGCAATATTTTCAGACGCTTTTTCCCTTTTTACTTTTTTTTTTTAAAAAAATAAATAAATAATAGAATTAATTATATCTCATTCTCTCTGCTAAAACTCAATTATTATAATCCCAGAGTGAGAATCAGTAGGGGAAAAGGGGGTAAAAAAAACTTCAATTTGGTCTCAAACTGAGGGCTGAGATCGAATTTTCAATTGGAGTGTTTGAAGGTAATCTTGATTCTTGGTTTTCTTGCGGCGGGATTTGTTTGTCGTTTGATATTTCGAGTTGGGAACTAATGCTGAAAACCTAAAGCTGTTGGAAAACCTACAATTCGTTCTTGTAGTCTTCAATTCCTTTTTGCTTATGGAGCGTAGGTGAAGAATGAGGTTTTTTCTGATGCATTTTTGTGTTGTTATAGTTTTCTGTATCTCTGGGACATTTGAAATTTTACTTGCAATGGGTGAGGGTAATAAATTGAGGTATTTAGGGTTTGCCGTTTATGCCGCTCTGATGAACACAGATGTGGTAAACTATTCATGCGTAAGTTTGTTTTATTATTTTTACTTGTGTTGGGTGAGTAAACTTAGGTTTGAGGTTGTGAGGAATTATCTATTCGATTGCCCTATTAGAGAATTGGGTGCTGGTTAGGGATATGTGTAACTCATGCAATATTCGTTTGAAGTTTTCTAGTTGCGGACTTATTGATACTGAGTCATTTCCATGGATGGAAGTCTCAAGAAATACAGAGACAAGTATAGAGGAAGGGGGGAGAGGGGCGGGGGGGGGGGGGGGGGGGGGCGGGGGTTGGATTAATTTAACGTATTGTTCTTATAACAATATGCAATGTGTTCTAAATTTGATGACTAATATTGTAGTTGTATCCAAGTATCCATTTAAGTGAAGATGCCTTTATGTGCTGAGTGATGCTGATATCTTGCGAATCAACTTGATGCAATTCATTTATGTGAGTTACATCTCACAAATGGTGAAGTGAACATCTCGCTCGTTCTAGTTAGATATAGAAGAAAGTACTCTTTCTGGATATTACGATCAAATTAACTGAATGTATTTTTCCTAACTGGTATTGAACTCAGCTATGATGCCCACCTTTTAAAATGTTGATTTCGCCTCTGTGGTTTGTAAGACGCCTATTCACTGTCCACCGTCAAGGCGTCTTTGTAAGATACACTGTTATGCATGATTTATCTTGGAAACATATATGTGTACCCAACTGAATCTTATACATACATATATATATATATATATTTAATAATAAGCAGTTCAAAAAAGCCCAGGTTTTAACAAACAAAAACTATGATTAGCAGTTAGATGAACGGAGAAATTGATGTAAGCAAAGTTGTCCTGTTGGTTCCTTAAATAGTGAATACAACAATGGATGGCCAACAACATAATGCGACCTATGACTTCAGTGCACCTGTCCAACCTGTAGCTGTGGCATCATGGAGGTATTATGAACTTTCCCACTGTGTAGCTTTGGTTATATATTTACTGAGGATGTTCTTTTTCTCCAAGCAATTTGGATCTACTGTCACGGCATTATACCTGATTTAGCTTGGCTAACGGCTTTTTGTTAATGGAGCAGGGGGGCGTTTAATATCCCTAATAAGAATGTGGATATAAGTGTAGTTGCTCATGTGTCGAACAAAGCATGCATGAAAGTGCTGGAGGTAGCTAATATAATGCCTGAGTCATTACGCCTGGAAATGGTTTCACGTCTTGATGTATGGCCAGCATTATTTAGGAGCTCACCACCGACTGAACATAGCATGGCGCTCTTCTTCTTTCCGGACGGAAGGTGGGGAAAGCAAAATTGAATATAAGTCTTGTTATCATTCATTCATTTATTATTGTTAACTGCAAAGTACTTTCACAGGGATGGAGAACTTCTTGATAGTGTTATCGCTGAGGCAGTCTATTCAGACTTTGCCTTTCGAGCAATGATTGGGGAAACTGAACTCTTGATATTTACATCTGTCCAACTGCCAAAGAAGCTACACAGTGAGTCCTAGTATCATAATTATACACAGAAGCATTGTCATATGCTTTTTTGTTTTCAGTGAAGTGATTTGCCTTGTGAATTCATAGGACTCCTTGGAAAACATTATCTGTGGGGAGTTTTCAGGGGACAACCAGCTGCTCCTTCGCATCAATCTGATTACCATGTTCATATTCAAAATCCTAGAATGAAGCAGGAAACATATATGAATTCTGGCAACCACCGGAGCTTTGAGGGATGCAGTCCAGTAAATTTTTCTATTGAGCAGAGTCCGTGTAAGTGATCATCGTTCTTCCTATAAACCCCTTGTTTCTGATAATCTTCTTGGCTTTTCTTGATTTTAAAGGAATTATAAGTATCGCCTTGTCATTTCAGCTCTTGTTTGTATATCTTCTCCACGAGCATTTTACATTACGAAAATTTGACTGATATTTCTCCTTAAGAACGATGAAAGAAGACTTTATTTTGTTTGTCATTATTATGCTACTTTTGTTTTTTAGTTTCTCAGATATCTGTAGTAACCTATTATGATGTTGATGCACTTGAGTGGCTGCCAGACAGTTTGACACCCTTTCTCTGTGCTTTTTCTCCTTTATTTTTACTTTTGGAAAATTAGCAAGTTATGCTGCTAAATCTGATAAAAGAGGGAGACATTTGGATGATGCTTGGATACATGCCAAACCATTGGATGAGTTAAGACAGAAGTCGGAGTGCAGGTATTGTGGTTTTGTTTCTTCACATGGGGGAATATCACGACTTAAGGCACATTTGGGTGGTGGTATTGCTACTATTCATTTACCTGGCTGCCATAAGGTGTCACCAGAAATAAAAAGAGTTATGGCTGACTGGTTCAATGAATGGGTGAAAACCACAAAAGCTGTTTGGGCAAAGGGCCTTAGAGGTATGCTCTATTTGACGTGATAGGGTGATGCAATAAGAAAGTCTTCTTACTTTGGTGTAGAGGCTAACATTCCCCATTAAAATTATATTATGCTGTTTTTCTCTGTGAGCTTGAATCTGCATAATTTTAATAGTGTTCACTGACGTCGTATGGCACCCTATCTACACTGGTTTGCATGGGCGATATCTGATAGAAGACATAAAATAAATGCATTAACAGTATATAAATGCACGTCGGTCGTGCTTTGCAGCTACTAGATTCTGAACTTACTAGTTCCCACCAAGGTTATGTGAAAATTTGACAAATCACTTGTAATATACCACCCATACTCCCTATGTTAATTAGTTCTTACTATGGATGTCAAAATTATGGATCATATGTCTTTTAATGTTCAAGAAAGCCTCAATCGTATTGTGTTTTGCTTTTCCTTTTATGCCATTGTTCTTGGATTGATCGTGGGCATTGACTGCAGCTGAATCGTCAGCACATGATGATAGAAGGGAAAATCTGCATGGTTTTACTTGGGAACAACACGCCAAGCCAGTAGAATTAGCCGGGAAAAATAGGACAGAAAGCAAGTATTTTGGCTTCGTTTCTTTTGATGGTGGAGTTTCACATTATAAGTTAAACTTGGGTGTAAGAGACCAAAAGATGCACATGGATACTTGGCCTAATGCATCTCCTGAAGTAAAAGGCAATCTACCTCAGAAGGTAAAAAAGTCCAAGGCTTCTAAGCCACGCGAAATGAAAGGCTTAATGTCAGAATGGGTGAATGACATGGATAATTCCAAAACAAAGAAGCCAGAAGGTATACAAAGGTTTTACCGTCTCGATCCTTTTGTTTGATTTTGAATTGCACAGTTGACTTTTGTTTGTTTGTTGCGCACTCCCTATTAATTTTCAATAAAGGAAAAGAAAACTGAGAATATTAATTGTTATTTCCTGATTGAGAAAATGCTTCTTGTTATTTTAAATTTAACATTTTTTAATTTTGGGATTGGAAATGTTTGTTTGCTGCAGCTGATTCACAGGTTGAAAGGAGAGGAAGGCCATTAGATGATGCCTGGAAACATGCGAAGGCATTAGATGCAGCCCGACAAAAAACACAATGCAAACACTGTGGTTTTGTTTCTTCATACGGTGGAATCTCTCGCCTAAAGGCACATCTTGGTGGTGGATGTCCTCAAATGCAATTGCAGGGTTGCTCTCAGGTGCCACCAGAAGTTAAACAAGTTATGGAACAGTGGTTCACCGAATGGTCAAAAACCTCATCTGCTGCTTGGACCAAGAACTCTGGTAAGCCTTTGATTTCGTAAAAACTTAGTGATTCATCTCTTCCTAAATTTTAAACTACTATTCGATGGCAGCTCCGGCTAAATCATGTAAGAGAGGAAACCCGGCAGATGAAGATATGTGGGAACATGCTATACCACTGGATGAACTGGGACAGACCACAAGATGCAAGTATTGTGGTTTTGTTTCGAAATGTGGAGGAATTGATCGATTGAAAGCGCACTTGTGTGGTGGCGATCCTGCAATGCAGTTGGAAGGGTGCCCAAATGTGCCTACCACACTCCTCCGAGCTTTCATGACAGAAAAAAACAAGAAACACAAAAAAAAATCGAAGGGTGTATCCATGGAACAACCTGTAAGTGACGTATTTCAAGGTACGCCCTTGAAGCTGCGCTATTCTTAAATTCTTAATCAAAAGAAACAAACTCCTAATGCTCCGCTCTGCTGTTCATTTTCTGATCACAGTAAACGAGAGGGCAGCGGGCAACAGCCAGTGGTACGAAAAGCGCCACCATGTTCTTCAAGAAACAATGGATGAGATCACGAATTCGAGCCTCAAGGGGAGTCTCCAGAAGCTAATATACAATAAAAACGCCAAGGTACAAAGAATGCACTTCGAACTTCAATCGTTGGAGAATCACTTAGCTTCGATCCCTTAGAAAAATTTGATGTCAAAAGGCAGTAGAACTTGTGGCTAATCTTACTATTAATATGCCGGAGGCAGTCGAGGCTCGACTACGACCACCACCAGTGTCCGGTCGTCGTCGTCGAATTCGCCTCGAGCTGCTGCTTGGCCTGAGCATTTGGTACTCAGTTGCATTATGTCAAATATTCTAAAACCAGTTTCTTTTGGAATGTTTTGTGAATGTAGCTCTTGAAAATATATTTAATTTATTAAATTGGGCTGGGCCAGGTACGGCCTGATCTTATTGGGCTTGAGAATGGCCCAGTTCGCTTGCGTGCTGGCCAGACATGGCTTAAAAATTTTTTGGATTTTTTTAAGAGTTCAAGCACAGTTTGTTTTTTTCGTGTCGGGTTCGCAACGAATTTCCCGACTCTGTATTTTTGTCTGACTTGAATTCATTTGAAATTTGTTATTATTGGTATATAGGCTCAATCAAGTTCGAACTCGGCTCCTAAGGTAAGTTTGTTTTAAATTTTACAGGTACTCTATATGTTAATAGATAAATTAAATACAAAAAATTTTATAAAAATTTATGCACGCCCTATTAATATATAAAATAAAATAAATATATATTTCACGAGCAGTTGATTAAAGCTATCCACAAGCCAACGTTTATACTTTTAAATGGACCGAGTGGGCCGGACCAGTTAGGTAACAAAATAATTGTGCTGACTTCTGTGCCGACCGTTTTATGTGGCCCATAAGAACTTACAGACTTCAGTATAGGCACTCCGCCGCACGTTCTTGCAACTATCATTCAAATTTTCAAATTTTACTGATTTGGTATAATTATTGTTTTAAAATTATACAATTAATCATATATGACAAATTATAAAATTTTGACTTTGGTAGGATATTTTTCTATGTTGGCCTTTAGAACACAACTGTGAGAAAATCATTTGATCTTTTTTTGACTATCTACAAAATTTTGCAATTGGATAAAGTCTTTTGACTTTGCTTGTAAGTCGGGTTTTCCATTCTCTGTTACATATATATACTCACACATATATATAAAATATTCAATACTTTAAATATTTGACTATTAGAAAGAAATGAGTTAAATATAATTAATGTCACAACTTACGTAGCTAAACAAACCATTATAAGGATTTAGACAGCCGTCGGTTGATTTATTTATTTGTATTAAAAATTAATTATCAATAGTAATGACAACTACACGTCTCCGTGTATTAGGTGGACGGGTGCATATAATATATATATATATATATATAGGCATATATGCTTTTTATTTATTTATTTATTTATCATGGGAGCAATTTTTAAAAGAGGAATTGATGTTCAACAATATTAACAATTCAAATCTACTTTCGTACCACTAAACTATCTCTTGACACTCCATAAATATCAAAATAAATCTTATGTACAAAAATAATATATATAAAAAATATATATATAATAAGTCCCTATTTGTATTGGATCACGAGCGGCCCTTTTATCCGAGTCCAAAACCGGTCTGTATATACTATTATTGATCTCAACACAAAAGGTTTATAGGTTAATACACCGGATTTGTAAAATACAAAACGACAACATATTATAATAATTTATACAATATATATATATATTGTATTAATTCAAATTATGTCCGGACAGATTATATATTTTTTGTTTGTTGTTAGTATAATGATGATCGGATTGTTGAATACTATAATGATCAAATGAATTAATATGGGGCAGATTTGAACCTATATTAATAATTCATTAGTAGGTCTTTACTTTTATTAATAATAATAATAATAATAATATTTAAACTTAGAAAAAGGGCTTAAAATTGTTGGGATTGAGGATACAAAAACTTCATCGTATATTATAACATATAATATTAAATTGATTAATGGTTCTATCCATCTATGATAGTTGAGTTTCATGGCATCATAAATTTAAAATTTGACGTTTGTCACAATTTGATCAATTCAATTTTTAAAGTTGCAGTCGGATTTATTATATTGAATTATATATTATTGAGTATAAAAGTGAGACTATATAAAATTAAAACCTATGTTTAGATTAATTTAAAAAGTGAAATAAACATCTTAACTGCATGGTTCATGTACTGACTTTTATTAGTCTTATCAATTCAAATGACCTAATCCAAATAAATAAATAGATTAAGAATAGTAAATTGTGAATTATGATTAATATGAAGTTTAAAGTAACCTAATTAATTAATCTAATAAACTCGTATACACATAGTTGACAATAATTCAATCCAATATATATATATATATAATTTATACATAATTCTTTTTATAGAGGGATTAGGCTACCAAGAAAATAAAGACAAGACACAAAACCCTAATTTGGAATAGTGATAAGAAAAAAAAACAAAACCCTAATCCCATGATTGCAAGTTTGACTGAGTAAAAAACACTGCAGGCTGAAAATTATATGATGAACATGAATTAATTTAATTAATAATTTTTTTAAATGATTATAACAAAGCCAAAAAGACAGATCTTTGAGCCAAAAACAATGTATGTATATATATTTGTGTGTCTATATATATATATGATCTATTTATCTTTAATGGCCCCCACAAAATTAAATTTTCAACTGCAAAACTAATAAAGCAGAAACAAAAAGAAAAGGAGAAAACTAATTGAATTGAATACACCTACTGAGTGGAGGCTTCGTGCCTTCGTCTTCCTTGAGACACAGTCCATTTGAATTTCCAATTCTGCCCCTCAATTCCCATTTCGATTCCTCTCCATTGATGAAGAAGATGATGATGAATCAGCACTGCTGTATAAGAACAAATTATTTAATCTGTTGTTGTTTTGGGGGCGGGTTTGAATTTAATCCGATCCCTCTGCCTGATTTTCTACAAGTCAAATAAGCTATGGAAAAGATCTATGGTGTTTGGAGAAGGCATGTTGATGTTCGGCAATGGAGAAATAAATGCTGTCGGGGATGGACTCGGCAGCAAGAAATTGGCGGTGTCTGTGAAATTAATCCGGCTGCTGTTCTGAACCGGGCTCAAATCTGGAAAATAGCTCAGAGGATTAATGTTCTCCGATGGCGGGGAGAAGAATTTCGGCGGAATCGGCGGCAGAGAATTAGGGTTTGGGGAAAGGATTCCGGGGAATTGGCCGGTACGGTGGACGTCGCCGGCGAATTCGATTCCTTCTGGAAACCCTAGATTTTGGGGGTCAGGCAGGAGAGGTTTATTTCGACCGCCCGGGGACCGGGTTTTTTCAATGGAGGCGAACCGGGCCGCCGGGGAGACCGACCCGCCGGCGTCGTGGAAGGCGGCGGCGGAGGCGGCGGAGGAGGAGGTGGAGGAGGAGGCGGAGTTGGGGCCGGTGAGGCGTTGGACCAGCGACATGAATTCGTTAGGGTTTGCATGAATGATTTTGGGGGAGACGGTGTATATGATGACCGGTGGCCGCGGCGGCGCGTGGGGCGGCGGTTGTAGATGGCCGGCCGTCGGCGGCGCTACCGGTGGCTTTCTGATTTTGTGGGAATCTTTCCGGACTTTGAGCGGCGTGGGGCGAGGTCCCTGGAGCTCCCTCCTCGGCGACCGGCCTGATGAGAACTCCGGCAAGTCCATGGCGGCGGCGGTTGTGTGGAAGCGGTGGGGTTTGGATGATGTGTATGTATATTTTTGTGGTATGTGTGATTATGTAATACAAAATTCAAAATTGGGTGTTCAATAGGGGTACAAATATTTGTGCAATATATAATATATATGGTCAATTGAGTGTGAGTTTATGCCTATATATGTGTGTATATATATATATATATGTATGTATGTATTTGTGTGTACATTGGCTAGTGGGGTGGGGTGGGGGGGTTGAGGTATATTGCTTATGCAGGTTACGTATGAGGATTGGGACAGTTTTCTTGATGTAATGAATGTTTGAAATTGTCAAAAATGTATTTTGGGATGAATAGGTTTTTGTTAAAAAAAAAAAGTAAAAATAAAATATTGAATTGTTAGTATATACCTAGCTCTGTCTTGTAATTAAAATAATAGTTAATAAAAGAAAATTATGAATCTAAGTAGCAGCCTACATATTATTTGTAACATATAAAAGTAGTCACTATTATGCAATGATCATAATTATTTGAAGACCTTAATTAATTAATTCATTAATAAAACTTGCTTTACTTGCTATTAGTTTTTGGTAACATTTTCACTCCAATTCTTTGTTGAGACAAACGTGTTGTTCTTTTAATTTTAAAATGGTTTTGTATAAATGAAAATAAGTAGTAAAAATTAAAAAAAAAAAAAAAAAAATGAATGAAGAAGAAGTGAGTTAATGTTAAATATGTATATATATAGAATTAGGAAAGATCAAGAACGGTTTTTTATTTCAAGTAATATCATTTGCAATACAAAGAGTTTTTATCCTTATAAAAGTTTTAGAAAATAATATAAATAAAAAAATATACTCCCTCCGTCGCAAGAAGGTGGCGTTTGCTTTTTGCACGTAGATTTTTTAATATTAGTATTATATTGGATTGTAGTAAAAAAGATAAAAATACTCCTATTAGTATGGTGTAATATAAAAGTAATGCCATTTGTGTAATATATCGTAAGTTGAAAGGATATTTATTACGTGAAGTAGGTAGTATAATTACTAAATTAGGAAATGGTAACCTTGTTTTCGGACGGACGAAAATGGAAAATGGTAACCTTTCAATGGGATGGAGGGAGTATTAATAATTTTTAATAAGTAACAAAAAAAAAATCGTAAACAATGTAAAAAGACTATATACTAAATCATATTCGAACATAAAAGGGAGTGGATAGTAATACATTATTTAATTTGTGATTTTTTTTTTCTGAATGACGTGGGAACCCGCAATTGCTACCCGAAAGTGCGTACTGGATACCGAACCTAATACCTTGCAAACCAGGCCCGACGGAAAAGTCACACTAAGTATTTGTAGTTATTTTATTAGCATTCAATCTGCTGTATGGTCTTTGTCCAAATGTACGTGTGATCTAATACTTATTTAGAAACTACTACTAATGTGTTTTGTTTGGTTCGTTTACTTTTGATACGGTTTTTCAGATGGTATCATATTACTATTATTTTATATATATTTTCTATACTAAAATATTGTTTTGTTTATACGAAGTATCTAATAAAAATATATTATTTCATATAATAGAATATTACAATTTTTTTTTTCATTTCAAGTATTCTTTTTATTTATTTCATTCAAAAATATATTTTTTTAGCTTTATTTAAATTATAAAATATTATTACACATACAATTAATTTATATACAAAATTAAAATGTCAAAATATCAAAAACCTCTTATATACTTTTTATTTATCAATAAAGTACTGTAACTTTTTTAATTTATTATAAATGATACTTTAGAGAATGACAGAAGAGATATTATATTAAAATACTACTTAAATCAAAACCGAGCAACTATTCCTCTATTCTTCTTTATTATTATACAAAGATAAAAATTTCAATACTTTTAATTTTTACGAGTGAAGGGTTTGAGAGTGTACGTATTTCCTTCGTCCTATTTATAATTTTTATTAAATTAATTAGTTATTGTAATCTTAATATATAATTATTTATATTGTATTATAATTAATTTTAATAATACATTTTTATTATTTAATAATTATATTTCTCATAAATTTCCTTATAAACAACAACACACATTATATAGAGAAGGAGAGAATATTATTTATGATCTATGTGCTAAATTTGATTGTTAAGCTGGTCATATTTTTTAGTGATCATAATATTTGTGTTATTCAAATTATATAATAAATCTTGGATCAGTTGATTTATTTTTTATAAGAATTTACTTTTTTTAAAGTTTTAAGCAATTTTCTGTTATTTAAATTTATTTATTTATTTATGTAATCGCTATGTTATCTAAATATTACTTTCTAATTACAATTCTTAAAAATAATATAAACTCTGTTATTGAAACATTCTTTCTTTTAAGTATTTTCATTTTCTTTCTTTGTAATGCCCAAATCACCCTAAAGGTCCAAACTCCAACAAAACAATTTTCCATTTTTTTTTAATTTTTTATTTTACTATTTTGACCCATTTTGGTTTAATTCAATTTTTTGTCCATTTGGCAATTAGTATATTATATTATTACATTAATGAAAAATAAAATATGTTTTATTCAGTGCAAGTTTATTTTGACACGATGTTCTAGACAAATTTTAATAATTTTTCTTATACCAGTGTTTTATATATTTTTAGAAAATGCAAATAAATAAAAATGTGGTAAATATTTTAGAATAAGAAAGAGAAATTTTCCAATTTAATTAATTTTGCAATATCAATTTGGGTGTCTTAAAATATAGTTATAACTTTTTTAATTAAAACATATACTATTTTGTATGTTATGTTTTAATTTTATTCTTTTAAAAGGTATTTGATCAAATATTTTGAATCTTCATCATTTATACTTCATCTTCTCTCACTCTCTCTCTCTTTTGAAATGATTTTATCTATTACATTTATAAAGATAAAAAAATATATTTATATTTATATAAATATTTGAAAAAAATTCAAATTAAAAATAATACTAAAACATATTAGTACCGAGTTAGTATTAGCAAGTTCCTGAAATGTGGGTATGAAGCTTAGTTGCCGGGGTTGACCCATGACCCTCAACTGGGTCAAACCCCGACCCAATCAGATTGACGGGATCTATTCGGGTTGGCCCATATCATAGTAGTAGTATAAATAATAAAATAATAAATAGCGGATAAAGCGATATAGGTTAATAAGTCAAGTGAAGTTCCGGTCAAGGTCCTCTGCATTGAATTGATGGTCGAAACGTTACCAGACCAAGTCATTTGGGAATTAGGCCGTGTTTGGATTCAATTTTTTAATTTTTTTTACTAATCATTAATTACTACTCCCCGTCCCACGTAATTTGTCCATATTTTCTATTTTCGTCCGTTTCACATAACTTGTCATTTTTATTTTTAGAAATATAATTATGCAACTTTAATCGTATTTTAAATTTTAAATTTTATAATTTTCTTAATTTTAATTAAACTATTTACTTGTCTTAATCTTAATCTATATAAAAATAATTATTATTTTTACTAATACACTTCTTAGTTACTTACTAATTATACTTTACCTACGTTCTCGTGTTTACAGTAATACACTCATGTTACATGGGACAGAGAGGGAGTAGTATTTTTAAAAATTTTATTAAAATTAAATATTTTTTTATATATTATGTTATATTAAAAAGTGATTTTATATTTTACATTAACAATTATCTATATTGTATTAAATAACTATTTAAAATACAAATTCTAAAAAGTTGCTATTATTATTATATGAAATTGCAGTTAAGATTATGTTAGAATTTCCCTGAAGACAAAATGATTTCTTATTAAATAAGACCCGTAGGAATTTAGATATTAGAATATTCCCACATTTTCGTCGAGGTTAATTTCAAGGTGTTTAAAAATGATTTATTAATAGTATATAGTATTTTGTTAAGAATTTAGATTGGGTTTTTGACTATTTAATTATTCAATTGGTCAAGACTCAAGACATCCAATTCAGCATTAATTTTGACTTTGATTAAATTGACCTCTATTTCACTTTGTCAAACATTTAATTGATATTTAATTGGTTTTAATATATGTATATATAAGGCCACATTTAATGATTAACTATTATATTAATTTAAAATAATTAATATTTTATTATAAAACATATAACTTGTGTTATATAAAAATATACGGTTGTAACAAAATAGGGATCGCTGTATAAAACACAATTTCATCTATTTCACGTCACAACCAAACAATTTCTTTATGATTATAAGAAGTTACTATATTATAATAATATATTTAATTTTATAGTAAATTTTTAATTTTTTAAAATGATTCAAAAGTTAAATGATGATTATTGTATAGAAGGTATAAATCCCTTTAAGAGGACCCAAATCTTTTGTTTATTTTTAAGGCCCAAGTATAAACAGGCCCAAACGTTTAGATGCAAAGCCCAATAGAAAATAAATATAAATAAAAATTATTGCGGTGAGCGTGGATCGAACACGCGACCTTCAGATCTTCAGTCTGACGCTCTCCCAACTGAGCTATCCCCGCATTTGTTAACTAATTTAATATTACTAAATATATTCTTTATTTTAGTTTAGATTTTAATTATTTAATTTTTTTTGAGTGAGGTGCTCACACAATAAATGAGTTTCAAATTACTTTAATTGCTATAATTATATATATTCTATTTAAATTTCATGTCAGGCAACTTAGTAAATATATGTGTGTGTGGATTCATATTAAATAAATATATATTTTTAAATGAGACTCGATTTATGTTGGTGCACGTTAATGTAAATTCACAATATGCCTAACAAATATATAATTTTTATGACAATATATGTTTAATGTACTACTCAAATTAATTAGTGTAATTCAACATTCTATACTATTCAAATAATATCAAATGATATATACCAAGATTAATTGTATTCTTACCATAAAGAAAGTGTAAACATTTATCTCAAACAAATGACATTCAATATCTTGTGATTTTTTTATTGTTTAACTCAAATATAATATTTTATAAAAAAATATAATCAAAGTTGACAGAGCGTTAACATATAACAAAAATAAAATAAAATAAATAAAACGATGCATGTATATCGTCATATATAGAGAAAATGACAAGGTGGGAGTCGACGCGAGCAAGTTTCTTTCGAACAGCATGACGACGACATCGACATCGACGGGTGTTGACGTGGACAAGGGCTTGCAAGCCAAATTTAGACAAGCAAAAGAACATGAGATGCAAGAAAGGTCACATTCCTTAGCTAAGCACGAATGGATATACATATATGATATATATATATATACATATATATATATAAATAAATAAATAAATAACACACATTGAACATGCATTGCATGCACATATACATATATATATATGGGTCTAATTAATAAAAATCTAAAATGTAAATAAAATAAAATAGAATGGGGTATAGGGAATGTGACATGATGTAAGAAAAATAGGTAATTGTTTGAGTCGTGGAAGGTATTAATTAATTTATTGTAGAGATCAGAGTGAGTGTGATATTGATATATATATATATATATATATATTATACTAGCGTGTAAACCCGTGCGATACGCGATTTGTATAAATTATTGAAATAATATTAAATAAATAATAAATTATACTGACAAATATTTTGTAAAATGATACAAATATTTTTAAAACTAATCAATAATTAATACTAAATTTACTATGTAACGAATTTTTTTATTATGCCCATCAAAATATAATTAATATAATATGGTTAATTAATTAATTAATTGATTTTGATTTAAGACATGATAGATAAGGACCCAAAACACCCACATGACTTTGTGTTCCTTCAATTCTCTTGCCTCCTACAATCCAAGAATTATATAAGTCTCCGTTTATACAAAAGTTTATTAATTGTACTTTTTGAAAATAAATAAATAAATATAATAATAAAGTGATAAAATGTTGAATATTTAATGTCATATTCTATAAAAATAAATAGATATTTGATATTATATTTTAAAAAAAAATATATATATATATATAATATTAGAATTATCAGCACAAAATTAAAGAAAGATTAATCACTAGTTTATCTTCAATGCTACAGAGTTGATCTTTTATATTCCTTTCATTCACCTCTAAAGGTTACATTTATTTTTTGTGTCATTGTACTTAACATTAAAAATATCATTATATTTGCATAATTTTTCTTGTATAAATGTCCTTCTATTAATATTATAAAACAATAATGAAAATATTTTTGTAATTTTTTTTTAATTTGTACTACGTTTTATATAATAATTAATATTCAAATATCATCATACAAAAAGTAACGAGACCTTAGACACCCGAATGGAGGTAGTATATTTTATTAAAATGATCACATTTGATCTCGAATTAAAAATATTAATTAGCTAGACTAAAGATATTGTTACATTCTTTTCTAATTTTAATTTTAATTTCAATTTTTTACTATACAACTACTACACATTTTTTATAAAAAATTATATACTTTTATAAAATATTACATATAAATTATTATTCAAATTAAAAATAAAAAATAAACAAAGTCAAAACTAATATTGAGAAAAATACCTCCTAAATAGTCCCCTTTTTTTTTTCTTTCTTTCTTTCTTGTTCTTACATGCAATGGAAATATGGAATATATCACATTATATATAATATTATTTTATATTTAAAATATTTTATTAGATATATATCTATCACATCAAAAAATTACTTTTTTATCTTTTACAAATTTCAAAACACCTAGAGTGTGTTTGTTTTTTATTTTAAACAAAAATCAATACTATTTAAGTACTACGATTTTTGATAAAAATATATTTCCATTTTTTTTCATAATATATTATATTAAAATATTTTTTAAATCAAAATTCAAATAAAAATTCAACCTGAAATCAAAACTAAACAAACCCCAACAAATCACAAGACAAAACTCATGTTTTGTTATCTCTTAACTAATCATATAAAGGTAATTGATACATTAGTTATTATATAGTTTTCAAGTCATTTGAATACAACTTTTAACTGATCATTTGATGTATATATATACATACATATATATATATATATCAACAATGTAGAGAGATCATAGCAAGTTAATTCAAAATGATTTTTATCAAGAAAAGAATAATTGCAATAAAATGGTGACAATATAAAAATCTAAAAATAAAAATAAGTAAAAACATGTTGCTATATGAATTGTGATGGTGTAAGAGAAAAATGAATAAAAAAATAATTGCGTGTAAGAAATGGTAGGTTTAGGATAATCGATATTAGATTTGGGTGTTGAATTTTTTGAATTTTAAATTGCAACAATTGTTTGATACGATACTATAATATATATTCTCTCTGTCCCACATAATTTTTTATTTTCTTTTAATTTTGGAAATACGATTACATATTTTAAATTTTATAATTTTTTTAATCTTAATTAAATTATTTAGTTATTTTAATCTTAATTTATAATTATTTTTACTAATATCCATCGTAATTACTTACTAATTATATTTTACTTAAATTCTCGTATCTACGGTAATATGCCCAAAATATATGGGACGAGTATTTGTTAGATTTTTTGAGTGTAAACCTTAATTCTTAGAGTATTATAAATAAATGAAAAAATAAATATTTAAATTTATATTTTTTAGTAAAAAAAATCATGAATAATAAATTGAACTAAAATATATAAATAAACACGAAGGGAGTGTTTGAATATATTTAATGGTATAATTTTTATAAATAAGAAATTTAAATATAAAATAAAATAAAATATAATATAAATAGATAGTGGATGCAATGGATATTTAATGTAAAAAATAAATTATATTTTTAATAAAAATAAATATTGAATTACAAAATAATCTAAGAAATAGTATCAAAATTAAATTAAAAACATATGAAACCAGAACCTTAATTAATTGTAAAAGTGTAGTGTGGATGTGGTGGTGTTTAGTGGGCTAAGTGTTTATGTCACATATCTTGAACTATTATATATCAAATCCTAAGCACCCCACCCTACTCTAAACTAATATTATTTTCACATTCTTTTTTTTAATAATATTATTATTTTCACATTCTAATAATATTCATAATAATAATAATAATAATAATACTCTTGCGTTGTTAGGTTTGCATAAATTATTTAAATAATATTAAATAAATAATTGATTATATTAGTAAATATCTTATAAAAATATACAAATATTTTTAAGATTAATCAACAATTAATATCTTATATATTTTAGGCAAATATATAAGCACAATCAAAATGTCAAAATAAATGGGTGTATTTGGTTTTGATTTGATATTTGATTTAAATAGTATTTTGATTTAATATTTTTATAATATAAAATAATACATTTTTAATGAAAATCATTCAAATTAAATAATGTAGATTTTATTTTGAAATTTTAAACAAATAAACCCAATGCTAATAGTATGTTTACTTTTGGTTTGAGTTTACATTATTTTATTTGAGATTTGATTAAATAATAATACATTAACGTAATGTTATGTAATATATATATATATATATAAATTTACTAATAGTAATTTTGTTTTTGAAATAAAATTAAACACACCAATGTAGTCGAAGGTTCATACGAGAAATTGACCCATAAATAAGGGAGGCAAATTAGCAAGTGTGCATTGGGCTTTGACTATTTATAATATTGTATTTTTCGAATGAATAGGTTGACTTTTACAGAGAATATTTATATATATATAATAAAATTTTAATCGGGAATGACGTGTAATGGCGACAACCAATCGGAGAAATAACAAGTGACAGATATCTCATTAACAAGTTAATTAATGTAATTAAATAGCAATTAAGAAAATCAGGTCCCATAAAGTCCCGCCACGTGGACCGCACCGTACATCGTCCGACGTTCACAAATTTTTGGTTCCCAATAAAATAAAATCGAAATTAAAAAACCAAAAAATAAACAGATCGCAGAGTGAATAAAATAAGTGATAGAAAAAAAAAAAATAAAAAAATTAATTTCGAAAAATGGAGAATGGGGACGCGGAGGGATGTGATTGGTTGGCATCAATCACGCTTACAGGCGCCCAATTAAGAAACGCCACATTAGCCGAAACGTAAACGCTTTTGCTGTAATTATGAAACTTGAAAACGCGATTTTGCAGCACATGCATGCGCTTCTTCCTTTGTCCTGACGCCTCGCTAACGCAACCGCCCACGGTGTGGGCAGTGTGAATTCCCTATTTGGCCCCCGCCACTACCAACAACCCTCCTGTATATATATATTACTCACGTTGGTACTGACTACTGTATCTATAAATTCCAGTCCTCTCTCTCTCTCTCTCTCTCTCTCTCTCTACTCTCTCTCTCTCTCTCTCTCTCTATATATATATATATATATGTCTCGACTGTAAATCGATTTGAATTTTGTGTTTCTGAGAGATTTGAATTTTTAATTTGAGGAATTAGGTACTCGATAATGGAGTGTCCGATGGTGATGGAGAGGTCGACGGGGAAATGGCGGTGCAGCAACGTGGAATCGGCGCCGAATTGTCCGAGGTGCGCTTCTTCGAACACGAAATTCTGCTACTACAACAACTACAGCCTGTCTCAGCCGCGGTACTTCTGCAAGGGCTGCCGGAGGTACTGGACCAAAGGCGGATCCCTGCGGAACGTACCAGTCGGAGGCGGTTGCCGGAAGAGCCGCCGCGCCAGGGGCGGCGCGAGGCAAGGCGGATCTTCGAACTATCCGTCTCACGGCCAGGGATGCGCCGGCGAGTCAGGCGGCGGCGGCGCCGCCGCCGACATCGACCTGGCGGCGGTGTTCGCCAGGTATGTCAGCCAGAACATTAGGGAAAATGAGGAGTCTAGTAGTCCCGGCGGAAGCAGCGGCTCATCGGAAAATATTCCGGCGGGGATGCCGGAATGCTTGGACGATGTGACGACGTGTCAGTATCAGAAGCCGTTGGATTTGACCAACGGCGGAGATGATCGGGATGAGTTGCGGCAGGTTATGGCTGACATCTCCTCCATTGATGGGGAAATCAACGGCCAGGATTTCATCTACCAGGGCTACAATGGGTATGATCTGCAGGAGCAGTGTGTTCTTGGTGATGATTTGGGGTTATTGTGGTCAAATGAAAGCACAAATTTGCCTAATTTTGAATGGCAGCTGGAAGAATTGGAGAATTTTTCACAAGATGATCAGTTCAGAGTGTCTGAAAATCTGTCACTTGAGAATTGGGGATTATTCGAATTATCTGCCCACGACTATTTTTCAAGACCTTGATAAATTTAGGACATGGGTTTTATTTTATTTTTGCCTTGGGGGAAATTGTTGGGATTCATCTGTCACAGGGGTTCTTGTCATGAACACTGTGGCGAGACATAATTATATTTATACGTGTATTTATACATGAGGAAATAATAACAAATCTAATAAGATTAGTGAAATTTTGTATGTTGTGTTGTGTCAAATTTTCGTATCCAGATCCAAACGTGGCCTGATTTAAAAAATTAACCAATATTAAAAACAGAACACACACACACTAAAACTTAAATTACACATACACTAAGGTGTGTTTGTTTTGGGGATTGAATTTCCAATCTATTGTTAGTTCCAATTTTTTTTTTCTAAAAAATATCAAATCAAATATCTATTTTTTATTTTTTATATTATACTAAAAATTAATATTACATTCAAAATATCGAATCAACGCCTATTTATATCACTCCCGAACAAACCCACTTGATCATAACTCATACATCAATTAAAGTACACATTCTTGATTAAGTTGGTCACTATTTAATGCATATACTGTGTTGCCATCTAATTATTACATCACTAGGGAGTAGGGAGTTATTCTATGCCTTAGGATGAGCCGTCCTATACTCCTAAGTTACATAAATGTACTGTAATAATATAGGCAAAGACAGGCATATATACACATGACATACAGATACATATAGTTCTATATATCACATATTAAAATAAAAAAATAAAAAATAGTAGTAGTAAAGTTACCAACTTATCATGTAAATTGTATACTACCTCTTGTTTTTATTACAAATTCACAAAATATTTGGCATTTTATTTATTGTATAAAATTCTTGTATGTTAAATAAAAGTATTCTATTTGCCTAAAATTGATATTGGTAACGCCTTATTATGCAAATGTTACACACATTAAAAAAATAAACTAGTATTTTAAATAGTCTTTTTGAAATGAAATAATCGAATAAAAAAAATATATAATTAATTAACCTTTTATTCCATGGGTTTTTGTAAAAATTAAATCATCACTCATCTGAAAAACTATAATGAAGTTTGATCATTTATTTATTTTATTAAAAAGAAAACTATTTAAAACACTTTATCCATCTATTTATATAAACTTACATAATTACTTACATGTGTACGATCAACATCTACTTTGGATGAAAAATGTGATTTATGCCAACTTTAATTTAATTAGAGCCGACAAAGAGTCGATTTGTGTCGGATTCGTGTCGGGTTGAATATTTTAAACGGGTTAAATTACTCAACCCTAACCCGACCCTTTTATTGTCGTGTAGGTTCGTGTTGACCCGTTTATTATCGTGTCGGGTTCGGATTGACTCGTGTTGACCCGTATACATAATTAAGTCTAATTTCTTGATTCAAATTAAATAATTTGAGCCTAAATTATGTTAATTATTTAAAATTGCACTTAGTTTAAATTATTTTATGAGAAAATTACTAAATCATAATTATTTTACATATATAATAAATATATTAATCAATATTAATATATTATAATCGGGTTGTCGTGTCGGGTTCGAGTTGAGAGCCTCAACCCTAACCCGACCCGTTTATTATCGTGTCGGATTTGTATCAACCCATATACATAATCAAGTTGAAATCTTTGACCCAAACTCAATTATTTCGTATCGGATTGTCGTTCCGGGTCAGTTTCTACCAGCTCTAAATTTAATACAAATGAATTGAGTATTTTTTGCATTTATAATCAAACAAAAGGGGATCTGATGCAATTTAGCCTAACTTATCATACACCTATTTTGTTTTCATATCTTGTTTTCACATAGCACAATTATATAATAGTATCAAATAAATACTTGAAATTTGAAATTTATACTTGATATTTATATATTTACAGAGCAAATAAATATCTTTTCCAAGAGAAGGGTGAGCTCAGTAAGTCAAATAATATAAAAACAGCCAGCCTATGAATTCATTTATTCATCATAATTAGCTGCTAGAAATGGCAGTAGTTTCTACAACCTATACCTAAGCATGCAGAACAAATTTGTTGGAGAAGATGGCAAGAATATGGAATGTTTTTGGAGTAAAGGTACTGTGCAAGAACCAATCAAGGACCACAAAATACAGTTCATAATTACTGTTTCCTTAATAGTAAAACACATAGGGTGGGTGGGTGGGGGTGATCAATTGGATAATTGCATCCATTATCAATGAAATTCTCATGCAACTTGCTGCTGTAGGCTACTGAGGTATAAGTGTAATTAAATTGACACCAAACCCTAAATCAAATTGATCTTCAGTAAGGCTTAAATGATGAGTAAATTAAATGGCAGAGTAGGATGAAGTGAACTTACCTCATAAGAAAGGGTTCATACAGTGGAGTGGTGGCAATGGATGATGGTTTTGATCTGGCCTTAAGGATGCCACTTGATGCTGCATCCCACGCTATCAACGTAACATGGAAAAGATGGTTTTAGATTTGTGTATGATCTTGGATGAAAGGCGATGTAGATGGGAATACCTGGGCTTTTGAATCGATGAAACTGGTTGTCCACTCAAAACACGGTCGATGGCCAAACTCAAATCCCTGATAAGTATCAGAAATGTGAAATAGAAGGTCACAAATATGAGTAGATTATAAGTAATATGATTGTTTAAGCTAAAAAAAAAACAACCTTCCTGTGATGGGTACATTGCTACTTGGGCGCGAATCATCAAATTGTCCGTGATAGACTAACTCGAATGGCCTACGGCCATCCTGGACCGACACATTCACATCAAGAAATAGAATATATAACAATAAATTGAATTAAATGGCTACATGAACTAAAATATCATCTCAAGTGAATGCAGCATGAACAAGCAAGATATGTTTGAAAGATTTCATACCCTTTTAAACAAAAAAAACTCTGGTGTGCAAACAGCTCCAAAGCTTCTAGCAACATCTTGGGTCTGCGCGAACATTCATGTATTTTCGATTAATAAAGCATCTTAGAGGACATCATAGATGAAATTATGACATACTTCAACATCAACAGCCAAAATTCTTGATGCGGAAGTAGAAAGTGGAAAGCAATGAAACTTACTGAACTAGCATTGTGCTAATATACATGCCATTAGAGCCATAATTGGCAACATTACGAAAATGAAAGGTGAGTAGGAACTAAGTAGTTGCTGAAAGAAATGAATGCTTGCCTCATCATATAGATATGGAAAGGGAAACTTAAAAGTCTTAGCTTCCTCTGCCATGAACTCAGGTCCATCCTGTGAGGAATACATTAATGGTGGACGGATGATTCAATAGCCTCAACATTGGTCAAAATTGAAGATTTAGGAGGGTCAGCCGAAACCTGTGGATGAGTGGTTACAGAGTTTGAAGAAATTGCTATCACTCCGAGCCCTTTCTGCCACAGATAATTAATTCCCACATGAACATTTGAAGTCATATAATCCGACTGGGGGCGGCATAAGTGACAACAAAAATGACTGAAAATGAACAAGATATTAGCCTACCTTCATGTAGAAATTTGAAAGCTTAACTAAATCTTTTCTCAAATGTTTCACAAATGGGCAATGATTGCAGATGAACATTACCTGTGCCACAACAATGTTCAGATTAATAATCAGCCATCGTTAATAATGAGAAATGACAGTCGGGACGAACATAGTTTCTAGCATGAATGCAACCTTCATCCTTTTTCTATTATGACATTTTATTCAACTATAGAATGAAAATATGTTTCAACTTATCATTTCTCAAGTGCTTAAACTCTTATCAGATGAATTTTGGAAATGAACAGAATAGAAAGTAATGTGATAATTAAAATACAGGCTGGATTGAAGGTCTCTCAACATTATATGTTCAAGTATCTCTTACAAATCATATATGTCCAACATTAACATTATCCTTAACAAAAACAGACATAGTTAATTTGAGCTCAATGTTACCCTTTGAGTGATGCACAATACACACAAAATACTCAGTTTCGTACTGATTTTAGAGCATAAGATTACCAGCAACGCTGGGTAAGCTTCGAAGTCGTCCAGTTTCCAAACTTTTCCAGTGAGAGGTTCCGGAAGCTGAAAGCTAAAAATTCAAAAATGAGAAACAATGCCTTCCACCATCCATTTCCATCAATTAAGTCACCAGCACATAAAATTACGCAGAATACACCAACAAACCTCGAAATCAGGTGCTCTGGAGCCAAGAGAGGCCCCTTTGGACTCGGTTCTGGCGGCTCGAATCACGAGCTTTCTCGAACGCAGCACAGTTGTCCTGCGCTGCAGAGGATTCCAACTCATGCTCGAGTAGCACCTACACGATGAGAGAGAAGTCCAAAACGATTTAGCCACCGACGCTGAGCTCGGTAGCTCGAGCACACGACCACAAACGCCGGCGACCGTTGCAACAACCGCCATCCCGGAAGGAATCGATCCTCACGTCAACAGGTCCGCCATGGCCATTCTCAGCTTATCCCAAAGTAAGGGCATTGTTGTCATTTCACTTCACTAAATGGGCTTCATCTGAATTTGGCCCACATTTTAGCCATCTAATTTTTTTTTATCCAAATAAGAGCCCAATTATAAATTACATTTAAGTAATTTTTTTATTACGTGTCATGGGAATCTAACGCATTCACACCTGGGGTATTTAATAGTTATTTTATTATATTCAGTAATTATTTTATTATAAAATATTAATTTAAAAACTGAAAAACCTCAAATAATAATAATAATAATAAATAAATAAAAGCCTCTTGATTTCACTTATATTAGATATTAATCTAATATATATATATATGTGTAATTTTGCAATAATTATAAATTTCTTGTATCAAATTTAGACAATATCATATTGATAAGATACGTGTTTATCTATATTTTGAAACCTTTTAATAAAAAATGAATGCTGATTCAATATTTCAAATTAAAATTGAGTATTGAGTAATGTTATGATTGTTAGAAAAATAAAATAAATAAATTATATATATATATATAACGTATCCTAATTAGTTGAGTATTTGCGTCATGCATGACATACTTATTGATATAAAAATTAGTTAATAATAATAATAATAATTAATTATGAAGTATTTTAATTAATTTAAATTTGCAATTTGATGATAGAGTAATTTTGGGCATATGATGCAATCTAATATTCCTTCTTCATTGATTGAAGAAAATGATGATAATATTTTTAAATGCGGATAAATTGAAATTGCAAGTTTAATGTATATATTAATTATTTAATTTCTAATTGAGTTAAATGATAAGACTAATTATATAGCTTATATTCTTTGGACATCATTAAGAAAAAATAATTTCAACGATAATGTCTTCATCAGACTTATCGAATATTTTCTTACATAAACATAGCCGCGTTGTTTGGATTTTAAGACCAACAAAGTCAAGCTGCGTTGACAAATAAATTTAGTGTAAATAAAAAAATACAATAATATGGTTGTATTTTGGTATTTTTGTAATAATAATTTCTAGTTGAAATATGTTTTAATACAATATAAATATCCAATCAAATGTATTATATATATATATATATTGAAAATTAATAATATTTTATTAGTTTGTTTGAATATTTAATTTTTTTAAATATTTTTGTAATTTATATTTTTATATATAAATTAATTAAATGTGTAACAATATATTTATGATTTATATAAAAAATTAAAAAATAATAGATGCATCTCAATTGTTTCACATTTTTTTTTTTACATTCTCATAACGATTATAAAATTTATAAGAATACATATTAATATATCTCTTATGACTACTAGTGACCAAAATAATAATAATTATTATTATTAGCATATTTTTATATATTTGGGGCTATATATATATATATATATTGAAATTCTCTTTTTATATCAATATACAATTTTTATTTGTCACAAATATTTAAATAATAATAATAATTATTTTATTATTATTATTATAATCTATGGATACTTGCGCTGCAAAAAAATAATATATTTGTAACGGAATTTCGTCCCTAAAGTTCACGTAGCTAAAGTAATTTCTTTCTTAATTCCGTCTCTAATGTTATTAATAACGGAAAAAATAGATTTAGAGACAAAAACATTTTATTACAAAAATAATTTTTTCTTATAATGTTATAAATTTAAATATATTTCAGTAGCATTTGTTTCTTCCTTCAATTTAAATATTTCCAATGGCTTTTCGTCTAAAATCATTTTAAGGGTGTGTTTGTTTTGCATTTTAAATCCAACCCTATACTATTTAGTTTTTATGATTCTTAATAAAAATATTATTATTTTTATATAATATTACATAAAAATAATATTTAAATCAAGATATAAATAGTAAAATCTAATTTCAAACTCAAACCAAAAAAATTCAATTGTTTCTTTTTTAGTATTTTATAATTTATGGGAATTTATTTTAATTATTAAGAATTATAAAAATATTTTGAAAAATTATGATATTGTTTAAACAACAAGATAATAAAAATAACTTAAATATTTTATTAGTAAAAATAATACTATATCTTATTAAAAATATATAAGTAAAAATATATATATTGAAAGTAATACACAAATAAAATAATAAATACTATTAATTAGGTGTGGATATATTGAAGATTCCGTCAACTTGGAGAATGTTTTGTGGTTATGATTTTTGAATTAATCTGCAGGCGTGACTTGTGACAACATATACATATGTATATATATGCATCATAATAACAAATTATTTATTATTAATATTATTATCCAATTACAGGCCCTAATTACATATTTAATTTTTAAAAGTTTTGATACTATTATCGGTACTATATTTTTTTCTTACACAATTTCACAAGAAGATATTTAAAATATTTACCATTTTATTATGTCTGCAATTTTATTATGTCTGCTACACTGTAGACGGTATTTTAGGAGGGATGTAATTAGTAGATAATTAAGAATGTATTAGTGAAAATAATTATCCAATAATATAAATAATTATAAATTAAGATTAAGATAACTAATTAGTTTAATTAAAATTTTTTTAAAAAAATAAAATTAAAAAGTTTAGAATGAGATTAAAGTGCGTAATTATTTTCCAAGAAAAAGAAAAGTGACAAGGTATATGGGACGGACAAAAACGGCAACGTGGACATGATATGTGAGACGGAGTGAGTATTATTTAAATGGAATCTAAATTTATTATAACAAGTCTAAAAAATATGAGAAGATAATTAAGATGTATTTGGAAGATCATTGGGTGAGTTTCACTTTGTGTATATAATCAAGTTAGCTGCCACATCAAAAGAAACGTTTACGTTAACAATTTCTATTAATTTTTTAATGATAAGACCAAAATTGATTGAAATTATTTATAATGAGACTAAAATTGATAAATTTTTGTTATACTGAGATCAAAATTAATTAAATTTTTTTCTATTTTTTAATGTTAAGTTTACATGTAATATAAAAATAAAATATTTTGTGTGAATTATTAATTTTTATTTATAAAATATGTATTCTATATTATGTTAATATATATGTATATTGTTATTTTATAATATTTGTAGAAAATCATGTCATACAAAAAATAAAAAATAAAAATATTGAGCAATAAAACCCGATTCATGTTCAAATAATAATTTAAATCAAAACAAAAGATGAGAGAAGACAAACTAACAAATTTTTTAATTTAAATATATACGATTTTAAAAACAATTCAAAATAACAAAATTCATTAAAAGGTACAGCTAAGCAAATTAAACCCAAATTTGTTATTAGCACTTGACTCCTTAGATTCTCTTAAAATTTAAATCTGGTAACATGTCGGCAGTCGACTGTCGTATAAATTTGTGTAGGAATTAAAAAATGAAACATATATAGACATAGTCGTCTACAATCTACATATTTAAATTAATTAATTAATACCATCCCCAAGAGGATAACAATGTCACAATCGAACTATAATTAATAAAACATACAAGCAACCAATAAATTAAAATTATTAGAGCTTAATTAGCTGTTGTCGTGACAAACATAGAAGAAATTGAGACCGCAGTTGTTTAGACAGAGGTTTTTGAAATTTTGAAAATTTTTAAAAAATAAAATAAAATAAAAAATTAGTATTTGATTTGATATTTTATAAGAAAAAAAAATCTATTCTCTCCATCCCTTACTATTTATCTATTTTTTTTGTCCGTGTCATAACAAAATATCAATTTATATTATATACTTAAAATTACAAATATCATTTCAATTTACAATATATTATACAAATGTCATTATTTTTGTATCATACAATACTAATAATAAAGCTAATTTAATTTTTTAACATTTATTTATACTATATCCTATAATAATACTAATATTCTAAAAACTCCCCAAAAAGTAAAACTATTTGATGTGAATGATTGAAAGTGTATTGGATAAATAAACACAAATTTTAAACTAATTTAAAAAAATAATCTAATCCCCAATTTATATAATAATTAAATAAAAATAAAATAAAATAATTCAATTCAATTGCACTTGTGACAGTGACAGATAATAAGACCATACATTACACACATATATATATATGTATATGTATATATACATATGTCTGTGTCTTAATTCAGACCATATATGCGGTGAGAATTCAAACACAAAATTAGTTTAACTATGAAGCGGCAGAGATCAGAGGCGGCGGCGGAGATGGCGGCGACGTCGGAGATCAGGTCGGCGATTGAAGAACTGTCTCTGATGGCGGTTAATTGCGGCGGCGATGTTCAAAAACAGACAAGCGGTCGTGTTCCTCTCAAGCCTTTTCTGTCGATCTGCAATTTGCTCATACAAGTTTTAGGTTAGTTGATCGATTTGATTTTTTATGTTACCTGCGATCAAAATTGTAGTAATTAATTCTCTGTTTATATATATATATTTGAATGGATTAATGATTTCGATGATTATATATATTTATGTTTATGTATGTGGTGTGGTGTGGTGTGTGTGCAGATAAGATAGGGCCGACGATGGCTGTGCTGCGACAAGACATGCATCAAAACATCGAGGTAATTAATTAATTATTAATTAAGATTGTGAAAAATTCAGTCGAATCAATGGTAGACGTTAAAATGCAGAGTTTGTTAGTTTGTGAATGAATGAGGAAGACGTAGGTGTGCTTGTTTGGGGATTAGATTCGATTTATACGATTCATCCAATTTTTTTTCCCAAAAAATATCAAATTAAATACCTATTTTTTATTTTTTATATTATACTAAAAATCAATCTTACATTCAAAACATCACATCAACACCTATCACGTTATACAACTATTCAAATTCAAGATTTTTACTATTTAAATCCAAATTCAAAATTCAAATCCCCGAACAATCCCACCCTAAGAAGCAGACAACCTGCCTGCCTGTCTTGTTGACTTCCATGTCAATTCACCATTTTGCCCTTCCCGCCTTTTCCATCTTCTTTTGAAAGGGCACTGCTAATTACTCTCTTTTTATAAAATACTCCGTACTCAATTCTTTTGGCATGAGAATTCAGTCAATTTTTTTTAATATTCATTTTATCTTTGAAAAAGAAAAAAATAAAATAAAATGATAAATTATGATTTGAATAAATTAAAATGACAAATAAAAAATTTACTAACAAATAAAGTATTATTTTTATACTTTTAACAATGATAGAATTGAGATTTTATAGAATTGTTAATAGAACTTTTAAATTAAAATAGAATTAGTGTAAAAAATAGATAGGATCATCAATGATAATAATTGTACAAATGGCAAAAACATTGGATAAAAATTTAATAAGAACAATATTTTTTAGTATAAACATATTTTATGTAGACAAATTAAAACGATAAAATAAATGCACTTTTATTCCTAATTTAATTTTGGCTCAATTTACTAAGGGTGTGTTTGTTCGGGGGATTGGATTAAATTTCCACTATTTATTCTATTTTTTCTCCTAAAAAATATCAAATCAAACACCTATTTATCATTTTTTATATTATACTAAAAATAAATTTTACATTCAAAACATCACATCAACACCTATTTATATCACATCATACAACTATTCAAATTCAAAATTTTTACTATTCAAATTCCAACTTAAAATCCAAACCCCCAAACAAACACACCCTAAGAAATGTAATTTTGATGTAATTTTGATGGTTGTTTGATCATTTTAGTCTTCTTTTTTTGTTTAAAATAATTTCACAAATTTTATTAGAAATGGAAAAAAAAATAAAAATTGTAAACACTTCAGGACATCCTAAATAAAAAATAATAAGAAAATATATATTTGAGATCAAGATAATAACTTTTTTGTTCAGGAAAGTATATATGCATGCCTTATTTTAAAAATTGGTTCAAATATCTTAGTCACTATTATATTATATTTTCTATTCGAATAATTTGAGATTTAATTCATTACTATAATAAACAAGTTAAGTTCAACTCGAAATCTAACAAATATTTTGTACCATAATAGTTGAATAAATTAATCTATTAACTAGGAATCTCCTCCAAATATGAGAGCTCCCTGGAGTCCAACACCCGAATAATCTCCGCGGGTAGGTCCATCATCCATGCTTGTGAGATGATTCCGGCGTAAGCACACCAGGGAGCTCCCAACAATAACTGCTTTGTCATAACCAATAGCGCGCGGATAAGCTCATAGAAAAAGTCAAAAAATCAAATCAGAGGGGCATTCTTGACAATTCACCAATATTTTTAAACTCAGGGTGATAAATGTTGTGAATTCTTGCGTTATTTTAAAAAGAAAAAATTAGTACCAATAATTTATTCATTATTAATTAATTTTCCTTCTCCGAAATAATTATAGGACTTTTTACTAATTATTTTATTTTATTCTTTTATGAACTTTAGAGATTAGAGAGGTTCCATGATTCAGATCCTTCAGCGTACTGCGACGTGGTGGAGATTTTGAAGAAAGAGGTTAGTGAAGGCAGAGCCAAAAAGGGCCCAACTTGCAGTAAATCCTTCGTTTGGCTCACTAGGTAATAATAATAATAATAATAATAATAATAATAATAAGAAATACCCATTATTAATAATGATATTTGCATTGGAGGTCCCTGGACTTCAGCCTGAGTTTGGTCCAGCTGCTGCTGGTGGATTTGGGAAGAAACATGGACGAAGCTGTGGAGGAATCTTACACAGCCACTTTAAAGCCATGGCATGGATGGATATCTTCTGCTGCATATAAAGTTCTTACAACCATTTTAAACACACATTTATATTATCTCTATTCTATTCGGTTCTAGGGGTTAATATATATAATATAAAATAAATATATATATATATGTTTCTAGCTTTGGTCAAACGGCGTTGACTTCCTCCTTCTTGTTTTGTTTGTCAGGTGGCGCTGAAACTCCTGCCGGACAGTCAAACGCTGGTCAACATACTGAAAGTCAAAGACCAAGACCATGAGAAGCTGAAGGAAGAAATGCAGAGCCTCATCGCTTTACTCACACCCGTTTTGGAACAGAACAAAGAGATCCTGGTCAGCCTCGTTTATTTATTTATTTAATTTCTTTTAAAATTTTATAATACAAGAAAATTGAAATTAAATTCAATGATGGAATTGTGCAGAAAATTTATGGTTTAGACAAGCTCAAGTCAACCTGAAGATCAAAGAAGAAGACAACTCAAAAATTAGAAAAAAGCGATAGTCTGAGTGTGTTGTACAGAGAGATTTGGTGGGCACGGGATCACTGGCCCCCTCCTCCTCGCCTCCATTGTTATATATATATATACACTCTGTATTAGAGATGACTGAAGGAGCTACGCCGAGAGGGGGCCGATGATCCCATGCTGATTTAGTGTTGCTATTTTCTTTTTCTAATACGACTTCTTTTATACATATATAAAAAGATATTAGTAGATAATTAAAAATATATTAGTGAAAATAATTATCTTATAAAATAAATAATTATAAATTAAGATTAAGATAACTCATTAGTTTAATTAAAATTAAAAAAAATAAAATTTAAAAATTTAAAATGAGATTAAATTAAAAAATTTAAAAGGAAAGTAACATGGTACGTGAGACGGACAGAAACGGCAATGTGGACATGCTATTTGAGACGGAGGAGTAGTATTTAAACAATGAGGGACAACTTTCCACTTTCATTAGTTAATTATTTAAATAATTTACCTAATTCCTTATAATTAAATTTCATTTTCTATTTAAATCAATTTCTTCAACAAATGCATTGTAGTTTTAGCAAATTTCTATGCCTTGGAATATATAATAGTGACAATAAGATTGTCACTATATTCTATTCGATCACAATGAAATAATTAGTTTTGAAAAAGATAAAATTACAAGAAGACTAATATTATCACCTCAAGTGCACATTTTGGTACAATCCCATTTTATCTATCCCTAATGTAGCACCGTCATCCGAATCCGATGAGTTTTTCGCCGCCGGCGGATCGTGGAGCGCGACGAGCGCCGAGACCAAGCCGGCGTTGCTCGAGATGCTCGGCTGTGTGAACCATGGCCGGTTCCGATCATCTAAGAACACATCATTTTTGTCTGGCCCTCCCACCATTGCTCCCACCAAATCATTCGGATTTTTATATTTTGAATTTAAGTATTGACCACCTTCTGAGCACGAGCGCTTTTTTTCGTCCCACGGTATTGATGCACCCCGATGGTGCGCGAAGCCCGGATAACGGTCGCCGTATCCGACTAAATAACTCATCTTCTTAGGATTGTCTCCGAGAATGTAGTTCACCTGACCACATAGTATAATGCACTTAAAGATAAAACATACAAGCTTACGATTCAACTAGTTTTGTGTTATATTAATATAAATTGTGTGTTATTTGTCCTCATATTGTGTGTACTGTGTATTGTCTAATGTTATACTCCATGTTCATTATGTAAATTTTTTTTTCATTTGATAGAACAATTTTAAAAAAGTGGATAAAAAAAAAAGAATTATAATAATAAAAAAAAAAAGAAGAAAGAAAAATGGTACTCCCGTCCAACATTTTTCATCAACTATATTTAAAAAATATAATTATATATTTTAACTATATTTTAAATTTCATAACTCATAATCGTTTTAATTTAATTATATTATTTAGTTATCTTAATATATGATTAATTTTATTACACACTAATTAATTTTATTAATACATTTCTTAATTTTTTAAAAATTATATCTCATATCTACAGTAAATCGGACACAAGATGAGACAGGCGGACCAAGTTTTTTTTTTTGCTATAAAGGAAATAAAAAATATCTTTGACAAAAAAAAAAATAAAAAAAAAATTGAATGACAAATGAGGATCTCATTACAAAGCCATACTTTCTTCATTAATTTTCTGGAATCCTTAATTTAGTGAAACTTCTAGAAACATAGAATACCTGCGAGAGGGAGAAGTCTTGCAACATTTGGACAGAAAACACAGAACCTCCACAACTACCACTTGTCCTCTTCAAGAGCTGAATATAGTCTCCGTACAATTTGCTAAGGAATGCAGCCGTGGCTGCATACTGCAGCGGCGCGCCGCCGCCGTCCGGAGTCAGGACAATCAATCCACCTAAGCATCGACAACCATGAGAAACAACCTCGGAAAAAACAATGCTGCTCGAATCATACAAAACAAACGCTTCCTACCGTTGGTCGCTCCGCGCTTTCGATTCAACGAAAGATACGAGCACACGAGCAAGTCAGTCCTGTTCGTCGACAAAGCATCCTCGTACGGATACCCGAGATCGATGAAGTATCGGATCCTCGTCATCAGAAGCTGCAAGAAAATGGAAAACTTTGTAACAACAGGGTGTGTTGGTTTGTGGGTTTAAACTTTTAATAGTAAAAAATTAAATTTGAATAGTTATTTCATATCATAATTTTAGAGAAAAAAAAAAAAATTGAATAGTAAAAACTACCCTACAACCCACGTAATAACCCAAATCTAAAACTATTGTCCTAATACGCACTGCGTTCGCCGTAAGTTTGTTGTTCCAATAGAATATCCCTTCTTCCGACGGCAGCTCCTCTTCCTCGGCGAAAACAAAGTTATCTGTGGCGTATTTAAGATAATCGGTTTTCCCCGTCGCAAAGAACAGCCACGTCGCTCCCCAAACCAATTCGTCGATATAACCAGTCGAGTTGTAATAAGCGCGAGCTCTGCCTCCACAGGCTTCGTTTTCGGTGTACTTTCCGAGCTTTTTGTCGGGGCTAATTACCAAACCGAAGAACGCCTCAGCGGCGTCGATCAATCGACGAGCATAGGTTTTGTCTCCCGCGAAAACTAACGAAGCCGCCGACATTGCGGCGACGATTTCCCCGGCCAAATCTGCCGCAGTTTCGTCGCACACCGAAACCGGCCTCGGATACTTCATGTCCTCCGGTCTTTGCCAACATGTCGCGTCGTTTTCGCGATCGCTCCTATTTCCGTCGCCAACCTTAAACACCCAGAAACAAGAAATCGACAGTTATTACATATGTGAAATGATCGTATCACCTAAAGGCTTAAGTTATTACGAAAATATCACCTGAGAGTACAAAATCACCGACGAATCCGAGGCCGGATTCGAAGGAGGAACGAAAAGCTTGAGCAAGTAATCGCTCCCCCATTTTATGACATCCTTAACGTGGTCGAGCTCACCGACATCCTCGTACTTCCGGTGATATTCGACGACTGTCCAGCTCAGAAGCGTTACCGTATAAGCTGTCGTGAAGCTGAACTTAATGTTGTTCCCCGAGTCGTAAAATCCTCCGACAAGATCGGCATTCATGTCCCCGTCTTTCCCGTCGTCCAGTCCCGAATCCCCGCGAAACCGGATCGGAAAATTCTCCGGGAGATCTCCGGCTGCCGGAGACCAAATGAAAACAATCAGACAAAAACAACATAAATATGTATTAATTAGACCATCATAGGTGTAACTTGAAAGAATTGCGCCAATGGAACAGTACACTTTTGTGCATCAAAGAAGAGCAGAGCTTGTCGCAAAGCCAATGTAAGATCCTTAGAGGCTGCACCATTCTGCTGCTTATGATTCAAGAAATGCAGCAGGAGAATCGACGCGACGACGACGAAAACGAGAATTATCGCAACGTAAATGAACCGTTTGAAGCCGTGTTTATCTGCGATTGAGAGATGGAAGTCGACGGACTTGGGGAATCTCGAAGGCAAGGAGTCGAGACCGTCAAATGCCGAGAGGCCGAAATCGAGTTCGGTTGAAGTCCAACGGGAGCGGAGGAGACGGCTTGAGTCGGACGCAGTTTGGACAAGCCGGATTTCAGAATCGGAGGTTTCCGACATGGCGAGAATAGAGAAACGAAGAGAAATGAATGTATTTGTTACGTGCGAAGTTTATGGAACTAATCAGAATTCGAAATGAATGATTTAACGAACAATCTTTGGTCATGATTTTGCAATGATAAGAAAGTGTAGTTTTTGCTTCTGCCAACGTTGTAAGGTCCGTTAATTATTGCCAGTTTTTATCATTATGAGCTGCCATTGTAGTAATCTGAAGACAATGATCACAACGGTCATTTCGAGGTAAACCATAATTTATTAACTTGTGTTGCAATAACGTCAGAATCCTTTCTAACCAGTGTTCTTAAGAACCGGGCAAGAGCTTCTGGAAACGTCGACGTCGACACCGCCGTCGATCTTGTCGCCCTTCACGAGAGCTCCGAGCAGCTCGCCGCGATCATAGAAGAATTCCACCTTCACGACCTTCGAATTCTCGTCCAACTGCATCGGCAGCCAATTTCGCAAACCATAACTACCAAGATCATAACAGAAACGAGGTTGTCGTTGGGACAAGGTTAGGTAGAGATTACCTCGAATACAGACATCCCGAAAAACTCGACCATTTCTCCGGTAGGCGGGTGTCCCTTGAAGCTGCCCTCCATGAAACCCCAGTGCCGGAACTTGTAAACAATCACCGGCGGCCCTGAGTAGACACGAATAACCTCGAGCGCAAACCCTCTCGGAAATGCGGTCGTGAAAGCACGGTGGGACGAATCGACGGTCTCTTCGTCGGGATCGAAGCACCTGAATTTCTCAGGTAAGGATGTCTGAAGCAAAGAATTGTATCCTCCCCCGAGCTTCCTTTTCTCGACAAGCGACAGCGCTTCTCTCCCTGAGGATATCAATTCGGAAGTAATTTGATGTAATAACTACACATCAAGAGAATTTGTCCGAATACAAAACAAGAATACCATTTAGGCTGAATCTATACTTGTCGGGATCAACTACTTTGTAGTCTTCGGGGTTCACTTTGTGGAACATCTCCATTTCCCATGTCTTCACGATGTTCTCGACCTTCTCTTCCAGCGAACCCGGCGGCCATACCTGCAAGAAAAACACAACCCAAATCCAAATCCGACAATACTATTGAAGCAAATTACAAAATGGTAATGAAGAAGTAATACGGACATGAGTTCTTCCTTCTTCGAAGAGCTTGTCGACAGCTTCATAGTTGGGACGGGAACCAAATCGCCATTCTATGTTCTTTTCCTCATCATCTTCAATCATGTAAGTTCTGTATTTCCCTGCAATGTTTTCTCGAGAAGCCATTTTCAAGGCAGTGATGGAATGAACATGGATGTCTTATTTCAAGAACTTAATAATTCTAACAGCAGCCTAACCTGAATAATCTTGCAATAATTCAGAAATTTTTGTCCAGTCATATAATGTAAGGACGAAGTGATAAGAAAATTACACAGACAATTCCAAACCAAAAGATACAAATAGATATCATTATCATGATGCTGACTATTCAAATTAATAGAGGGAAAAAAAAAAAAAAAACCCAAGAACTGGTCCCGGCATTGAAGTTCAAGCCATGAAAGGGCAGCCCGGCACGGAAGTTTCAGTCGATGCCCCTCCCTTGACGAGTCCAGCGAGCAATTCTCCACGGTCGTGGAAGAACTCAATTTTCACAATCTTAGAATTCCCATCCAACTGCTCCACAACAAATCAAACCAATTACAATGAATTGATATCGATGCCACATATTTAAAGGCGTGTATTTTGTACCTCAAAAATGGCGGTGCCGAACATTTCGACCAACTCCCCTGTAGGTGGATGTCCTTTGAAAGGCCCCTCCATGTAGCCCCAATGCCTATACTTGTATGCAATCACGGGAGGTCCTGAAAAAACCTGTAGAATTTCGACGGCAAATCCGCGGGGAAAAATCTTGGTGAATGCAGTTTGGGATGAGGTGTAGGATTCTTCATCAGGGTTGTATAGCCTCAAAGGCGCCGGTAAGGAAGTTTGGAGGAATAGGTTGTAGCTTCCGCCGATGTTTCTTATGTCCTCCAAGGTGAAGAACTTTTTGCCTGAGGTTTTCACATTTCACAAAATGTATTCACTTCAACAGATTATCATGTTGTCCTAATAACCATTAAAATAAGAACTTAATCACAGGCATAATTACATATATACCATTGATGCCAATAACCAATTTTTTTGAATCAACTGTTTTGTGCTCATTTGGATCAGCCTTGTGGACGATCTCCATCTCCCATGTCTTGACAAGGTTCTGCACCTTCTCTTCGAGCGATCCAGCCGGCCATATCTGCCACACAGAAAACATTAAATCCTGTCTCAATTATTATGGTAAAAAACACTGCATACATTGGTTCTGCCTTCTTCAAACAGCTTGTTAACAACATCATAATTAGGAGGGCCATTATTCCATTTTGTAGTTTTAAGCTCTTCTGCACTCAAGTAAGATCTATACTTGTCTCCATCTACACCAGAAGTTGCCATTTCTTTGCCCAAACTACTTTTCTGTTTAATGACAAATAGGTATTCCTCTGCAGATTCTTTATATAGAGATCAGATCATCTGCCCCTACTGTTAAATTGCAAAAACTGTCCAATTAACGAACAAATTTTCATACAACCACCATAGAAGAATCCAAATTTGTGTAATATTTTGACATAGTAAAAGATTCTTCAGCCACAGATTCAATGAATGACTTGTCCTTGGATCAGAAACTCAATAAATTAACTAGCAAACAAGCATCAATATCATTTCACTAAATTAATAATATCCAGCAGTCATCAATAGAGAAAAGCATGTGGCTGCTCAGAATAAATATGAGCAACAAATACTTGGGATGATCAAACACGGCAACAGTATAATATACATATTCCAGCAGCCATTTCTTCCAGTAGATGCCACACTTTGATCGAAATATTCAACAAAGTTTCAGTATTTTATTTAACATAATCAATTAACATTTATATAGAGTCCCATCACCGGTGGGACCAAATAAAAAATATCTTTTGCATACCAATTTTATAGAAAATGATCGATCATCTCCACCTCCATATTTATTGAAAGTGTCAATTAGGTGTTAAATCCCATCAAAGTGAAATTAGATAAATTAATCAAGATTCTACTACAAAATTTTCCGCAATCACTCTTCTTCCAATTCCTCCACACAAAATTGAAGCAATATATCAAAGCACAGTCTCCTCGCCATTTTATCTAAAATCCAGTTTCTTGTTTTGACAATCCAATGCATTAAAAACCAATGCGCAAATAATCTTGAAAAGAGTAACCATCAGAGACCAAAGTGTATCCCCATAAGCATTAAGCTATTGTACGGTCCGCATCATGGTTTGAACTTTCTTCTAAAAGAAAATTCACATCACTTGGCTCCTCTCACCAAGATCAATTAACAAATAAAATAAAATAAAATAAAAAATCAACAAATAATTAAGGAAATCCGGAAACAAATCTGCAACAAGAAAACAATGGGGCTCAGAAAATTTATGGGTAAAGAATCTTTCATCACACGATTAAGATCAGCGTGGTGCATGACTTTCAAATGATTCTCATCACCGCCCTTCTCGACATAACCAAATCACGATATCACAACAAAAATGCACAAATCCAATAAACACTAATTACAAATGGGGGAAATATGAACGCCGTTGAATATATATATCTACAGACTGGGAAGATGAAAGACGGAAAGAGGACTACTATAAACCCTAATTTATTATAAAATTACATTTTTAACCCTTAAGATAGACCTATTATTACGGCCCAATTATCATTATGTCAAATGGAGACCCAATTAAAATCGGCCCATTAATGGGGTTTCCTTCTTACACTTTTAACCATAAGTTAGGCCTTCTATTACGGCCCAATTATCATTATGTCAATTGGCGACGGCCCAATTAAAATCGGCCCATTATTGGGATTGCCTTCTTACAATCAATGTTTATTTTTCGTATATACTCATTGCCTAATTAACCCATTTACCCTACTACGAAACTGCACTGACCAACAGCTGGCCGCAGAGTCAAATTCTCTCTTCAGAGGTTTGCTTGCAAAACCTAGCTTCTCTTCGCCGAGTCATTAGTTGCCGGCGCGGATACAGAGGTTAGTCTTTTGTTGAAATCATTTTATTTCTGCAGGTCTTTAATTTTCCGAGCATGCTTCTTGAATTGAGGGACGTTTGGGAATTAATTATAAGTTCGAAGGGTTTTTAGTGTCCTGGAATTTGCGCTAGGGTTTTAAAGCAGTTGGTGGTGGAAAGACTGATGTTTTTTTTTTTTTTGTTTCCTTTTGTGCCTTTTTGTGTTATTGATTGCGCACTTGTTTATTCTTAAAATCTGCCTTCTGTATACTCTTTGTGAATGAGTGTCAAATATAATATTTAGGTAATCTTTGAATAACAAGGTGTGACGAATTTATATTGTAGATCTAACTATTAGTAGTGAAACCTACTAGATGTATGGTGTATTAAGTAATCGTAACCCTAAAAATGCCACTTTTTATGGCGGACGTTTCTATGTGCTGAGGGTTTTAGTTGGAATTCGGACCTCAGCATGAAGTTGTGATTAGAAATTAAATATATGATAGAGCTAATGTCTCACAATCTGTAAATGTTTCTGTGAATCATCTTAAATAGTAAGGGCTAGCTGTAAGCATTGAAGCTCAAGGGTTTGGGGACTTGGTTAAGAATATTCTTTAGTACACCAAATACTGTAACCATAAAATTTTTACACATTCCTTTTGACCCTGAAGTAACTATGTGAAGCTTGATGCTGAGTTATGGTAAAATGAAGACATCCATGAGTAGAAATTTCTACTTGCTGAAATGTAATATTGTTTCTAGTATGGATTGGAGTTACATGTTTGCAATTATCTTTTTCTGGTTAGTGGTTACACTTAAACTTGCATATTATATATGAGACACTATAATTAGTTCTTATGTGGTAGATAATTTTATAATTTTGTTCTACTAGCAAGTGGTAATAAACTCAAGCCTATGCATTTATTTAGGAGGAATTGGTGTGCTACTACGCGGGTGCTTGCACATAAGTATTAACTTAATGCTTGCTGTATGGATCTTGTAAATAGATGCAGGAATGTTTCATAGATTTTATATCAACTCATTTGTAGCTGGGGTAGTCTTTTGATCCAGATTTCTTGTCTTTTTACCCATGTAGATGGCTGCTTCATCAGAAACATGTCGCTCAAATGTTGCCATGTTATCTACAAACTACAAACAAAATATTGGTCCAATTACCATAAACCTCTTTTATGATTGGCTTGTCAAGTTGACATGGAAAGCTTGGTGCTAGCGCCCACATGTTTAAGCCTGAATTTATATATAGAAGCGGCATGAGCATTTAAAGATTGGACTTTGGTATATAAGAAAAGAATTCTATCTGTTCCTATGGTCAGTTGCTCATTCTTCTATATGATCAGCAGCCAATAAAAACTGGCTGATTGACTCCTACCTTGGCCCCATTCATCATGCACTGACTAGTGATCTATACCACTCTGCATTGTTGCTTGGTTGGGCGTGATGTGGTACAAAAATGCAAGTACTTGACTTCGTTATGCAATAAAGCGTGCCAGATCCCAGGAAATCATATTTTTCTTAATGATTTTCAGCAGTACAAGCACCCTTAAAAGTAGCAAATTAGTCTCTGGTATGCACTTATTTGGATGAAGTACGTCAACTCGAGCAACTTAAGCATGTTATGTTAAAGTATTGTTGCAGGAGATAGGACTAATTATCAACCCTCTGGCATAGATTATAGTCTGGTCAAATGTGAAGAATGAAGTTATTGCAGAAACAGTATCCTCACTGGAGACATTGACTGTCATATGTACTTTTGAACTCAACTGCAAGTAAAGTGAGGTATGCTGAGCATAGTGTATACGATCGACACAGATAACCTGAATAAGCAGTCTCATCCGCCTGGTTGGAGTGAGAACAACTGGATAAGTGTGTGATAGTGAGTATGTTAGCTTCAGGCCAACTTCAGGATTCAAATCAAGAGTGAGAGACCCAATATAACTAGTTTCTTAACTAATTTCTTCCACTTAGATATTTTTCTTGTGTAGTGGCAGGAATGGGTAAGACAAGCATTAAACTTTTGCTCTACAGCCAATTTTTCCTAAGTAAGAGCAGTGTAAGATTTGGGGTATAATTCATGTTGAGCCCCTGATCTTTATCTCCATACCTCATGATCGATCTGAAGAACTGAAACATTCGTTGGGGTTTGGATCAATGGATTGCCAGAGTGTGCTGCATAACTGCGAGTCAAAGTGACTATATTTTAGATAATCTCAGCTGGATGCAATCAATAAACTTTGTTGGGAGATCCTCCTTTCTATAACCCAAAACATTATCTTAGCAGCTGCATGTCTAGAGTGAAAATTATTTTTTCTACTCAGTTTTTTGGAGATGGAACGGTTGTTATTGGTGAAGATAATGAGCTTAATGGGTGTGGTGGTGTTACTGGGAAAATAGAATCAGAAGCCACAATTACAAACTTCTTACCTAAGCACACTGTTTTGGCTGGAAAGCAGCATCGCTATGTTTGGGAAGTAGGAAAAAGTGATGTCTGACAATATATATATATATATATATTGCTGGGAAGTGGTACAATGAGAAGAGAGACTAGTTATGAAAGAATTTTGGCTCAAAATGTTATGTGAAATAATCAACTCTTTTACAAGCATTGTTATGAAAATTTCTCAAATTTCAATAAATCTATAATATTTAATTCCTCCTAGAAAATTATTGAATGAGGTGATTTTATGTTCTGCATACATAGAACATTTACCCTGTTCTAATTTATCCATCTTCATTTGCTAATGGAATTCCCCAAATGAAAATTAAATGTTTATCAGTTAGATATGTTTTGAGCTATTAACTGAATACATATGATTGTTAGTTGTTTGCTTCAAAGTCATTTCATCACAGTGTTTCTTTTTATATGAGATAGCTGCATTGAACAAATAATATACGAGTAAAATGACCGTGACTCTGTTTTCATTAATTTTGGCAGGTTATTGTTTCATGAAAAGGATAAATATTGCTAGTACTCACTAGCCAAAGCTCTCCATGGGTGAAAGAAGAAAACGCAAGTCACTGTGGGATCTTGAAGAAGAGACCAGGCATTTGTCTGGAGGTAGTGGACATAATTCTTGGATGGAGAAGGATCGCCATTCTAGTCATGATGGTGGGCGCTATCAAGAGTTTTCTGATTCTAGAATCCCTATTGCACGGAAATCAAGGGATCGTTCTGGATATCCATCTTGGGAATCAATTGAAGAAGATGATATTTCACTGATGAATGGCAGCTTCAAAAACACTCATGATGAAAAGGAAATAGGTTCAGGGAATAGATATTACAGGGACATGCCTCCAGATTATGATGACAGGGACATGCATGGTTATATCCATTCTCACGACTATGATCAAACCCATTTACAAAGGTTTGTGATTCATAAGTTTGCCCATAATAAATGTGGTCTTGTAACACCATTATCCTGCAAAGTTACATCTGAATATTGTGAGCAATTGCAATACCTTTTACTTGCAATTGTTCTTTTGTAACCAAAACATGGTTTTATAAAATTCCACCAACTTTGAATCTACAATGGTCTCTTATTTCATTCCCATTTCTTTAAAAAATTTGAATCTTATGCATTGTTGTCTTTTAATTCACTTAACTAACTCTTTGTTCTTTCACTGCAGGTACTCGGGAAGGGGCAGAAGTAGGAGTCGCAGTAGAAGCAAGACTAGGGGCAGGAGTCCAACCAAGAGTTACAGCAGAGGCGGTGGTCGAGAAAGGGGAAGGGGTTTTAGTAGGAGCAGGAGTAGAAGTTATGACGATGCAAGGGGTTACTCAAGAAGTCGTAGTCCCATGGGAAATTATAGGCGCCAGGCTTATGGGTGGAGTGACAAAAGAGATAGCTCAGAAAAACCACCTCAGATTTGTAGAGAATTTACTTCAGGAGGCTGTAGGAGAGGCAGCCAGTGCAGATTTTTCCATCCTGATGGTACAAGCCGTAGGGATGGGGACCCAATAGAACATGACAGGGCTGAAGATTGGAGAAGTAGAGAGGATCTTAGCCGCATTCCGAAACATTCTCACAGAAGAGGTTCTGGAATTGAATCATTGAATGACATATCTGATCCTTATCATGGTGAGGACCAGAGATTGCCAAACAAAAACAGTACTGTTGTTTGCAAGGACTTTGTGAGAGGTAATTGTCGTTGGGGTGACACGTGCAGATTTTCTCACCATTCTGCTTCTGATGGTAGTTTTGGCCAAGGTACTAGAAATGCATCCTTTGACAAATATGGTGAACGACCTCTCTGTAAGTTTTTTGCAGCTGGGAAGTGTGACAGAAAGAATTGCAGATTTTCTCATGAGAATCCAAATCTGAATGATCAAGAAACCCAGCCTGGTGATATCACTGCTAATGCCAGTTCTTCTGAGATGAGTAAGAGTAAATGGTGGAATGGTAAAACTTGGGATGATTCAAAGAGATTCTCTAATCCTCAGAAGTCCATTGGATGGGGTGATGCTGGTACAAGCTCAGCTGGTACAGGTGATGCTAATGGTGAACAGAATATACAAGGCCAGAATTTGGAGAACAATGAGAAAATTTTGGGAAAATCGGAACATACAAGCAGTCCTGTTAACAAGGAACAACAGCTTCCTCTTACTGATAAAAGCAGCCATTATGTTGGAGGCTCATACCCAACTGAGTCTGTATCTAAACAGAATAAAGCTAACAATCAAGAAACTCAGAGTCCATGGTTGCAAAGTCAAGTGGGTGTTACAGATATTAGTGGACATGGTGGATTGCAGGAAAGCCAGAATATCTTTAGTGAACCTCCGAAACAAAATCTCTATCCAGCTACTCAAGAGCAGCTTTGCAGAACAACAGAAACCAAGGTAATGAGTTCAGCTGGTTCCGATGGTCTTCGAGATATGAAAGAAACTAGTTATCTCAGCAACCAACAGCTTTTCTCCAGACAGAGTTTAGATCTAAACAGTGGTAGCATGTTTCAAGGGAATTCATCAACCTCTAACCAAATTGATGGACTGCAGAATACTCTTTTTCCTAATCCATCAATTGGATTCAGCACTGATTTGAATGTTGCACCAGAGGCGCAGGTGCACACAGTTGATCATTTGAATATGCAGACACACAACAATCAGAAAACTGTTACCTCACAGGAGCTTTTGGAAGCAAACGTCCCACGCATTTTGACCGATCTGTTAACCAGCAAGCACTCAGCCCAACTGATCAACTCTCTAGTTAATACTGAAAGACAGTTTTCTCCGGTTAAAAATCCAATTTCTTTGCCTCAGCCAAATGCAAGCTTGGATGTTTCAAGTTCCAGGAGGATGGTACCTCCTTTCTCTGATAACTCCGGGTGTGCTAACCTTGGGAACACAAGCAATGCTCAAGGGTATCCAGGTGCTGTTTCTCTTGATCTGCTTAGTTCCATGGGAATTGGAAAACACGGTGCTGAGCAAGTAAATACTGAGTTTGGCAATCAATATTCAGCACAGGCAATGGTACAGAACATGGAACTGGAGCACTCACATCCGATACCTGTTTTTGATATGGAGGTTGAAAAAAGCCCAATGCCAACACAAGTAGGACTTACAAACTCAGAATTAGCTGAAGGCAGTAAAGTGATCGATGAAGGAATCAAGGATGCGCAGGAAGATAAGCAAGCTGGATTGCTGGATGGTCATACTAAAGTTCAAGAAGGGGGGAGTGGAAATAAAGATGACAAAGGTGCACGATTGTTCAAAAATTCTCTTGTGGAATTTGTAAAGGAGATTCTGAAGCCAAAATGGAAGGAAGGTAAAATGAGCAGAGAGGTTCACAAAGAAGTTGTGAAGAAAGTGGTCGATAAAATTTCCAGTTCAATCCAACCAGAGCACGTCCCAAAGACTCACGATAAAGTTGATCAGTACTTGTCACATTCCAAACCTAAAATTACCAAACTTGTTCAGGTATTTTCGGTGTTTTTTACACGCTCGTTGTCACACACATCACTGTTCTATCACTGACACTTTCCTCCATTCGCAGGCGTATGTTGATCGTTGTCAAAAGGCAGAATCTTGATCGCGACATGGAATCTATGCATGCCAGCACCAAAAGTTCATTTCTTTTCTAAGCATAAACGCAGGAAGATTGTGCATGTGCTTTTTTGACAAGAATATTACATGAAACTATTGTTGCTGGACTGTATTTCTCTTTAGATGACAGCAGATCATTACTTTCTTTTACCTTCTTCACTTCCCCAAAGCTGAAGGAGGCGACTCTGTTCTTGACCTCATTTGCTGTAATGTACCATCCTTTCATTACCTATGCTTTCCCTCATCTCTCTGTCTATTCTATCCTGTGGTTGAAGGGATTTTATTACAGGAAAATATCATATAACCCTCTAATTTTCTATCTTTTGTAGATACGATCGACTCTGGTATCATATGGATTAGAAAAAAAACATTACATACATGTATCACTGTTTGGGCAGTGCCAAAAAATGGCCATTGCTACAACTTTTCTTCCTTGAGTCTAGAGCTGTTAAACGAATCGAGTTGTTCGTGAATTCAGCTCGGTTAAAGTTCATTTGCGAACGTTAACGAGTCGAGCCGAACAATATAAAAAAACTCGTTTCGTTAATGAATGAGCTCAAACTTCGTTGGGAGCTCCGGGAGTAGAAGTCCCGGACTTCCCAAGAATCACTCTTTTATTACAGACAACTGGTGATGAGATATAATAGTGAAATAATATTATTAGCCGACATTAGTTAAAGTCTCCCACTAAAGGATCATCTTCTCCAAGTAGCTCAGATTTCATTCTCCAACTAACCTATCTCTGTATCACCAGAATGTTTTCATTTTTTCACCTTCTTCTTCCTCACCATTCTCAACCTGATTTCTTCACTGCAGATGTTTATCGGGCTTTGTTCATCTGCATCAGATGAATAACAACTGTAAGTTTTTTTTTACTTCCCTTTCAAAATATAGTTAGCAGAAACTAAAGTTCTTTTCTTGATGATGGCAGCTAGGGTTTGTACGAGGAAGGTGATTGCAGTGATGGGTAGATCAACCAGAGGTTTCGAGGACCATTTGAAGGCTGGCCCCAAGAAAGCTCTCAGATTTGGCACTGGAAACTATGTCAGAATTTCGACTTTACATTTCTTCACTGCATTATTCATTATTGGTTCATTGCTCTGTTTTTTCATCATAGTAGGCTGCAGCTATACTTACATTTCTCCATTTTCTGAAACGTTAATTGTGAATAACCTCGTTAGGGCTAATAGGAATAGCCACAATATTAGGGCTACTGATTCTTTGAGCAATGGATGTAATATGTTTGATGGGAGATGGGTTAAGGATGAAAGGAACCCTTTGTACAATGCATCACAGTGTCCATTCTTGGAGCCCGGGTTCGATTGTTTGGCCAATGGTAGGAAGGATGAGGAGTATCTCAAATGGCGATGGAAGCCAAGGGACTGTCAGGTCCCTAGATTTGATGTTCTTGCAGTGTTGGAGTTCCTCCGGGGCAAGAGGGTTGTTTTTGTCGGAGACTCTTTGGGTAGAACTCAGTGGGAGTCGATGGTTTGCATGCTGATGAGCGGTGTTAAGGATAAAAATAGTGTGTATGAAGTCAATGGGAATGCGATCACCAAGCAGATTAGGCATTTGGTGGTTCGATTTAGTGGCTTCAACCTTTCTCTTGAGTTTTATCGCTTGGTTTTTCTAGTACGGCCTGGTGTGAGTCCCAAGCTTTCACCGAAGAGAGTGAAGAAGGTTGTAAAGCTAGACAGGATGGATGGGATTAGTCGGGAATGGATCGATTCTGATATTCTTGTTTTCAATTCAGGACATTGGTGGACGCCGACTAAACTCTTTGATATGTAAGTCGTTACATTTATGATTTATTTGTGAGATGCAACAATTCGATATTCTTGGCATTGTGCGTATGGATTGATTTGGTTGATTCGAGCTTTCTTTAGGTCTAATATGGATTTTTAGACAGGGGTAGGTACTTTGAGTTCGCAGGAAAGATAAAGCTTGGAATGACCATAGACGATGCATTCAAGATTGCGTTATCGACCTGGCAATTGTGGATAGAGAAGGCCGTGAATCCCAACAGGACACGGATCTTCTTCCGGACATTTGAGTCCACTCATTGGAGGTGTGTAACGATATCCGGTAATTTGCTGGCTTGGCATTCTCTACTATTTCTCCAATTTGTCGGAAACTCGATCTTATTTCTTCCTTGATTTCATCAGCACGGGATCCCGTCAGAACTGTAAAGTGACGAGGCTCCCCTCGCCCGAACTCAAAGACAAAAAGAGCAGTGCGATATCGGATGCTATAATCCACACTGTTTATAACACATCGATTCCTATACAACTCTTGCACGTCACACCGATGGGCGCATTCAGAAGCGATGCCCATGTCGGTTCTTGGAGCGACAATCCGTCTGTTCCCGACTGCAGCCATTGGTGCTTGCCAGGAGTCCCCGACATGTGGAACGAGCTCCTCTTCTCGTTTCTGCTCTCCTGACTTCCTAACATGTGAGTTCTTTCCTCCTTCGCCGACTTTTAACCGATTTTTGTTTTCCCTTTTTACCCTCTTGAAGTAGATACTGTTTTTAGAATTGCTGATTTTGATCTGTGGAAACCTTTAGGTTAGTTTAGTTTAGTTTAATGTGGAAAGAGTGTATTCAACTGCAAGAGAAGATGTATTATGTACACCAACACATTTCTTAACATTAGAGTTCAAGTCTTGGTATTCTTACAAGACATTGCAATATATATTCTTTCATGTTAGAAAATACTTACATATATACATGTATGTATATATAAAGGGACAGGACAGGACATTCCTCATTAGATACTTGACCTAATTCTAACCTTTAGTCATTTATCACGATGGACTCTTTGCCATATTTCCCATCCCCTGAAAACCCCACTAGCCACCACCCATTTCCGCCGCCTCCGACGGTGTCTCCACCTCCTCCATTCCACCCAATTCACCCGCCGTCTCCGTCTCCGCCGCCTCCATTCCACCCAATTCACCCGCCGCCGTCTCCCTTCCACCCTATTCCTCCGCCACCATCTGCTCCCGACAACGGCCCGACTGTCATAATAGTGGTGGTCGTTTCGTTCGGGTGTGTTCTCTTCCTCGCCTTGTGTTTCTTTGCTTTATGGTGTGTGATAAAGAGGAGGAAGGAGTGTGTTGAGGAAACGGATGTTATACGGACTGATAAACATGTCCGGGTTAAGGAGGAGATTGTCGAGGGTCCGTGTGGACCGGAGGTGGTCGTGCTCTCCGTGGAAAAGGATGAGCACACCGAAGAAGAGATCGTGAGGAGCAACAAAGTTAAAGTTGGGGGAAAACATTTGCATGAAAAACCCGATCTTGAGACCGGACAATCTTCTACTCCGGTGGCCTCTGAGGACACCTTCGACTGTAAATACTGATAAATTGAAATCAAAATAAGTGATTTGAAGGTGTACATGACTTGTACAGTGGCAGTTTGGTGTACTGATTAAACCAAAATTGAGCTGTAATAACAGCAGTATGAATAACTGGCGATTCATTTCCAGAAAGTGTGAGTACGAGAATCACCAATTCTTTAACATTTATGCTGCTTTGTACATTATAATGATAATTATTGTGCACGTTTCATATAATGCATAATAGCAATGCTCTCTAGAATTCAACCATATTGTGATTGGAGTACAAGAAATATTCTACATTAGGGATACATACATATACATATTATATACTTCCTTTCGGCCCACTTAAATAAAGTTCAAAATAAATTTGTAGTAAATTAATGACTTTACATTATATTGCTCAACTAATCTGTACCGGACGATGATATCAAGTACCCAGGTCAAAAGTGTGTAATGTAAATAGATGATAGAGGTAAACTTTTTTGGTGGCATATCAGATAAAGGGATTCTACAATATTTGTATATTTTATTTGTCTCAATTATAGTCAAATAAGAAGCCATTCAACCAAAGAGAAGTTCAGGACTACAGACAATGAAATATATATATAACTGGAGTTCGCTCAACAGGGGGAGGGGAAAATCCAAATAACTTGCATCTATATTATGCAGCAGCAATTCATTTGTACAAAAACCATGTATCATTCATACAAAAACAAAAAAGCTACCTGCGACAACATACATATAGATATCTGCACATCAGAAAACAAGATTTCAACAAGAAAAAATTACACATACCGACAACATATATATATCAAAACTGACATGCAATTGCAGACAAATAAAACAATATTATTTGAAACAACTAAAATTACGATCTCAATGATTTAAAACACTGCAGTTTCGTCATACAAAATTATCCATCTTTCTAAGCAAGCAGAGGTTCAGGTCACAGGAGGGGAGAGGTGAGACAATGATACGCCAACCTAGTGTACATATCAATCGACAACAAACCCTATTTAAATGCGCAGGACGACTTTATAACTACCTTAGTCAGGCTTATAAATATACAAACTATATTGGTACGTAAAGTAGGCAGCAGTGTTATCGATTCAAAAAAAAAAATAGCCACCAGGCCCCCTTATTCACTTCTCCGCTCCAATGATTCAAGCACACATTACAAATTAAATGGAATGGTACAGGGCTTTACCTTCAATTCCTTGGCTTGGCAACGAGACTAATCCGAAGTATATATGTGGAGAGGAGAGGCCTTGTAAGTTCTTACTGGTGCTTCGAAGGTTACTCCACCAACTGTTATAGAAAAACTGCAACTTATGATGCTTTTATGCGGAAAGATTGCGCCCAGAGGGGATTGATTAAAGGGACAGTGGTCACGTCATGTTTGAACCAGCTTCGCCAATATGTTCATATCCAAGATTTTGACATCTAGTGTGTCATCAATTTTCACAATGCCATCTGTACCGTCAACACCTATGAGTTTCCCAGTAGCACCACGGTGACCCCCACCCATGATCTTAATTTTATCTGTCTTCCTCGGAACCACCACCTCAACTTCACCGGGAAGAGCGGTGACAATTTCACCATTCCCGCTCGATCCAAGAGCAACCTTACATGTGCCATCCTAAAAGATAACAGCACGGATAGTCAGTAGCTCTTCCTATTGACATGGTATACATGCATAATTGGGCCAACAAAAACAAAGTACTGTTCCCATAAAAAGATGATGCCTAGCAAATATAAGAAATTTCTATCATGGTTGATAAGTTAAAGAGAGCAGAAAGTTTTTAACAATATATATTTTAATTATTGGAAGATGCAAGCCATTTTTATAGATTTAAAAAGAAAAGTGTAATCCTCAGAAAATTTACCCATATCAATCAATTTAATATATGACATGAATAGGCCAGCTTCCTGAAGATCCTAATAATGTTTACTCATTTTTAAAGTACTATAAAAGGAGCAGATGTATCAAAAAGATACATACCGGAAGGACTTCTCTTACTACTCCCACAGAATCTTCACCAGGCTTATGCAGATTGACCAATACATCGGGGAGTAACCAAGGTCCTTCATTGTCTGAACCTCCAAAAAAAAAAAAGGCAGCCGTCAGATAACACCATGTTAAAACAACTTTGTGCATATACTCAAATGTAGAGAATCATTGACAGGCATGAAACAAAAAACATTATGCACAAACAGTATGACTGACCGACAACAGGTGACATCATATCCAAACCGCCACTTCCAGGTGTCATAGGTTGCCCACCAGGTGTACCAGGTAAATAAGCTGAACTTGGAGTCATCGGTGGCTGTCCACCAGGTGTGGATGGCAGATAAGGGCTCGGGGCATTTGCTGACAAGGGCGGAAAATGAAAGAGAAGGTTCTATGTTAGAACCGCAATATATAAGCAAAGGTGTGCTCTGATTAGACAACACAAATATAAAATCCAATCACCATAGGTTGCATTATTCTCCCTTGGCGTGCCTGCCTCATTATAATTGCCACTCGGAGTATTTGTCCAACCAGAACCAGGTGTAGGTGCTTCATATGCTCTTGATGGAGGACTTCCTGGCTGGAAAATAACAAGATTTATTGGCAAGAAAAAAATAGGACAGCATCGTATTGAAAACCTAGACCACTCAAAATTACCTGATATTGGGGACTAGTTCCCCACGAACCAGGATTGCCATCCTCCCAGTTGTCCCTGGCATTCACAATAGGACAGTATTCCAAATAAGCATAAAAGAGTACCAAATGAGAACCTTGAAATCCAGAGCAATGATTTATAAGGTAAAATGACGATGGCATTGCCAAGGGTACTTTGGATTTGGACATCAGACAAATTTTGGATCAGATACAGAACTTTAAAAGAAAAATGCTTCCGATGCAAAAGCTAATAATTACCTTGGGGGGCTCATTGGTGTGTATGGATTCCATGCTCGGTCTCGCATGGGCGTCCTCATGCCATCATGAATAGGTGTTGCTGTATAATAGTTATTAGAAGTGCGTGACGCATGATTGGAATGCATACAAAAATTGGCTTGCAACAAGGTAATACATTATTGAAGGTGATAACATACTTGCAGAATCTCTCATAGGAGTCATATACGGATGAAGTGGAGTCCGAGAGGGATGCATTGGGGTTTCACTTCCCATTCCATATCTAGATGTTTCCCTGGCATGATGATATCAGGTTAGAAGCTTTGAAAGAAACTAAAAGATTTAGTAGATAAAAGAAGAAAAACTTAAATACTGACCTAAATGGTGTAGAAACATTGACATTGTCTGAAATATGACTTCGATCAACTGCACAAAAAGCATATGCTGAAATATTAAACTAGAAAACAATAAAATAAAAAAGACTTCACACTATCAGAGAAAGAGGCCTTGCCTGTAACCACCTTCATTTGTGATTCCAACTCAACTCGAACCATGTTACCCTTAACACCTACTACACGGCCCTTGCATCCCTTGTAATGCCCCATGCGAATCTTAACAGAAGCCCTATTTAAAGAATCGTGGCCTCTTCCACCACCATGCCTGCCTCCATTTCTTCCACCGACTGAAAATCCATGTTAATAAATAAGCAAGTCCGAAATAAATACAATCATCCTGAGCTAACATCTAAAATTAATCAATAAAGAACAATTCAAAGCATGATACAGATGACCAGAAAATGCTTTCCCGGGTATGCCAACCCATAAATGAGAAAATTAACTAGAACCTAGTCAGATGACTTACAATTCATAGAGCCACCTCTGTGTGACCTCATGGGAGACTGGGGTATGCGTGGAGAAGTTTTAAGATGAGCAAAGCTCGAGGTCAGTGCATTACCCTGCAGAAATAAAATTAGATGCATGCACTGAAGCAAATTTGGTAAGGAAATTGCACAGGAACATTGAACTCAATTCATACATTTCTATCACCATTTGCTAGCGACCCACCAACCATCAAGCAACTCTCAGCTTTTACACATATAAAACCAGCATGTTCAAGGTGATGACGATCATAAATGAACAGAACTCCTTTGTAGATATGCTCAACAGGTCCTTGCTTTCCCTGTTTAGTGGCACATTCTTAAATATATCAGCAACTGTAACAGACCAGAAACTCATGCTATATCTCAAAACTTCAACAATTAAATTCTAGAGTCAAAATTTGAGACGTAGAACCACACCTTACAAGGACCCTCAACAACTTTTACAATATCTTTCACTGACAAGACGTTCTTGTGTTGATCCTTCGCAGCAATCCTCTTCTCAATCTTGTATTTTATCTCCCTCAACCTTACAAGGGCAACATCAGGTCTCTCAGGAACCCCTTTCAAGACCTGATATCCAATGAAACAGTTTCAGAAGGGCAAGCCAAACAAAAGAGCTAATAAATTCGAATGCTCACCTGGAAAGCTTCGCTCTCCACTCGAATGATCACACCAAAACTATTATCACTGCACATAGATAATTGTATCTTTATTATGATAACATGGAGTAAGAATAAGAAAACTGAAGGTTGAAAACCAAAATAAGAATAAACAAACTTACTCAAGTTGCACAAGATCATGGAGCTCATAATCACCAATACGAGTAATTCCTGATGTCACTTCAGAGCTTTCCACAACATTGTCAGCAAAAACTCGAAGCTGAATTTATCAAATATAGCAACAAAATCAACAGTAGCTCAGTCACATGCACTTCCAAAGTAATTAAGGCAATTGACATACAAGTTCCTTTGTCGTGTCTGAAACTATGTTCACCACATGACCTTCAACAGAAACAACCATTCCAGTTGCACCTTCAGTAGCACCAGACACAACCTTTACATGGTTTCCAGGTTCAAAGTATTTGCAGAGTTCTTTGTCACTGATTGCAAGTGTTTTCTGGCAATTAACAAGTGAAATAAGTTAACTCAGGTTGTCTATTCAGTCAGAAATTCAAATATCATTGTTACTCACAGGAAGGCCTTTTTCACTTGGCTTAATATGCACAGTATCTTCCTCAACCTTTTCCACCCATCCCTTCAAGTTTCTAAGATCACCCTTCACAACTATAACACGATCTCCCTTCATGAAATGGCCTTTCTTTCTGTTTGCAAAAAGTGTAGATAAACTTGACATGTCACCATCCCCTGTTTCACCAGGATGTCTAAACTTTTCAAGTTCATCAAAAGTTGGTTGCACATTCTGTGTAGTGAGTGACTTCAATGAAACATTTTTGAACAAGAAACCATCCTTGAACATCATGCCCTCAATTTTTTCATAATAATCTCCAGTGGCTGGATCTCGCCTGCGCTCTACTCGAATGTGCAGCTCTCTGGATTAAATAAAAGAATGGAGATCACATCACCAAGTGAATCAACATAAGTTTGCAAGAAAAGAAAAAAGGTAACCAGCCACATTACCTAGCCTCATCAATATTCATAAACCGTGCAGGGGGTGTAAATGCCTTCTTCTTTGGAACTTCTCTTCCTTCCTATAACAAAGCCAATGCAACTTGTCACAATAAAAGTCGCATCTTAAAATCATGTGTTATTAACAGTCAGTTTTGTAGTGTACAATTATTCGCTGAAGGATTTCGAGCAACATCAAAACAAAAGTTTTAAGAGCTCCTTAACAGAAATTCAATTTTCTGTTGATTGTTTTCGAGCAAGGAGAAATTCATAAAAGAAGAGAAAATGTTTAGTAGAATCCCAGGAAGGTTATAGATACAAACCAACTTGTTAGCCAGCGCCTGCAAGTCGATCCTTGGAATTAATTTCACAGTTGCTCGCTGTCGCACATTATCAACATCAACGACCTTGCATTGACAAAAAATAACAGGTTAATATGCAGAGAGCTAAATTCCAAAATAAAGGATGAGAGATGAAAATCCTTAGGTACCTTAGCAAGATCTCCTTTATATGTACCAATCTTCATTCTAACCCAGGTATCCCTAGAAATATCAATTGCTTTGCTTTCAACAGAAAGAACATCTGTCATCTCCTTGATTGGAACAAGCATTACTTTGGCTGAAAATATGTTGCGCATGCCCTTAATAGCCTGCAGATAAACCAAAACACACACATTTATTACAAATGAATGGGATAAATTGATTTACATAAAACCTAAAACCTTACAGGAACTAAAGGAGAAAAGCAAAAAAACAAGTAATCAACGCATACCTCTCTAACATGGGCTTCTCTATCTGCTTCGATGTAGACATATCCCTTGAGATGATCGAGGGTAACGACAGAATAAATGTGGATAAGCCCTTTATCAAGGTACTTTTGCATGAGGCAAACTGCAACTTCCCTTTCACGGCCAATCTAAGAATCATAACCACCAAGTCATAATAAGTTTGAATTAGAACTTATAGCATAGGCCCCTTAAATTTTTTTCATACAAGTTCCATGTACTCAAGCATACCGGACATTTCACCATCCACAATTTGGGATCCCGAACAGATGGCAAAAGTGCTTGCTGTTCAACATCTGTTGCCTCATCATCATACTCAAAATTATTGCTCCTCGCTGAATATCTCTCCTGAATCCTTCTCTGCAACTCATCAACATCTTCTTGCTCATCCTCACGAGGAAGTAATGGACGGCGATGAATTCGTCTATCATCCTCATCAGGTATATCAGCCCCAGTGTCAATGAAATCTATATTGATCCAAATAGGACCAGTAGGTTATATTTCAGATACATATACAAACTCAAAACTGCCATAGGGATTGCGCACTGGTAAAACAAAATTGTGCAAAACAAACAAGAACGCAGAAGTAACATTCACTACATGACCTGCTTAATTGCTGCTATTTATGACTTTTAGAATTCTAAAAACTACTAATAAACATTTTGGATACATAATTCTTCTCATAGCCACGCAAGACAACCCCTTACTCAGGACCCAACAATTTACTATTGAATCATGGTTTTTTGTTTTTTTTTTCTGTAATACACAACTGGCATGCAACATATACAAGTTAATTCATTACTAAAACCTACAGCCACATACATTCCATATCAAAACACGAAAAACAGTGAATATAAATGCAGGTAAATGGTATAAAAGAGAGACATAAATTTTACATAAATTGCAAAATGTAATTGATGACATACAATAAAGCCATCCATGTGAACAGAAATTTAATACTAGTAACTTCTCAAAAGGTTACGCATCTCCCTATCTTCTATCAACTTCAACCGTATAATATAAGCCCTCGCCTATCTTAATTTAAAGTTTCCAAAAACAAGATATGAAATCCTAGCACAAAGTTCCTGAAACTCTAGTCATCTGAAAAGAATTATCCATTGGTAAGTTCTTAAAATCTATGAAATGAGTAAGAGCAGAGGCCGAACACCCTGTATGCTCAAGATAACTTCTCTCCTAAGAAAGTAACGCGTACCCTTCTTCCCATCTTCCAGATTTGCGATAACAGTAAGCCGAATAATCTCGAGACTCGAAACCACATAAATCACATAGCGATCATAATTATTAAGTTCAATAAAGAAAATCCCAAAGAAAGCGAACAAATACGACAAAATTATCGCTACGCAAGAGAAAGATCGATAGAACCCTAACCGTCTTCGCCTTCCTCTTCTTCCTCCTCTTCATCGCTATCCACAGCTGCCTCCTCATCAAAGAATTCCGAGGCGGCCTTCCTATGCCGTTTCCCTGTGGCGCGCCCGCCTCCACCCCCACCTCCGTACTCCTCATCATCGTCATCCTCCTCTTCATCATCTTCCTCTGCATAATCATCTATAAAATCCGATCTACTCCTCTTGCGCTTGGTCTTTCCCCCGTCGTCATAGTCATCCTCATCCTCCTCATCGACGCCGTCGTACTCCTCATCCTGGTCCAAGTCGTCCTCCTCGTAGTCACCCCCCCGCCGCGGCATCGCGATTCAGACAGAATTGCTAGGTTTTACTCCCCAAGCGGCGCCCTCCAATCCAAATGCCTCAAGAATTCGCTTGGGAGACCTGCGATTGTGAGAGTGCCGATTGCACTGTTGGTAACAATGAAAGCCCTAGCGGAGGATTTGAGAACGAAAGGGAAATGAACGATATTGAAGAGAGATCGAGGTTTTAACGGCGTTATCGGTGACGGTGACGGGCGACATTCGGCGATATGAGATTGGGCCATGGGCCTAATAATTGGGCCTTAACATTTAACAGAGCCGAATAATTGGGCCTGACGGTCCATTTGCCATTATGCCTAAAAGACGACGTCATTTCGTCCTTCTTCCCTACCGCCCAACTACCGGCGAGATGAGATTGGGCCGTGGGCCTAATAATTGGACCTTAACATTTAACAGAGCCGAATAATTGGACCTGAGGGTCAATTTCTCGTTATGCCTAGAAAAAAAACGATGTCGTTTCGGCCTTCTTCCCTCCCGCCCAACAAGCGGGGAAATGAGGTTGGGCCATGGGCCTAATAATTGGGCCTTAACATTTAACAGAGCCGACTAATTGGGCCTGAGGCTCAATTTTGCCATTATGCCTCGATAAACGACGTCGTTTGGTGGCCCTCCTTCCCACCCGCCCAACTACCGGCGAGATGAGATTTGGTCATGGGCCTAAAAAGTGGACATAATATTTAACGAAACCAATAATTGGGCCTGAGGCCTAATTTCCAGTAGGTCTCGATAAAACGACGCCGTTGTGCCAACCTTTCCTCCTGCCCAAGTACCGGCGAGATGAGATTTGGTCATGGGCCTAATAATAATATTTTTAAAAAGCGAATAATTGGGCCTCAGGCCCAATTAACCATTGTGCTTAATACGACGTCGTTGCGTCTTCCTTCCATCCCGCCCAAGTACCGGCGAGCGTCGCTTCTCACTGGGGCTTTCCACGGTTACCGACGGCGAGCATGAACTCCGGCGGAAAAAGCACTAGATATTTCTCCGCGCATCACCAGAACAACGCCACCTGCACCCGTACACACCAGATCATTGCCCTCGCGTTAATCGTCGTCACTTTCTTTCTCACCAGATTATTTGATCACTCCGTCAGCCCGTGCTCTTCATCCTACCGCAATTCTTTCTCCGATTCGGAGCAATTCAATGGAGCCGGTGGCATTGTTCGTTTTGGGGGCTCCGGCGGGTATGGAACCGAGCTGAGCTTGAAGATCTACGTATATGATAAGGATGAGATTCCGGATTTGAAGCTGCTGATGTACGGACGTGAGGGGAAGATCACTGCAGAGGCTTGCGTGAAAGGCCAGTGGGGAACTCAGGTATTTTTCTTTTTCAACTTCATAAGCTGGGGAGTACTGTGGAATGAAACTGTGGTGGGCTGGTGGCAAGTTGCTTGGTGGTTTGGAATGTAGGAGAAAGTGATATCACATTGAGATTATGATTGTCTGCAAATCGTACTGAAGCTTAAATTGCAAAATGAGTGTACTCGTATAGGAAGACATTTTATATATTTTCCTAATTCAGGTATGGTTTGGAACCCAACTGAACGAATATGCTGGTAGTAAAAGAGGGCAATTTTGAGTTGGGGAAGAAGAAATTAGTGATGAGATGATAACAGCTTGCTATGAGTATCGGTTTAGAACTAACGAGTTTCTTATAATCAAATTGCTAAGGAGTTGCAATCCATGAAACTTGAATTTTAAAGCAGATTTTTGGAAACCAGGAAAAGTGTCTTGTTGAACTGTTTATTGGCTTAGCACAATGTAATGCAAAATTTAAATGGCGAATATGCCTACAAAAATGTTCATGCTGTTGCATATAATAATGGTAATGGCTTGTGTGCCACCTGAATTTCATATGGAGAGTGCCTCCACACACACACCCAGCTCCAACTTTATGAAGAGAGAATATTACATGGTGATTGAGATATAGAATTGGGTTTGTGAAGCATCATCTATTGTTGTGATGAAGAGTCAAGAGACACCGTAATTTCTTTTGAACTGAAAAAGTGGAAGTAATTTAGATCTCTTGGACCTTAGAAACATTCTTAAGAATGTATTGGAAAATTGTGCTCTATAACCTTATAATATACAGGCGTTGTTAGATATCCAATGACAGATGGACCCTGAGTATAGTCTATTGGTCAACGTATCCATTACCTTTTTAGAGGTTGAACTTTCAATCTTGATAATGCATAGTGTTCTGTAACTCAGAACAGTGGTATCAAGCGACAGTTGTACGCTTTTCATTTCATTTTACAACCTGGTATATTTTGTTTGTTACCTGAGGTACCTCATTTTTCGTCCCATGTAGGTTAAAATTCATCAGTTGCTCTTACAATCAACATTTCGAACTCAAAAGAAAGAAGAAGCAGACCTTTTTTTTGTGCCATCTTATGTCAAATGTGTGCGAATGATGGGTGGATTGAATGATAAAGAAATCAACCAAACTTATGTCAAGGTAGTGTATTTTTTATTCAATTTGTGTTTATGGAAGTGGTTTTATCAATACAGTTTCAATTTAAATTAGCACTGTATGGTTTCAGGTTCTGAGTCAAATGCCATATTTTCGATTATCTGGTGGCCGAAACCATATTTTTGTCTTTCCAAGGTATGATGATCTGGATTAGGTTCTTGTCCGTTCCTTGTAGAATACAGTTTGAAAGTGGTTCGCATCACTTAATGGCACTAGCACCATCTTCCAGGCTTAATAATGCATTCATATCATTTATTCACCTTTTTCACTTGGAAACATAAAAACTCTGGTGAACAAGTTCTTTGTTATATAACTTTCTCCGTATCCTGGAACATAATAAGACTGAAAGCTCAAGGCTCTAAACCCTAAAAGAAAATACAACTTATTACTTGCTAGGTTTCTGATTCATATCATCAGTGTGATAAACCAAGGTGAAATCAATTACTTATCTTGGACTAGTGCATTGCAGTGGTGCTGGAGCACATTTGTTCAAGTCATGGGCAACATTTATAAATCGTTCTATAATACTGACTCCTGAGGTATGTTTTCTTCAAAGATGGTTTTGCATTTGATTCTGATGTATAGCAGCACTCAAGCTTTGGGCTTTATTTCTCTATGTTTTGTTCTAGTACATATACATTACAAATCATTAGATTACAGGCTTATGCCTGTTTAAATGCTACATTGCTAAAGCCATACTGCTGATCATGTTAATTCATTCCCGACTGTAAGGATTTCCTGTTATTTATGGCAGTCACGACATTCCACTAGGATTTGATTTGTTTTTTAGCATTTTCAATAATCGTGTGCTCTGTCACCAAACCCAATACTTTCACTTTGTTGTCATCTCAACTACACATTTTCCTGATAATGTTTTTATGTGAACAATATCTGGGTTTGTTTACTACTGTCTTGTTTTTTCATGGAAAATAAGTGTTATGATGTGTGATTTTTTTCTTAAGAAATGCAGAATTGAATAGTATAAATGGGAAAAAATCACAGTAAACAAACCTTATGTTTTTTAATAACAAAATGTAGGGGGACCGGACGGATAAACGAGACACCAGTGCCTTTAATACATGGAAAGACATCATCATACCCGGCCATGTTGATGATGGGATGACCATGCACAAGCCTAGCTTTGTTGATCCTTTGCCTTTATCAAGGAGGAAACATTTGGCTAATTATCTGGGTCGAGCGCAAGGAAAAGCTGGCCGGCTGCAACTGATAGATCTCGCCAAAAAATTCCCGGATAAGGTACATCGTTCGTTTCTCAATAGCAATATGCATTTTAGGTTCAAAACTTTCAAAGAGGATAATAGCTTGAAATTTTAGTATTTTATTTTAACAGGAGGGACGAAAATTCCTTCCATAAGGAAATTAGTTGCAGATACAATATTATATTGAATTTCACAATCCGCGGAAACCAGAACCTCAAAAGAATTGTGAAGAACAAAATTCAGTTTGTTTAGTATCAAACTTCGAATATAGTTGACTAAGCATCGGCACACTTACCTTAATTGGCCTGCATTTCTGATTTAGAATTTTAGTGATCAGTGGACAATCCCATGTATCATCTTACTTGTGAAAATGGGAAGAAGGCAGTTTTGTTACCTCCAAATCTTTCATAATTTCAGATTGTGATTGTAATCCGTCAGGCTCTGTTATTAGAATGATGCGTGCCAACAACATGAGTACGGAACCATATGTACATGCAATTTTATATAGTTGGCATAACCAATTTCTGTGTTCTTGGCCTATGTAACAATCTCCTCCAAAAGATGTGCATGTTGATTCTGTTTACAGTTGGAATGTCCAGAGTTGAAATTCAGTGGCTCTGAGAAACTTGGGAGGAAAGAATATTTTCAGCATCTTCGCAATGCTAAATTCTGCCTGGCACCACGCGGGGAGTCCTCATGGACACTTCGCTTTTATGAAGCATTCTTTGTGGTCTGTTTGTTTCCTGTAGCTCTGTTGTTTATATGATCTTTTGAAAATAAAATGAAAAATGCAACTACAATCCACTGATCAATTCACTTTTGTTTCCCTTTGCTGAGCAGGAATGTGTTCCGGTTGTTTTGTCGGATCAAGTGGAGTTGCCATTTCAGGATGTTGTCGACTACACCCAAGTTTCAATCAAATGGCCATCCTCTCGGATAGGCACACAACTTCTAGATTACTTAGAATCCATTCCAGGTCATACGAGCTGACTCGTTCATCCAAATCTTTTCTTCATTATCATGGTCAAGGGTTGAACAATTTTTGCCTTTTCTCACAGATAAATCCATAGAGGAGATGATCGCCAAGGGTAGGCAAGTGAGGTGCTTGTGGGTGTACTCTCCCGAGTCTGAACCCTGCTCTGCTTTCCGAGGAATTTTGTGGGAACTTCAGAAGAAAGTGAGGCGATTCCATCAATCAGCGGAGACATTCTGGCTGCATAATGGATCAATTGTGAACCGTGATTTGATAGAGTTCAGCAAATGGAAACCACCCATGCCTCTACCTTAGCATCGCCTGGCCACATTACCTCCGGTTCGTGTTTCCTCTTCTTTACACATTACTAACATTCGTTTTCCATTTTGCAATTTTCGAGTTCTCATTGAGCTTTATGTCATACTTATTTTATTGAAAAAAAAAAATGATAGAGAAGTGAAATGACCTCTAAAACTGTATGCTTTTGTATATATAGTAAATCAAAATGTTCAATTCCTCTTCTGCTTTTTTTATCAAATTCTGCTTCATATATAATGTGTATATGTAAATGGTGATGCTATTATTTGTCGTCTCATATTTCTTACTTCTTTCTTACACTCAACTCCAATTAAACAAATAAGATTATGGGATCTATCTTACACTAGTGTAAAATATTGTTCTTGCTTCATGTTTCTTATATTCATCATTAAATAACAACAAAAGGCATCAGGCTAACCTTGTCTGCACTCCTTATCGTGACTGCATTAAAGCCGCGTTTGGTTCTTTTTCAACTTTACTGCGCATGATTAATAACTAACATGTTTTGATGCCAAACAGCCCCTTAACACTGATCTTTAATCCAATGAAGGAGCACGCACCTACACATAGAAGCATGACAATGAAACTGCATTGTCATTTTCAATCAACAAGAAAAAAAAAAAAAAAAGAAAAGAAAGAAGAGTGACAGATTGGGCAAAGGCTCTTTACGTGATTAAATATTTGATTGGCTTTGTAGTGAAAATGGTAATTTTGACTCACTTCCCAGTTGGTGTACATTGCTGTTGATCTTGACTGACAATAGCAATCTTCATTCCCCCTTTTCCTAATTCTGCTTAGGTAATCATCATGTTGCTGATAGAGATGTTGTATTTCATTAGAGCCCTTGATGGATTAATCACAAGTTAATAATATCCAATTGCTTAATATGTTGGAACACATCCAACTCGCTGCAGCGGGACGGATACTTTTTGAATCTAATGTTGGCCTCTTATATCCCCACAGCACATTTGATCTAACATGATTTGCACATTAGAAAAACTTCCTAAATGGCCACACATCCTAAAATCGATATTGAACAAATACACTTGACCTAAAACTTGCTATTTAAAACTTACATGTGTGTGTGTGCACGCGCACTTTTCGTTGGGTACCAATCTATTGAATCTCTTCGAGAAGGTAGAACCTCATGATCTAAAGGATTGTAGAATAGTAGATAGCTATTGAGTAAAGGACTTGGAGATTAGATTGTAGAATACGGTAATATAGGCTCTCCTTAGATAAGACTTCAGAGTTTTAGAAATAGTAAAATGTTGAGTATATGATGTGATATAAATACGTATTGGATATGATATTTTCTTGATAGAAAATAGATTATTTAATATAATATTTGAAATCAAAATACGTATTTGAGAATCAAAGTTTCTAAAAGTGTGTGTAAATAGAACCATGATATTTATGAGGCTGGGGAGTATCTTGAGGAAAGTTAGGATATATAATCTTCGATACTTCAGATAAACTTGAACTAAATAGTATTATGAATAGACACCTAAATCATTGTAAGATGTTACGCAGTAGAATGTATGTGTGTGTATATGCATGTGGTGAGAAATGAGTATGTGTTAAAGATGATGTTGGATGAAAATGCAGTGCACATTGAGAGGGATTAGTGAAAGCCCCTTTCGTTTTCAAAATCTGAAAACTGCACTTAATGTGGGAAAAGGGTAGGAGAGTTGGGGAGGGGGGGTGGGGGGGTTCCCCAATAGTAGAGGGTTGGGTTGGGTTGGGTGGCTTTCTTGTTCCATTTTAGGACAAGTTCAAGGCATGCCATGGCTGCTCTCTATCCTCTGCCTCACATTTCTAAGCTCTCCTTGCGACAACACTGAAAAGGGTGATAGGATCACATATACGTATTTGTTTATATTTGTATATAATTATGATGCACCAAATTTTGTCTAATTCTTAGCTACTGTTGTTGTTGTGGTGCATGTACTTGTTTTGTAATAATACACTCCAGTGCAACTAATGGTTTGGAAGCCATTGTCTTTTCTTTTCTTTTTTCTTTTTCCTTTTTTTTTTATAATAGCATGGGAATTCGCAGCCCCTACCCGAAAGTGCGCACCGGATAAACTCCGGCCAAACCTAATACCCTGCAAATCGACTGGAAAGTAACACTAGACGAACTATGTGTGGTAGGTGACTGCGAAAGAATATTCTTTGCTTGAAAAGAGATAATATTCTTGTTAGATGTTGTAATGTTTTTTGTGATTGTGAGTTAATGTTTTTATTTGGATAAAGAATATAGATTTTAGATTTGGGTTACGGGCAACGAGGCACAATCGACTTATAGCTGGACAAGGGTGACAACTGCTTAGGATTTATAACTAAAAAAAACTATATTTTAGAATATTAGTATATTATTATTATATTTTATTTTTAGTTTATTTTTTTTTTTCATAATTATCTAATTTTAAAATTAAATTTTAAATTTTAATCATATATTTTTCTTATTTCTTCTTTTTAATTATGTTACACTCTATCTTTTTAAATTCAACCGATCCTACACTTCCTCCCTTGGTGCCTTGTCGCCTACATACTCACCCACCTAGACCATCGTCCACATTTCATCTTTTTCTTTTAAATCGATACCATAAAATCGTTGTCTTCAATTTCTTATTCAGTCGACACCAATGTTGTGATATTATTTTTAAAATACATTTTTATAGGATCTACAATTTATTTTTGTTCATGGCTTCGAAAAAATTCGAAATGACCCTGTTAAGAGGAATAGTATGTCAGAATGAACAATTGTTAAATCCAGTAAAATCAGCACGATGCTTATCCTAATTAAAACTATTTTTATTTATTATGCTACGTTTAATCTTGTGTTTAAGTATTAGTATAGTATGTATTTTTATCATGTGCTAATTAGGGAATGTTATTTTGGGTATATTATTCGCATGCAATGAAATTATTATGTAAAAAATATATTTTATGCCTATTTTTAACTATTCAAAAAATGGTCTAGAATATTTAGAATATAACATATTATATAGACGTATTTATAAATATGTTTTATCGTTACTTGTAGACTTTGTCGTTACTTTTTGTATAAGAAGCACTATAAAAATATATTTTGAATATATTATTGATATTTTATTGTTATTATGGTTACATATCATAAAGGTGTCATTGAGTTTGTTTGATTAATTTTAAATAAAGTGTTTGTTTGAATTTATATTTAAATATATCTTCTCATAATACTTTATAAAAAATATATATATATATATTGAAAATCAATTTGAAAAATTTAAGAATAAATAAATAAATGGAGATCATTATTAAATTTGGTGAATTTAAGGTCCAACCTATGCAATTAATTTCCCTACAATAATATAGGCTTTGCTTTCAGTTAAACATTCAATACTTATACCGTCCTCAATTTTTAAATGAAAATGCTTCCTTATTCGCAATTATTCAATTAATTTATATATTCTAATTGCATACATTTTGTTATTTTATGTCTTTAAAATATATCGCATCATGTTACTTCATTCTATTATTTTTATTTATTTAATTTTAAATTATATATATTCATTTATTTTTATTTTTTGAATTTTTAATCATTTGGTAAAATGCCACTACTGTGTCGTCTCGCCACAGAGGATAAGTCGCAAAGACGGAACTGGGCCGGTGCAGTAACAAAAAGCGACTTTAAAACAAAATCGCTAACAGCCAACAGCGACTTTGCATGTAATTGTATCGGGAGAAGTTCCCCGCCATAGTACCTGAGCCAAGAGTAACTTCTCTAAGCAGACCCCTCCTCGGACTCCAACTCCAAACAAATCAAAACCGTCTATTTCAAGGGGCCCACTTCATCAACGGCACAAATTCATCTGCCCCAAGCCAGCCGGGACCCACTCCCACAAACGCATTCATTACACACCAGCAAGCAGAACGTCATCCTGAGATTTTAACCCACAGACAATTAAACCCAATACTTACATATACATACATACATAAATATATATATATATATAGAGAGAGAGAGAGAGAGAGAGGAAAGGACACAGTTTTCATTACCCATGAAGCTGATGAAGATAAGGACGTAATCTGCTTCATTGATTACCGAATAAATGTATACATACATTACATATATCTATATATATAAATAATTTATTTTTATGTATTTTATTTTTATTTTTGGAGGGTTCTTTATAAAGCAGGCATCACCAACACCGCTTTCTCATCTTCATCTTCTTCTTCCTCATTTTCTGTAATTTATTGCTGTTGCAGATTAGGGTTTTCTTCAATACCTCAGGCAGCCATGAGTAAAGGAAGGATCTTGCACATAGTTTTCGGAGTTTTTGGTGTGTATACTTTTAATTAATTAATTAATCAATTCTACAGCTTCTTCTTCTTCTCCTTCTTCTTCTTCTTCTTCATCAATCAATTCTTCATTTTTCTGCAGGCAATGCTACTGGTCTGTTCCTCTTCCTCTCTCCAGCGTAAGCTCTTCAAACCCTTAATTATAATTCCTAGAGAGAGAGAGTGTGTGTGTGTGTGTGTGAGGAGAGAGAAACTAACATCTTTTTGGATAATAGGGTGACATTCAAGAGAATCCTCAGCAAAAAATCGACTGAGCAATTCTCAGGGATACCCTACGTGATGACTTTGCTCAACTGCCTCCTCTCCACCTGGTAGAAAAAAAAATCATGAATAAAAATCGAATCTTTAATTTTAAGTTACTTTAATGGCGACATATATGTATATGTATGTATAGGTATGGTCTGCCATTCATATCGCCAAACAACTACCTGGTTTCGATTATCAATGGAATAGGGTCTGGGATCGAAGCAGTTTATGTAATGATATTTCTGATTTACGCCCCGAAGAAGGAGAAGGCGAAGATCTTCGCCCTTCTGGTTCTGATCCTCACCATATTCAGCGCCATAGCTTTGATCTCAATGCTCGTCTTCCATGGCAGCCCTAAGAAGAAGCAGTCCATTTGTGGCTACGCCGCCATGATCTTCTCCATTTTGATGTACGCCTCTCCTCTCTCCATCATGGTAAGAAATATTTAAGAAGAATCAATCGATTTCGGATTATCGAAAGAATCGAAATTTGTCAAAAAAATTGAAATCTGAGTTGCAGAGAATGGTGATAAAGACGAAGAGTGTGGAGTACATGCCATTTCTGCTGTCACTGTTCGTGTTCCTCTGTGGAACTTCTTGGTTCATCTATGGCCTCATTGGCATGGACAAGTTCCTCTACGTACGACGTCGTTTTAGTCTCTTTCTTACCCCTTTTTCTCACTCTAGATTTGACTGTGAATTAATTTATTGATAACTGATTCTCAGATCAACAATGGATTCGGGTGTTTTCTGGGGATGATGCAGCTCATTCTCTACGCAATTTACTGCAAGAAAGATGGCGATGATTTTAAGAAAAAAGGTGTGGAGGTAGAAGACGACGACGTTAATGGCGATGGAGATGGGTCTGCAACCGCCATGGAAATGGGCACTGCAACTAAGCCCATTCACAGTAACATAAAGTAGATTGGCTTTTTTTATTTTTATTTTTATTTTTATTTTTTTAATGGAAATTTTCTACTGTTGATTCTTGCTATTGCAATTTGCAAGTGTAAATTAAATTATCAGGGCCCATCTTTTACAGTTTCCTTAAATAATTCTGATGATGGGCCTTAGGCCCAAATTATTGCTTTTCTTAGCACCCAACTTGTGGAAGTAAATCCGATCCGATTCCGCCCCGTTTGATTTTAAGTTAAATAGATAATCGTTATGTTGTAGTAGATTGGATCGGATCGAATCGGCTAGGCCCGGATCAATTATATTCGAAGTTGTCTCGATAGGCTTTTGGCCCGCTATTGTGGTGGGCCAATGGCTATGTTATATTTTTTCATTTTCGATCGAAATTTTTGAAATTTTTATTTTTATTTTTAAATAAATAAGATATTTTTATAAAAAAATAAATATTTAATTTAATATTTTTTTTAAATGACGAATAATATCAAAAAATTGAAAAATATTAAATATACCCAAACTGCATGTGATTGGATATTTATATATGTGTGTAAACATATATTCGCAATGAATTGTGATTATTATGTAATAAATATATACTTTCAAGTTGTGTCACGCCTAACAAATATATATATATATATATATATTCATAAATGGTTTTAGAAGACGTTTTCAACAACTATTAATTAAATATAAGAATATATTTATATATTTTTTATTTAAATAATTAAAATGATAAATAATACTCCCTCTGTCCCACATAATTTGTCCCTATTTTCTATTTTCGTCCGTCCCACATAACTTGTCCTTTCTATTTTTTGAAAATATAATTATGTATTTAATCGCATTTTAAATTTTAAATTTTATAATTTTCTTAATTTTAATTAAACTATTTACTTATCTTAATCTTAATCTATAATTATTTTTATTAATACACATTTTAATTACTTACTAATTATATTTTACATAAATTCTCGTGTCTACAGTAATACACCTATATTACATGGGACGGAGGGAGTATCACATACAAGACTAAATATATATTCATTCATAAATGGTTTTAGAAGTTATCATACTTATTTTATTTTATTTTTGTAAAAAAAGGCATTATAATGATAGAATCTAGACGATGGCTTGTGTTAATTGTGTGTACATATATTATCATTACTAATCCCGAATTATCTATTGAATGTATCCTTTTATGATTCTATTTTATTTTATTTTTCTATTCAAATATCCATTTAAAACTAATCAAATTTAATAAATACTCCCTCCATTTTCTAATTACCGGACATAAAAATTTAAGATAAATATAATTAGTAAATAATTAAAAATATTAGAAAAATTTTTTATTGTCTAATACAAATAATTATAAAATTAAAATTAAGATAACTAAATAATTCTATTAAAATTAAAAATTATGAATTATGAAATTTTAAATATGACTAAAGTATATAATTATTTTTAAAAAATAGACAAATAATATGAAACCGGCGAAAAAAAATATATTTTATATAAAATCGACGAAAATAAATAAAAAATAAATAAATATTTTATGTAAAACGAACAGAAGTATATTCATACATAATACTCCTTCCGTCCCACCTACCATGTCCACATTGTCATTTATGTCCGTCCCTCGTCCCATGTTATTTTCTTTTTTTAAAAATGATTATACACTTTAATCTCATTTTAAATTTTTTAATTTTAATCAAACTAATTAATTATTTTAACCTTAATATATAATTATTTATATTATAAGATAATTATTTTTACTAATACATACATTCTTAATTATTTATTAATTATATTTGTCATAAATTCTCGTATCTATAGTGACTCAGACATCCAACGTGGGACGGAGGAAATATTACATTTGACGACCACGTGCTAAATACTTTAAAATAAATTGTAACAAAAGTGAATATACCTTATTAAAAATATACCTATCGTCAAGATTTGTCTCACCGCTGCAATAAATTTATATAACAACTTTTTATAATATAATATACTCAGATAATAATAATAGTTGTAGTAGTATTTTAATTTTAATTATTACCTGGTGCTCATGGCACTTCACTGTCTTATCAAACGCACATCACCTTAACCTTATCGTGTATTAATATTAACTTTGCAATTGGCAGTGATTAAAATATTATACTTGTTCCGTCCGATGATCCTTTTGTTAGGGAGACAGTATTTTAAATAGTGTAGGTTATTAAGTTATTAATAATAAGTTACGATAATATTTTATTATTTTTTATATGTGTAGTGTTATTTGTATTTTAAATATTTTTAAAATTATATTTCAATAAAATATATGCAATATAGATATCATTTTGTAGACAATAAAATTTTATATAATACAAATGAATAAATATATATATATATATATTTATTATTACCATAATTAGTTTTATAAAAAATGAGGAATTTTAAAGGTAGATAAAAATATTTGAATGGGTCCTACGTGTAAGATGTTAGAAGTTTAATTAAATTGATTTATATTTTTTAAGTATGTTTAAAATTGATAAATTTACCAAGAATAAAAAGGGATCATCTTTTGTGGGACATACCAAAAAGAAAATAGGGTCATCTGTGGCGGAACGGATGAAGTATTATATTGATATCTATTTATTTGTGCATGTATATAATTTAATAATTTTATACATATATATATATATTTAAAAAGATCATATTTAATATTTGTTTTTATTTAAAACACCATATTTAATTATTATTTCATTTCAAAACTAATAAAATCAAATAAATAAAGAATAAATAAAACAAGCTTGAGTAAACAAAGTAACAAACCCTAGCTAAATTATCAAAAGCATGCCATGCATGCACATGACTTTACACGTGATATCAACCTAATCTATTACACATCACTTCTCAGACTTAGTACGCAAATTATTAAATTTGACCAAAAATTTATTCAAAATACATTCGAAAAGTAGCAATTATGAATTTTCATATTATCAATATATATTTTTTCATATCAGATGGTCGTGCTAATTGCAATAATACTATCAAAATAACATGTTATATCATATCTCGAATAATCATCTTCGCCCAAGTAAAAAAATGGTAAGAAAACTAAAGCGCAATAAATGCGCGCGCCGTAGAACCCTTGTCATGAGGGCAATGCAATGCATGCAAGTTTGACACTCACTCGGCCGAAGCTACCTTCAATGCTTCTATTAATTCCTTTGTTCTTTCTCGATTGCGATTGCACACACAATTGTGTATATATATATATATATATATATTACTATATTTTCATGCTTGAGAGATCGTTGAAGTTGTAGCGACGAATATTATGCAATCGACAAGTTGGTTACGTATATTTCAATGCTTGGTTGAAATTTTGTTTTCAATAAATTCGAAAACATGCGGTGGATAATAATTATATCTTTTGACTAATTAAATTGATTACTTATAAGAAAGGACTCCTAGTACTCGCTCGACTTCTAGGTTTTGCGCGATTTTTGGACCCGAATAATAATAGTAATAATGATCATATGATTGAAACAAAGCAATAAAGATAGATAATAATTTCTAAAATTAATCAAATGCAAAATGAACCATTCTTGGATGGCTACAAATATTTTAAATTATGGGAAAGTTTAATTTGGTAAATTAATAATCAATGAAAGTAGCCATATCTTAATATATATATATATATATATTCCAACATGGGACAATTTTTATTTTTTGCATAATATTATAACTTCTTTAAAAAAATTTTTAAAAAAAACCTACAATATAAAATAATTACGTAAATTACATCTTTGTTCAAGGAAAATATTTTAAATTTTTATTTTATATATTTAAGTTAAAACGCAAGGGTGCAAAACCATGTGGGGATTTGTGGCAGATGCTCCCAACCCCAAATTTTTATTTATTTATTTTTTATAGTAAAATTAAAATTTTATGTAATTATATTTAATTGTCCCCGTTCTCAACTTTTTTTTTTTTTTTTTTTTTATGTAAACTTAATAAATATATGTACATATATAGTTATTACTCTCTCCGTCTCACCTACTATGTCTACATTTCCGTTTCAGTCCGTCCCATGTCCTATGTAACTTTCATTTTCTGAAAAAATTGATTATATACTTTAATGTCATTTTAAATTTTCTAATGTAATTTTTTTTTATTTTAATTAAACTAATTAGTTATCTTAATTTTAATTTATAATTATTTATATTATAAGATAGTTATTTTCACTAATACATTCTTAATTATCTACTAATTATACTTATCCTAAATTCTTGTGTCTACAGTGACCCAGACATCCAACGTGGGATGGAGGGAGTATTTATTATCTCAACCTCTACCTCTACCTCTATTCCTTTCCTTCTCCTTCACGGCTTGCATTGTGTCAAAGTCGAATAGAATAAAATAGTGTCGAATCAATAAAAGTAAACTAACATTTTGTCCCAAAGAGTCTAAAAGTTGGTTCCATATCTGAACATTAAGAATGTATAAGAATTAAAAACGATCAAGTAAACTAAATCTATGTTTGGTAAGTTAATTTATCAACCATCGCTTCGATTTAGCTAAAATTGATACTTAAATTATTTAGATTTGCTATATAATATAGATATCCTTCCAACAGAATATAATAATACAATAAACAACTTATATTATGACGGTACGTGATAATATAATACTATATTACAATATATTCTTAATTATCAGCAAAATAAATATAATATATATGCAATACAATACAATAAAATAAATTATACAACAAGTGTTTCGATGTAGTACAATATATAAAATCATACATTAATCTTTTATTTAAATTACAAATATATAATTACTTGATACATAAAATCAAAAAAACAAAAATATCAAAAATTCTTACACACTTTCATTAACTAATAAAATATTATTATTTTTTAATTTACTATAAAACTGAAAATGCTGCTTTGATTTGGAACGGAAGAAATATATAATAGTTTGGCATTCATCGAAAAAAATGCATTCAATTCTATCAAACTATTTTGGGTATGTTTACTTTAATAATTATAACACGACAATTAATTCATTCATGGAAACAAACATATTATTTCTACATTACAATTACATGTTTTTTTTTTTTTTTTTTACTTAATGATGGTGTCTATTACTTAATTTGTGTTCTTTTTGTCAAAAATATCAAATACATCTCTAAAAAAATTAAGGCATTACATATATTTATTATTTCTATATGATTTATAATTTTTTTATAATTCACATAAAAAAAAAAATCTTTCAAATAAATACACAAATAAGCATAAGCTAGTGTTAAATCCTAATTAATTATATTAGATTCAACATTATAAGTCTCGTAAGGAATGACCGAGTGGTGTCGGAGTTAAATTTGTGACCGTGAGATCATAAAAAAAAAAAAAACAGTAAAGATTAGAGTATAACATATGTATGTTTATAAGATTTGAGTTTTGATTTAAATTATCAATAATAAGTGTGTGCCTAAATCATTACTATTCATCCGCATTGCTCTAATAAAAATATATATTTTTTATTCAATTAAAAAGTATATAGTTATTTTTCTTCATTATACTTAATATTAAAAATATTTTTATAATTTATTATATTTGTATTATAAGATGCTACTAAAGATATTTTGTCATTTTTTTTATTTATTTGTATTATATTTTGATATAATATTCAAATATCAACATTAAAAAAATAACCATGTACTTTTTGGCCGAACAAAATAAGTAGTAGTCACTCTGTCCCTTAACAATTTATTAATTTTTTTATTTTGGTTTGTCCCATAATAAAATACTATTTATCTAACGTTACAAATAGTCTTTTATTTTACAATATATTATACAAATATTATTACTTTTATATTATACAATAATAGTAAGGTTAATCTAGTCTTTTTACATTTATTTTTATACCAAGTCTTGATATAATATTAATATTTCTAAAATTTCGTCCAAAAAATAAATGAATACATAGATTTGTAAGGGATGGAGTATTATTTTATCTTACAATGTCATATCAAATTATCATTTAAATTAAATTCAAACCAAACCAAACCAAACAAACTCAACAAAATTTTAAAATTATAATAATTGTGTGATAAAAATTTTAAAATTATAATAATTGTGTGGTTGTATATTCTAATGTCATTGCTACCGAAAACAATTGAACTTAGATACATATATCTACAAAACAAAATTTACCATTTGCTTGTCAATAACTCAAACCTCAACCAGAATGTAATGAACAAAACAACAATAAATAAATGCACATGGAAGGAGGACTCGAGAGATCAATTTAAATTCGAATTTTTTTTTTTTTTTTTTAATGACAGAAGAAGATATGATGATGGAAGCAATCAGAGCCTTTACTGCAGTAAAAAAGAAATTACCTTTACGTCTCTTTCCTCGTAAACAAACTTCCCTCTCTCTCTCATTCTCTCTCTATATATGTAGCACATAGTGCAGGCACAAACCATTGTTAAAACAGAAGAATCGTGAAGAAAAGGAAGAAGGGGGAAAATATAGAAGTTTTGGAATTCCTCCTTTATTCTGATTTAGGGTTTTTTTTAGTTTTGTTTTCTTGAAGTCGATTTTAACTGCTGCTGTGTTTTTGAGGAAATGGAGAATACTCTACACTTCGTCTTCGGAATTTTTGGTGAGCTTTATTTTATTCTCTTTTGTTATTTTAAAAAATTATCGTCTGGTTTCTTGCTTCATTGTTTACATTCTGTTGTTGTTTACAGGAAATGTTTCTGCTCTGTTTCTTTTCTTGGCGCCAGTGTAAGTTCTTCTATTTATTTTCAAGAAATGCTATTATATATATATATATTTGGAAATTTGATGATGAATGATGGCTATGGCTGTATTGAGAAAGAAGACGACATTCCTTTTCTTCCATGTGGCTTTGAACATTCTTGAAAAGGAATGGATCAAATCAAATCGATCTTTTCTTGAAATTAACCATTTTCTTGGTTTGTTTTTAATTGAAATTGAAATTGAATTGATTGTAGGATTACTTTCAAAAGAATTGTGATGAACAGATCGACAGAACAGTTCTCTGGAATCCCATATGTCATGACTTTGCTCAACTGCTTGTTGTCTGCTTGGTCAGTGATTCATTGATCTGTTCTTCCAATTTTGTAATACATCTCTCTTCTTGTTCTTGTTCTTGTCTGATTTTATGTTTTTTTTTTTTTTTTTTTCTTTTCCTGTTTGGTTGTAGGTATGGAATGCCTTTTGTGTCACCGAATAATGTCCTTGTGTCGACAATTAATGGGACTGGAGCTGCGATTGAGATCATCTACGTGATGATCTTTCTCGTGTTTGCGCCAAGGAAGGAGAAGGGGAAGATTCTCGGACTGCTAAGTCTTGTTCTTGCTGTTTTCGCCATTGTTGTATTCGTTTCCCTCTTCGCCCTCCATGGAAATGGCCGCAAGTTTTTCTGCGGCCTTGCTGCAACCATCTTCTCCATTGTTATGTACGGCTCGCCTTTGACAATCATTGTGCGTTTACTATCCTTTTCCATGGAAATTAGAGTTGTTTGTGTTTTGGTTTGTTGATTTTGTCTAACATTGTTGAGCGCTTGCAGAGGACGGTGATCAAAACAAAGAGCGTCGAATTCATGCCATTTTTCTTGTCCTTGTTCGTGTTCTTCTGCGGCACGTCGTGGTTTATCTTTGGCCTACTTGGGAAGGACCCTTTTGTTGCCGTAAGTATATGTGTAAAATTGCGATCTTTTTGCTCGATTGGCTATGGATTTAGTAACTCGACATAAGTATAAAATTGAGATCTTTTATGGCTTTTTGCATCTTGATATAAGCACAAATTTGTGATCTTTAGTTTTACGACGCGATGGTTATGACTTTTATAGCTCAATATAAGTATAAAATTTAGATCTTTAGTTTCGTCACGCAATGGCTATGGCTTTAGTAACTCGATATGCGTATAAAAAATTGCGATCTTTTATTTTGCGTGTGACGGATATGGCTTTTGTAAATTGGTATAAATACAAATATGCTATCTTTAGTGTTACGACGCGATGATTATGGCTTTTATAGCTCGATATAAGTATAAAATTGCTATTTTTAGTTTTGTCGCGCAATGGCTATGGTTTTTTGTAACTCAATTTAAGTATAAAAAATTGCGATCTTTTAAATTGCACGCGATGTCTATGGCTTTTGTAACTTGATATAAGTACAAATTTGTGATCTTTAGTATTACGACGCGATGGTTATGACTTTTATAGCTCAATATAAGTATAAAAATGCGATCTTTAGTTTTGCGCAATGGGCTATGGCTTTTGTAACTTGATTTAAATTTCGATGGTTTGTTGAATTAGATTCCAAATGGATTTGGATGCGGATTAGGCACGGTGCAGCTGATACTATACGCGATATACCACAAGAACAAGGGACAAGCGAAGAAATCGTCGCCGGACGAGTCGATGGAGATCGAGGCGAGCAATGGGAAGTCTCATCAAGACAAGCTATCCATGCAAGACGAGCAAGTCTAGTTGAGACAGTGGCGATGACGACGACGGCGGCGACGAGGCTTTGGATATGCTGTCTCTATATAGAGTTCCTACTTATTAGGAATGGTGTCTTGTTTCTTATAATCATCCTTTGTTTTTTTTTTTTTGTTTTCTGTATGTCGATGAATTCTCAATGTATTGGTTTTGGCTTGTCATGAAGATCGTGGCTTGTTTGATCGATGATTATATGGTTTTTTGTTTGTTTGTTTTGTTGCGAAGATGAGGCCAATTTGTGGTGTCGATTAGTGCTGTTGAGGAACTGAATTTGTCGTCGTCGTCTTCCATGGCTGTCGGCTTCTGCCGGCGTCGGAATTAGTGTTTTTCCTGGGAAATTGTGGTCTGCATTTGATATTTTAAATTGTGGAGGGAAATTGAGGGGAAGGGAGAATCTGAAATGGGGATTTGGTGGTGTGGAAGATAGGATTTTTTGAGCGAGTATGAATATCCGTCCGCCATTGTTGGTTGAGCAGAGCTGCTGTTTCATTGGGACGACGTCGTTTCGATGTGGTGAATTGGGGCTGAAACTTTGTCGCCTTCTAGGGTTTGTTATATGTGAAATAACTATTTTAAACTAAAATTAATATTCTTTTTTTTATTTGGAATTATTGTCTTCTTTTTATTTTTATACATAAAATTTACTCTTTTATCCATACTTTATTTATTTTTTATTTTTTATACACAAGATTAAGGACAAATTTCTTATTTTATAACAAAAATTCTAATTATCTAAAAATACGTGTAAATATCAAATAGGACATTAAAAAATGAACGAGAAAAGTATTTTTTAATTTTTACAAACAAAAAGTCTCGTTCTAATTATTTATATAGTGTATTTTTATATTAATATTCTTACGATTGTTATTACTTGTTAGTTATTATACTGAAAGATGTGTAAGTTGAATAAACATTCAATTGGGCTGGGCCATATTTATGTGTATAAATAATTAGGGTCTTTTAGGGTTTTTTTTTTTTTTTTTTTTTTTTTTTTTAAAAAAATTTCATTTATATATATATTTTTATTTTTTCATATGAAAAATAGATGGATATACTTTTATTTTATTTTATTTTTTTAAGAAAATACTATTTGTTGCTGAAATTTTAATTAGAGTCACTAACAAGGATATATAGTATAAGATAAATAATCAAGAATATACAGAATTGAAAGTAGAAATATCAAAATTTGAAACTGTTGGTTATTCCTTCTATTAACAAAATACATATATATGCATACATACATTACACATTATATTCCTCTGTTGTAATAAAATCCCATGCATATGTTTTTATATGGTTAGGTTCTGGCCAATTTTAGCCAAACACTAGAACCAATATTATGTCAAATCCCGGTTTTGCCCCTCATATTCGAAACACATTCATCGTATATTAAAAAAATTAATACATAAAATATATGAATAATACAAATATATATTTGATATATATCATACCACACAATATGCTTTTTCCAATGTTTAATATATTATTTAACATTTTATATTTTAATTTTGATGTATTTCAAATAAAATAATTTTAAGATATAATATTTCATATAAAAAAAAAAAAAGTTTAATAGGACTCTCTATAAAGGAAATAATAATAAAAAAAATAATATCATTAAAGATTAATAAAGTTTCGAACAAAAATAAGCTGGTTGAGAATCGAACCCCAACCTAACGGTCAAGGTATTGGGGGCGTTGCTATTAAATTACACTCCCATCCCCTAATCATGAATAAAATTGAAATTAAGTACATTTTTTTTTCTTTATATCATAATTGTTAAGTATTTAGTAAATTAAAAATATGAAATTTTATACAAAAAGTTATATTCTTTCGTCTATCTGATAAATATATATTTTGTCATTTTTAATTGTCCAAATACAAATTATTATTTTTTCACTATATATTATAAATACATTTATATATATTTATATCAATATTTTTACATTAATTTTAGGCTTAATATAGATACGATAGTTTTACATATCAAATTATCCATAATTATTATTAAAATATAATATTATTTAGATTCATTTGTAGAAAATAAATATATACTTTTAACGGGATGAAAGGTGTATAATAAATATGTCTATATTGAAATGGGCCAAAATTAGTATTTAAACAAATGACAGTGGCATTTGAGTAATTAAACGCGTTTTCATAAAAACAATACATACATACATACATGCGCATCCATCCACAACTCATGACCAGACATCATGGTGCATATACATACACACAAATGTATCTATCCATCGTAATCATAAAGACAAGAAGCGAAGAAGAAGATTTGACTTCGACTAGAGAGAGAAAGAGAGAAAAAAAGTTGAAGAGAGAGAAGAATGGACGCGAACAAGAGAGAGAGAGGCGGACAGAAAGACAAACAATGAGCGGATTCAATCCGATCTAATGCAAATTTGACGTCCGCAATAAAAACCCTCCAGAGTGTACCCGCATTCTATCTCTCCCCCCCCCCCCCTCTCTACTCCCTGCTCATCTTTCTCCCTCTAAAAAGGTCGTGCGCCTTCGATTCCGAGGTGACTTTTCCCGCATCCACTGATACTTACACACTCGACCGTGCCTGTATCTGTACTTGCCTGTTAAATTTTGGGGGAAGGGTTTTGTAATTTTGTTGGGTAGGAAGTTATTTCGATTAATTGATGGTCGAAGAGGAGGAAGGGATAGTGGAGATTGAAGTGGCTTTTAACTTCAGTATCGCGGGTTTGACGGATTTCGTTGTCGAAATCCTACTCAGGTAGGTTTCGAGGTGTTATGTTTGAATGTGAGTTTCCAAATTTCGATTTTGTTTTTGAAGTTCTTTCTTTTTATTTTTCCTTTTTCCTTTCCCTTTAGCCCTCGCAATCACATGTTTCCAGCGTGTGATTCAGTGCTCCCTTCTGTAACTGAAGATTTAGGTAGCAACGATTGAAATTTTCGACTCTGGATCGAGTAATTTACTTCGTTTCTTGCTACAAGATTTAGGGTTCGATCCTTTTCTAACTAATTACACGTCAAGTCTCCACTTCACTAATTTTTCGCGTCTGATAGATTACTTTCTTGAACTGAAAAAGAGTCTTTTGTGGTTATAATCTTGTCCCTTAAGCTAGTGTCTTTTTGCCCTTAATTCTTCTTGTTTTTACTTGGATTGTCTCTCGTTATCAGATTTGTTCGTTTACTTGATTTCTTGGAATGAAGATTAGAAATCTAACTTGAATTGACTGATTGGTGCAGGGATTGATAGGACAGGGTGTGAAAGATTTTGACTTGGATAGACGAATACCTCGTTGGATGTTGAGAGAAAAAAGTTAGTTAATCTGATACGATAAATTCTTATTTTCTCAACTTGATGCCATACTCACCCATCACATGTTACATTTGACCTTTTAAGGATCCTAAGATTCGATGATTGTGTGTATAATTTTATTAGCAGACTTATCAGTTTACTTTTGAGTTTGTAGGGTTTGTGTACACTTTTCAGGTGAGTTTTTCAGTTTTCCCTTTAGGTATTGCATCCCATGGTGTACTAGGTGTCTTGTAATATAGAGTGTGTTGATTTCAGAAAAGATGGTTGCGCAAGGGCCTCCTACACCGCACGGTGGAGGCCACTCTGTTCCGCCTTCTTTATTGAGGTCAAATTCGGGTCTGTTGGGTGGTCAAGGGGTTGGAATGCCTTCACAGAATTCGTTTCCTTCTTTGGTGTCTCCTCGCAATCAGTTTAGTAATATGAACATGCTCAGCAATGTGCCGAATGTTTCATCCCTGCTTCATCAGTCATATGGTAATGGGGGCTCGGGTTCTGGAACCTCCCAGCGAGGGATTAATGATGGTGGGGCGGAACAAGATCCACTCTCTGGCGTTGGAACTGGTATGGGGTTTAATCATCCTTCGTCCTCTTTCATGTCTTCCCCAGTGACAGCCAATCCACATTCATCCGGTGAAGTTCAAGGGCAGCAGCAATTCTCGAACACTTCTGCCAACCATATGTTGACAAACCAGCAGCAATCTCAGCAACTTGATCCTCAGAATTTTGAACACAATCAGCAGCAGTTGCAGCAGTTTTCGGTCCCGAGCAATCCCCAGCAACAGCAACAATCACAACAGCAGCAGTTTCAAGCGATGCAGTCTGGACTGGGAGGTGTCGGTCAAATTAAGTTGGAGTCTGGAACTAATGAGCAAGCAACACAGCAGCTGCAATCTTTGCGGAATCTTGGTTCGATGAAATTGGAGCCTCAGCAGCTGCAAAGCATACGAAACTTGGGCTCGGTGAAAATGGAACCCCAACATTCGGACTCTTCTTTGTTCTTGCATCAACAGCAACAGCAGCAGCAGCAACAGCTCCTTCTCTCACGGCAGTCACCTCAAGCTGCTGCTGCCGCACAGATTTTTCATCAACAGAGGCTAATGCAATTTCAACAACAGCAGCAACTCTTGAAATCTATGCCTCAACAAAGGTCTTCACTGCAACCACAGTTCCAACAACAGAATTTGCCTCTGAGGTCTCCTGTAAAACCAATTTACGAGCCTGGAATGTGTGCCAGAAGGCTGACACATTATATGTATCAGCAGCAACATAGACCTGAAGTAAGATATAATGCAAAAGCAGCTTAGTTATTTGTACTGACTGAAGTTTTTAGTATGCAGCGGTGTCCTAATGAATGTGGCTTGCATTCATTTTTTTTATTTTGTAGGACAATAACATTGAGTTTTGGAGAAAATTTGTTGCTGAGTACTTTGCTCCTAATGCCAAGAAGAAGTGGTGTGTCTCGATGTATGGAAGTGGTCGCCAAACTACTGGTGTATTCCCTCAGGTCTGTTGTATTACAAATTAAATAATCGATGCACTTCTGCCTGGCTGCCCTGGCTTACATTGTGTTGTATTTGTATTTTGTCGTTTACGCTTGATTTTAGGCTACCAAAATCTGTTTGTGGGCTAAAGATTCTATGCTAATATGTACAAAATTTGTTGCGTGTTTATTTCCAGTTTGCTATGCGACAGTTACAATATTGTTGAACATCTGATGCAGCATTTATATTTCGCAACTAATTTGGAAGTTTCGTACATTTACGTCAGAGCATGTATTGTTTCATTTATATAATCTGAATATCTTTTATGGGACCGTGTAATATTTGGGAATTTATATTCAGGTTTATGTGGTATATGTTTTTCACACTTTAGATTCCTTTCTTGTATGGAAAGTTTGACCATTTTTGTTATATATGCAGGATGTGTGGCACTGTGAAATCTGCAACCGCAGGCCTGGTCGTGGATTTGGTGTGTATGCTTTTAAGCTTTGCATCACTATTTTTGTCGATATCTTGTTGCCTGCAGTCTATGTAGTGACACGTTTCTCTTTTATTGTTCAGTTTCTTTTCCTTTTTTGTTTCCCTGCGTCATTACTCTGGGTTCAGGGATAAAATATGGGGTAGTAACCACTCAACAAATGAGGGGTTTCTTTTGATTTTTAGGAAGATAAAATATGGAATCTTGGCCTAGTTGATTTTATGGGTTCATTTGTCTTTGAAGTCATTATTAGAATTGCATACACAGATGATCTTTAAACCAGATTATCTTTTCTCTTATATAATACATTTTAATACATACAGTATTTTTGTGTTTCCATGCCAAAGTTTAGAAGGTGAAAAATGATTATTAAATATTTGTATATAAAATTATAAACAAATAGTAAACACACCCTAAGGTTTTTAAGTTGTTAATTATGACCTTTTTGTAGAATGTCCACAATGATAATGAGAAAGATTTCTCCATATGGTACTCACGTTGGTTATTCTTTCTTTAGTGTTTCTTCTATAGTGCGCCTTTAAATGCCAGATCTCACTGACCTGCTGAAATCTGACATCAATTGTATGCTTTTTTCAGAGGCAACTGCTGAGGTTCTTCCCAGACTGTTCAAAATAAAATATGAAAGTGGTACTTTGGAAGAATTGCTCTATGTTGATATGCCTCGTGAGTATCAGAATTCTTCTGGTCAAATAGTTCTGGATTATGCAAAAGCCATACAGGAGAGCGTTTTTGAGCAACTTCGTGTAGTTCGTGATGGCCAGCTTCGAATTGTCTTCTCTCCGGACCTTAAGGTTGTGCAAAAGCTTACAATATTTGATGTACTCTTATGGCATCTGCTTACTCGGTTTTCTCTGATTAAATGATCAGATCTGTTCTTGGGAGTTTTGTGCTCGACGCCATGAAGAGCTTATTCCTAGGAGATTGCTGATACCCCAGGTTAGTTGCTGAAAGTTAAATATATAAAATGTCACCCTTTGTTATGTTTTTTAGTTGAGGCAAGTGTTTTTAGGACACAAACTTTTTTGGTTGGCTGCTTACGGCATATTCTGTTAAAGAGAATGTGAATTGGTGACTGAATTTAGTTGATTATGAATTGTAGGTTAGCCAACTTGGTAATGCTGCCCAAAAATGTCAGACTTCAACCCAGAATGCATCGACAAATATCACTGCTTCCGAGCTACAAAGTAACTGCAATATGTGAGTGACAGCTCCTTGCTTAGTAAATGAATTTTGATAATATTTTATTTTTATTTTTGTTTTTTTAACTTATGTAGTCCAATGTATCGATCACCATGTGGTCATTTGGTCCTGCATTTTCTTTTGTTTGTAAGTTCTATACAAATACGATGGCCCTGCAGTTTATTCAGTTGGAGTTTTCTATAGGATATGATTGAATCAAAGAGTTTGAGGGGGAAGATAAAATTTTGCTAGGGAGAAACTTGAATTGTTTTGGTTCTAGTTATAAACAAAATTTTCAAGGAATGAAAAAATATAAAACAATTGCTCTAATATTAAGTAGAAAATGAAAAAGAAACTAGTTTGGGTCTCTCAATTGAACTTTCACATTTGAGTTATTCATCTTAATTGTGTGTTTTTTCTTGTTAACATCATTAACCAGGATATGAGATTCTTGATGTATATGATCTGCATTTGTTGAAGCATTTTATTAATTAAATTTATAACCAAATGTAAGACAATTAATTCAATGAAAAGCTATGTAATATTGATTTTTATGTCAAGATTGCTAAATTTTAGCTAGTAGTTACTTATTTTTCGTAGCTAGGTTAAGTGTAATAAATAGCATAAACATTAACTTTGTCAATAACACATCATGAATGTGTTGTTTAAAGTTAATTTGATGGGGTCATTATACACATGCTTAAATAATAATATACAGGAGCATAAAAGCGAACATGGTATAAACCTGTGATTGAAGCTATATGTTGTCACCCCTTTTGTGTCGTCAATCTTGGTTCATTTGTCCCATCACTACTAATAAAAACATGGACCTCTGAGTCTTATATTATGAATGTAGCCAGATAACTAACTACACATTTTGAAATAAGTAACGAGCAGAACAATAATGAATTTTGAAAATCATGCAATGATGTGGTGTTATTGTAAATTGTTTCCTTTTTGAACGGTCTTTCATACTGTGAATACTGTTTTTTTAATAGGGCTTCTCTATATCATTATAAATATTTCCATAGCTCACACTTCAAAGAAAATCAGATGAAGTATTTTGGGTACATATGGAAATTTATCCTTAAGCTTCAACTTAGTGCTGCACTTAACATACAGTTTCTAAAAGAGGAAGTAAAATTAATCCTTGTTTATGCGTTGGTTCTTAGTATGAAATGGGCTGCGTCAAATATGTTTATTACTTCGGCCCAAAATACGAACTGCATAGCCTTGCTTATACACACCAAACTAGTTCTACTTTATATGCAAGTCATAAAAACCCTATTCTCATCCCCCAAATCTTACAATTGTATCTACATTCAAAGTCTAAAGAGCACAAAAAATCTATGGTTCTTAAGAAATCCACACTAGCCATTCAAAATAATATACTTGGTTATCATGTAGTAGACACAATAATCTGTTCGCTGAATACAGGGTAGTGTGTGTGAATGCCTGGACAAAAGAAACAGATTCTATTCTCAAGTTGAAGCCCCACAAATATCATAACAAACCCATTATGACATCATAAATTACTTTATCTTAAATATCACACTCATCATAAATGTCACACATACTATGTTTATGGTGTAACATACATGTGAACGTAATAATATTCGTATCATAATGTTATTTCCTTTTCAACCTTCCTTTTTATGCGCACGTGTATGTGTAGTTGTATATGGCCTTTATATGATGCATGCCAAATGCAAAATTGGATAATTGACTTCTTAAATAATGTTATGACATGAAGAACCTCAGATCAAAAGCCTAGGTTTTGATAGAGACACAACAGAACATTGTACTTTTTAGATGATGCATATCACTATTGGGAGGCCATGGGCATTAGTGATGACTAGAAGACTCTCAAGTTCTTGATAAAATATCTGCACTAAGGAATATTTCTTGATCCCTTGATGTATAACATTATCCTAGATATTACCAAAACTCTTAAATTGCATTAATTTACATGGAATACAGGAGTGTGTTTATTTCATATGATTGATTAATATTCCTAGGGTTAATTAATATATAACAATTATATAATCATGTGAAGCAAACACACTAAGAAATTATATCAAACTCCTAGTTTGGATGGAAGGAAAACCTAAGAAAAGAAATTACTTGATATATACATATATATTATATTTTCTTGTTTGGGTACTTACATTATGTTGGAAAAGAAAGAAATGAACGGATTTAGTTTTTCAGGTTTTTCTGAAAGTTTTCCGTTCACTTATGGGCAGTAAGTGAAGGAAAATGTGTATATAACTTGAATGTCTCGAGATTAAACTAAATTCCGTTTACTTATTTGTGTTATTTTTAAGCAAATTAATTCTATTTATTGTCTACTTCTTCTTGAACACAACTGGAAAATATATCTTTATCTTTCTTGCTCCTCTTCTTTTCTTATATGAAAACAAACAAATTCCTATTATTTATACCCAAGTTCTTTAAACAATAATAAAAATTAAGCAACTTCTATCGTAATTATTACTTCAAAATTTAAACCTTTAGAACTTTACTTTCTATCTATATTCAATGATAGCAGCGAAGCTGTCCAATCTTATGAAAGACATTGCATTCAATGAGATGATTATATCAGCATGTGTTTTATATGATTCCATCTCATTCGTCTAAGCTATCTATGCGTATTACAACTCGATAGAAGTATGACAGATTATAAGTAAAGAGACAATTAAATGGCTGAATTTGTAACATTTACTGGTTATCTTTGGATGAGAATGGTGTTGTTTTTGAACTTGTGTTTTTTTGAATATCTTAAAACCCCTATGTACGTGGATGGAATGCTACCAGTTCTAACTTGACCAAACTGATTTTGGTGTATGCTTTTTGTCCTTTTCTTTGGTTTATGCCTTTTTCGGTTGTTGTTATGCATTTATACATAATTATGAAGTAGCTGGGGGGAAATTATATATATGTTGTAATTCATTCATTCATTCGGTATTATCAAGAACTGATTTTCTGCAAATAACTCTAAAATATTCAACATATAAAATTTGACAACTCATATTCAAATTCCTTTTAACAATTTACAATTGTATTGGGTATTTCGAAGTTGACTTCTTTGCGAACTAGTTAGTTTCATGCTGACAATGACGTGGTAACTAAATTTGATACATGATTCACACATTTCTAAATACACAATAAATATAAATAGGCCTTCTCATATAAATATACAAACAATTATCTTTTTTAAAAGAAGTTATTTTGTTATGACCTCATTGTTGGGATTGTGAATATAGATTTACCTATTTCATATCTTTTGCCTTTTCAGGTTTGTATCTTCAGCTCGTCAACTGGCGAAGGCATTGGAAGTTCCGTTGGTAAATGATTTGGGCTATACAAAGAGATATGTGCGGTGCCTTCAGGTAATTTTCCCTTTTACACCTTTTCTTGAAACCCAAGATTGAGCTATTCCATCTGTGATCTTGACCTGGAGTGTTAGTATTGAAACGCATCTGAAGCTACTGATTTTTATGCACAATGAAATTGAAGATTCACCTTTTTTTCTTCCTAGTTTTAAATTTTTGTTTCTTTTTTGGTTGAGGAAATGAGGTTTCGTCATTGAAGTGCATTTATTCAGCATTCAATTGTTTGCATTCTTACCTTAATATTTACTGTTAAATTACACGAGGTGAAACCAACAAAAACAAAAAAAATGTAACTGATTCTGGGATTTTGTTCCGTATGTCAACTCTTTTGAGTCTGTTCTTCCAGAATATGATTACAATATATAGTTTATATCCTGCCCGTTTATGCTGTGCTGTTGTGTAAGATTCTGTTTACGGATGTGATTGAGGACAATTTTATATCATTCAATCTTGTGGCTTTTAAAACATAATCGATTTCCTTCGCCTAAAAGTAGTCCTCTCTCGTGATACCTATTAATGCATAGACAATTCCCTAATGGTTTGCATCGTGCTGTTCAACTTGCAGATATCAGAAGTTGTTAATAGCATGAAAGATCTTATCGATTATAGTCGTGAAACTGGAAAAGGCCCTATGGGTAAGCATATCTCTCTTTAAGGCTAACATAGCCTCATTAACATCATTCTGTGTAATTATTTTCGGGTTATTCATGTCTTTTGCAGAGAGCCTAACCAAATTTCCTCGAAGAACTGCCTCGCCCGCATCCCGAGTTCAATCTCAACAACCCGAGAGTCAGGTCCAGCATCAGTCACAATCAATGGGTCAAAGTCAGGTCCCGAACCAGCAGCAGCCGCAATCGATGGGTCAAAGTCAGGTCCCGAATCAGCCGCAGGCGCAGTCGATGGGACAAAACGGTCAGAACTCGAAACTCAATAACCCGATCCAGCCTGCCTCTATGCAACCCTCGAGTAATGGTCCCTCGAGCGGCGGTAGCAACGTGAACGTGGCTACGACGTCGTCTGCTGCTACCATTCCTGTGATGCTACATCAAAATTCGATGAAATCCCGGCAGCAAAACCCTTCGCCGGCGAATACTCGTTACGGAAATGCCGTTCAGATGCCCCCCTCAAGCCCCCTGCCACAGACTCAACCGACTCCGCCCCCTATGCAGTCCCCGAACCCGACACCAGCTAATATCCGGCCGCCGTCGCACGGAAATCTGCCGGGAACTCATGCGGCTTCACCAAATGTTGCGATGCAGCAACAGTCTCTGTCCGGTGACGCTGACGCAAACGACTCTCAGAGCTCGGTCCAGAAAATCTTACATGACATGATGTCCTCGCACCTCAACCGCGGCGGGCTGATGGGGAGCAACGTGAAGAACGTGAACGGGAACGTTCTCGTCGGAAACGGAGTGGCGAATATCAATCCGAGCTCAAACTTTGGAACTGTCCCGAACGGATTTGGCCATGCCGCTGGGGTTAATGGGTCTAATTTGGATCACGGCAACGACTCGTCCATTAATGGCCGAGTTGGAATGCCGATCAATCAGCAGCAGGATTCGAGCAATCAGCTACTCAGCAGCCTCGGAGCCGTGAACGGGTTCGATGACCTTCAGTTCGACTGGAAGGCGTCGCCATAATCGTTCGCCTGTTTTTTTTTCTATTTTTCTTAATTCCGGTGTCGTCCGTTTATTTAGATCTTATATCGTTTCCGGTGACTTATGGAAGTGCGTATACTTGAGACATGTAAGTAGTGCATTGCTTGCTTCCAGTTGTGGTAAAAATCGAAGGGAATCGAAAGCTGTGGTTTACATCTTTGTGGCGCCCCGAAAGCTCGTCGCAAAGGAGCCTTCCGGAACCTTCTAGAAGACGGCGGACGAGCTGGGGCGACCTTCGGCGAGCATGTAAACTACTCTTGCTTTCTATAGTTGATAGTTGTCGTCTATTTCCTCCTTAGCCTGCGAGTGTATAGTCGGGTTTTAATCGTTGCGAGATTTGATTGATTGTTACTCTCTAGATTCCTATACTCATCTTTTGTCGCAGAAATGTGCCAATTTTATGCTGAGTTCAATCATAGAATTTTGTCAAAGGTACACGAAGTAATGAACAAACTCGATTCGCAATCAGAAAGAATAGTCTTTCAAGTCGGATTTGGTGTCGCCAAGCTCCAAATCGGCCAAGCATTCGTCAGCGGTGAGCGGCGGGAGTTGCCGGGTCTTTCTTCGAAGGTTGTGCTTGTGCCAATCGCTCTTGAAGTGCTCTCGGTACTGTTTCGCGTCGCCGAAAAATGCATCGCAAGTGCTGCACTTTTGCTGCTTCCTGTCTCCCTGTGAGCTTCCGGCTCTGGACGAAATGTCTTGACTCTGCAGCTTCTCACTCAGGTGGGATACGTTGTCGGGAAAATCTTTCTGTACGGGCTCGGGCTCGTTTTCCATATCATCGTAATTGTCGACGTGGGTGTCGGTGTCTAAATGCACATTCACTGCCAGGATATCGAGTCGTCCCTGCAGATTTCGCACCAGAGCATCGCAGTCGCGGAATAGGCTTGGCTCCAATTCACAGACCTGCAGTTTAAACGGCAAAATATAATCGACGGGGCAAATTCTAGTTATATATATCGTAGTGTTGTTATATTGTTGTTTTTGCTTGACTTACAATGGAGAACTGATTTCCCGATTCATCTCTTGAGGCGACGGTGGAATTCCAGGAATCGATCTTTTCCATGAGAGAGGATTTATTCGGCTGAGGGATAGTCAGTCGCAATCTCATGGGAGCACGTTTGATGGGAAAATGCTTTTGAAGCTCGCGAATCACTTCTAGTGCCTAAAAGAACATTTCTTACCATTTTCAGCAATCGAACAAGTAACATCAAATATAGAATATAAAGAAACATATCAAAATTGGATGGAAAAGTATTCTATAAGACATAGAGCAGATCCATTTTTCCAAAAACAAAATTATTCAATACATGCCGGGAATTAACGAAGTAAAGTTTGAAAGACATCAACCTGTTTCTTAGAGCTGCTGCCTGGATCGACGGCAAAATGTATCTCATGCATTAGTCGCTCAATCATGCTGATCGTATAAGGTCGCTGAGTTTCAGGATTAACAGTCTTTTGCATAACAATAGTAGCAATATCCCTAAATTGGCTCGATAATTGCGACTCTCTTTCCTTCCCAGCAACTTGAAGTTCTCCTTTTTCCAAAATCTGCCTTAGAAAAGCATGTCGTGAATCCTTAACCCAATGGAGTAATTAACTGTAACTTAAAGTCCCTTTCAGAACTGAATATCATTAGTGAACAAAATAACAATAAAATGGACGAAACCAGATTTCTACCATACTTACGAATGGATCAAGCTATGCCAACTTTCTGATTTTTCAAGAGTAGTTCCACATAAAAATTTACGAAGCAGATAGGAATAGGCGTAAAAAAACAGGAGTGATCGACACATTCAAAGATCAACTTGGCCAAAATAACAATAACTAGCTACAATGTTTAAATAGATTCAAGAATCAAGATCTTTAAATACAGCTCCATTTCATCCTATTCTGTCAGATTCGAAAAATCTAAGTTGATCACATATTTCATTAGACTTCTATGCCTCTTAGTATCCTATCCTATCCTATCCTATTTAATCCCTTTGAATTACATAATCCGCATTCAAAGAACAAAACCAAAACAATTTAACACAATATAAGCCATGAACACACCTCTTTGCAATTTGGTATGATAAATAGTGCACATTTGTATAAAATTTAATCATCTAGGCAGTAGCACACAAAACAATAATGCAAATGAACAGCAGAATCTACAAACCTCCAAACATATATCAGTTTGATTGTCTGTCCCAAACGCTGCCACTAAATCTTTTGACTTAGCAAGAACACCTTTCGAAACATTTGAATAAACAGTATGAGATTGCAACACTTCGTCCAAATCTTTCTCTCTGCAGTCAAAGAACTATGAATGATCAATCTTAATTTTGAAACATAAATCCAAATCAGAAACATCTTCATAGCCTTCTCCAATGACATAGCTAATCATACTGTTCACCTTAACACCTCAATTGTGTAAAAGCATAAACAAATAAAATCATAGCATCATCAGCATCTCTCAAGGCCTATTATATTCAGTCAACAACCAAACTATTACAAAAAAACCAAAAAACTTACACGCGAGAGCGCCAAGACAGGACTTTGTTCTTGTAGCACGCGATTTCGAATCGGCTGCCGTGTTTCTTGAGGCGAACCACTGCTACGTTCGTCAGCCTCTTCTGACCTACTGGTTGCACCAGTGTCTTCGACATGTCTTCGCCTCGACGCGGCGGCGGCGGCTATCGATGTTCGCGGCGGCGGCGGCTATCGATGTTCGCGGCGGCGAAATGGTTCTAGAACAACCAGACCGTCCGTTGAGAAAATTTACAATTTATAAATCTATCGTGAATCCGCTAGAAGATCATAATTTGGGCCTTTATTCTGATTGGGTAGGCCCAATTATGATGACCCATTTACTTCAACGAAAAAATAATGTACAGAAGAACATTGATCAACAAATCGCAAACCCTAGAATTCTAGATTGACGTACAATATACAATATTTGGGAGATGAAAGTTTGGGATTTTGCAAGAAATCGGACGGACTTGCGTAAGAAGCACGAGCTCTATTGATTTTATTGTGTTAAGGATGAGTTCTGTTGGTGATGAAATTGAAGCGCCCGATGAAGAGAATTCTAACGCCAGCGCCAATGCGAAGCCCTTCTTTGATGTTTACGGTCCCGAGGTTTGGTTCTTAATTATTTCAACGTCTTTTCTTCATTGTTCTTCGACATTTTTAAACTGTATGTTTATTGTGCTGTGATTCTTTCTACTACTTCAAAAATATTACAGCAGGGAATTAATTGTTGGGAGGATCTTTGTTTTTATTTATGCATTTTTTTTGGCATATGTTTTTCATAGGTTTTTTAGACTGCTAATTTCCTATGTTGGCTTCCAAAACATTACATACATATTCTTGATTATGTTTGAGCTTCTTGTTGTATGTCTCTGTGTAACAGCCGATGAAATTCAAATATTGGGTATTTTGTTGCAGGCAACAGCTGATATTGAGTTTAAGCAGCCAGAAGCAAATTCAACCTTGAATCTTCACGTATGTGTTGAATTTTTGCTCTTATAAATTCTTGTTAAAATCGGCAGAGTTCTTGGAAATCATGTGTCGATGTTATAGGATGTTCAAGGACTAGCAACTTGGGTGCTTGCTGACGGGTTCATGCCGTCATGGGTTTTTATTAAGGTAAAAGTTCATTTATACTAACTTAATTGTGTCGAATAAGCATACATGCACAATGAACTTTGCTTGTAGTTATTTAGTCATGATTTTAACTCTATTTTGATTGTTATGTTTATGTGCAGAACAAGCCTCTAATTCCCAAAGTTGTCATGCTTTATGTTCCCGGGCTTGATGCGTCGCTTTATTTGTCACAGTCTAAATTGTTAAAAGGTTTTAAAGAATGCTGTGGAAATCCCCGGGCGGTTTTAGCTCTCAGGTAGTTAGGGTACTGCTGTATTGAAGACTTTTGTTATCGTAATTTTTTCAAGGACTAATTTGACAATTGTGGTTCCTTTTCTTGCTTTACGCTAGCTGTGTATCAGATGGATTGCAGACTGTGGATGCACTCCTTACATGTAAAGTTAAACGAAAAAGGGATGAAGTCGAAAATATTCAAAAGAAAGCAGTCCGGACATCTTATCAAGGTCTGACGGTCTTCTATAAAGTAACACTCCTGTTAATTAATCGTTTTCTGCTGGATGTATTTGTGCTTCTCTTTGTTCTCTTTATTCGAATGTTTAGTCAGTATTGAACATTTTTAGAATAATCTATGCAGAAAACAGAATTAAGGAAGAAAGGTTTCTTGATCTTGATTTTCCGCATTCTATATAACATGGATTTATGCTAGCTGATTGAAATTATTTTGTGGATCATATCTGAAGACTATTGCCAAGTATAAATTTAGAAATTCTGGATCTTTCAGGTAATCATGCATCTGGTACTGACTTAACAAAAAACTTGCCATTCCCAATTACCCACTACACATTATCCGCCAAGGAACTGGATGACAATGGATATATTTGTAAAAATCAAGGTAATTCCGTGACCTCTTATATAAAGGGGTTTTCTTGTTCTCCTTTTATTTTTATATTTTTGAAATAGCTGTCTTCATATAGTTATGTACCTGTTTGACTTCCAGAATTTATTTCAACGAGTCCTGCACCTTCTGGAACTCCGTTGCATGAAATGCTGGCAATTGACTGTGAGATGGTATGCTTATTCTTTGTTGGCTACTTTTCACAAATTATCATTGTGTTATACACGAACAAGCTTCATAAAATCTAGAATACTATAGCTTCATGGTGTATACTGATAGTAAAGAGTTACGCTAATAATAATGATGTTGTACACTTTTGCTGACGCCATGTTTTAGCCTTGATTGACTTGCTATTGTTACATTGTGTTAAATGTGACGAAATACAATTTATTTGGTACTGCATATTGAATTTTCTTTTATTGTGTGCTGTTAAATATGCTTTGCCAGTGTATTACAAGCCAGGGTTTTGAGCTTACAAGAGTCACGGTGGTTGATATTGCAGGAAAGGTACACTTTTAGCATTGATATCATATTTATTTTTTCGATTAATGGCTATGGCTTTTGATTTCTTTAGGTATTGTGTATGTATAGGTATTGTTAGATAAACTGGTCAAACCAGCAAATGCCATCACTGATTACAACACAAGGTAGCTTTTCTTTGAACTTTTGGGACCTGGGTAAATGTGCTTGAATGATTCATTACCATACATCAACTTGTCAAATACTTCGGCAAATTGTTTATTTGAATTGGAATAGAGAGTAGTATCCTAATTAATACGAAATCGAGCTCAGTTCATCGTTGAACAAGAATCTTGCCTACAGTTGTATATGTGAATAATATATATTTTCAACTAGAATTCGACCTCTACATTGTCCTCCAGGAATTGTTCGGTGATCTATTAAAGAACTCATGGTTCATGGTACTTATAATATTGCAGATACAGTGGAATTACAAAGGAGATGTTGGAAGAAGTAACAACAACCCTCGAAGACGTTCAGGTATATTCTGTTTCATTATAACTTATTTTCGAAAATGGTATCGATTATGGCATACCATTTTGCTGTTAGCCTCATTTAAGTGTTTCTTTCATTCATTCCAATTGTCGGTTCTTTTTTCAGGAAAATATTCTTCAGCTGGTTCACAAAGAGACCATCCTTGTTGGGCATTCGTTAGAAAATGATTTGTTAGCTTTGAAGATTCATCATGAACTGGTGATTGATACAGCCATCTTGTATAAACACCCTCGCGGCGGATCTTACAAAACAGCTTTACGAGTGTTGACTAGGAAATTCCTTTCCAGGGAGATACAGGATTCCGGAAAGGGTCATGACAGCGTCGAAGATGCAAGAGCTACAATGGAGCTTGCACTGCTAAAAATTAAAAACGGTATTTACCTTGAATTGACACATTATTCGCCTCTATACTCATCTATGTTTTAGTTTTTTTCATTAATCTAAGCTTATTTCATAAACAGGTCCTAGTTTTGGGATGCCCTCATCGCTCATACGGAAGAAACTCCTCACCGTGTTAAGTGAGTCTGGGAAAACCTCATCCTTGATCGATCATGTTGCTGTAGTAAAAAGATACGCCTCCGAGGCATCTAATTCCATCCCGGTGTCCTCTGATGATGAAGCCCTTACAAAAGCCAAGAAAGAGGTAACCTCTTAAAGTTTCGGTTAAGAATGCTCGCAAATTTCACGGCCCTACGACTAATGTTTCATTTAATTATCAGGTCAAAAATAAAAAAGTTCAATTTATTTGGACCCAGTTTTCCGAATTATTCTCCTATTTCAAAAAACAAGCAGATTGCGACGAGAATCTGAATGCAAAGATAGCGGAGATGATTTCGCTGGTTACGTGCAGCAAGTCCGGTAAGAAACAGAGTGTTTGCAAAGTGACTACAGAATTGAAGGAGATTCTCAGACGGGTCGATGACAAAGTCAGAAGCCTGTACTCATGTTTGCCCCGCAATGCCATGCTCATTGTTTGCACCGGCCATGGAAATACAGCTATTGTACAAAAGTAAGTCATTAAAATCGAATAATTTACCGTGCAGTTACTTTCAACTCCCGTAGCTTGTTGAGTCAGTAAACTGAGTTGTTTTTTATGAAGATTACGTAAACTGCTTACGGAGCAGACAGAAACTTCAATATCCCGGGAAAAGATTGTGGAAGTGCTGAAAGAGCTTCAAGCGCAAGCCGAAGTTGGCCTGTGTTTTCTCGGCATTAAACACTGATACAAGAATGGTGCGACTGAGATCATTTATGTAGTAATTAGTTCATATTTCGGAAAATTTTGATGTGGAAACGCCCAGTCGAGAATTGTGGTTATAATTGCTGTACTATTCGAGCATCATAGCTAGTTGAAAAGATCATCTTCCTATCCGAAATGGAGGGCTCGGTTTCTTCTTTGATCCTGTATCGATTCGAGCAAGTCTTTTACGATTTCCTGGATTTGATTCCCGACATATTTTTGGCTAACAGGGCAGGGCTGGAAATCTGCCATGGTCATTCTTGCTCTCCATTTCCCGACTACTATGTAGCGTTCGATTCTGTCCTCGTCCACGCCGTGTTAGTGTTCATCCTGTTCGACATGCTCCTGCCCGGCAATGATCGACGGCGGGATTGTCCTAACCGGATGTGTGGATGATTTCCGGCGAGCCGGGCGAGCGATCGATCTGCCCTGATTGAGAAATCGACAGCCGGCCAGATTTACGATTCGAAAATTCGATCCCAACCTGTTTGAGCAACAATTACTCAAAAAAAATACACCATTTATAAAATATCATTGGTGATTTCTTTAGCAACCTCAATATATATATATATATATTTTATATCATTCAAGTATTAAAATTATTTTGTAGGATTTATGTTATTTTATTCTTTTTAATTTAATTTTACTAAAAGAAACTGAGCGAGAGATTCAACCAAAAAAGATGTTGGCATAATTCAATATACGGATAAGCAATGTATGTCTGTATACGTTGATTATTCTTGTTTGCAATTAAGTGAGTTATTATTAGTATTAAATTTGACAAAAGTCTATTTGGAATTTATTGTGGTAGGTAAGATGTACGAAGCCAATTCTTTAACTTCCATTTTATTTTTTATTTTTATTTTTTTTTTAAATTTCCAATATATATTAATTATTTATCATGATAATGTATAATTAATTCTCCGGCAGCCTATTAGCATTAACCAACTAACAACTTTTGATTTGATATTGCAATTATTATGTATTATGACCACTCTATTCTTTTGATTTTTTATTTATTTTTATTTTTTTATGTATTTATTAAATTCAACAATTTATATACTTATATTATTATTTCAGTATTTCCTATATATGTATTCTATGTATTGCATGATTGTGATAATAATTATATAATAACAATATATTAATTAGTATTAAAAAACAGTATATAAATATATCAATTTACATATAACATACATGCAAAAGTAATATGAACAATTACCCATTAATAGTTCCTTTTTTTAAAAAAATTTATTGAAATAATTAATTTTATATAATCTAACATACAAATAGATTTTGAATCAATCTTTCACACACACACATATATATATATCTTATAACAATATTGTGATAGTCTTGAATCGAAACTAGTGTTACGTTATTATTATTATTTTCTACAAAACAAGTTTCATCTCAAATGAATTTATACAAATTTTATTCTTATTATTATTGTGTTTTTTGAAATACATATTAAGATACATATTATGGGTAAAAATTTTCATCGAATTTAATAGATGTCGGAGATTTGAATTCATGATCTCATAGTCACAAATTTATTTTATGCTATCAGACCATTTCTTATAGGATATATATATATATATATATTTTCAATAAATTGAGTGTGTAAATAGTTAATATATTTATAAATAAATGTAATATTGAAGAGTATAAATTAAAGAATGTGTAATATTTTGTTTTTTTATTATTTTATTTTTTGTTATAAATGAGAAATCCATATTTATTGTAAATAGTTGATATGTTTGTAATATCCATTAAATTTGTAGGAATTAATTTGAGATTGGACTAATTTCGAGCTGACCAACCTATCTAAGCAGAAATATATAACATATAACCACTACAAAAAAAAATAATATATTTGTAACGGAATTCCGTCCCTGAAGTTCACGTAGCTAACGTAATTCCATTCCTAATTCCGTCTCTAATGTCATTAGTAACGGAAAAAGTAAATTTAGAGACAAAAAAGTTTTATTACAAAATTGATTTTTTCTTGTATCGACTCTTATAGTGTAATAACAATTATTTTCAAATTAAAACCATCGATTTAAGTAAGATGTCTAAATTATTTTATTTTTAACATAATATTATTATGTTGTTATCATGAATAAGGAGTAATATTCAAAATATATATAAAGTTAGCTAATCAGTCACTCTCCAATTACACACACACACATATATATATATATATATGTTCATAATAAGATTATAATAATTTTATTATTTAAAACTAATGGTTTAGTATATACGATTAATTCATTTCAAAATTCAAATCCTCATTTATCTTCTTAATTTATTTTCATCAATTTCTTATAATTAATTATAATTCCAATTCATACCTCACAATGTGATGGAATTTACACATAAAATATTAATATACTTAATTTTTTAAATAAAATATTATTTTACATGAAAAAAAAAAAATCTGAATATTTCGGATAATAAATTAAATAGTTAAAAGAAAAATTTCGTACTACATACTCTTATAATATTACATAAGGTGAATAGAAAATGAGTTGCAATCTCATGAAATGATAGACAAAAAAATGCCAACTAACATATAATTAATTAATTAGGGTTTGGCAGTAACAAAATTAGTGCAAGAAATGTCTAATCCACACAAATTAAAACCACATTCTTATGGCACACTTCAACACTCATATTTTATTCTATTTTAAATAAATAAATAAATAAATCTTCGTACTTACGTGTGAATTAATTTAATTAAATTAGACAAATGAATTAAACACATTGGTTTATGTGGAATTGATCAACAATGTACTTGTTGATTTTTTTTTATTATTATTTTTTTATTTTTCTATAGTAAATTCAGTAAATATAAAATTAATAAAATAATAAAAAGTTAAATAATTTAATTTCATTTAGAGGGTTGGGAGGGTATGTGTTTGTTGAGAGTTCATCAATCACGTACTGTTCTTTCTTAATTGTATTACTTGAAATAAAGCATATATGAGGTACGTGCAAAATAGGGATTAATTTGTTTACTTGTATATGTCATTTATTATTTATTTTTAATAGATATATTTTTAAAAAGATACAATAAACATTCATTTTTATTTACAAATACTATTAAAATATACGTATAAATAAAAAAGAACAAATCAAGACATTTTTTTTAAAAAAAAACTTTATAGAGAGAAATATAGATAATCAATATAAATATATTTGTAAATTAAGTTTATAATTAATTAATTAATAATAATAAGGGAATTGATTAATATAAATTAAGAAAATTACAAAATATCAAATTAAAATACTATTTAATCAAAAAATTCAAACCAATACTACATTTCAATATTATTATTATTGTTGTTTTTTAAGTTTTAGTTCGAGTAGTATTTTGATGCAATATTTTTTTATAGAAATAGAAAACAAATATTCTTATTAAAAATTGTAAGAATTTTAATAATAAAAAAAATTACATTAAACTATATATTATTTAAATATGAATTACAAATCGAAAGCACCATTTGGGTTTGTGTGATTTAAATTGGGACTTGTGATGTTAATGGATAAACAAATATATATATATTTATTTATTTATTAATATATAAAATTTCCAGAATATAATTAATACAAGTTTTAAACATATATATATATATATAAAATAATGTGTCACTAATTTCGTGGGGTATGAGAAAAATGAGTCAGTTAAGAAATCAATTTTATTGTTATTATTGTTGTTATCATTATTATTAGTGCATATTGTTTTTGACTTGCTATCTTCATGAAAGTGCATGCATTGAACCACCACTAATTAATTAATTAATTAATTATATATATATAAAATCACTTTTCTCTAATTAATTAATTAATTATTCACTGCCTTAAATAGGGTATCATAAAATTTACTAAATATATAAAATGACCACATGTTTTTATTTATTTTTACATAAATTCCAACTATATATATATTTCTAAATTTTATTAACTTGGCTCGATTTATATTTATACTATGTCATACCTAAAATGAAACTAAATCCAGCCATTAAATGAAAATTGGCAGTTAGATCTTGACAACTATTGATTTTTATTTTTACTATATAAATATATCTTAAAGTAGAAAATAAAGTGTGTTAGGGTTTCTTTGCCCATATTTATATATATTATTGATATAATATATATTTTATCATTTAAAAAAAAAAGAGAGAGTCAATATTCAACAAAGAAATATTATTTTTTATATACTGATATCATTTTCTATATTTTAAATAAAAAACTATTCAAATCAAAATACTAAACAAATAGATACAATATTCAGTATTAATTGAAATTAAATCATGTGTTGTCGTAGACTATATAATATACTTGTGTTATATTAGCATTTATTTTGTGATATTTATGTTATATTAATATTTAGTTTGTGCTATGCGAATTATTATTATGTGATATTATTTCATATGTTGTATTTTTTTATATTAAGATATACTATATTGTATTTTCAATTTATTATATGGAGTATTAAATCAATAGTAACATATATATTGTATGGAATATTAATATGCACATAATGTTATATATATTATATCAACATTTATTATGTAATTTTATATTAAAAGCAATTATGATATACATCGTGTATACTTTTACCGTATAATGTCGCGTGATGCTTATTCGTAACCGACGCCAAAATTATGATGCAAAATTGTTATATGATAATTTAATTTATACTAGGATGTATGTTGTTTACCAAAAACCAAAATAGATTAAAATTTATTGGATCTTCTTACATCAAAGAACTTGGAAATTAATGAATTATTTGCTTATTGATCATCAAATTATATAAATTTACTTAAAAATAAAAACATGTTCAAAGAAACATATATATATATATATACATGCATATAAATATATAATCGGAAATTTAAATATTTTCTTGTTAGTATGTGTATTAATATATATATCTCTTAAAATAATCGGTTCTATTTTGAGATTAAATATAATAATTGTATATATATATATATTTATCCCTCTAATAGTTTAGCTTTGTAAGATCACTAATGAAGTTTTGTGGGTAGTCATAAATGACATAATGAAATTATACAACTTAAATGATCAAATGAAATAAAAAGATAAAAATGATAATTACAATTATAGTAACAGTAGAAAATTAAATTTTAATTTCAATAATTTCTTGTTACATGCTCAAATCCGAATAATCCAATAATATTAAAAAAAAAAAAATCACATTTATATATATATATGTATATGATGGTGAGAAGATGGAAAGGTCACCAACCAAATCAAATAATTGAATAAGAAGCTTTTTATTCCATATTTGAGCTTCCAACCTTAGATCATCATCTTTTAAAACCTCCCAATTATATATTTAATCTCTTCAATAAAATCTCTCAATTAATCTTTATAAAACCACTTCATCCTCGATATCGATATCGATCTCAACTCTTCGTCTGGGTTTTGTTACCCTCTTCTTTCCAGGTAAGAATTATTTGATTCTGTATACCATTTTTTTGAGAATTAATTCATATAACTTTGCTATTTCAGAATTTATTTATTATTTTTTTTTAAAGTGAAATCTGATTTCTGCAATTTTTTTTTTTTGTAAAGCATTATAACGATATAATCTTCTTATTTGTTCCGCATAGATTTGGTTGTTAATTTTATTATATCACTATAAGAAAAAATAATTTTTGTAACAAAACTTTTTTGTCTCTAAATCTACTTTTTCCGTTACTAATGACATTAGGAACGGAATTCCAATGCAAATATATATATTTTTTTTTTGTAGTGTATCACTTCAATGTTTGATCATATATAATTTAAATTATGATAGTTTTACAGTTTTAATTTTGTAACTTATTATACGAGCTTTCGAATAATCCGAAATTAAACTGATATATCTAGTTGATGAAAAGAAGAAAAAAAAAAGAAAAAAAAAAAGAATTCGAATGTGTTTAAATTCAATAAACTTAATTCTTAAATTTATTAACAAAAAATAAAAAAATCTGTTGATGATAGATATAGTTTGTCCAGGTGGTTGAAAAATTGCATATCTGATCTACTTAGATGATGATACGTCAATTATCGGGACATTTAATTGGACTGTCTGTCTCTGTCTCCATTGTGTTAATTAATTAATCAATTTTTATTGCAACAATAATAACTATTATAATGTATTTATTTAATTAGAGCATGTGTCAATCATCTTGTTTACCAGTTACTTTCCCAATAGGCCAACAGTAAATACTCCAATAATTACAGGTAGCTAATTTTGACAAGTACACCAAAATTCTATAATACACAACACTATTTTCAAATGACCATTTAATTTAAGTATTGCTTTTAATCTTCTCTACTTTGTTAAAGGAAAAAAAAAAAAAAAAAAAAAAAAAAAGGTCTATTTTGTGGTGCAAAACCATTTGATTTTCTTGTTCATTCATCTCATCATTGTGTTAAGGACTTTTAAATTTTCAATTTTTTTTACCATAGTCATGAATCATGATCAATATAATTCAGATAATTAAAAAGATCTATCTATATATGTATGTATAGAATTTAATTAAATAGATAATTTGGAAACAGAGAATTTATTCTGTGAAAATGGACGAAAGCTCAGCTTGTGAAGGTTCAGGCGACATGGATCAAAGAACATGTCCAAGAGGGCACTGGAGGCCAGCAGAGGACGAAAAACTTCGTCGTCTTGTCGAGCAATCCGGGCCCCAAAACTGGAATTCCATAGCTGAAAAGCTTCAAGGGAGATCAGGTGAGTTCATCTCAATTCAATTCATGTATATTCATCGGGTTTCAAAATTAGGGTTTCTCAAATTAGGGTTTTTTAAATTAGTGTTTATTCAAATTCTGATCTTTTATCCCCAAAATTTAATCAAAACATAATCAAATTCCAGATTGATTTTTACCCAAGAACACCTAATTAAAAATAATGATTAAAATTTTTTGAGTTGATTATCATGAAGGGAAGAGTTGCAGGCTGAGATGGTTCAACCAGCTCGATCCAAGGATCAATCGAAGGCCATTTTCAGAGGAGGAAGAAGAAAGGCTTCTTGCAGCTCACAGAATCCATGGCAATAAATGGGCCCTAATTTCCAGGCTGTTCCCAGGAAGAACTGATAATGCTGTGAAGAATCATTGGCATGTCATCATGGCAAGAAGGAAAAGGGAAAGATCTAAGCTATCAGGAAAAAGAACAAGCCAAGAACTTGATAATGTCATCGCCGAATCTCCTGGTAACTACATTTTCCATCGATCCAAGAACCCAACAATCCAGGAAGATTTCGCTTCGAGAATCAGCTTTGATAAGAATACTAGTGTTTTCTTCGATCACCATGGCCAAAACAAAGAAAATTATTGGAATGCATCTTTGTGGCCTAATCGAAGTTTCTTCGCAAGAAAAACTCGGCCGTGCAGTACAGCATCGATTACGGGTTTGAATAGTTATAGTAGAAATTTTTCGGTCTTTAGTGGCTACGGTGGTGGTCGTGAGGCATTTGCAGCCTTCGACATTTTAAGTAGCAAAGGTAGCGTATCGAAACCCTTGAGAAGTTATTTTGAATACGGGATGGGGATGGGGATGGCGAATGCGGATTCGGACAATAGAAAGGGCAAAAAAAATAGTTTGTCTTTTGGCAAGACAAGGATAATTAGCACTGAGAAAGAGGTAGAAGATCATAAACCAACTCACAAGAATGATGTCCCCTTTATAGATTTTCTTGGGGTGGGATTGTCCTCTTGATCATGGTTAATTATATATATATATATATATTGGTCTGGTTAGCTTAAAAAAATAGTAATAATTACACAATATATTTCATAATTAATTTCAGCATACAAAGTGCATGTTAACATAACAGAAATATACGAAACAAACTGACGAGGTATGATAGTAGTTCATATGGCACCAGGTGCATTTTAACGTAGTACAAATGCGTATAAACTCCTTTATGTGTGTATATATATCCTTTATGTTTTTTTTACTCCTAAACATTATTGTTGTTGTTGTCTTAGGGTGTGTTTGAAACACTTTTGTTGGTTCGATGATGTGTGTGTGTTTTTTTTTTGTCAAAACAATCAAACATATTTTTATTTTTATTTTTTTAAATAATATATTATATATACTTATTATTTATGAAATTTATAGGTTTATTTTTCTTGTAAGTTAAATATGATAGAATAGAGTTCTTAGATTAGTTTGGGTGAAAGATTTAGGGGTTTGTTTCGGATGTGCTTAAATGTTTGTGTTTTTAATTTTTTTATTTTTTTCTCTCTAAAAAATACTATTCTTTTTGTTCCAAAACTATAGTCTGTTGTATTCGACACGAGATTTAAGAAATATTGATATTACATAGCTAAAAAGTATAGGTAAAAGACTTTTTTGCCGTTATTAGTGTATTAATGTAACAATTGTGTAATAATAAAAAAAAAAAAAAAAAAGTAAAGGTAGTTTTATAGTGATATGGTCATTTATGAAAATAAGACTATTATTTTGGGATGGACAAAAATAGTAAACAGACTATTGTATTGGGACGGAAAATATTACATTCAACAAAATATTTTATATTTTAGAATTTGATTTCCATGACCCCAAAATACAAAATATAAAACTTTTTCTTTCTCAAAAAGGATTCTATCAACTTGCATGTTTATATACACATACATATATATGTATGTGTGTATAAATTGTTAGGAACAGTGTGATTTTAGCTACGGATGTAACTTTACTTATTATTTCTTTGAAATCTATTGAAAATTTATTTTGCTGTTAGTTTGATTTTCTTATTTTAATTTTCTGATACTATGTAAGGTTACTTAAGTTGCATAATACTATGTTACCACTAAAAAAAAAAAAAAAAAAATCTATGTCGGCAAGCCACGAATGTTCTTGTAATGTTGTACCATTTGACAAGATGTGAAGTTTGATAAGAAATTCAAAATATTGAACAAAATTTATCTTGTCTATGCCATCCGAATAGATATGTTTAGGACGATTGCAGACCTCAAAATTTCGATCATATTTTTGTTTGATTGTAATTTAAAATTAATTTAGAATGAATAATATTTTGATTTGAATTTTATTTCAATAATATTTTGCACTTTAATAATTATGTATTTAAACATCACAATTCAAACATTAAGGGTATGTTTCTTTAGCAATATTTTCCCAAATTTTATTATTTGAGCTCTGCGTTTCTCGAAAAAAAAATTATATTTTTTTCTCTCACAAAATATTCCATCAAACATTATTTCGTATCAAATTCAAATCAATTTTTTTCCAAACTCATCAACTATTATATATTGGTTTGTACCACTTCTATTGCACTTAATTTGTTAAATAAGTAGGAAGTTATTTCTCGATTTTCTTTTTATCTATAAATTAAATTAAATTTTGAGATAGATGAAGATAAAATAAAAAAAAGTAAAAAATTCTAGGATGTACCTTGCCGGCCGTTTGTCGATGATTCCTAGGTAAAATTAACACCAACGTTATTTTTAACGAAACATAATCAATTAATTAATCAAACCTTAATTAATCATGTCCAAATTAAATGATCGATCAAATTACCCAATTGCAAATTGAATTCAAATCAAACGATGATGATCATGGACAGAGATGAACAAGAGCTCAAATCCATGGGTCTTTTAGGAATCTACAAAGAATCTTACAGACTAATCTTCAGATTCCCAAAAATCTTCACCCAAATAACCCTAACCCTCATCCTCCCACTCTCCATCATCTTCCTCTCCCACAATCAAGTCTCCAACATCCTCCACCGTCGGATCATCCACGTCAGCACCACGGCCGACGACGTCGTTTCATCCCCGCTGACGGTGTACATACTCATCAAGGCAACTTACTTCACATTCCTCCTCGTCTTCTCCCTCCTCGCCACGTCAGCAGTCGTCTACACCGTCGCCTGCATCTACACCTCCGGCGACGTCGCCGCCGTAGCTTTCAGAGCCGTCGTGACGGCCGTCGTCCCGACTGTCTGGAAGAGGCTAATAATCACATTTCTCTGCACTTTCTTCGTCTTCTGCACCTACAATTTCGTCTTCCTCGTAACCCTGTTCTCAGTTTTCTTATTCTTCGCGACCTTCTCCGACAACTTCCTCGTCGGACAGGCCGTGGTCTACCTCGTACTGGCGGCGTACGGATTCGGTTTCGTGTACATGAGCGTCGTCTGGCAAGTCGCCGGCGTCGTGACGGTGCTGGAGGAATCGTACGGATTCGCGGCGATGGTTAGGAGCAAGGGACTGATTAACGCCGGCGGGATGACGGCGAGTTTGACCGTTATATTTCTGACATTGAATGCGCCGTTGGCCGTTATCGGCGGTTTTTTTAAAGAGTTCGTGGAGGACGAGGATTATTATTATTTCGGTGTCGTGACGAGAATTGGGATTGGGGCTCTGTGTTTGGTGGCGTTGATGAAGGTGATTCTTTTGGGGCTGGTCGTTCAGACCGTCGTGTACTTTGTCTGTAAGGCGAAGGCGGCGGCGGCCGGTCATAATGGCGGCGGCGCCGCCTTCGGTAATTTGGATTTGGCGGATCGGTTGGAGGGATATTTGGGGGAGTACTATGTTCCTCTCAAGGCCAAAGATGTTGTCTTGGAGGAGTTTCGTGTTTGATATATTAATGTTGTTTTGTTTTGTGTTATATTTTTTTTTTATATATAACGTAATAATTTGCAGGCTCTGAGCTTCGGTAACTTCTTTTCTATCTTTGATTGATGAGAAATAGAAACTATATGAAAATTTTTTTATATGACCCTCTATCTCACGGACCCCACTCTAATTTTTTGATAATATGGAAAGTATAATTGTAATTATAATTATACCTTTATTAGTATTATTAATTTATCACGTTGATAACTGCACTTTCATTCAATAATAAAAATTCATATAATTAGATTATTTATGTTGGATAGACATATTTGATCTCAAATTCAACAATGATGTTTAAACTCATGACTCCACCCCACATCATCAAATCATTTCTTACGGAACTTAGATATATTAATATTGTTCTAAATCGTTGTCGTCGTTCTAATTTTATTGTTCCCTTTTATGGAAACCTTTGTAATAGAATTATTCCCGTATCCAAGTATCAAACTCCTCCCGCTTCAAGTTTATTTTCTTTTTCTTTTTTTTTAAAAAAAAATTTAATCAAATATGAAACAGTCAATCTTAATTATATTATTAGCACAATAATCATAGTCATCTTCAAAAATATGAATTTAATCAAATATGAAACAGTCAATCTTAATTATCCTAAACAATGCTGACGTGTCGCCATTAAAAGAATTAATTAAGCCGTCTAATTTTCTACGGCGGCTAAAGTAATTAACCCGATCAAAATTATTAAATAAATTACATATAGGAATTAGAATAAGCACATTTGCTTCGTGTCTAAAAAATATTACCATAACAATAATAATAATAATAATAATAATAATAATCCAACAAAATCCTTAGCCTCCAAGAACACGACTTGAATTAAATTGAATTTAATTTAATTTAACTAATTCATTCTTAATCTTAATTTCAACGTTGAATTGCTCAACCCTAATTTTTGTTGTGTGTACGCTAAGCTTGGTTGAAAGTACCAAGAACTTTCCAACTCCCTTGTTACAATCTTCCATTGTTTGTTCCTTTATATATACACATGCAAGAATATAGTATGTTCGAATTTCATTTATTTCTTTAGTTATGTCATCGAAAGCACGATTCATAATGTCATCGTTTGCAAGATTAACGAGACACCCGTTCAATCCGGTTCGCGCCCTTCCGTTGAGTAGGGCTCAAGAGTTGAGACACCGGAGAATTTATACACCTACACGTGGATTCGAACATCGTGGCTACTCGCAAAATTATAACAATATTGGTATAAGGTTAGACATGTATATATATATATATATATTAATGTATATTATATATGATCGAATGTTGTCCTTATATATAATTCATTAAAACTATGTGTGTTTGATATTTTTAGAAGCTTTTATGTGTACGGCTCAACTCCAGGGACTTCATTGCCTTCTGTACCTCCATCTTCGTCTCCATTGTAAGTAATTTCTTTTAAAAAATTTATTATGTATATATATATATTTTTTATATTATACAATTTTACGATTCATTATAAAAATACAATATATATTCATATACAATATAATATCAAACTAGTATTTTAAATACAAATCAAACAGACACTTTGTCTTTATTATTACAAATATATATATATATATATATTTTTGAATTAAATAAATCCCTAATATGCATAGAATTTAACTTACGGGATTTATGGAACATAAATATTCTTGCAGCAGAAATTGGATTCTTGGAATAATTTTGTCAATAATTCTACCCTTCTTTGGCATCAAAATGGGACCGTTACTACAATTCAAAAGTAAGTACTCTACCATACATATCTCTTCACAATAAATTAATTATTTTTTTAATTTAAATTCAAATTCAAATTCAAATTAATCTAAATTATCGGTATCTATATATATATATAGGGGAAGTTGATACAGCGGTGAAGACGGTAGAAGAAGTAGTAGAGGTGGTTGAAAAGGTGGCGGAGGTGGTTGACAAGGTGGCAGAGGATGTCTCCGACCACCTTCCGGAAGGTGGAAAGCTTAAGAAAGTGGCGGAGGCCGTCGAGGTGGCGGCGGAGGAAACAGCCAAGGATGCTTATGTTGTCGGAAATGCCATTGACAAGGTCAATTTTATTTTTTATTTTAAGTTATATTTAGGGTGACGGGTGTGTTTCTTTAGCCATTAAATTTCTATTATTTGAATTTTATATTTTTTAAAAAAAATATATATAATAATTAATAATACATTTCATCAATATAAAATTTAAACCAAAATTTTCAAACTAAATCAAAATAAACGTACCCTTAAATTCAATGACAAGGTAATTAATATATATATATATATAGATATACACGACGTATATACTTGACTAAATTAAATCCAAGTATTAATATCAGTTGTATTAATTAAATTGTTGCATTACATGTTTTATGTTATTCAATACTAAAATTTCGTTTTCAACATAGAACTTTTACATTGCCAAGATCAAGACTTTGCTTAGATAAAAGATTTAGAAATCTTGAATTTTTTTGATAATTCCGAGAATAATAAGATAAAACATTGACTATTTAATTCGATGTTTTGCTTTAAAAATATATAATTATTTGATATAATAATTTTTTATTTTTTTTTAATTACTGTCAATAAATAGTATAAAAAAAATTAATATATATATATATATATATATATATATATAATCAGATCTAGTCTAAATCATTTATAAGATAGATTTTAATTTAATGTTTCAGTTCCAAGAAGTGGAAGAGAAGGTCGAAAACTTGGTCGGAACCATGGAGGATCATCAAGACAAAGTATCTCAAAATTCCCAAAGAACAAATGATAGTCTTCAACACTAAAGGATCAAACATGTATTTGGATCGTTACTTAGTTCCAGCAAGATGTAATAATTATGTATAAATCACAAATTAAATGAATACATAATCCTAACCACATAGTTAGTTAGTTACTGATTATTCTTTCATTATATAAACTTAAATGTGTATTATGTGCCATTTTTTAAGGACAGTTTGTTGTAATTAGAAACAAATTTTTTGCAACATATTATTGCCTATAAAATATACAGTTTATATATACAATTTTTTTAAAGTGCAGCACTATTCATAAGTAATACATAGGTAATGGGTCGGGTTCAGCTGGACCCGGACCCGACCCGACAAAGTACATATTGTTGGACTCGAAACTCGCCTTGGATTAGATTATACCGGGCCAGTCTTAATTATATTCAATAAGATACGATAGATCCGACATATTTGAAATACTTCCATAATTTTTAAATATTTAACTTAAAATTAAATTCAAATTCGGACATGGACTCAGATCCGCCGTATATTAAATTTATGTTTTTTATTAAAAAATTTATAATAAATAAATAAATAAAATTAAAAAATATTTTTAACATAATTATATTGCTAGAAATTATTATTATTTTTTTCATATACACGTTTGAAGGATTTTGGTGGATTTCCACTATTCATCCAATTTTTTTTCCCCAAAAACATCAAATCAAACACCTATTTTTCATTTTTTATATTATACAAAAAATCAATTTTACATTCAAAACATCACATCAAACCCTATTTATATCACATCATACAACTATTCAAATTCAAAATTTTTACTATTTAAATCCCAACTCAAAATCCAAACCCCCAAACAAACACACCCTATTGGTATATCGTTAATATATTAGCCAGATTTGAGTCCCATTAGAGTACACAATATTTGACGTATATTCAGTCTGGTACTTGAATAATTAGACATGATCTTAAATAAAAGGATTATTGAATTTTTTTAGGTATACTCAAATCTATTGTGATCTAACAAATTATTTTAAATTTTAAATGTGTAATTCTTAAAAAAGTATTTTAATTTTAAGTATATTATTAATTTGAATATAAAAATAATTTTTTCAATATAATATGAAATATAAAATAAAAATTTTTAATTTGATATTTAAAATATATATATGAATAGTAAAAATATGAGAAACGGTCGGAATGCACCCTTGAATCGATTTACAATGAAGCAATTTATTCTCTTGTTCCATGAAGGCAGAGGCAATGATAGACACACACCATAGTACACCATCAATACATGGGTTAGTTTTGAGTTTTGGTTTTGAATTTTTGAAGTTTTGAAATTGTATCGATCGATTCAATTTCGGAACTTCTCCAGCAAGCTTCCGAAGAAAAAGCTCGTCTTTGCCCATCCTCCGCCGCCGTCTGCCGCTGCCGCCTTCGCATCTGTCGCCGTTGCTGTCGGGTCCTTCTTTACGCTCAGCCGCATCCGGTGCCCGATCTCTTTGCGTAATTCTTCAATGATTTTGGAGTCCACCGCTCTCCCCGACGCATCGCTCACGTAGAACACATGCGTCGATTGCTCCCCGACCGTCGTGATTCCCGCTCTCGTCACCGATAACCCGTTCTCCCGGAGGATTCTCGTCACTTCCGATAGAAGACCTACCCGGTCCTTCGCGCATAGCTCCAAGCTCAAACCCTGAACGTGTTCGATTTCGAACTGTTAAATGACCATCTCAACTAAAAGCTTTACGATTGATTATACGTCGAGAACGATTTCGATGTTCGTTACCTCGCTCACTCTTCGCCTGATAGCCGCTTCGATACACTTGATGACCTTCGATTTCTCCTCCTCCGAGTCGAGAGTGCAACCGTCCATATGGCGAATGTAATATTCCTACATTCGGAGTCGAACGACGTAAATATTTCGACATTCGATTAGAATTAGTCGATCGTAAAAGTGCGATACCTGCGAGGCGTAAGGGCCGTCGGAGGAAATCGAGGCGTGGAAAACAACGTACTGCAAATCGGTGAGGGTGCACACAATGTCGAACATGAGCTTCGATCGATCCTTGCACGCGACAGTTACGACCGAGTAATCTTTCTCCTCGCATCTTTCGATCGTGACCTTCGGTTTGATGGGGCAACCCGGCTCGGTCGCGGAGAACGTGCCTTCATAATCTCGATCGGAAAATAGCAGCTGGTGGAGCCGTCGATCGACGTGGGTCGGAGCCATTGCAAAACTAGTGTGAGCCACATTGTCGCCGCACCCGCCGAGGATGTTCTTTAGCTGCTCCTCGATCGCCGAAAGTCGCGACGGATCGTCCGTCGCAGGGTTCATCGTATCGTTGTTGACGTAAAGAACGCACGCGATGCGTCGGTTGTGTGTCCAAACCTCGGCGGCAATGACGTTGATGTGGAGATTGGCAAGAACCGCCGATATTTCAGACAAGAGTCCCGGACGGTCCCTCCCAATGAGCTCGATAGCCGTGTAATCGATCGTCGAGTTGATCCCGACTTTCTCCCGGGAATTCTTCGACACGCCTAAGGTTTGCCCTTTCGGACCCAAAGCCTGTCATTGATCAAAAGATTCGATCACATCAAAACGTCAAAAAATTCAGACAACCTTCGCCAGTCTGAATCAAGACACTACCTTTTCGATGTATTCGATTGTTCTCCGGTCGCTAATTTTCTCCCCTTGCTGATCCGTGACATGAAAAACTGCAGACGACAAACACAAACAAGATCCGTAAACAAACATACGAAGGATCTTTTTCAGACAAAAACGAAAAGGGCGCGCACCATCCATGAACCATCCCCCGTCCGACGAAATATAAGCTTTGGTAATAATAAGGTCGAGGTCTGTAAGAATTTGCACAACCTCGAGCAAAATCCCCGGCTTGTTCATGCTATCGACCTAAACCATACAAAAAAACATCGGTACATCCCATCATTTATCAAAATTAACATATTTAACCACGTTCAAAACATCGCATCGATACCTTAACGAGAGTACAATCCTTGCAACTCGAATTATCCACAGACACCCTACAACAACAACATGATCCAAAACTCTCATTCAGACAATCAAGATTCATCCTATAAACAATTTGATCAATTCAACAGATGCAAGAACATCATAATGTGTTCGAGAAAAGGCGCGAAACCGAACTGCGGCGGGTTAATTCGGATGCTCAAGGTCTCATACTCTGGATCAAAGTATGCCCAAGAACCCATAGCCAATCCCCTGCATCAAACACGATTAAATTAAGCAACGATCGGGGCGACGGCATTCGAGCAATACAGATTAGGCCAAATAAGCAAATTGTGCAATACAATATAATCACTTTTTCTTCAGACAACAGAGCACCAAAACATCACAAAAACATTGCCCTAACAAGGAAAGATGAACAACATAGTTAACTAAAAAGTGCTTGTCCTAGAACAGGCAAGATAAGCAGATTAATGGTGATTGAGATCATCGATTGAATCTAAGCCACAGAATTAATATTCAATCTAATCTAATCCAATCGATAAAGAACATTACAGAAATTATTCCCCTGTCGAGTCGATTACCTTGGATGAGAGAAAAGTTCTTCGACTATTTCTTCAGCCCCTTCAATTCCAAGCCCACCATTCTTGAATTAAAAGGTCTTTACATTGTAATAACAACTTCATATCAGAAACAGAAGATCAAATCAGTATTAGAAAATTAAAAGAGAGAGAGAGAGTTAGAGAGAGAGAGAGAGGAGATGCATTCACCTTCGAGCTTTCGGAGAAGTGAGTGAAGAACTTCGCGGCTTTTTGTAGTTACCAAATTAAATAAAATTTCTCTAAATTTTAATAAATAAATGACGTTTGAATTTGAAGAAAAATAAAATAAATAAATAATGGCGACTTTCGACGTAGGAAGAGCACTACTCTCCACTATTATTGAAGCACAGTGAGTTCTGTTTTAGCGTCCGTACGATTCGGGTAAAGCGAGAGAAGGAAAGCGATTTGGAGGTGAAGACGAAAAGGGTATAATTTTTAAATTTTTAATTTTTATTTATTTAATTTTAAGGTGGCGTGAATGTGCAACGGCCAATTCTCCACTAGGGTGGGGTGGGGGTGGGGTAGGGTGTAAAAAATGTAATGAACGGACAGAGTGCGGCGGCGATGGAAGAACAGTGGAGAAGGTACTGTGGAGAGACAGTGACGCGGCGCGACAGAACAGTGGATTCCTGCCACTGTTCGCCTCACGCTCCTTGAGGCGCGTGCTGTTCACCCTTTGACTTGTTATATTTGCGTTTGACGGCGGGGGGAATTTACACTTTTGACCCCATGTTTTTGGACAACTCGGTTTTTGGACAACTCCAGTTTTGGTCCACATAATTATTCCAAGTCCCCATCACATTTTGTCTCCAACTTTCTTTCTATCACTGTAGGCATTTCTTTTTTAATTTTTTAATTTTTTTTTTATGATAAGAATAAATAAATATATATATATATATATGGTCGATTACGTAAGCAGAAGGAACATAATTAGTGGCAAACCTCAAGTATGGAGAAGCATGATTCATTTGTCCACTGGGCAGAATTAGAATATATAATCAAATTATTATCATTAGCAATTAATTAATCATCCTAATCATTGCCCATTAATCGTGCTTTATTATTATTATTATTATTATTATTAATTAGTTAAAGAAGTTAATTAAATAAAATAAAAAGGGAATCTCATTCCCTAGCTATCCCTCCTTTCTTAATCACCGCCACAACTGAATTCTTGATTTAAGAATTTTTATTTTTTATTTTTTTTAAAAAAAAGGTATTAAAGTTTGGATAGATCGATCTATCAGATGATATATGATCGATTTTGATTCATTCATTGGGAAATATATATATATATATGTATGTATATATTTATGTGCTAAGCCAATTAAATTATATTCTCCACTAACACCCATAATCTATACATACATAATATACACATACAATTATTGATCATGATGTACCTATAAAAAATCTCAGATATATATGCTTCTAAAAAATTTATTTAAAATTATATATATATATAGATTGACTACTATTGATCATTGTGTGAGAAGGGTTTGTCTGGTCCCAGAAATACTAACAGATGATGTTTTAGTGGACACATTTACTGTTGGTTCCTCTGTCTCTTCTTTACTTGATAATCTAATTTGTTTATTTTGGCTTTATAATACTTTAGTTTTGTATAGGTATAGGTATACTATGTCTAAATCACAAGTGAATGTGAGATTTTGTTTTAAAGATTAAAATATATATATTTAATAGTAAAGAAATTGAACAAAAGCAATTTTGTATTTTCTTTTTGTTTCAAATCTTTAAACATAATGTTTTGTGTGAATAATGTTGAATGCAATTTATTTATTTTTTTTCAAAAGAAATTAGAATTTATTCATGAATTTTGAATAAATATATATATGTTAAAATTGTTGAATATTATAGTTGTGTTTTTATATATAACACTATAAGAAAAAATCATTTTTGTAACAAAATTTTATTTTTTTTTTTTGTTTCTAAATCTATTTTTTCCGTTACTAATGACATTAGAGAGATGATGAAATTACGTTAACTAGTGTAAGGATTTGTTTTACTTGAATTATTTCTTTTTCTAGTTTTGTATTATTCAATATTTCAATTTCTCTTCAAAATATATTATATACAGAATTACTTTTCATTCAAAATACAACATAAAAATCCAAAAAAAAAAAAAACTACTAAATCTGAGCAAACATTTTATTAATGAACAGACAATATTACATATAGGTTGCAAGAATTTAAGGTTACCACCATTGATGTTTCTGTATAATTAGAAACAACAAAATGTGGAGTGAATTCCTTAATAGTAAAAGTAATTAATTTCAATTGCTGTAATGTGGTATGAACTGCTCCGTCAGGTGCTGAAAATGATCGTTATCGCCCTCCAGGAACCGCAGCACCTGCATTAATTACTTAATTAATTAATTCTTCGCGATATTCTCTCTGTCATCTAAATTTAACAATATTAAATCAAATGACTCACCTCAGCCATCGATGGCCGCATCTCGGGGCTGGGCTGGACACATAAATACGCTGTCCGAGCCATGTTGTACATTTGATACGTATTGTACGATTCGCCCAGCCGAGGATCCACCAGCTCGTGCAGCGCAAGTGTCTCGATCAGAGGCACCGCCTTAATTACATTAAAAGGAACCGGTTACGGTGCTGACTAAAACAAACCAGCCAGACATGGTATGATATAAACAATTATTTCGGTTACTGCTACATGTTCATATTCAAAATGTGTGTTTTATAGAAGTATGTCATATGTTTTATAAAAATGTGTCGTGTACTCTTAGTTTTTGTGTTGTATATGTATTATATTAACATAAATTGTGTGATTCTTGTAGTAGCATCGCGTGCTATCTCATACCACGATGTCTATTCAGTACAGTGCTGAATTCATCACCTATAAATCGTATCGATTGTGTATATCATTACCATGCGTTGTCTGTATGTTGTCTATCTATGGTCTAACACAATAAGTACAGATCAGTAGTTGATATACAATGTGTCGACTAATGACATATATTATCAGTTCATATGTTATATTTATATTATATTAATATAAAATGTGTTGTTTGTCCATTTGTTAAATGTTGCCTTGCTATGCTATAGTTTAGGTCTTGTCAATCAACATGCTGACTGTAACTTAAAAATATACTATTAAAGTTTTGTAGTTATTAAGAAATAATAGTATTGTAGTAGTTAGCAGAAGTGTGTAAGAATTTTTTGACATTTTGGTCTTTAATATTTAGTGTAATGATATATTTGTAATTTAAGTAAAAATTAATATATAATTACTTTTTCTAAAATTAAAAATAGATACTTTAAAGTGTGATAGATGAAAATAGTAAAAATAATACTTTGAATAGATACTATGGGAATCATATTACATACCCATTGTCTGAGAGACGGTTGTTGGCCACCTTTCGACGAATCCACAGCCTTACGCCCCGATATCAATTGTATCAAAACTATACCGAATGAATACACGTCAGTTAGCACCGAGACAATGCCATTCTCGGCATACTCGGGCGCAAGGTACCTGAACAAGAGCAAAGAGTCTTAAGACAACAACGTACGAGGAGCCGATAAGGACTAGGTTGATAAAACATCAATCGAATCTCACCCGAGCGTGCCTAGGATTCTCGTCTGTACGTCATCCTCGCTCATTTTCCATTTCGCAAGGCCGAAGTCTCCCAACTACATTCGACACACGAGTTAGAAACCAGAACAGAGTAGGCCAGAGTGTCCTTAAGACAAGAGCTGTAAGAAGCAACCATCGGTACAAAGTCGTGTGTCAGCAATATATTGCTCGGCCTCATGTCCCGATGAATGATCGGACTTCCTCGACACTCCTCGTGCAGAAACCGCAGCCCTTTTGCCGTCCCGACAGCAATTGCTTGCCGTCTGTGCCAGTCGAGGACGTGATTGGAATTATCTGTCAAAAAGTATAAACAAGCGAAAGAAGAACAACAATAATCAATTGAACGCCTCGAACAATCCTCCTTCGTGTAATAAACTCACTCACCGAATAAATGCCATTCGAGTGACTTATTGCAGATGTACTCGTACACCAAAATGTTGAGATTTTCCTTGCAGCAATACCCGAGAAGCATCACGATGTTCTTGTGTCGAGCGAAGTTTAGGACATAAACCTCGGATTGGAACTCGGAAAATCCTTGCGTGCTCGCTTCCTTTCGAATTTTCGCAGCGATAAGTTGCCCGTCCTTAAGCTCGCCTTTGTAAACGAAGCCGTAGCCGCCTTCGCCGAGTAAGTTTTCCGACGAGAAATCGTCGGTCGCCATCTGGATTTCGGAATAGCTATATCTTTTCGAGTCGAGCTCCGTCTTCATTCCGCAAGCAATGCAAAGGACTGGTACGTCCGACGAGGATCGACGCTGACTAGACTTTCTTCGCAGCTTCGACGTCTTCGGAGACGGAGCGTAGTACTGAGCTTCTGTTTTCGCATAATTACCTGCGAATGTTGTCCGTGTTAAGACAAAAGGGAGCCCAGAGAAAAATTGCAAAAAATATCGTCATGTATACCCCATTATTACTTTTGTCATGTATTTATCTCGCTAGCAAAATATATCTTATATGCTTGCAAAAGTCGCTATTTCTATCTTTTGGCGGTCAAATGATATAAATAGCGACTTTTGCAAACATATGAGATATATTTTTCCAGCGTACCGAACAAAAGTAATAATAAGGTATAGATGACATTTTTTGCAGTTTTCCCCGGGAGCACATATGTTGTAATATGTAATAACCTTTCTAACCTGAATCTTCTTTCTTGAGATTCCTTGGTAACCCGTTTTGCGAGGGAACGGTGTGGTCCTTGGCTTGGTAGGTGAAGGATGTCGGGAAGTTGCTATCGATGGAAACCATCGGCGCATTGTAGCTGACCGAGATGCTCGATTGTTCCTTGTTCTCGTTGTCGCTGACCGGCTGCGGCGGGACGGATTTGGACAACGAGTAATACACCTTATCTTCGATGTAATCGATTTCCTTGTTTGTATTGGAAGATCGCAGAATCTCGAGCGTGAGGTTGTCGAGGACCAGCGCGACCTTACATCGGATGTGTTTAATGTAGTACCTCAGTTCTCGCCGCAAATGCCTGCCAGTTGTAAGGGAAAATGTTGTGTAAGAAGACAAGAGAAACATTTGATTTTTTACGGACATCATCGATGTCGAAAACAGACTACCTTACCTGTCGAGTATTACCCACGCTGCGCTCGACGAAGCGACTTCTTGCACCACTACCTTCCTCAAAGGCGTCCCGGCCGTGATCTTAACTTCGATGTCGACCTACATTATACAATTGCGGAAAATAAGGTAGTTATAATATAACAAGACATAATCCAATGTAAGTATCTTTTTATAAAAACATTAACGATTGAGTAGTTTGAATATAATAATACCTCTATCCGACTCTAAGGGTTGTATTTACTTTTTGATGTGTTGATCTTTGAATATTAATTATTATATTAAAATGTAGTATAAATCAAAGGAAAATGACAAAAATAGTTATGGTATTAATATAATGACATTTGTAGAAAAAAGAATTATACAAATATAAAAGATATTTTTAATATTAAGTACAATGACGGTAAATGTAATCCATAGAGGCAGACAACGGGAATATTTTGTGAGATGAAATAGTATGCTAACTTAAACGCCACTTTCATACAATCGCTAAAAATAAGGTTGCTATAATATAACAAGACATGATCCAATAGTAGTTTGGATATAATATTTTGTGACATGAAATAGTATATTTTTAAAGAAAATCGCGACGATTGCACAGTAAACAAATTGAAACCAAACTCCAAGTAAACTAAAGAAGTCGAGCAAGTATTTTACCCCGACTTCGTCGCATTCCTCGGCGCTCGACTGGAGCATTTGAAGGTACATATCAACCTTCTTCGACACATCTTCTTCCATGGCACGTATGTGTGTCGTGCCGAGGAAATTCTCCGGCGCCAGCCCCATTTGGTAGCCCACTACAACAACAACATCGAATAAATTAAGAATTCATCCGAGGATCGATGCAATTAGAACAGTAGAAACTAGTAAAATCTTTACTAGGATGTAAGACTTTATGCAGCACTCCTAAGACGACAACAGTGTCGCCGGGATTAAGGATGCCGCCGCGCTTGCGAATATTACTGATAGTATGAACAAACTCATGGTGATTCCTATCCTTAGTTGCATCACAAACAAAGATAATCTGTGCAGGAATCAAAGAACTATCCCTATAGCTATTGCTATTGCTATGATGATGATCGTTAGCGCTGCTTCCCATCCCTAATTCAGACAGAATTGGACAGGATAGGATAATCTACTAAGATGTAAGAAGGTTAGAAACTTAGAATTATAATCTCAAAATGCGAAGGAGCGAGCAGTATATGAAGCAGTTCAAGAAATTGAAATTAGGGCTGAGAGTGAGAGCTCATCCAATCAAAATTAAATCAAAAAAGTGGTTGAAGAAATATGACTGAGCAGTACCGTTAATTCCACCGATGTTTCTGTCTCAACCCTTCCAACTGTTTCTGCGTTTCGAGATCGATTTGGGGAATAATTCTGTAGGATCTTTCGGAAATTCGAGAATATTCGAAGCAGCGAGCATGAGAAAGGGAGATGAATTCGAGGCGTTCCAGGACAAGGTCGAACTCATCCATTTTGGCGTTTGTCTGAAATCCTTCTTCGTCTCGCAGATATAGCCTTCTTGGATTTCTCCGAACCTTCGGGGTTTTGGGCGTCCGTACACCCTGCCCGGTTTGCTCCTCGAGCTTTTCTTTCCCCTTCGGCTATGGCTATCCCACTAATTTGATTTTGGGCTACTTTGAGAAACCCCTTTTCAAAAATTTATGCAATTAATTGGGTAATTGCTGATTAATAATAATTTATGTTTTGTAATGAACCTCGATTCTTGATCTTGAATTCTTGATGATGTTTGAGAATTCCCTTTTGAAATAGGTGCAATAATCCTCACAATAATACTTGTTAATCATTAATGAACTCCAGATATAGACTTTTCATTCACGCTATAAAATATATATATATATATATACTCGAACCAAAATATCCTTATTACACAACAAATCTCCCAAACAACAAATATTTATGTACACAAATGATCATTTCTAAAACACCAAAGCAAGCCACAAACAATCAATCAAACACACGACTTGGTTGTTAAGGTTCCCATAACGTCCGAACTGAAAAGAAAATACTTTCTTACAAAGCATAACAACATTTTAAATCTTCCAAGAAGTTCAAATCTCTCTTGTGAAGATCAAGACAACAGGGTTGTTTGAACAGGGGACGTCCGCCGCGACTTTCGATGGAATCATCGTCCGAACAAGGGAGTCACGGCTGAACAACGAGTGTCTGATGACAACAAACGGGAGAGATGAGACAGACAATCTCGTACAGTTAATGTAATAACTGAAAAGCATTAGATCTTGGTATCGTAACGTAGTTCTGACCTGAAGCAAGGCTGCTCTCGGCACATTGCTAAAATCCGGCTTGAATTGATCCCGCAGGTAGTTTAGATGATTGCTTTTCCCCTCAAGATACGGCAATGCCTAGACAAGCAAGGTTTGCGCGAAAATGCAGAATTAATGTTCAATTAGTACATTCTTGTCCGATACAAATGCACAAAACACACGCAGATGATGAATTACCTCTCCTATGGTCGGGCGCAGAGCAGGTTTACTTTGAACACACGAGTACGCCAATTGGGACATTTGGTACAGCTCGTACGTGCTGTAAGAATCCCCAAGTCGAGGATCAACAAGCTCGTCTAATGCGAGCGTTTGAATTAAAGGCGTGGCCTGAAGTACCAAAACAGACGTCGGGAGATCGATCCTCACTAAACTTCAATGTAAGAAAACCAGAAAACATACCCATTGTCGAATCGATTTGTGGCTGTCGTCGCTCGTTGGATTCGTCGCCTTGCGCCCTGAGATTAATTGTATCAGCACAATCCCAAAGGCAAAGACGTCGGTTTTCGCTGAACAAATGCCATTTTCTGCATACTCAGGCGCGTGATACCTGAAAAAGACAAAGCCCGTTTCGACAAAAATATTTCTTTCGAGCCAATGTAGTAAAACCACGAGGCGCGATTACTCACTCAAGAATTTTCGAGTGTTCGCCGAGCTTGTTTGTCGTCCACGTAGAAAGACCACAGTCTCCCAGCTGCCAAAATTTACTGACATTCAATCGCGTAAAAGGCTCGAAGAAATTCAACGAAGAAAGACCAAGATTTTACCATGGGAACAAATTCATGCGTGAGAAATACATTGCTCGGCCGCAGATCTCGATGCACGATGGGACTTCCCCGACACTCTTCATGCAGAAAACGCAGCCCTTTTGCAATTCCAACAGCAATGGCATGTCTTTGGTGCCATTCAAGAACATCTTCGGTATTATCTGCCGCGCAAAAAAAAGTTCTAAAAGCATACTCACAATTCGCTTCTTCGTCGAGTAAATTTGCTTGCTTACCAAATAAATGCCATTCCAATGTTCTGTTGCAGAGATATTCGTACATCAAGATGCTTCGGTTTCCTTCGAGACAATAGCCGAGAAGCATCACGATATTCTTGTGACACGCCATGCTTAGGACAAGTACTTCAGAAAGAAACTCCGAATCCGCTTGTCTATCTGCTTCCTTCTGCACTTTCGCGACTATCAGCTCCCCGCCCCTAAGCCGACCTTTATACACAGCCCCGTATTCACCTTCTCCTAGCAAATTCTCGCGCGAAAAATTGTCTGTTGCAGACTGAACCTCGGAATAACTACATTGGATCCGAGCAATTCCTGTTTTCATCTCCTCGGGCTCACGATGTTCATCAGAGACCTTATCCAGGCCGCTCGGATTTTGCATTTCTGCGCTCGAATCATCAGGTTCACTTTTAACTTCTCGATCAGCATCTGCACATAATTCGCTCAAAATTTTAAAAACGTCGAAGCGGGTATCAGGATATTTAGGATGACGGCATCCCCTTACCTTGTCTTGGTAAATAATCAGGCATAGCAATCTGTTCGCCGTCATTAATGAAGTCTATCAAATCCCGGACGAAATTCGCCTCAGTAGCAGCAGAATTAACAGATGCATAAGAAGAATTCGGCGCGCTCTGTTCTTTCAAATCTGTAGGAGGAGCAGAGCTACCACAATTAGCTTCGACTTCACCATGGATACCTGTTTAAATAGCCATCATCAAGCGGGGATCGATCGTTACTTCAGACAGTGAAGGTAGCTAAATCGAGACATAATGAAATTGAATTCTAACATGATCGATATTTTATAACCTGCAATCTCCGGCTGAGGATTTCGGTTGGATTCCTCCGGAGGCAATATGTTCTGCTCCATTACAATAGGTGTGAGTGTTGACGTAATGCAGCTTTGTTCAGTATCAGAGCTTTCCTGGGAGCAGATGGATCGCAAGCTCGGAGATACGAGTTGCTGCTCGTTATCCACAGTAAACGGCGAGACAACCTTACATTGTGTGTACAAAACTTTCTGCTCGATGTTTGCAGTCGCCTTGTCAGAATAATAAGACCTCAGAATCTCTAATGAAGAGTTATCGAGAACCATCGCCATTTTACAGGGTATGTGTCCGAGATAGAATCTTAATTCTTTTTTTAAATGCCTGCCGAAGAAAATTGTATTATTATTGACAAAATCGTAAAAGACAGACGAAAGGAAAGAGTTCATACCTATTAAGAACAACCCAAGTTGCATTCGAAGTTACAGCTTCTTGCACGACAACATTCTTTAGCGCCGCTCCGACAACAATCTTAACTTCAATGGCGACCTATGAAAAATGTATATCCACAAACATGATTTAAGGTTAATCTAGAGAAGTAGAATGTAAGAAACTACATACCCCATCGGCATCACATTCTTCAGCGCTATGATGTAGCATCCGTACGAATATGTCAACCATTCTTGCAACTTCTTCTTTTATTGCTTGGAGGCGTGCCCCGATGAAAGATGAAGGTCCTATTTGCATTTGGAAACCCACTTTGTAGAAGAAAACATATATCTATATCAGTAATAGACCGCTACCATAGAATACCATAATTCGATGTGTTTGATCAAGCGAGCCATTTAAACAACTTAATAAGTAAAAATCAAGAATAGTGCCTAGAATTCTTGATTAACTCTGTGTTTCTTTTCGGTCTCTAGGCAATTTTATACTATCTGGACTCTAAGTTGTTTGAAAAGAATATGATCGAGTAGAAATCAAAAAACAACTCGTAAGAGATTCCAACAAACAAGATCATCAATCATCTACAAACATTTCAGGCAAGAAAACAAACAAATCCATACATTCGAAATTAAAACATACCTTGAGATATCCACAACAAACTCTGTCACTAATTCAATATCCTAATCCTAAAAGCGACTTATTCATAGTACATTGCTCAAAAGACTCGAACTATTTCCAGCAATCACACTATATCCCACGAGAAAATCGAACCAAGAAGCCATAGCTAAAGACTGTAATCATAAGTGCACCGAGAAACACAACTAGATCACAAATTCTTACTGGGATGAAGCACTTTATGCAAGACACCGAGCACGGTGATCGTGTCTACTTCCTGAATCATAGCCTTTCGAGCCTTTATTTTTGCGACGATGTCCTTTAATTCGTGAGCATAGTGGCTCTTAGTAGCATCACAAGCAATCACAATGCGCCCTGGCATTAGTAAAGTATTAGTACTCCTGCTGCTGCTGCTGCCGCTCCTTGCACTTGGAGACGCCATTGTTTATGACCTCTACACTTACAAGAACAGGATAATGACTTGAACAAGCAATACCCAAAACCCAATTCAATAAATTAGGGCAACACAGAGGGGAAAAAAGGGGGATTTGAGTTTGGCAATGCACCAGGAAAATACTTTAGTTCTGCTTAATGTAAATTTACAATTTCTATTGCTAACAATCCTAGTAATGTACAATTGTTAATGACGACGAAAGAAAAAGGACAGCAAATTCCAGATTTCTAGAACAAGAAAAAACCTTTCTTTTTCTTTTTTTACCTTCTCTTAGTCCGCCATGGCTTTCTGTCCCTTTGAGGTGATGATAAATGGAATCCTCGAAAAGACCCATTGGCTGTGGCGGAAATAATCGAAACCGTCCATGTGATTAGAGAAGCTTCTCTTGTCCTGGGACAAACCAAACAATTCTTTCTAGGTTTCCCCGAAACCTTGTTTTGAGTCCCAGACTTCTTGGATTCTCAAATTTATATACATAAATAAAAATGTAGAAGAAATAAAGACAAACGTGGAAACGCAATAATCTGTCCATTTATAAAAAACAAATTTACCACAATATATGGTATGGATTAATGATTTATGATCCCTTTTCAATTATTGTTAAATTCTTCATCAGATTTATGTGCATTTGGTGAATCAAGAATCTACAGAGGCACATCAGTAGGGAATTCCTGGGGATGTCTTCTGACAGCATCCCTGACTGCTTTTTCTTGTTCTTGGAGATTTTCGGGAACCTGATCATATACATCAGTGAACAAATCTTCCAGTGATGGTTTCTCCATTTTATCAGCTGTCTGAATTGCTTTCAACACCTATACATTACAAAAAACAAAAAAACAAAGACAATAACGAACAGAACAACACAACACAACTTCTTATTACCATCACAAATTTGCTTTAATGTGTATGTATATAGCAAAAAGAAAACCTGCTTCCTTGTGCTTGCACGAAGCTCAGTCTCCTCATCGTGGCTCCACCAGCCGTTCCTCTCGACGAATTTCCTGAACCGTGTCACCGGGCTGCGACTAGTCCTCCATTGCTCAATCTCGTCTGGTGATCTGTATTTTGTCGAGTCATCCGATGTTGAATGATGTCCAACTCTGTATGTCATAGCCTGAACATGGATCGATCAATGGTTTATGATATGCCAATAAAACAAAAAAAAAAAACTGGTTTTTCGATCCTTAGCTTTAGTTTGATCACCTCTATAAGTATTGGCTTCTGCTCGCGCACCACCATCTCTCGCGCCGCATGAACTGTGGCGTGAACAGCAAGTGCGTCGTTTCCATCTACACGAATGCTGGGAATCCCATACGCCTGTCCCTTAACTACGACACCATCGCCTGGAATAGCCAAAAGAACAGAGGAATCAATGAATCATCTATCTTTACAATATGATAAAAAAAACCCATCCATATTTTGTTGTGTTTTAAAGTGTCGTATGTAGCTAAAGTTTTTACTTCTGAACTGCTCGGACAACGGCGTGCTTATTGCCCATCCGTTGTTTCTGCACACAAACAAAACCGGGGCGTCCATCACTGCCGCAAAATTCAAAGCAGCATGAAAGTCTCCCTGCCAATAATTATCTCAACATTTCAGAATTCATCGAACATAGAAGAACTAAATCAAAGTATATATGCCATTATAGTGATATATATATATATATACTTCGCTCGTCGCTCCATCGCCTACGAAGGCCACGGCGCAAGCATTCTTTCCATCCATCTTCAGAGAGTACGCGACGCCGACTGCCTGAGGCAGCTGAGTCCTGTCACACACGCACATATATATATATAACATATGATATAGTCTCACTTAATATATTCTATAATTAAACATTGTGATATATTGTAAAGTATACTAACGTTAGAGGCGATGAAACGGTGATGTAGTTATGATCCTTGGAGCCATAATGAATCGGCATTTGGCGGCCTTTGCCGGGATCGTTCTTCGTCCCGAAGCACTGGTTAGCGAATTCTTGCAGTGTGTATCCGCGCCACAATAAGATTCCTGCCTCCCGATACTGAGGCAGCACAATGTCGTCCGACGATAGGGCGGCGGCTGTCCCAATGTTGACAGCCTCCTCTCCCCCTGCCGTCATGTAGAACGATATCCTCCCCTGACGCTGCGCTTCGTACAAAATGGTGTCCATTGTTTGCAGAGTCACCATGCTTCTGTACATTCTCACTGCAATCTCTTTGTCCACCTGCAATTCTCAAATTACCTCTTCGAAACCTCCAGGGAGCTAAGAGCTTCGTGAATGTATTTATGTATGTATGAATAAACTTACTTCCTCGTACAGGCCGCCTTCGATTGGATAGCCATCGTCGTCCAGCACGCGGTAGCAGGGAACCCTATCGTTCGAAGATTCTGGAATGAACCTCATCTGAGGAGTAAATGGAACTCTGCCGCCGGGAAATTCGACGCCCTAGATTCAAATCGGAAACTTTTGTTTAGCGCTTTTATAAATCGCGCCAGCTTAGAACACGTAACAGTGTTGGAATGTTTTGTAAATAATGTCACCAAGTCCCTCGGTTCGAGCTACGGTGTCACTTTAGGTGGGGTATAATTATTCTAGTATTTTTATATTAAAATTAATATAAAAATTAATTTAATTAAAATTAGAAAAATATATAAATTTAAAAATTAAAATGAAATTAAAATATACAGTTGTTTTTAAGTGATAGATAAAAATAAAAAATAGAACGTAAGTAAATGGAAGGAAAGGGTAACATTTTATATAATAAATAATAATAATAAAGTGGAATTTTTATTGTTTCAATTAAATGAAATTAGTTGATCCTTGAGCTAATTAATCTTCATTCTCTTATTAATTACTCACGTCGTGAAAATAAATGCTGCCGGGAAAGTAAGGCAACAAAACAAATTAAATTAACTCATAAAATTGTATTTATATAATATGCTATTCGATTAAAAAATAATAATAATAATAATAATAATAATAATAATAATAATAATAATAATTGAATCTCTGTTAGAACTAATAAGTATACAATGTTTTAAATAAAAACATTTTTTTTAATAATAATGATTAATTAAAATTAAATAAAAGGATGAGATGAGATGAGATGAGATGAAACATAACACATGGTTTGCTAACGTTACCTGTCTGTCACTTCCGTCGTCGTCTTCATCGGTCTCCGCCACGATCGGCTGCCCTGCGGCCGCCGATTCAAACCGGCGGGAAGCGAACGGCGGTTCATTACATAATCCGTACGGTTTTCCGGCAAAATCACCGGTCGCCGCCGGCGAGCGCCTGTACCGACGGTAGCGATGAAATTGAAGAGCAGTGAACTGATCAGACAGAGAAACTGTTGCTGTTGTCCTGACCAAATTTGTAATTGCTCGTGATCTCCTCAGCAACGCAGCTGCCATTGCCGTTGAAGGAATTCAGGCAATATATACCTTCTGCAGAATATATATATATATATATGTGTGTGTGTGTGTTGGGAAGAACAGATGAGGAATTGAGAGGATCAGATGGTTGGTTCTAGAAGATCGAATACATATATATGTGTGTGTATGTATAGTTTGGTTTGTAAGAACAAATTTACATCAATGCATAATAGGCTTAGGCAGCCCGACGAGATAAGAGGTGGGACTCATGAAAATCATTAACTAATAAGAGAATTTAATTTTTTTTCTATAACTTGAAAATTTTTGATTCCTACTGGACGGACGAGTGCATTCCGACGTAAATTTTCGATAGAACCTAATACCTTACAAATTAGATCTAGTAAAAAAAATCATATTAGCAACAGATCATCTTTTACCGAACTAATAGAAGACTTTTTTGTATATATATATATATATTGTTTTTATAGAGCAATTTTCATAAATATTATAAAAATATAATATTCCTTATATTAGTGTTTATTTTTTACATTTTTTAATATTAGTATTATATGGAGTTGTAGTGAAAAAATAAAAATACTCTTATTGGTATTGTATAATATAAAAGTAACGATATTTGTGTAATACAATGTAAATTGTAAACGGTATTTATTATATTATATAGGTAATATAAATACTAAATTAAAAAATAGTAACGGAAATACAAAATATTATTCTTTTCACTTATTGTGTACAAAATGTTTTTTTTTTTTTTTTTTTTATTGTAAGCTCTTCGAAAAACATTTACGTACACATATTTACGCACGTGTATTTACTTATCAGGCAACTTATTATTCTAAATAAATCAATCAATCAATCAAATAGAGGTGGAATCTTTTTTTATTATTAATATTATATAATATTATCCCATGTAACGAAAACTTACAAAATTGATTCAACCAAACAAAGGTTGTCCAGCATATCCAAACACTTATTTTTTGATATGTGTAGTGGATAATTTTTCAATTTTATTTTTTGAAGATACATAAATAATATATATATATATATAATTTTTAAGGGATGGGAGGAATTCAAGTTCCGCACGTATTGTTGAATTATTCCAAATAAATTGTCCCAAGAAAGCACCAGTAGTGTCTGAATTCACGACAAGATAACATAAAAACACATGGTCGGAAACCCAAGCGTCTTAACTTATCTGTCACATGGTTCGCCTAACGTGTCTTATCTGTTGAATTTAATTTGTAGGGTATTAGGTTCAATAAAAAATTTACCAGTGCGCACTTTCGGGTAGCAGCTGCGGATTTTCACGTCATAAAAATAAAAATAAAAATAAAAATAAAAATAAAAATAAATATATATTGGCGGAAATTGCTTTAAATAGAAAATCTGATTATTTATAGTTTGGTTTAAATTTAAATAAAGGACATTTGATCTAATAAATAAATAATTATTGTAAAAGAGATAGATGAAATTAATGACGTGGAAATAATTCACTTATTTTTGGAATGATGATTATTAATAAATGAGTTAAAGCTTGTAAGAATTATTGAATGTGTATTTTAATTTGATTTTTCTTTTTATTTTTTTGTTATGTTAATTTCTTATAATAATATGCCATTTTTGTCTTCAAATTATTAAATAAAATATTTATTTTAACATAAAATACAAATATAAATACACAACCAAAGTAAATAAAGTCTAATTGGAAAAAAAAAAAAAAAACTAGAGAAATGATGAAAAAAATGTTGTATTTTATTTATTATTTAAAAAAAAATTACATTTAATATATATTTAGCGTGTTTCACTTTATTTTTACTTATAGTTTTCTAATTAATTATTTTTGTAAAAGCACAATAAGTTTTATATTTAAAAATATCACATTTATTTATTTTTATTTAAAGTATTATATAAAAAAATTAAATTTCTATTTAAAATATTATATTCAATATGTATTTATATTAAATTGATTATTAATTTTATATTCAATTTTTTATTTACAAATCAATTCAAAACTTTAAATTAATACAAAAAAATAAAATAAAAATCTTTTAATATTTGGTCAATTTTCATATTATACGAATATCGTAAAAGTTTTTATAAAAATATATTATTTTTTATCTTAAAATATCAAATTCAAACAAATATTTAAATAATTTTTTTATCTTTTTATTTAGAGTGATAAAGATGATGGGTAGGCAATAAAGAGTTTGGAGAGATGGAAAGATAACGACAAAGAGATAGGGATATACTTGTAGGGTTATGCCTATTATCCCTTAGCCTTGCCACGTGTCCCTCTTATCTTTTGTCCTAACTCAAAACACTCTAATCACACTTTAATGTAGGATATACTTTCGTGTCCGTAAGAATTTATTATTATTTTTATTTTCATTAATTGTTATTATGAAATTTTATCAAAATTTGATTGGTAAGATATAATATAAATGGAGTTTATTACGAATTAAATGTTTGTGGGCTATGTTTTAATTCGAGATCTTTTCTTTGGTAAGTGCATATTCCATTTCACCAATTTTCATTTATATTTTTGTGTACTCTTCAAAAGTTCAGATATAATCGAAAATATATTTTATATAGAATATAAAATACACTACATCCGTCCGACTATAAAGTTTTATTTACTTTTTGTGTATTATATTTGAATATTAATTATTATATTTCATCTGTCTCGGAATTATAGTATTAGTTGTGTTGGACACGAGATTTAAGAAATATTGATATTATATTGATAGTGGGTAAAAAATATATGTAAAAGACATTTTTCTCCTTGTGAGTGTATTAATGTAAAAGATAGTGGCAATTTTGTAATAATAATGAAATAGTAAGAATAGTTATATAGTGATATGGTTATTTATGAAAATAAGACTATTGTTTTGGAACGGACAAAAATAGTAAATAAGACCTTTGTATTGGGATGGAAATAGTATTAAAATATGTTACAAATTAAAAAAGAAAATTATAAAGATATTTCAATTAGTGTATTATAATACTAATAGAAGAATATTTGTACAAAAAAAATAATTATACAAATATAAAAATATTTTTAATATTAAATACAATATCGCAAAATAATAAAAAATAAAAATCAGTACAGTACTACTGTCAGGAAGTGATTATTATGACAAATATTTTTAAAATACAAAAAGAAAAATGAATGTTCTATTATGTTCTTATTAATTTTAAGATTATTACGAAAATATATATGATATATTATTTTTTTCAAAAAAAAAAATCACGTGTTAAAAATAGAACTTACCCTTAGATCCAATGTGAAAATTAAATATACATAAATTAATATTGAATAGTATAGGTTTGGCGCCGAATGTTTAATTTATTGCAAAATTCACTCCAATTCCATTTCCACCATAGGTGTGTTTGTTCCGCGATTTGAATTTTAAGTTGGGATTTGAATGGTAAAAATTTTAAATTTGAATAGTTGTATGATGTGATATAAATAGGTGTTAACGTGATATTTTGAATGTAAAATTGATTTCTAATATAATATAAAAAATAAAAAATAGGTGTTTGATTTGATGTTTTTGGAGAAAAATTTTGAATAAATAATAGAATTTTGTCTAAATCCTACAAACAAACACACCAGCTCATTGCTACCACTACTAGTATAACTAGGTTACAGGTGTAATTAAATTTGGTAATACGAGTATTTTTTATTGGATAAATTTTATTAATTTCTATATCATAATTTATTAGTTGAATCCATTACAATCTCTTCCATCAATTAATCTTTCCATTGTTTCAAGTGTACAATTCGACCAAAATTTGAACATATTTATGAGAAATATTCACTATTAATACACAAAAATCAATAAATTATCCTTTGTCAAAATAAAATAATTTTACCATTATTCAGTCCTCATTTTCCTTCAAATACCACACCAGCTCCGGCCGGCGGTTTTTCCGGCGACATTTTGTTCGCGCATCGCCCGCCGGACCATTTCCGACTCCGTCCACTCTCCGGCGGACGCCATTGCGCGCGAAAACTGAATTAGGGCACCCGAGTTTTCTCCGTCGACCTCCGTAATTCTCTCGGCAACCTTCTTCGATAGCGCGTGGTCGCCGTACTCCGCGCACCCCCGAAGAACCGCGGACCACATGTTTGAATTCGCCCCCGGGGGGACCTCGTCGATCAGCCCGATAGCTTCTTGAAGTCGACCCGCCCTCGCCAAAAGATCGATCATGCACGAGTAGTGTTCTTTCTCCGGATCGATATCGTAGTCGCGCTTCATCCGGAGAAACCACTCCATCCCGTCGTCCACGAGCCCGCAATGATCGCACGCGGATAGAACCGCCGTGAACGTGATTTTCGACGGCGTCGCGCCGTTACGCGTCATTTCACGAAACAGCGCCAAGACGTCGTGTCCGTATCCGTTCGTCGCGTATCCCATCAGCATCGAGTTCCACGAGACCTCGTCCGGGTTCGTCATTTGGTCGAACACTTTTCGAGCGAGCTCGATCGAGCCAATCTTGCAGTAGAAGTCGATGATCGACGTCGCCACGACGCGATTCGTATTCAAGCCAACCGCGATGGACCGGGCGAAAATTTGTTCGCCGAACTCCGGCAACGGGACGCTCGCGCACGCGGCGACGGCGGCGGCGAGGCTGAATTTGTCCATTCTCAAGCCGTTCACGTTCATCTCGTGAAAAAACGTCAACGCTTCCATCGGGTAACCGTTCTGATTCAGAGCGACGATCATAGCATTCCACGAGATCAAGCTTTTTGATTTCATGCCACCGAACACGCGCTTCGCCTCGTTGATTCTGCCACAGTTCGAATAAACCGTGATCATCAAGTTTAGTAGAATCGTATCGAAAGATTTGACGTCGCTGAACAAGACGCAAGCATCGGTTGAACTCCCGCACTTCGCATACGCGTCAATTAACGCGCTCGTGACGCCAATGTCGTTTAAAATCCCGAGCTTATAAGCAAAACTGTGCAGGCGAATGCAGTTTCGAATAACACCGACGTCGCTGCAAGCGTTCAGAACGCTAGAAAACGTCGAGCAATCGCCCACGACTCCTCGACTGTTCATTTCGCCAAATAAAATCAGCGCCTCCGCCGGATCATCGTTAGCGACGTATCCCGAAATTAAACTATTCCATAATCCAACACAAGGATTAGATTTAAGCCCAAAAATTCTCTTAGCATCATCCATTCTGCCGAAGCTCGTGTAGCTCGATATCAACGACGACAGAGAGTAATCATCCGGATCCTCCATCGCGCTCAAAACTCGTGCCGCCGAGTCCAAATCGCCACACTTCCCATACATATTCGTGAGGGCACTTCGCAAAACACAATCAAATTCGACACGATCGATTATCATCCGAGCATGAACTTGCTTCCCGATATCCAATCCTCCCGTATCCGAACAAGCTCCGACAACAGTCGCCAAAATAAACGGATCCCATCCGAAAACTCCGACGCTGCCTCCAAATTCCCACTTCAAAAACTCCTTGAACAACCTTAAAGCCATCCACGACCCACCATTCTTCGCATAACCATGAATCATCGTGTTCCAGGCAATGCAAGTCTTCCTCGGCATTTCATCGAACACCTTCCGTGCACCATCCAAGTCGCCGTCCCTGACCAGGCCAGACACCACTGTGTTCCACGAGACTTCGTCCCTGATCGGCATTGACATAAAAAGGTCCAACAGACCGCCATTACTGCTCCCTGACTTGGCGTAGCCTTCGAGAAGTGCGTTCCAAGTGAAGCAGTTTTTTTGAGGCATTTCGTCGAACAGGTTCCGGGCGTCCCCCATTCTACCACACCTTGCGTACATCTGCACGAGACGATTACCAATCGAAAGCGCAGATAGAACGCCCTTTTTGAGGAGAACTAAGTGGAGCTGCTTCCCTTGCAAAATCGAACCTGGATTTTTCAATGTGTTGAGCCACCGTGCATACGACTGCAAATCTCGGAATTCCATTTCCTGCACTAACTTCCGATCATTTCAACAAAATGTTGACAAAAATTCTACTAGATCAAACATGAATAATTGATTTTTTTTCTGAAAAAATGTATCGACCAAAAATAACGTCTTGGCCATTCAAACATTCTATTCTATTCCATAGGCTAGGGTTTTGTTTGACAAGAGTTTTTATTTATTAATTTATTTATTTTTAAAAATAAAGAGTTTGTTTTATTTTATTTGCCCACACGGCGGCAATAATTAAAAAATCTTTAAATTGTAATAATTAGACTCCCAACTTTCTCGTTATTTTTTTAACCTCATAAAGTTTGAGCCCAATAAATAACATGAAATAAGTCCTATAGAAAAGTAATAATGCAACAGACTAATACAATTCTCCCTATATAAATATTTTTCAAATTTTTGATACTATATCTTCTTTAAATTTACAAAGAGATGGGAAGAAAATTGGTAGATGGAAATATATATTTTTTAAATTCCAACCAAAGGTTTTTTTTTTTTTTTTTTCCATGAAAATTATAGTATTAAACATCCAAATTTTACCATCATTATTTTTTTTAAAAAATAAAAATAAAAAGAATTTATTTGATTTTAATTTTAAGTTCTTATTTTTTATTTTAAATTTGAAATAACTTTTTGGTGATCCAATCAAGATGAACATCTCCTCAAAACCCTTGAACTAAATATTTAAAACTAAAAATTTAAATGGTTAAAAATACGCATATTTATTTATTCACAGATAAGAGTCCACCAACAATAATAAAATATTAATTATTTCAACTTAATAAATTAATTACTTTCGAATTAATGTACTAATAATTTGTACTAATAATTTGAGGTGTGTGTTTGAGGAATGAATTTTCAATTTACTATTCATCCTATTTTTTCTTCTAAAAATATAAAATTAAATATTTATTTTTTATTTTTTATACTTTCTTCGTCCCATACGAAAGTATCCATTTTTCAATTTTAGTCAGTCCCATAACAAAATTCCATAACAAAATATCATTTTTTTCAGTAACTGTACTATCTACATAATATTACAAATATCATTACAACTTACAATATATTACACAAATGTCATTACTTTTATATCACACGTACTAATAAAGTTATTTTAATCATTTCTACTTTTTTTTATACTATATTCCAATATAATACTAATATGTTTAAGTGCAAAAAGTAAATTGATACTTTTTTATGGGACAGAGGAATATTACACTAAAAATCAATTTTTCATTCAAAACATCAGATCAACACCTATTTACATCATATCATACAACCATTCAATTCAAAACTTTTACTATTTAAATCTCAACTCAAAATCCAAAACCACAAATAAACACACCTCCCCGCCGACTTGAAACAAACCATATACAAAACTATTCTTTTTTTTTTTTAAAAGCCTAAATTTCAGGTGATAAATACGGCCCACGACCGCCCATCTATAAACCACTACCCTTTTCTTCCATCCACCGTACCTCAAAAATCAACGGTGCAGATCTATTTTCCGTTGCGCTCCCGGACCTCGCAAAATCGGAAAACTCCCATATTTATTACACTGCCACCACAGCTCCCAAACCTATACCTTCACGGATCCCATTTCCATGGCGCACTTCCAATTTTCCCCAATTCAAGAAACGATGTTCGATTCAATTAACAATTTGGGCAATTGGGAGGATCGAGATTTCCTCCAAATTAGTGCTATAAATTACTCCGGCGAAGAAATTGGCGGCGGCAGCGGCGGCGACAATTCCGGCGAGGTTCCTCCTCCTCTTTGGAAACCCCGCCGGAGCCCATCCCGGCCGCTCCTCCGCCGCATGTCTCCGCCGTCGCCGAATTCCAGGCGGGAGGCCATCGCCAGGGGCCGGTGGGAGCTCATGGAAATGGTGAACAACATGCCGGAATCCTATTACGAGCTGTCGCTGAAAGACATTGTCGAGCGCCGCCCCCCCGCCGCCGCCGTCGATCATCCACGGACGGCGGCCGGAGAAGCGAAATTGGCGGCGGTGAGGAAACAGGAAAGCAAGAAATTAAGTGCCATGAAATTCGATTATAATAAGGATAAGGGTTTTCTACTGAATGTGGGGTTCCAATTTTCGAGTTCGGGGAAGTCGAGGAAGAGAGACAAACGTAATAATAGTTCCGGCGGCAGCGACGGCGGCGCCGACAAATATGGCCGCGGCAGGTAATAAAGCCTTAATTGTTAATTAATTTGAATTTTTCTGAGAAATTAAGGATTTTTTTTGACCGTTGCAGCGGAAAACGGGAGGGGGGGCTGTCAGGGTGCTGGCCGCCATATTTGCAGTGGAGGAAAGTGATGATGAGAAATTAACCAGACCTGTAGAGTAAAGCAAAATATTGGCGCAAGTTTTTACATGAAGCCATGCACTGTGTATCTATATTTGTGTGTACATCTATCTTTGTGGGTATTATATTATGTGAGTGTATTTACTTCCTCGTCTATTCACTCTCTATTTCTCGACGGAACAGTTATTCATAAATATTATTAAAAATATATAAATATACACATAAATTAATATAATATATACATTTATTTATAAAAAATCAACATAAAATATTAATTTTTATATTATCAATACAATTTTTCGTACTGTACGTCGAAAAATTAATTTATCTTAAATATATTGATTGAACAACTAAGTACAACTTATATTTTAATATAATACAATATAATATATAAACTAACGTTACATCTTATGGTCTGATACAACACATATAATAATTGCATATATATATATATATGTATTTATAACTACATGTTTATTACACAAAATATGCTTTGTTTAATAAAGTTGTAGGTTGTTTATATATATTATGGGTGTTAATGAAAAAATTTAACAGCACAGCTGATTTTTAACCGTTACACATTTCAATAGTCTATACAAATTTCCAACACAAAATACACAAAGTATAAAATACATCATTAATTTTCATTTTAATATATATATATATATATTGATAATAACTTAAAACATCCAAAATAATGCTTAACACATGACTCGTGTAGATTGGAATGAATTGTTGCTTATAATTTGTCAAATATGAAAGAATAATAATAATATTATATTTAAACGGTGAACAAATTTATCACGTAAACACATAATAAATTTCATTGAATATTTATTGAAATTCTACATATATCTCGTAAATTTAATTATTTTCTGGCCAGCCCAATAAATGAAATTCATTCCAAATTGTCTTATTATTATAGAAGGTTTAAAATAACTAAAGTGGCATTATGGACTAATCATTTGATCGAATTTAAGAAAATTTCAGAACCAAATCATTCCAATGTAATGATGTATTTATCATCATTGCTTGCAGTTGCATGTGGGGATTTTTATATTGCATTTTCTTTTAACTATATAAAAGTAGAAACAAAAGTAATAAGAACATTAATCAAATAAATAAATAATCGGATCAGATAAGAACTATCAGAATCGTATCTAAATTTGAAATTAATGTATCAGGAATTAATTCATCAAATGTTGAAAAAATAAATGAATAATAAATCGTGCTGGAAAATAAATATAAAAACGTGTAAGTCGTAAAAACGCGCTTTTAGTGTAGAATTTTTGCCCAAGAAATTAAAACGTCAAAACAAAAAAGGACCGTAGGTACAGCTACCGTCAAAACCGGTCAACCGCTTCAGCCAGCAAATCCTATTGGTCTGTCTTTTACGTGTAAGCGTCACCGCCGGTGAGATTAGCAAAGCGAAAAGGAAAAATGCAAGGACGTGTCTGAAGGGGACAGGTTTTGTATTTAGAATTATTGAATTACAGAGGACTTGAAAAGAGGTCATCCAAACAAGGCCTTAAATTAGAAATTCGCAAATCGGAAAAAGGTTGAACCTTGGACGTGGACGTTAAAACCGGAGGAAGATCGCTGAATCTCATTATTCTTCAGTCTTCACGCGCGACCACCATTCCGAATAGTTTCTTCCTTCTACAGAGCAGGGGGATATCATTAGAGCGTCGTCAATTTAGGTTGCTCTCTCCGTGGACTGGAGGAGACTTGGAAGGCATCTGGCGGGTAATTTTATTAATCTTCTTAAGATCCTGATTTTGTAGGCGATTGCGACTCTATTGATTTGATCCGATGTTTTATGATTTGATGTTTCTTTTGCACATCAAGATTGGGCAATTTTAGATTTCTTAAGAACAGCGTGAATTTGTAGGTTTTTCATATCCAGATTGTGCCCATTTTGTTCTTTGGTTGCTGATTGCATTTCAATTAGTTGTCTGGTGTGTTTTGCGCACTGAATTTTAATGATCTTGATTGCTTTCGGGATTGATTCTATATGAATTTAAATGAATTGAATTGGTATGGCATTGGATTTGATTTATATACATTTGGTTGTCTTTATTTGAAGGCTATGAATTCATCACATTTTGTTGCAATGCTATGTTCAATAGATGTTAATTTACTAAGATGATGTTCAATAGACTATGAATTGTATTCGAAGAATCAAATGTAGAGGCTGTGATCTTCGATTTTGTGTTTGCTTAAGTGCTCTGCATTGAATCGATGATGTGATGTGGTGTGGTGTGATTTTTTTTAGTGTTAGGAATTGAGGTCACGGTGAATCTACCGATATGGAAAATGCAGCTACTATTGCCGAGAGGGCTACCAGCGATATGCTGATCGGTCCGGACTGGGCAGCAAACATAGAGCTGTGTGACTTAATAAACATGGATCCCGGGTATTTCATTCTACTTTCAAAGGCGGATTTTGACTTAGAATACCATTTCTGCAGCTGAGGTATAGTTTTACAATGTCATTCATCAATTTCAAATTGCAGGCAAGCAAAGGAGGCACTGAAGATACTCAAGAAAAAACTTGGGAATAAAAACTCGAAAGTACAGATACTTGCACTATTTGTAAGTGTGTTTTCGAATTTGTTCATTTTGTTAATGTCAACATGAGTTCCATTTTGTATATTACTGTGAATCTCATTTCTTAGGTTGCTGGTTTACATCTTTTATATTATTTCACAAAATGAACATATATGAGTGGTGTTCGAGTGAAATTTGCGAATCTTGAACATTTTCCGTAAGCTAACATTTAGTAACACATTAGCCTTGTTTACATACATATGTTCGAGGTGTTGTAGCTCTTGAAATTACAAATGAAAGGCATTTAGTTCGCAATTTAGGACTATGAGTGACCCTTTTTTGTAAAACATATCTTTATTGCTACTAATTAAGATGAATATGATATCTGTTTTAACTCAAATTCCTACAATAAAGTCCTTTTCTAACACTAGCGTGATATCCTTAACCTAACAATCACGAATGCAAGTATTTACATGGAATTGGATCTTAGGGTTCTTGAGGAGCAAGTTCCTCAAACTCGAGATTGCGAGGTTTGGATGTCCTCTCCTCCTTGCAAAGAAAAATATGCATTTTCTAATACAATGTGGTTCAGGTGCTAGAGACTCTTAGCAAAAATTGTGGGGAGAATGTTTTTCAGCAGATTGCGGAGCGGGATATTTTGCATGACATGGTCAAAATCGTCAAGAAAAAGGTAATGATGGTGTACTCCTTTGAATTCCTTTTTATGAAACAGTACAATGTAAGAAATCTATACCTTATCAATGTTTGCATATGCAGCCCGATTTAAGTGTGAAGGAGAAGATTCTTGAGTTGATAGATTCTTGGCAAGAAGCTCTCGGGGGACCTAGGAGAAAGTTTCCGCAATATCATGCTGCTTATAACGAACTAAAGGTGATTAAAATCCCTTTGCTTCTTGATCCAGATGTCGGGAGAATGCTGATCACACTCTCTATATTGCATTCGAAGGACTTTTAGTTGAAAGAGCTCGTTGCTCTTAAGTTTTTATTTGAAATCTGTCTTGTCGCATAATTTATTTGGTTTTTAATTGTATGGATTTGACAGTCAGCTGGGATAGATTTTCCTCCTCGAGTCGAAAACAATGTACCACTGTTCACTCCACCACAAACACATCCGATAGTTCGCCCTGCTTCTCCATATGAGGATGCTGCTGTTCAAGCTTCTCTTGAATCTGACACTTCTGGACTCAGGTTTATGCTCCGTTTCGTATAATATTTGTAGAATTTGCACCATCACGGCACAAATTAACTGATGACTTTCGTTATATGCAGCTTGCCGGAGATTCAAAATGCTGACGGGATTGCAGATGTTCTAATGGAAATGTTGACAGCCTTGGATCCACATAACCCTCAGGTTGAATTTTCACTTCAACTGATGAATGGCGTAACTCGATAGTGTAGCTATAGGATTGCGGAATTTAAATCGATGAACTCGATAGTGTAGCTGTGTGTGATCAAATTTTTTTCGGTATCTGATTTAACAGGGTGTGAAGGATGAAATCATTGTCGATTTGGTCGAACAGTGTCGTTCATACCAAGAGCGCGTCATGAATCTCGTGAATAGCACCTCGTAAGTGTATCTGTTATTTTCGTTATAATTAAACTTCCTCTCGAATAACTGCCGTCTAACTATGGCAGAGACGAGAGCCTTCTGTGCAAGGGGTTGGCGCTAAACGATAATTTGCAGCGTGTCCTTAGCAAGCACGACGACATAGCCAATGGTAAACCAACATCTTCTTCCTCCTCCGTGAATCGAGAACCTCTGCCGGTTGCGCCTCTTATGAATGTGAACCACGAGGACTACGAGTCCGAGGACGATTTTTCTCAGCTAGCGCGCAGGTACTCCGCACGATATTCTTCTCGTATCATCATCTTCCTACGTATCTATTATAATTCTAAGCGTGCTAAAAATGGCGAAAAAACACAGATCTTCGAGGGATACATCACAACGACAATCCCAAACTTCTGCCAAGAGTCCTTTGCCGATAAGCCCGATTCTTCCTCCTCCCCCGTCCTCGAGAAAACCGATCGGCATAGGCTCCAGCAGCATCGATTATCTCAGCGGCGATGTCTACGAGACGGAAAGGTCGTCGAGAACATCGGGTTCGACTACCACTGCCGTCCCGACTAATTCAAGGGACCGAAGCTCCGTTCCTCCAAGGCAGACGGTGTCTTCGTCGTCGGACGACTTCATAAATCCGACAGCGTCAATGTTCGCTCGAAAACCGACACCCGACACTCCAGTAGCTTCGGACACTCCTGCAGCTGGCAATCTACCCCCTCCCCCATCCCGTCACAGTCAGAGACAGCAGTATTTCGAGCAATATCCCGTTACCGGACCCTCTCATTCGGGCATCGAGTCTGGGTCTTCGCTCGACAGCTTAGCTGTGCAGACACAGAATATGTCGATCAAGTCGTCGAAGGAGGAAAAATCCGAAGATGCCCTATTCAGAGACTTGCTCGATTTCGCCAAGGCCAAGTCATCGGCTCCCCACTCTAACAGGTTGTCGTAAATGTTGCATCGATGTCGCCGGAGCTGGATTTCCGGCCACCGGTTTTCGACGTAGGTGTGATCATTCGTTTCTCGTACAAACGCTATTGATATTGTCCTAAAATTAGGATTACATCGATCGATTTGAAGCCGTGTCGTAGCAGATTGGTTACTTTATAATAGAACATAAGTTTTTTTCACTATTTGTCGTTGCTCAGACAACGTAAAACTCTTCGAGCTCTTTATTGCTCTTACATTCTTTTCCGATGATGCGTTGACAGCGCCGGAGTCGGTTCTTCGGAAGCTGTCTAATGTCATCCTCGACGCACCGGGGGCTAAAAACTTGTGCTTCGTCGAATGACTCTTTGAACGGCTGTATTCGTGCTCGAGTTTCTAAAGATGGCCGGCGAGCTTGAATCCCGGCTTATTACATGCTAGAGGGAGATTGCTGCATCTTTCATAGTCGGCCTGTCGACAGACGAATCGGATAAGCAGTTGCAGGTCTGTTCGATGTTACGGTTACCGACCATTCGGATTAGTTCAATGTTAAGACTGTAATAAATCTTACATTAAAAAAAAAAATGATCAATCTCACTTAAAAACTTAAGTTATGCTTCTAACAATTATGTAGATCAGGACAACAAAGATATCATCGAAACAAATCAAACAATCGATAGAGACAATCGAAGAAAAAGAGACACAAACAAACATTCTAAACACAGCCAACACAATCTGATCTTTGTACTAAAGAAAGATCAAAGGAATATGAAGCAATCCAAAGCAATGAGAGGATTGGTAATGTCTTCGACTACGGCATTGCTCGTTCGTTGTCCGAACTTGATCTCTCCGATCGAAGCGCCATCATCGATGTTTGTACTAATCCTTCGTGAAAAGATATGATCTTTTTTCTTCGAAGGATCAAAGTGATAATTTGGACATTCCATAGGTCCATTACCACAATTGGACAGGACATGTCGCCTCCCCGGGCTTTCGTGCGTCGGGACACTTTTGGCGTTGATAAATCTTCGGCTCGGAGAAGGTGACCGGAGGGCTCGACTAGGCATCGAGTGTGTAATAACATTTTGATCTCTTCGAAAGCTCTTTTGCCTCACTATCGTCGGCGAGTTTGCTCGCGACCGTTTCCTAGGCGGCGTGGAAGCCTTCATTTCTTGAAGTTTCGACGCGGTCGAGGTAGCGAAGTACGAGGTGGGATCAAAGGTTTGGGGATGGATTTTGTGTGGTTTTTCAAGCATCATCTTCGAATTGATTGTCGGATTATTGATTTTTCCAATGACGTGAGGATTCTCCTTTGCACACGACCAAAGGAATTCGTTCGAAAACGCCTTATCCTTAACGGACAAGTACGAGGACGAGGATGATGATGACGATGAGCATAAGGATAAAGACGAGGATGTGCATTTGGTGTTGTTCGAAGAAGCTTTCGAAGGGGGTGGGGAAGGAGGTTTTTCAGAGGGTATTTTGGGGATTTCGATCACGAGCTTATCTTGGACGACGACATGCCTATCTTCTTGATGATCATAACCGCGGCCGCCATGGTCGTCTTCTTCCTTGAGCTTCTTCTTCCTCGGCGGCCTGCAACATTTGCTTATGCAAGAACCCATTTTTTTTTATCTGAATTAATTCTTCGAAAGCTTCACAAGAATTTTAATGGATAGACTGAATTAATTCCGTTGGCGATTTGGAAATTGATTGGCCAAGCTAAAGGGCTGAATTAAAAAGGCAATGTGAGAGCTTTTTTTTACCTTTTACTTTTTCAGATTATTTGAATTCTTTTGCCGGGTTTTGACTCGTTGGGGTTTAACGGCTATGCCCTTTTTTTAATTTCTTGGATTAAAAATAATCATTATGATTATTGTTGTGCTAATCAAATTTGGTTAAAGTTAAGACACTTTTTTTTTTTTGCTAAAAAAATTATTAAAAAAGTTGATTGGGAATAAAGTAAATATTTGTCCACATTATTTTAAAAATAAAATTGCTATATGTCATATATAATTAATTACATCGAGTAGAAAATTATCCAAATAGGAATATCATAAGGCTCGTTTGGATTTGGATTGTCCAGTATGATATGGCTAAATTTGGAGGCCCATTGGATCATTCACCAACCAAACAGGCCCTTAAATCAGGTAAAATGCAAAACCCTAATCCCCAATTACTGCAATTCTCAATATGATAAAACAGTGATCGGAAGTTCTTTTAATCCCCCGTTTTTCAAGCTTTTGTGTGTATCGTTAAGTTGGGTTTTCTAACTCGACACGGTTTTTCATTACGAGTTTGGGTTCCAAATCGGCGCTTTGGACTTCGAGGGTTTAAGAGAGGTTCTAGGAGGAGCGCCGCCGGAAACGCCGTCCCTCCGCCGTATCAAGGGCTGAGCTTGGGTAATTTTTTGCTTTTCCTTATGATGCTTGGCCGCTGGTTGGATTGATTTCGATAGTAATGGACCCTATGTTTCGCAGTTGTTTCGTTTGTAAGATTTGTGCAAAATTTTACTATTCATCCAATTTTTTCCCCCAAAAAACATCAAATCAAACACCTATTTTTTATTTTTTATATTATACTAAAAATTAATTTTACGTTCAAAACATCACATCAAATTCAAAATTTTTACTATTCAAATTCCACTTCAAAATCCAAACCCCTAAACAAACACACCCTAATGTTCTTTGGAGTGTAGAGGTAGGTTTTTAACACTCTGTTCAATGGTTTTTTTTTTTTTTTAAAAAAAATGCAGGAATCATGGGGAAGAAGAGTAAATCTTCGAAGAGGAAACAGAGGGAGAGTGAAGTAGCTACAGAGGTTTTTCCTGACAAGAGTAAGTTTAATAATGAATGCTTTGGCACATTGTTTGATTGTGTCTGAATTTCTATAGCTGAGAGTTATCTGTTGTAGAAATAGAATTGGGATTAATTGAAAACCTTCTCTGTAAAATGTGAATGATGTTGGACCTTACAGCGCAGTAATGTTGCTCACAATCAATGGCTGGATTGCTATTTATGGATTTCTTTTTCTTGTTTATTTGTATTGGTGTTGCCTACTTACCTTTCAGTTTTAGGTTTTTGGTTCGATTGGACATATTTTAGGGTATTTGGATTTGTCTACTTTGTGTCAGTGCTTTGTATTTAAACAGTAGTTGAATGTGATGTTTTGTGAGAAGAACTAGTAAATATTCATATGAAATTGGAAAAAAAAAAACTCATCGGAGCTTGGTGTCTTGTGAGTACTGAGTAGTAAAAATTTGAAATGAAGTAAGCTTTTAATATGATGTAAATAGGTATTTGATATAAGTTCTGAATCTAATGTTGTAAATGGGAAATAGGTGTTTGGGGCGATGTTTTTAAGAGAAAAATATGATGACCGGCATGAGACTAGATGCCAAAAGACACATAGTTTACATACTTCGATAACATTTTGTGAAAATTTGTTGTCAACTATTTCAAAATTGTGGACTTTGAAGGTATTGTAGATAAAGATGGAACAGGCGTGGTGGATGACTTGAGTGAACCGACAATGGGTGAAAAACTTGCGACCCTCAAGCTGGAAGAAAGCGAAAAAGCTCCGAATGAAGAAAATGTAGAACCGACACATGATGTGAAGCCCCCAAGTGCAGACTCTGTGCACATCTTACTTAAGCAAGCGCTCCGTGCAGATGACCGTGCGCTTCTTCTTGATTGCATATCTCGGCAAGATGAAAAGGTTCTAAATAGTTGCATTCTTATAGTTAACTTTTTCGTCGCATTTTCTGACAATAACTTGTTCGATATTTATACTTCAGGTGATTGCAAATTCACTGTCGCTGCTGAATCCTTCTGATGTTCTCAAGTTTCTGCAAGCTCTCGTGCCGATAGTCGACTTGAGGTAATTGAAATAAATTCTTGTGAAAAATTTCCCCATTCATGTAATAAAAAATGACCTCAGATAATCTTTATCTGATCTGGAACTATATAATAATTCATTCTATGTTGGCACAACTTCATTCTTAGAAATCAATTTTTTCTGTCTTGACTTCGAATAAGTTCATGAGGTTATGCCCTGTGTTGCATTTCGACCTCTAATTCATGAAGTGTATAATCTATTTTTTTAAAGCTTGTTGAAGCTCTTAATAATCGAGTTCTTGAAATTCACATAATTTCCAGGGGCGCCGTCTTGGCCTGTGCTCTTCCATGGCTTAAAACTTTACTTCTTCAGCACGCAGGCAGTATAATCTCCCAAGAACAATCATTGGCTGCGCTGAATTCACTATATCAGGTTTGAGAAGGATTCGGCAAAAAAGTATTTTTGATAACATTCATAGTGCAATCTAATTAGGCTCGGTTTAGATAGAAGTTTGGGCTTGTTTGGTTTTCGTTTGAAATTGAGTGTTTGATTTGAGTTTTAATTTAAATAGTATTTTGCTATAATGTTTTGTGAGAGAAAATAGTGTATTTTTATTAGCAATTGTACAGATTAAATAGATCCAAACCAAACACAAGTTTTGAAAAAATTCGAAAATAGTAAAAATTGGATTTTGAATAGATCATTTTTTTTTTTGAAAAATTTACTATTGGTGAATAGTGCCAAATTTTCGAAAAGTGTATATAAACAGAGCTTTCGATCTTTGCAGCTCATCGAGGCTAGAGTCTCGACCTTCAGCGATGTTCTTCAATTATCGTGTAGCTTGGATTTGCTCTATGCCGAAGTGAGTACATTGCCGATTTTGTTTCTGTTCTTCCTTTACACTTGGAATGAAATCTAAACTTGGGATTCGCTATGCAGAGCATGGATGATGGAGTGGAGGAGAATGAAACCACGACAGTGCCTTTCATATACGAGGATGACGATGACAGTGACGACGAGGGATCCATGGACTCCATGGAAGTCGAAACTGTCGAAGACGGTGAAGAGCCGCGTAAGTTAGGCGACGACAGCGATGATGAAGACAACGGCGAAATTAGTGACTAAAAATATGGTAAGAACTTGTGCTGTCTGAGATGCTTATAGGAAAAATGGGATCTTAAGTTCCCCGAGCACGACGTATAGATGAATCGAAATCTTCTTTTGTCATCTTTGTAAAAGATTATGTGTTAACAAGAGATGAAATTCTATTCATTTTCTTGATGTTTTGGATTCTGTGTTAGGAAAAAAAAATTTATATTGACTGTTAGAATTCTGTGTTAACAAGAGATGAAATTCTAATTCATAGAATCGGAATAATTGCATGGTAATAAAATTGAAAAAAAAGAAAAGAAAAAAAGAACCCAATTAAAGTCGGCATTGGTTTTAAAATTTTATTAATTTCTAATGCGAAATAAAATTAAAATAGGTTTGTTTGTCCATTTTTATCTTTTTTCTAATTTTTAATGTATATTTTATTTTTTATAATATTCAGCTGTCAATATAAAATATTATTATTTTTTTTTATATTAAATCGGATTAAACAAAAGACTTTAAATCAAAACAATAAATAAATATGAATTTACATATAAGCCAGGCTATTGATTTAATAGTATAAGTTTGGGCCTATGCCTTTTTTGCAGGGTCAGTAATTGGGCCTGAATTAAACGACCGTCGTTTAACAGCCCCAATACAAAAGAAACGGATAAAAGGGTAGTGTCGGCCCAGCGATTCTTACTTTTAAATCGTGTTTAGAAATTCAAAGAATCGTGTGTTTTACTACTACGATTTCTGAGAAGGCATAGGATGGAACTGTAGGATAAGGTACCGCAGACAAGTCTGTCTCTATATATATATATATATACACACATATATGCATCGAAATGAGTAGGAGTTGGTCGGCCATGGAGTTCGAGGTGAGAGTAGTAAGGGGAATTGAGAATTGCTTTGTGTCCCTACCTCTTCAGGTCATCCAAACCCTTCAGAGCGGTTACCTGCCTCCAATTCTTGCGGTGGAGCTCCGGTCAGGCGCTCGTCTCTGGCACGTGGCTTGGTGCGGCTCAGCCTCGTCCTCCCCGTCCTCGATTGAGGTACAGTGCTAAGGTTGCGAAAAATATAACTGGTTTTACTTGGGATATGATGTTTTCGTCGAGTGAAATTTTGGGTTGGATTTTTAGATTGCTCCTCAATATGCTGATTGCATTGGATTGGATGACCATACTTCGGTTATAATCCGGGTCGTTAGCAATTTACCGAAAGCTTCATTGGTGGCGGTCGAGCCGGCTACGGTGGATGATTGGGAGATTCTGGAGCTGAATTCGGAGATTGCTGAAAATGTTATCTTAGCTCAGGTGATGTCTTGAGTTTATACAATGCAATTTTAAGAGACTTAAGAGTGTTAGGTGTTGCTGTTGAGAAGTTCTGAATTGAGTTAGAGAATGTTAATGTTTATATCCAAAGATCACATTAATGTTTGAGGTTTGACTGTGTGCAGGTTGGAATTGCACATGAAGGAATGAGATTTCCATTGTGGTTGCACGGACAAACTGTCGTCACGTTTCTTGTCAAGTCAACTGTTCCCCAGAATCCAGTAGGTAACGGCGGACTTCTGGTTTCAGTATCATCCCTATGTCATCATAATCATTGCAGTTATTCTAATTTAGTCATTGAATACTTGCAACATATCTTCAGCGTACTGGAAATATTTGGTCCATGTTCCCCAAAGATTCTTGATGAATTTAACTTATCTTGTGCTGAATTTATGAGATTTTGATAAAGTTATTTGACCATGGGATTGTTTCCAGTCCAACTTGTGCCAGATACTCAAGTTGCAGTTGCTCCAAAAAGGCGGAACAATCCATCTTCGGAACAGGGTCGTACAATTCCTAAAGCACAGCTACGAGTCCAAGATTTAGACAGTAGATTCATTTATAAATGCCAGGAGAATGGTGTTGATATTGATGTGGTGTTCACTTCTGGTGTTTTCATCCATCCAGAAACAGCTGAAAATTTTTCTTTCAGCACTCACCAGTTTGTGACTATATCTCCAAGATTACTGCCGAAAAAGAGCATGAGAAAGATGCAAACTAAAAATACTGTAACTGATCAAGAAGCCAGCAAAGATGGTCTAAATATTAAGCAGGATGATCGTCATGTTGTTCCTATATTATTGTCCGAATTTGTGGCAAAAGGACACATTATGCTGTCTCAATCTCTTCGTTTCTATTTGGGAGCAAGGCTACACTCTTGTAAGTTGATTCTTGGAAGAGTTTAATGGAAGTCATGTACCGATTAATTTGAGCCATCTTTACTTCTAACATTACTTAATTGATATGTGTTTTTCCTAGTTGCCTTTGGCTGTGTCTATATTTCCTGCTCAAGTTACATTTGCAGTATTCAGTTGCCTGTTGTTTCTTCAGGGGTACATGTGCAAAGTTGCAACGTAACCGTGAAGAAGGACGTTCCTGCAGTGTCAATTTCACCTTACCATTTCAAGATTTATCAAAATGATGAGATGGTTGAGAATGGCCCTGAAGAAGTAAAGAACCAAGAGAATTTTAAAGGACAAGATGCACTTCAAAGAATCAACACAACTTCTGAAATGGGTATTAGCAATTGGTCTCTACATGATAAGCTAGCGGCAGCTCTCTCAAGTAGATCTTCCCCTGATGGGGTTGAAAACATTACTGAGACTGGAGTAAACCAGACTAAGGTTGGGCATCCAAATGGTTTACAATCTCTTTTACATGTGTGGTTTCAAGCTCAGTGTCATATCGATATCTCAAATTCTGCTGAGAACTTGAGTTCATTGGTTGTAGGAAGCAAGACATTGCTTCACTTAAAAGTCAAAATTGACCAATTGCCTAGATATGGGAAGGTTCTAGCATCAAGTAACAAATTGCCCCCAAACAAAAAGCTAGCTGAAAAACCATCAGTTGATGTCATTTATATTTTATCCTTCTCGGAAGAATCAATGCATGTTGAAGACATTGTTGTATACGATCTAGCATTTGAAAAGAGTACCATTGACAATTGTATTTCAGAAGAGTTAAACGAGAGGCTTGGAAAGCTGCAATTGGGTGATCTTTTATTCTCTCATGCAGCCAGTGAATCAATCCATGACAACTTCCTTAGCGCTGGAGTTTCTTCATTGGATTGGATGGGTACAGCACAGTCTGATGTAAATTACAGTAGGTATTTTCTATCTTTTCTTTGTTTTTAAATTCTATGACTGATAAGCCTTTTCTTTTCTTTATAGAGCTAAACATGAAATTTCAGTGATGAGCAACTCCTTGTTGCTGACTGGTGTTCTTAATACCCTATAAGGCTTCAGGGGCGTGCTATCCTTAAAAAAAGATCTTCTCGGAAAAAGTATTTAAGTTAGCACTTGTAGTTAGGATCACTCTAGATTGAAGTATACCAGCTGATGGATATGAAAATTTCCCATTCCAATTTCAGCATTTCAGGACTAACAGTTTATATTTATGTTTTCCATCCTGAGTTCTTGTCAGTATAACACTAGTAAAATATTGCCATTTAGTTAATTTTTCTCCTAAACTGATACTTGGCCTGCAGGATTAACAGCTTTACTGGCCCCTTCTTCTGGAATTTTGTTCAGCAACTACAATCTTCCATTGCCTGGACATATCCTTATCTGTGGACCTTCAGTAAGTCCCGTCTAAACCAGATTATGCATCTGCTATTTAACTTGTCCTTGCCTTTTTTGTGCTACTTGTTGTAGGGAGTTATGAAGAATTTGAGCAATTAGTATATCCTAATCAGTTTGAAGCCTTAGCATATTTTTCGAAAAATGAAATCAAAATGTGATAGCATTATCTGATATTACTATATGAGTATTCTGTTCTGAATAGGGTTCTGGAAAAACGTTATTGGCCAAAGTCTCTGCCAAGTCCATTGAAGGATGTAAAGATATACTGGCTCATATGTAAGATTTTTTTCTTGTTTGAGAATCCCAGTTATAGTTGTATACCATGGCACAACTATGCATGAAATATCACAATTTTTTCTTGTTCATGGCTCCCTTAGTTTGCGAGTGATTACTTAGTTGATGATGCTATCCTCCTGCAGAGTTTTCATATCTTGCTCTAGGCTCACTTTGGAGAAGCCTTCAAGTATCCGTCAAACCCTTTCTGTTCGTATTTCTGAAGCTTTAGATCATGCTCCATCCATTGTTATCTTGGATGATCTTGATAGTCTCATTGCACCATCCTCGGATTTGGAGGGGTCTCAACTTTCATCATCTTCTACTGCACTTGTTGAGTTTCTTGCTGATATTTTAGATGAATATGGGGTAAATTTCTGCCTGTTTTTGTTTCATCTTTGTGAGATTGTGATGGTGATATCTCCTGTGGGACAAACATTTGTCGCTGAATGAATGATTAAAGAAAGCTTAACTGTTTCATTTAACAAATGTTACGAGAAGGTTATTCACTTTTATCCTCTTTGTGTCGATGTTGGATCTGCGTGCGCTTAAATCTATGTCTGATCTTTCCAATCTTTATGAATTTTCAATCTGTTGGCAATTGCTTTCCAGAACATATTCAGTAAATTTTTTGATCACTTTCTCCTTAAGTTCTTTATATACAATTTTTATCTTTTTAACAAGGTGAAATTATTTTTCCATTTTTAAAAAGGGTTTCTTTTATTATGTGTTGGTTCCCACAGGAAAATAGAAGGAATTTGTGTGGAATCGGTCCGATAGCATTCATAGCTACATCACAATCCTTGAATAGTTTTCCCACTACCTTGAGTTCTTCTGGTTAGTATCCCTTCCTCTCTCCATTGAAATGCATCACTTATTGTACTCTGTTTAGATGACCTGACCCTAAACCCTATAACCTATAAATTATATGAATGCAGGAAGATTTGATTTTCATGTGAATCTTCCGGCACCTGCTGCAGCAGAACGTTCTGCCATATTGAGGCAAGAGATTCAGAAGCGATCACTGCAGTGTTCTGATGATCTGCTGTTAGATATAGCATCGAAATGTGATGGTTATGATGCTTATGATCTGGTATGTTAATGAAGCAATTCGGTAGATTGCCTACTAGATTTAACTCATATTTGGCTATTTATGTGTTTTGGGTCTCAATTTGACATCTAATTCGACCTAGTTTGTGTGTGTGCAATCATTCTACCTTAGGAAATACTGACCGACAGATCAGTGCACGCTGCCATTGGTCGCTCATTATCACTGTCTAGCAAGTCTGACTCTGGGGAAAATGAGGATCTAACTTTGGTAAGGGAAGACTTTCTGCAAGCAATGCAGAATTTCCTCCCTGTGGCAATGCGTGACATTACTAAACCAGTTACAGAAGATGGTCGCTCTGGTTGGGAGGATGTTGGAGGTCTTACTGACATTCAAAATTCTATTAAGGAGGTAAGTTTCTTGTACTGGTGGTCCGGAACAGTTCAGTTATGATTTTCTTTGTGAATTTACAGTGCATTAATAGTTAAAGGGTTGTGTTTTTCTGTCATTCATGTTTTTACTTGAAAAAGGTTTAAGGTTTGATCTTGTGTTCTTCTCGTATATTTTGTAAAAAAAAATTTATCATGCCTGTGGAACTTTAACTGGATTAATCTTTTGTCTGATATGTTACACATGAACTGGAGGGAAGAAAAATTGACTTTTTGCATGAATGCTTGCTTGCAAGGGAGTGTTAAGTTGAAGATTTTGCTAACATTATTGGAGTATATGCTGTGTTTTTAGAGAATTAATACTTACAAACCACTGATAAGTTCTGGTGGCTCTGTGCAATTAAATTGGTAATCCGCAGAAAATCATGCTGATGTTGTTCCGTAGTAAAATGAACAGAGTTTATTATTCACCATTTTTAGTTCATACTGGATACTTGCTTTTGGACATTCTGACTAGGTTTTGTTATGTTTAGGCATTAATTTTACATTGAATTTATTGCATATTAATTGTTTTCTGCCGTGACTTTTGGTGGCAGATGATTGAGTTGCCTTCGAAATTTCCTAACATCTTTGCTCAAGCTCCACTGAGATTGCGTTCCAACATTCTCTTATATGGACCCCCTGGTTGTGGAAAAACACATATTGTGGGTGCTGCTGCTGCAGCCTGTTCATTGCGCTTCATCTCTGTGAAAGGCCCTGAGTTACTTAATAAATATATCGGTGCTTCTGAACAAGCTGTAAGATACTATTTACTTGTATAGTTTTCATTCAAATATTTTATGATGCTTTGTTATTTGTTTTTCCTAGTGTTGTACTCTTGTCACTACTACTCACCAAGTGACAAGAAGTTCCCAATTTTTCATTATGGTTTCCAACACAAGCTTAATCGCCCTTGAGGTGTGTGCTCTATTGCATGTGTCCTTTGGACATTGTGAATGTTTAGAAATCATTCTGGGCTCGATACAGGATCCATAAAACTGAACATGGAATATAATACTTCCCTGTACTCAAAGTGAATTGTCTAAGTGCTCTTCTTTCTCTCATTGTCTATCTCGTAATAATTCGATTCTCAATTCAAGCTAGCTCCTACAAGGGAAGTCTGTATACTTATTTTCGTACTGTGGTGAGAATTGTTATCATTAGACGATAGTATATAACAAGCATCTTTTAAACACCTCTGAAATATGACAATTGATTCTGGATTGAGACTTGTCTTATTTCAGTGGTTGGATAGACATCTCTATAAACGTTGTGTATTTATGATTGCCTGCTTACGAGTAGTGGGGAATTGTGCACATCACATTGTATACAGTCAATTATCTTATTTAAATGAGCCAATGCAGGTTCGGGATATTTTCTTGAAAGCTACGGCAGCAGCTCCATGCCTTCTGTTTTTCGATGAATTTGATTCTATTGCTCCAAAGAGAGGGCACGATAATACTGGTGTGACAGATAGAGTTGTCAATCAAGTTAGTTCTTTTCTAAGCTGCTTCTTCCCATAGTGTTCTTATTCTCATCTTCAGTAGCTTTCAGTCTTTATTGCTTACACCTTCATATTTCTACCAGTTTTTGACAGAATTAGACGGTGTTGAAGTCTTAACTGGTGTATTCGTTTTTGCTGCTACAAGGTAGGCTGCTTCTTATATCAGAGTCCGAATTAGAGATATTATTTTCCTTATAAGTTTCTAACACGTGGCCCATTTGAAAATTGAATAGTCGTCCAGATTTGCTTGATGCTGCACTTTTACGGCCTGGTAGGCTGGACAAACTTTTGTTTTGTGATTTTCCATCACAGCAGGAGAGACTGGAGATTCTAAACGTCCTTTCAAGAAAGGTCAGCACCTTAATTTGTTATACACTATAATTTTAATCATCCTTGGACCCGAGTTTTCACAACACAGTTGTTTCCACTTCAGTTGCCAATGGCCAGTGATGTCGACATGGAAGGAATTGCATGTTCAACTGAAGGATTCAGCGGTGCAGATCTTCAAGCTTTACTTTCTGATGCACAGCTTGAAGCTGTCCACCAGCTTTTGGATGGCAAAGACAGCAGCAGCACTGGACAGAAGCCTTTGATCAGCAATGCAGTTTTGGAGACCATTGCTTCCAACGCCAAACCATCAGTTTCAGAAGCTGAGAAGCGAAGATTGTATGATATCTACAACCAATTTCTCGATTCAAAGCGATCTTTGTCGGCTAAGGTCTCCTCTCTCTGCCCACCTCTCTCTATTGACACTTGCACACATTTTTATGTTATATCTTATCATATGTGTTGGCAGCTTGTTTAATATAATATTCTGTATTTGGTGCAGTCGAGAGACGTTAAAGGCAAAAGGGCAACCCTTGCTTAACTACTCATGTCTGATATACATACAGGTGTGCTATCTCAGCCACCATCAGCTACACTCAAACTATCTCTAATTGTTTAAACAAGCAGTGTATCTTCGGGCAATGTAGTTTCAAGCTGATTGTGCATGTTCTATTGCCCCCCAATCTCATATTTAGCTTTTGAAATAGCACGGTGATTCATGAGTTGGAAGCATTTACATACTGAAGTTAATCACATTGTTTCTTTGGTGATGTAGGAACATTGTGATAGTTTTGTAACAGAGGATTCTATGTTGCATAAAGATTATATATTTCCATACAGTATGGCCTCACTTTGTATACCTCACATCTCAACAGTCGTATATCGACACTTTTCATCTCTTACATGTGTTGTCAACTGTGAGCACTTACAGTCAAGTTGCATCATAATTTCATGGCAAGAGGCATTTAATTCATATCATGACAAGAGGAAACCTTCCTTGGATTTTCAATCATAAATTCACTTGTGAAAGATACAGCCATCTTCAAATTCTGTCGGTTGATTGGTTGACTCATATCTCTTCAAAGTCTTTGCAGGAAATTGATGAAATGAGAACCACAATATGATTAGCACATCCATGGACCACATGTAAGAAAGTTGAAGATTACAGAGCTACGAAAAGGAATTCTATATACATTTTTAATTTAATTACCCTGAACTAGGATTAGTATCAAAACCATGTTCTGTATCATCTGTACTCTGATTTAATTTACTATCTTAAGCATATTTTAATGAGATCCATTGCAGGAACAGGGAAGACACTTTTTAGCTGCAATCTATTCAAAGAAAGCACCAGCCTTGCCAGATGTACAGATTCAGAATAATACCGTTGACTTTGTAAGATCAGACAATCATGGAGGACTTTAAAAAGTCTTAATTTATTATTGATTTTTTTATTTCGAAACCATGGGTCAAGTTGCCTGAAGACGCTTTCCATATCTATTCCCTTTCTAAGAAACTCTGTTCTTCATAGAGCCATTGTTTTTAACAGCTTAGCTCATCCGATTTTGCAGGCAGTAACAATGGCGGGAACAGAAGATCCTGTGTCCGTTCGTATTGATGGCATACTTCGTGGCATGCCTTCATCGCCCTTCACACCTTCAATCTTTAGAATTGATGATTACATGAATAGAGTTAATGAGAATATGCATGCCCCGAAATTAGTGTCGATTGGACCTCTTCATCATGGAAAACGCGAACTCCAAAAGATGGAGCAGCACAAATATAGGTACGTTCTAATTATTGTTGGAATTGATGTATTTTCTGTATGTATCTTTTTAAAATTAATTTGGACCATCATTCATTAGTAACCTGTATTGGTTTTCAAAGCAAGGTACCTAAAGTTGTTGCTTGAACGGAAAAATGAGTCTAGCGTTCACAAGTATGTTACCGTGATGCGATCACTACAAGAACAAGCGCGCAGATGCTATGCCGATCCTGTTGATCTTGAATCAGATTCATTTGTGGAAATGCTGCTTCTCGATAGCTTCTTCATCGTGGAGTTGACAAGGAAATACAGATTCCCATGGATAAGGGAAACCGACGATCCCATTTTTAAACATGATTACTATATTGTGGAGCTGATTTGTGATCTTATGCTCATCGAAAATCAGGTCCCTTTCTTCGTTCTCAATCATCTCTTTCACATGACAAAGTCTGACGATCTGGAGGACGATCTTATACCTCAAATCCAACTTCTTTTCGGAGAAAGGTACCTATGGCACCCGGGCGGTGATGTGGTAAGAACACCAGTGAAGAATGTGGATCACCTGCTCGACCTAATGTACAAGACATGGTGTTCTTCATTTTCTGAGATGTTCGTGGGGCCGAGGAATCTTACAGGTCTTGACATAAGATGTGCTACTGAACTACAAGAAGCTGGAATCGAGTTTGAGGAGGGCCAGTCGGGTAAGATTTTGGACATTAAGTTCGACAAAGGGGTCCTTAAAATTCCAAGCTTTATTGTTTCGGATGGCATGGAGCCGGTCCTTAGGAATCTAATTTTGTACGAGCACTTGTTCAATGACAGTGCGCATCCGCAGTATGTCACGGATTATGCCTTCTTCTTACAGTGTCTTATCAATTCCCCAAAGGATGTCGAGATCTTGCGCCTCCGAGGAATTATGACCAATTTGCTCGGAAATGACATGGTGCATCAGATGTTCAGACGTTTGGGCAGGAACACGTTCGTGTCGAAGGTTTTCTGCTATGGCGATGTATTTGAGAAAGTGAATATACATTGTGGGCTTCACCGGAACGTCTTGATGGCGAATTTAAGGCGCAACTATTTCAACAGTCCTTGGGCGTATATATCCTTTGGAGCTGCCGCCGTCTTGCTTATTCTTACCTTCATACAGACCATGTTTTCGGGCCTTTCCTATGCGGTAAGTCGTAAGTGAAGAAACTCGTATTTTTCGGACATCCATTGTTGCGAAGCTTTGTGTGTATGAGTACGAAGTGTGCATATAGAGCTGTTAAATGAATCAGATAGCTTGCAAGCTAAGTTCGATACGGCTCGTTAACCGCTCTGACTCGACGATTATGGAGTTCATGGAGTATTGATCAAAGAGTGTGTACACACTCTGCAAGAAATAATATGGACGAAAATAATTGTTAATCCAGTTCGATTATATGCTAAATTGTTACAAGAGATGATCTAGCAAAATTTCTCAAGGAATCTTTTTCACCATCTTTTGTTCACACGCATGGAGGACCAAGTCATATTTTTAATATGGGCTTGGATAAATAATTTGTATATGGGCTTTCTTTGATTTTGATTCCGGATTTACGAACACAACTCGAGCTTAAAATTGAGCTAAATTTAAACCATCATTTTAGTTTGAATTCCAAATAAATCATGTTAAATCAGTATCAATTCGCAGCCGTTATTCGCAAATCTGCACTGGATAAACCTTCGGCTGAACCTAATAACTTACAAATTAGGCCCGACAAAGTAAATTACATTAGGCGAACCTTAGATCCGACAAGACAAATTACACTAGACGAACCATATGTAGCAGATGAATTTGAATGTGTCCCATAACCTTACTATCACAAGTTCACTATAAGGACCTCGGACGTCAAGCTTGAAGATACTAATATTAAGAATCTACACATTAACCTCTCTTAGCTATTGTACTTAAAAAAAAAAGAGTCAATGCTGACCAACTTGCGTAATTCAGCTGTAATTTCGATGTGGGACTAAATCATCAATCCCTGTTGATTTTTCGGCTTCTAATGAAGAAAAGCACCTTCGTAACATTCTACGAGATAACTTCCAAAAATAAAACTCCCCAAATATATATATATATATATATATACACATGCATACATACATATACATTCAGCACAACTCTATAATCTTGCAATGGACCTAATTGCAAGTACCAAAATTTCCACGTACATATACATATGATCATCATCATTTTCCCAATCTCATATTAATGCATGATATGTTTTCAGTCAGCCCTAACGATCTCCACAGAATGTTCGAGAAACTGGATAAGCGCGGCGACGGCCGGGTGGCCGTCGGGCAGCTCCACGATCTGCTCCGACAGATCGGAATCGACGCGCCGCCCCCGGAGGATATCGAGAGATTTGTCGGCGCATCGACCCTCGACTACTTCGATTTCGTGTTCTTCTACCACGCATTAACATCGGTCGAGTCCGCGACGCGGGAACAAGACGCGCGCGACGACGACGATCTTGTCGAGGCGTTCAAATTGTTCGATTTAAACGGCGACGGATTTATATCGAGCGATGAGCTACAAAACGTGTTGTCGAGATTGGGCCTTTGGGACGCCGCGACCGGACCCGATTGCGGCGACATGATCCGCGCCTACGATCAAAATTCCGATGGGTTTTTGGATTTTTGCGAGTTCGAGAAAATGATGACGATGCCTATCGACCGTTGATCGATCAATTTGTACTGTTTCGGTGGTCTAATTCTGTGCTTATTTTGTATTTACAGAGGGAATCGGCTTAGAATTGGACGAGAGAGGGAGTATTTAGATTATCAATTTTGTCATATTATTTTTTTGTGATTGTATTTTGATCTTGTAAGTTGCAATAATTTGCTATTTTGGTCATATGAATTCACGTGATTCTCACGTGAAATATTATTAATCCGTGGCTAAAATAGGAATTTTTTGTTACTTAGATGAACAAAATACTATTATACATGAAATAATTTAACAAAATTGATAATCAATTATATATAAATTAAAGAAAACTAATTTTACATATATATATATATATATGTGAATGTGAATGTACATTTGTTTGTGTTATGTTAATAGTAGAATTGTTTTTACAATATATTGTTACGACAATTGATGGATTTTTTTACTTTCGTGCAAATATATATATATATTAATGTTACGGAAATTCCAGGAAATCAAAACGAGACAACAAAGACAAAAGAACACAAGAATTTGGTAATCCAGTTCGATCACGATGATCTACGTTTGGGGGCGCTGCCAAGCCAGAAATTTTACTACGCAGGCACATATTAAAGTGAGAATACATGATATTTATATCATAAGCCTTGACAATAATATCCAAATCATATCTCTAAAATCTAAACTATAATATCCAAATCATATCCCTACATTTTAGAATATAATTAGGCTTCATATCCCAACAATTAATAATATGAAATTTTGCGGTCATTATTCGAATAGTGCGTTCTGAGTAAATTTTCGATAGAATCCAATAACTTGCAAATTAGATTTCATAAAACAAGTTAAACTAGGCGAACTGCCGGGATAACAAATATTTAATAGGTTTGAATTATTGTAATAATTTATTTTTAAAATATATTGTTAAATTCCGGAGGATAAAATAGATTTATTGACCTATATATATATTGAATCAATATAGTATTCAGTATATATTATATACAATTATAGCATATTTATGATATAACATATGTTATATTAGCATATAATATTCTTATAGCTGATTACTTTTATATGATAAGCTTACTCGATCAAATCAATATGCTGATTTGATCCGCACCTTATCTGTTATTTTTTAGGATTATATTTTTATATTTTGATTTTGATCTAAACACTAATTAAATATAAAATTTTATGATCTAAAATATTTTTATAAATAATTATATAATATTGATGTAATTAAATTTGAAAAAAATATATAAAATCAAAGAAAACAAACGCCCTATATATAAAAATAATAATAAGTATTGCAACGGAGACTTATATGTATGAATATATGAAAGGTGGCGGGAATGATTCGTTACTTATAGAGGAAAAGTGAGGCAGCCACACGAGAGTCTGTTTATTTAATTATTTTTTTATTAGATTTTCTATTATTAAATTTGTTGATTTTAGTTAGAAAAGGAAAAAAATAAAGTTTAACAGGTACGAGGTGCATTTTCGAGGTAATTTACAAGAGCAGCTATTCTTGAAACTTCTGGACACAGCTTTACAGGTTCTGAATCTTTTTTGGATAATCGTCTTTGTTGTATTAATTGGTTGACCATATTCGGTCCAATAATAAGGTTTCAGGGGTTGTTTAATTTGTGTTTTAGATTAAAATTATTTTTTAATTAAATATTATTTTGTAAAATAAAAATAAAATACTTTGAAAATTATAAAAAAAAAATAATAATACTCTAGTATTATAATGGATTGTATAGTAAAGGACGAAAATACCCCTACTAGTATTGTGTAATATAAAAGTAATGATATTTGTGTAATATAGTGTAAGTTAGAAGGGTATTTATTATGTTAGGTAGGTAGTACAATTACTAAATTAGGAAACGGTAACCTTGTTTTGGGACGGACGAAAATGGAAAATAACAACCTTTCAAATGGAACAGAAAGAGTATTTTAATTGTAGTATATAAATAGAGTATTTTTTAAATAATTATTTTATAATCTACAAACCAAAATAAAAATATTTATAGTTTATGAGCGGACAAATTGAATAATAATAATAATAATAAGTAATTTGAAATCGAAACAAAACAAGTATTATTTTTTAAAAAATTCCTTTTGTTCGTTATAATCATATCAAATTGTGTATTAAATTTATGCACAATTCAACAAGTCTATCCATTTTAACAAATAAAACTAGTTTATCATTATTTTTTTACTTATTGCATTTACATTTATCAATTTTTTAATAATTTTCTTATAATATTTCATACTTGACTTTCTTTATTTTTATATTAAAATATTATTTTTTAAAATTTATGTGCCTAAATAAAATGGCATAATTTAGCCATATGAAAGGAATATATATTAGCACAGTAATATATATTTTTTTCCGTCTAACAAACTTATGTAAGTCTATTCAAACAAACACAAATATTAAAAAATAATAGTATTTTAATACTAAAATAAAATAAGTAAAAAATAAAAATAAAGAATATCATGAAAGAAATTATTAAAAAATTGGCTTATATCATGTACTACTTGTCGTTATATAATACTCCTTCCGTCTCATAACAAAATATCTATTTTTTTCATTTTTGTCCGTCCCATAACAAAGTATCTATTTCATTTTTTTTTAAGTAACTGTACTATCTACCTAACATTATAAATATTTTTACAACTTACAATATATTACACAAATGTCATTACATTTATATCACACACTAATAAAGTTATTTTAGCCATTTCTACTTTATTCCTACTATATTCCAATATAATACTAATGTTTTTAAAACTACGTATAAAAAACAACAAATGAATATCTAGTTATGAGACGGAGGAAGTATATTAAATATTGTTGTTATATAATATATTAAATTCATCAAAGTAACTAGTTATCTTGTGTGGTTTATACTTCTTAAAAATGAAATTTGTTACTTTGTATAACTAACAACCGAAAATGATAAAATAAATTTATCTTTCGAAAAGAGTAAAGAGAGCATAAATAGTGTGAGATTCCTCCTCATGTGAAGTGGATAGAGACAAAGTCGATGAAAGTTCGACGAAATTTCCGAATCCAATATATATATAGTAATAAATAAATAAATAAATAATACTCCTCCGTATGGTATCAATGATCAAACCAAACAAAACATTAATCCCTACCGACCTTCTTGATTGCTTTTATTTATCAAAATTGCATCTCATCTAAAAAAACAACGTACCACTCGACAGACAAATCTTAATGTATAAATTTGCCTTCAGATCTTCCACGAAGCTTCCTGCAGCCTGCGAGCTCGATCGACCATATAATAATGTCGCGAGAGCCAACCCGAAGAGGTAGCTAGCTAGCTTTGAGCTCCAAATGGCAACGGCCAGAGCTCGATCGATAACTTGACGGGATTGGTGTCTGCCACTCACTTTTTTCGTCCTAACAACTTCCGCGACTCACACAAGATATCATATCAAATAACTTTTTACTATTCTCAAATATTTAAAAATTTCACTTCTTTCAAAATTTTTATCTAAACAAAATATAAGTTTGTTTGGTTATTTGAATTTTTTAATTTGAATTTAAATACATTTTAATAGTTTTATATTTTATATAAAAAAACATAATACTCCCACCGTCCCCTACCATGCCCCACCTACATGCCGTTGTCACTTTTTTAAAAATAATTCATACACTTTAATCTTATTTTAAAAATTTTAATTTTTTTTTATTTTAATTAAACTAATTAATAACTTTAATATATAATTATTTATATTATAAAATAATTATTTTCACCGATACATTTTTAATTGACAGAGAAAGTAGTATATTTTTATCAAAAAGTATCGTAACATTCTAACATAAAATATTATTTTTTATATTAGTGACACAATTTTATGTACCCACATAAAAGAAAAATTCAAATCAAAACACTTAACAAACAAAGCCTAACCCTCTATAAATTAAATGCTAGTATTTTTTGTTTGAAACAAACAAACCATATTATTAAAGATATTTTTTTCTAGACCCGTAACTAATGGTATAATGGTGTGGAACTAGACCCGTGATCAAGAGGTCATTTGTTATATTTTTTTTCCTATTCAAATTATTGCATCAAATGTATATTTTCAATTAAAAACATCTATTAGTATACCCAAAATACCAAAATCATGTCATAAAAAAATAAATAAAATACCAAAATCACTTTCCAAACACATACCCACCCACAAATAATGCACTGATATTGTATTGTACACCCAATTATTGCGACATGACGACAACAGATTTCCGTGCTCACATGTCTTCCTCTTAAATGAATCCTTCCCAAAATCACCTTGATGCAGACATATATATATATATATATAAATCACCTTGATGCAGACATATATATATATATATATAAATCACATTCTGTTACATCCTTCTAATTCTAACAGTTCAATATCATGTAAAAAAGCATCATATAATTTCCAAACAATTCTCTTAGATTTGAGCATGCTCTCGTCCTCTATAATCCTAACCAAGAACTTATTAGTGTGTCTATACTTGAGCTTCGATTTGTCGTAAAATGGATGACCTTTAAAGAAATTAACCGAATCGAGCTAGCTCATAACAACCGTAAAAACAACAACATCAAGTCGATTTCCTAGAGAATATTCGAAAAGGATATCTATTTACCCTAAATCATACGTAAACATCCACAAATTGTTGCATACTTAGCAAGTTGGGTGTCAGCATCCTAAACAATGGTACAGTAAATCTTTTTACCACACATTTGAATCTAAGCCATATATGCAAAGCTACTTCAAAATTTTCCACTTACTATAAAACGTCACCTACGAGCATTTCATCCAGAAAAATTAGCACAATATCTAGCAGGGTAAGTTAATTATGAACTAAATCATGTCCTAGCCTCATGTTGACGTAATCCCATAATGCAACAGTGGTCCATTTTAAAGTCGACATGAACCACACACATGATCAACTGGGGAATGGAGACAAAAGTAACAAGTTCACAGAAGCTTCCACCGTCGATGTCAATGATTTAAATGAGTCGATATCAATGATTTAAATGAGCATCACACATATCTATAGAAAGCAATTTTGTGGATGAAATGATTAGCAAGAGCTTACATTGTTTCGCTTCTCTTCCAGGAAGCTTCCTGCAATGTCCACCTGTGTACATCAAGGAGATGTGTCAGCATTCGATTGGATTATAATTTTGTACGTGCAAGTACAATTAAGGAGAAAATCATAGATTAGCAAGAATGTTGGCTGCCTATATATAGGTGCTCGTATGGAAGACTAACCACCAAGAATGATCCATAAGCAACATACTTCGATGGTAGAAACTTCCTTCGGTTTTATGTACCCTTTTTTCCTGTTCCGAAAAAAATGTCTCCCCTCAGCACACTTCACCTGCACGCAATCTTCAACCAGTTAGACAAGAATGGCGATGGCCTCGTGAGCTTGGAAGAGCTCATGTGGCTTCTTGAGAAGATCGGCGTTTGTGCCACTCGAAATGAGCTCAAGCTCTTGATAGGCAAGGATACCCTCGACCCCCTCGACTTCCTGTTCTTCTATCAGACTCTGGTGATTGATGGAAACAATGGCAAATGTGAAATAGAAGAGAAAGATGGAATCTTGGAGGGGGATCTCAGAAAGGCTTTCCGGGTCTTCGACCTCAATGATGATGGATTCATTTCCAGTGAAGAACTCCAAGCGGCACTCTCCAAGTTGGGCCTGTGGGATGAATCCTGTGGGAGGGACTGCAAGAGTATGATTGGCATGTACGATGTCAATTCAGATGGACTGCTTGATTTCGAAGAGTTCAAGAATATGATGTCAGCTTGAACACTTGTTATAACTGCACTATGCTATGTTTTCCTATGTTTGTTGTTTCAGTAATATTCCCATGCAATTAAATAATAACTATGTTTTCAACTACCTTTTCGTCCTATTCTTCAAAATAACTAGCTCTAAGAAGCTTCGCATTCAAAACCAATTATTCGTATAAAGTATCACGTAAAAATACATATTATTAGTTCAAAAACATCACATTCAACACCCATGTTCATCACATCCAACACTTTTTATTAAATTTTTTGCTGCTCACTAAACACTAAATCACTTCTAAAATATATCTAAACATATAAAGTTTATACACAGGTAAGAATCATAATTCAAACTCGTCAAACTTTAGCTGAAACAGATAAAAACACATACTGCAAAACACATATTACTGCATTGAATATCATTCACTTAAAAACACATGTAACTGCAACGGATATCATTTGACTTAGACTACATAAAACTGCATCAAATATCATTAACTTACAAGAAGAGTCTTCTGATTTGGCATCTCTTCCAGAAACATCCTGCAACCTTCATGTGTAGACCTCAACCTCCGATGCCTCCTCTGCATTAGTGTATAATCTGTAAAGATTTGTAAAAGTTAAAAGCAATGACAATCCTCACCTGTGCCTGGTATAAATTCAATACCTGGCAAGAATCATCTATAAGCAAATAACAAGACAGTTCAACCCCCATTCACGCCGTGCTCTCACTGTCCCTTCTTTCCTGTGCCAAAGTGCATGTTACCAAGCCCTGATGATCAATGGGGAAGGACAGGAAATTAATATTTCTGAATGAACAACAATGGATTCGTCTCTTGTGAAGAAATCCAGATTGCCTTGTCCAAATTAGGGTTGTGGGAGAGAATGCAAGAGGATAATTAAACTAATATGAAACTAAAGCACATACTTTTAAGTGCCAGTGAAATTGGAGAGAACTGGCAAACTAAAATGATGCATAGGATCTCAAGCAAATCTTAAGTAATGGAATTATTTCATTCTGATGTTAACCACTTCAACAGCAAGCTTAGTCAGAAACCAGGGAGGCCGATCTTAGTGTACAACCTTAACAACCAACTGATAATGAATATATCCCTCTATCCTGACGGGAGAAGGTATTTAGATAACAGGTCATTTCTCAAGTATCTCAAGTAAACATTTTCCCAGGTAACAGACAAGAGTGCTGCTACAATTCCTCGGCGAAGAACCGATCATACAAAGGGTAAACTCAGTAGCCAAGTAATTTTCATGGTCAGACACCATGGATTAGTTCAATGCACTTTTAAAAGGCAAAGGAGCAGTCTCAAGAACACAAAGTTGCATCAAGCACTTAACCAAGAATCTCTTAAAAGCTGCCTATACTAACAGAGACTCATTCACATCCAAACTAAGATATCTTATTAATAAGACACAAACCCACATGACTCCACCCTTGCATTCCTTGTTCTACGTCTTTGCAACTGGATCCTTACTTGCAGCAGTGTTCACCTGCTTTGCAAGATAAGCTTCATAAATCTCTACCACCACACGAGGATCCTTCTCCACAAGCTCCATGTATTCCTCCCGCTTACTGAGCTTGTCCATGTTGTCCATGATCAATGACAAGGCTGCATCTAGTAAACTTTTCGCACCGTGCTGATGAGCAAATGCGTAGTATGGGAGCGAATTCTCCCAATTCAGTTTAGACATCAGATACTTCTCACAGTAAGTTTTGAGATGCTTCACTTGGTATTTCTCTGCCAAAACTAGAAGATCACAAGCCATGTGCTCGTCTAGGGAGGCCTCTGCAGTATACAAATAGTTGACAAATGCTCTAAGGGCATCATACGATACATCACTGATCTTGATCGTTCCACTGATGCTTTCTTCCATCTCATTTTCGAGCATCGCCCTGAACACCGGGGATCGACTTATCTATTTGTTAATCATGATTAAAAATCTCGGAATTAGCACATTATCAAGAAATCATAAACTACACTTTATATGTCAAATGACTATGATTCGAAAAGGAAATTGCTATTCTAAGAGTGCCATACTTGTAATCGAATTGAAACTAGGGTTTACGATACCAGAACAGCGCGATGTGCTGGGATTGAAGGCGAATTGCACTGCAAATCAGTCAAATCAGAAGAACCAGAAGCCACCAAAACGACGTCAGAAAAGCAAGGCGTGCTCGGCTTGGTAGCGATATTCTGCCCCACGCAAAGCAGTCGAAGAAAGTTGACTTTCGCCTTGAGTTCATCGATCTCCCGTTTGAGCTCCTCCTCCGTCTCCCCTGCCTCCTCGTAGCACTCGCGGCACGTCCCGGCGTCGACGTCGCCGTAATCCTCTTTGCACGACAGACACTTCATTTTCCCACGCCGCCGCCGCGCCGCAGAAGGCTCATCCTCCAGGTCGTCCTCCAAGTCGTCGTCGTCGTCCTCGAAATCCACGTCGGAATCCGACGAGAACCGCCGCCTGTGCTGCTGGCTCCGCCGCATTGTCCCTGTCGGCAGTCTTTATACCCTTCTCTCTCTCTCTCTCTCTCTCTCTCTCTCTCTCTCTCTCTCTCCGGTGCCTTGCGATGCTTTTCGTTAAGTTTTTCCTTTCACGAACACCGCTGACGTAGCACACCCACTCCTTTTTCCTTCTTAAGTGCAACTTTGACGCATAAAGCGTTACTTTCAGTTGAATAATTTTTTGCGACTTCAGTTGAAATTGTAGAGAATATACTTATATACAGTCCCACACCTTGACGCTTTTTATATTACCTCCCACGCGTGCGATATAGAAAAGGTACGGCCTATGCATAATATATTCAATAAAATATTTTAGGTATTGTTTTTTTATTATTTCCAACCAAAATCGATAATATTCATTTAATACCGTTGTGTATAATAAAAATATATAATCTTTTTATTTCGACCCACATATTATTATTTTTTTTTTAAATATATTTAACAAATATAATTAATTTAATAAAATTTTAACATTTTAATTAACAAATATTTTTATTTTTTTAAAATTAATTTACATTATTTATTTTTAAAATTCTTTATTTTTTTAAAATTAATTTACATTAATTAAATAAATATATTTTTTTTATTCATTTGTAGTATATAAAAATATATACATATATTTTACTAAGATATAATTATTAAAATATTTAAAATTCTATCAACATCACTCATATAAAATATTATTAATAATTTATTAATCTATACTAACTAAAATAAAAATATTATGTTCTTAACAAAATGAATCACTATCGGGAGAGAGTATTAATTTGTTTTATAAAATATTATATCATTTTATTATTTAAAATAAAATTTAAACTAAAATCAAATAAATCACTATTAAATGTATATAATTATTAGTAAAAATTATTATTTATTCCGTAAATATATAATATGAAAATATTACTATATTTAAATAAAAATTTAAATTAATATTATATTTCAAATTAATTTCAAATCATTATTATATATTCTTAAATTTCAGACAAAACTTGTATGTAACAACAAATTTTGTTTTAAGAATAATATTCAAATTTTTTATAAAAATTGTGCTTGTTTGATTTCATGGGCAAAATTTTAAAAATTAAGGCATGTAAAAATAAATTGAAAAGAAATATATATATTAAATAATTAATAAAAATATAATACTATGATAAGTATAGGAATAATAAATATATAAATTATAAAATTGTTTATGAATAAAAAGGTTGTTTGTCACAAAAATAATGTATACGAAATTGATTCCCAATAAATATTATAAAAATATATATATATATTTAAAATAATAACAAATTCTACCTAAAATATTATTTTTATATTCACCAAATATTTTTTTTACCTTCTACCATAAAACAATATTTTCTCATACTAAAAACAACTGCAACTAACTAAATAAACACAATTTTGTAAAGGGAAATTTGAATAAAAATTTGGAATAATTTTACATTTTTGTTTGGTCTTAAAAATTAAATATATATATTTTTTTCGCTTCTCTCACAAATATATATACCCTAGAGAATTAAAAATTAAAATTCTATTTATTTTACAATTTCTTTTATTATTATGTTTGTTACTTTAACTATTTAACTTTTTCAAATATATATATATATTATACACATTTTAATCACAACTCAAATAAAATATCAAATCCAAATAAAATAAAATAAAATAAATTCACTAATTAAAAATATCAATACTTATATATTAAACTACTCCAATTCACTATATTCTTTATCAATTATTTTGCTAATACACTGTTTGTTCAAGGGATGTTGACAAAAATTTATTATTCATTCAAAAAATTTTCTTAAAAAATATCATATCAAATACTTATTTTTTTAATTTTTTATATATTAGTATGAAAATCAATTTTATATTCAAAATATTTTATATCACATCATATACAACTTTTATTTTATTCAAATCACGACTCAAAATCCAAACTTCCAAAGAAATACACCCTAAATAGATTCTTCGGACATATATCTACATGAATTTTATGTTTTAGTGATAAGAAAAATCAATTTGTTACCATTTCTCTTTAATTTAATTTTATGAAAATAAAGCATCCCCAAAATTTGTATTATATAAATTTAGTGAAACAATTAAAATAAAAAATGGAATAATAATTACTTATATTAACAGATTAGTATATTTATTGAATTAATACAAACTCATGGTAAAATATCGAATCAATAAGAATCCGCCACGTGTCGTGTCATAAGAAATTCTAAAAATAAAATTAAATAAAGAATAGAAAAGAAGGAAAACCCCTCTCAGTTTTGAAAATTTTCAAAAGCCCCTCTTCTTGCAACCCCCACCGGACTCTCCTCTAACTAGGGTTTCAAATTTGAACAGGTAAGATTCTTTACCAAATTGCTGCAGTTCGTGTATGATTACCTTCAAGTATGTAGTCTTTTTGGTTTTCCTTGAGGAAAGTTTCGGTTCTTAATTTGGTGGACTCTTATTTTTGTATGCATTTGATAATTGGGAGTTAATTTGATAGCTGGATACGTATTGGTGCGATTTTAGGTCGCGGTAGTGGTGTTAAATTCTTCGGTGTGCTGAATTGAAGTATAGGAATGAGCGGGGAAGATAAGGAAACCGATGCTTTTGGCGGTGGAAGTTATGTGAGGAGCGGAGTTGTGATGTCCATCTCTGATGCTGCAAAGGAAAATGGCAATATGGATGTAGAAACTGGTTCCTCGAAGTTCGGAGATTCTATGCTTACATACAAGAGGCGGAAGAATTGTAAGGCTGAGAAAGTTGAGGAAGATGGAATGGTTTCAGATGGTACTGCGACAAAACCTATCAAAAAGGTACGGTGATTTATTGTATGGAAATGCACAGTTTTCAATAATTATTGCTTGTCGATGTCTGTCAAATGGGAAGATGAATTCATCTGCATTGAACAACTCATGTTTAGTTATCAGTTGTTTCTATAGAACTGTAGGTTAGACTAGAGACTGCAGTTTGCAGAACACAGTGATTTTTGTGTTGGGCAAATGAGTTTTTTGATGATTTCTTAACAAAAAGAGAAGAGTTATCTGGAATATATCATAGACTGTCACATACAGAAATTATTGCACATTGGGTAGTGTAGTGGGTGTGTGGGATATTTAAAGTCAAATTTTGTGAGTTCAACCGACGAATGTGCAAACCATTGCATTAGGTTACTTTTCCCTGCTCAAATAAAATGTTACATATCAGAATCTGGTGAAATATAAGGTTACTGCTTGGTAGGCGATCTAAACATATCCGGCAAAAGACCTTTGCTAGCTTTAGTTTGCTAAGGTGGTGGAGAAGTGCTTTGTTTTAATTTTCTTATTGTTTTTTTCCCGTAATTTAAGCAGCAGATAAAAGCATGAACCTCAACAAGACAAAAAATTACTGCCAAGCTCCTGCTGCCTTTGTAAGCAATAGTTTTGAATATATGTATGTCAATATGAGGGGAGAATGATAATACACTGACATATGATTCTATTGTAATTTTACCTTCTTGTGATTGATTTATGTCCCACAGCATGTAATCATGCATACCCTTCTGCCCTATGGTCAATCTTTGAAATCTTAGTTCGTACATTTTATTAAGCTCATGTTTGTACTTTTTTACAATAAGTAGCACTTTGTGGTGTTATTCACACCCTATTAATCAATCTCAACATCCTCAATATGATAATTAAAACCTGAGGTGCCTCTGGTGAAGTTAAAAGGACAATACTTCAATACTTGAAACAGCTATATGATGCATTCATTGTTTGGTATTACGCATTACCCAAAGTTATTTGTGCATATCTTTAGTTTTAGTGATGGGCTGATGGCTATATGAGAAAAGTGGGTAGTGTAGAGGGTGGTTAGATCTTGAACATGAATGACAATCTTTTCTTTCGTGTTGAATTGTAACATTTCTAGGATATAGTGAATGTCTGCAGTTGGTGCCAGATAGTGATGAAATTTTTTGTAGTAAGTTGTATAGCATCACTTTTTTCCCTTTTTTAAACTACAGAACTTTCGAACGTATTCAATTTTAAGCATTGATTTTAAGCTAAAGACTCGAGTATTCAATTTTTTTTGGGTTTTAACATATGTGTCCATAACCTGTTAGATGTGAATTGTAATCACTATTACACTGTTGGCTGTTTCATATTGATTAGTCGTTTATATTCATTTCAAACTTACTTCTTGTTATATTCCTCCATCTCTAGCTATGGTTTCTTGTTATACTCTCTCACTTAAAAGACTTGCTTATTTGACACTGCCTTTAACTAGATCAGTTGTTGTATTTTCTGAGTTCGAAATTTTGGAATCCGAAACTGTTCAGATTCTTTGGTAGGCCAATTTTTATGATGCCATTTCAATCCATGCCTGTTTCTGACTTCCTGTAGATAGTATGTGTCTCACACGATGTTACCTAAAGATCTTGGAAATATTTTTCTGGAATCTGCTTGATTTTATTCGCTTTTTGTTTCTTTTGAGTTTTAAATCTGATTGCCGGTGACTGTATTGACACTGCATTATTTGATTTTGTAGTCAACGAAGAACTCATCTGATCAAGCTAACAAGAAAATGCTACATTGTCATACAAACTCTTCTGATGATTGTTCGCTCAAGAGCCAAAGAAATGTTGTTCTGGAGCAAATATGTCAATCGATTGAAATTGAATGTAGTTTGAAAAAACGGATCCAAGACGCCCTCGCATTTCATCCAGGAAGCAGTAGCGGACCTATTGCCAAAGTATGTATTATAGATCATTTATGAGTAGCATCAACCTTCGCTTTCTTCTTGTCTTGTTCGAGTTAATATCACCATCAATCGTATCTCTGCCTTTCTGCAACCTGCATTATCATTCTGAACTTAGTCGATATTTAAATCAATAATATGGCTTTTCCTACACAGGAATCTGATCTTGCTTGTGAAGCTGGAAGCAAAGGCACCATCGATAACGGGTCTCTATGTAATGGTCTCGAAAATTCCAACAATTGCAGTAGGGGTGTCCATATGAATCACGAGACAATCACAGAACTCTGTCAGGGAACCTTTCTCGAGATTATTATGTCCGAAAATTTTGCCAGATTATGTAGTTTACTTCTTGGAAATGGAATCAAGGCTGATAAGCTACTGGATTTGAGTTGCATTAATTCAAGAATGAAGGAGAAAGCCTACGAAAATTCGCCTATGCAATTTTATTCAGATATGCAAGAGGTACTTTTCTTCTTCGTGCATTTGTTCTTCGGAAGCCATAATTTGTTGAGAGTGTGGTTTACTTCTAATCGATACTCCTTTCACAGATATGGACAAGGCTTCGAGAAGTCGGCACTGATATGATATCCCTCTCAAAATGCCTGTCGGATAAAACGATGTCTTCTTTTCGCGGACAGGTAATGAATTGCCTTAAAAAATACGATTATCTGCGGCTATTGTCTTCTTAAACCTTATTTGCTCGGGTCTATGCAGTTAGAGAGCACGGGACATGTCGTTTTTGAGGATGTTAGAAATGAGGTAACCTTTTTTCCTACTCGGTCGTAACTTTTAACCTGCAATATGATGCGACTATTTCTAATTACAGTGCTATTCGCGAGAATCTGACATTCAGACGGCAGACTTAATCGAGGACAACGAACTCGGCGAAGTTCATACGTGCAGGCAGTGCGGGGAGAAATCAGACGGCGGAAACGGTCTAGTGTGCGATTCCTGCGAGGAGATGTACCATATCTCCTGTATCGAGCCTGCTGTTAAAGAAATCCCGACGAGAAGCTGGTTCTGCGCAAACTGCACTGCAAAGGGAATCGGATCGCCACACGAAAACTGCGTACCTTGCGAGAGATTGAACGCTTCTGAATCCCACCACGACGGCACACGAGAAGACGAACCTATGAACGGCGAAGTCCCAGTAGACGAGAGTTCGAAAGATTTAGCCAATAGCGAAGGCGACGACGAAAGGTTTCAGCATTGCAAGATTTGTCGAACTCTGGTTGGGAACAACGAGGACTACATGATATGCGGCCATTCCTTCTGCCTTCACAAGTTCTACCATGTGAAATGCTTGACGAGTAAAGAGCTGCAATCGCACGCGCATTGCTGGTACTGTCCGTCTTGTCTGTGTAGGACTTGCCTCTACGACAGAGACGACGAGCACATTGTTCTATGCGACGGCTGCGACCATGCCTACCATATCTACTGTATGCAGCCGGCGCAGCTTGAAGTGCCTAAAGGGAAATGGTTTTGCAGGAAATGCGACGCCGCAATCAAGCGCATTAGAAAAGCGAAGCATTCGTATGAGATTATGCAGAATAGGTATAAAAGGAGAGGCGCAGAAGGGAAGGTGAAAACAGACGACGCCCTGGACAAATCTGGCGGCGTCGACATGCTTTTGAATGCGGCGAAAACACTTAATTACGAAGAGAATCTCGCCGCGATGGGAATGAACTAGCGTAAGGGGAGGAAGACTAACCTCGGATTTTTCGGTTTCGGCTTTGATTTTGATTTCGCCATTTCGGCAGAGGAGCCAATTCTGCTTCTGCTGTTAGAGCCCACCTGATCACTTCAAACAGGTAATATTCTGAAAACTGTTAGAATTTGTATGCATATCTTTATATGTTTTTGTTGTAAAATGAGACATTACAGCAAATGCCTGAATTAAGTCAATAGCATTTCTTGTTTTCTAGGAATGGCCAACGTACACTGACCTGTGGTTTTTTGTGTATTATCCTTTCTGTCACTATATTTGGCCAACAAGTTTCTTACCTGTTTATAAATATTTCCACACTGTAGCTAGAAGTAGAAATGTCGACAAACACAGCATCGTCATCGTTAAACATTGAGCTTTTTTTAGCCTTTATTGCCAACGGTAAAACGGCTTTCGTTTGAACTCAAACCTGTCGAGTGCAGCTGTTTTCGCCTCTTCACTAGCTGTACGGCGCTCAGCCGGTCATCCTTCGCCTCCACAGAATCTGGCTGAAAACGACAACGAATAATACGTGATTAATGATGCAAATGTATAAGGCAAACAATGAAAAGTACTTAGTCTAGGGTTGCTGCTACCTACCTTAATGGCTAATGCTTTGTCGAAACTTTCGACTGCAATGTCGGGCTCCCCAAAGTTTAACTGAGCTCTACCAAGCGTAATCCAGGCCTATATATACGTCAGAATCGCACGCAACATATTTGGACAAAGTTGAAAATTTTCAAACACCATACAACAATTTTCTTAGCAATCTATGGACTCCTACTCTGAATTCTACTCGAGGAATTGCAACATATGTGGATTTAAATCAAATACTCGTCGTCAAGCAAGCAAATGATGAAAAGATAACAATGCCTTCATTGCAATTTAGGAAAAGAATACTCCGAAAGGGCAGATTCATACAGCAAGGAAAAACTCTAAACATAAATACCTCAGCCCATGTCGGTTCCAATTCAGTAGCTCCTACGAAGATAGAACACAGAACAAGTTTAACATTTCAAGAAATACAAAAAAGGAATCAATCATGAAATGATAATGTGTAAGAGATGAACTCCAGCAGATTACGAAAACATGATAAAACAATTCTGCGTCTTGTAGGCAATAAAAGAACAGGAAAAGAGGACTCACGAGTCGCAGACTTCAAAGCACTCCAGGCTTCGCCAAGCTCGAGTAAAACCTGGGCTTTTTGTTCGTGCAATACAGCTCGTTCGGGCATCAAAGTGGCCGCGCTCTCCCACTTCCCTAGCGCCTCCCGGTATTTTCCCTCCTTCAGAAAAGAAGATCCAAATGAATAACTAACACAACTAATCTAAACTCCATCACCATACACAAAGGTTCCGTTTACCTACACATTTTTTATACTTCTTACACTATTCATTAGCATTAATTTTTTCAAACAAATATCATATCAAAATACCAGATTACGATTTTGAAAACCCTGAAAAACCTCTACGTAAACTGAGAGGAAATTTCTTGACACATGCATTTATGCAAGCAACAATCAACTCTACTAATTATCTCAACCTACAAAAGATTTTCACCAGAAATTATTCAAGCAATAGATATTTAATACAATCTTCCCTACCAAGTTTGGCAGTGTTTCTTCAAGAAATTCATAAATATGTATGTTTAGTGCAATCTTCCCTAAATGTTTAGCAGAGTAGGATCAAGAAATTGCAGTGTCGAACTGACCCCAAAGATCACTTCCTAACACATTCGATGAATTTCTGTAAATGGAGTAATCTCACTATACATCATCATCATCATCACCAAACCACAGTACAGCAGAAAAACCCTAATCCTTCGCCATAAACACCACCAAGAAGATCGAAAAAGAAAAAAAACAAAAAGAATTAAAAAACGTACCTCAGCGAGGCTATTGCCTTGAGCTTCAAAGTCTAGAGCAAGAGCCTTCATTTCTTCATCGTCAGAAATCATCACCGAGGGTTTCTTCTCGACGTCGTCTTCTCCAAGCGACTCTGCTGCAGCGCTACTACTCGTCTCGGATTTCGAATTCGAAATCGAATTAGGATCTTCGAAGGGAAGGCTAGGATTAAACGCGATGGGGCGTTTCTTCGTCTTGCTTTTGCTGTCGTTAGGGGTCTTCTTCCATGTCATCTTCATCTTGTCAAATTCTTCGAGGATTGCTTCGTTTCGGTTGCGGCTTACACAGAGCTTTCTCCTCTCCTCCCCTCCGATTTTTCCCTACAAATTGCTTCGGAGCTGTAAATATCAAATTTATAGTCAATTATTTTTCCGTAGTCAGTCAAATTGCCTTCGCTAATCACTATTAACACATGAACTGGTCTGGTCTGTGTTGGATCTGTGGCTAAATTAATCAATTTGGGGAAGGCGAAATCGAAGGAAACAGAATACATAGATCGACATAATTAGCTATAGATTCTTTGGATTGGCTATAAGATAATCTTCTTCTTCTTCTTTTTTCTGTGTGTTGTTACTGAATATGAAACTGGTCCAGTAACTAGAAGACAGACATAGTAGCCACGAAAAAGAGAACTCAAGAAAGAGGATAATATATGTACATATGTGAAGAACACGAGGAGCTCAAATCAAATCAAATGATCAATTAGTTTAATTTGTTTGCCTCCTCTCCCCTCCTCATCATAATCATCTTGTTCTAATTGACAGTGACATAAACTAGGGCAATTGGAGGAAGACGTAGACGAAGAATTTCTTCACGAATACATCACAGGTGTAGAGATAGAAATACGTAAATATATACACATAAATATATGTACGTATGTATGTATTGATCCATCAGCGACGCCATTGATGCACGGCAAGTGATCTCAACCTGATGCTCGCCCGAAACATACATATCTCTTTGTTTGTGTTAATCTTCTAATCTCTCCTCGAATTCAATCCATGTTATTTTGCATCTTGAAGCTCTCCTCTCCATCGTAGTTGAATCCGAATCCGACTCGAGGTTTTCCCATGCTGAAATTGAGCACCCTCGCATCCATGTTGTACTTAATCTCTCCTTCATACAATAGCTTCCTTATATAGTGTTCCAAATCCGAACCAATCAGCCGCAGTGTGTACTCCGTGAGCGGTGCACCCTACCAACCAACCAACAAATACAATATGACAATTATCGACACAACACATAAAAATTTAGCTGATTTTCGAACCTCATAATGATCGACGAGTTCTTGGAAACAAGAGAAAACTTTGGTGCAGGTCTCGTCCGTCCACACAAACTCATCCGTCGGGTCGAGGATGAGTGTCAGCTTATCCATCTGCGTCTGGTCGAATTCGCACGTCTCCGGATCAACGTAGGCTGCGAATATCCTCACGTGACGTGTGGTGCTGCTCAGCCACTGCCCGCCGTATTCCCGCTCCATGTTCTTGCTCTTCACATTCGTCTGCTTTTCCACCGGCCTCGGCGTCTTCAGCTGCTGTTCGTTCCGTTTCCTCTTTTCATTCCTGATTTCCTCCTCGATCACTTCCTTCACATCCTCTTCGACTTCCGGCTGCTGCGCAGAAACAAAAAGCACAGTTCTTTTACCCAATCGCTTCTTCTCCGGCGTCCGTACCAGTATCGAGAAGTAGGTTGAAGTTGCAGCAGCAGTAGCCATGGCGGATTACAGATTTTCCCTTCTCTGTAAAGCTTTTCTTCTTTGTAATCAAATAAATGGCTAGAGAATTTCAGGCCTCAAGTTTCTTGTGGATAAGAATTCTTCAGCCCTTATCACATACTAATTAAAATCGTCGAAAAAATAGCAGAAAACTAAGATCAATGGAGAAGAAACAACCCATATAAAAAACTGTTAAATTTCTGCAACTCAAATTGAGTTTTTACAGCTCCTAAAACTAACTATGACCTACCTAACCTAACAACCTACCTACACAGTCAAGGTTCTTAACAATGCACATCGTCAAATAACACAAAAATCGAAGGAATTCTTACCTTCGAAGCGGCAATCTTTGCTACGATAGAACTAACTATCTCTATGCATGATTATGATCTGTTTCCTTAAGTTCTACCGTATGTGCATCGGGATGAGTATTCATTTCATCGTCACTGACTTCTAAGCTAATGTAGTCAGGGAATTTCCCGTCATGCCAAACTATGTCGTTTGTACCTTTGGTGGAGAGCTCTTCAACTGGGGGGAAGCTGCAGTCGCCGACGAGGCCGCCGTCAAAGTATCTGCCGCGCACGACCTTCTGCTCGGGAGTGGGTTTCTTGTCCGGCTTCTTCTTAGGATGGTGAAGCTTGCACGTCGACACTTGGGGGCACATTCCCGTGGCTTCGTATGCAGGACAGACATAGGTGTGCTTCTTCGGACACTGCAAGTTCGGAGATATGATCCATGCACGATAGGTGAGACAACGTGGGGTAGTGTGCGCGTGTGTGAAGTTGGGGGCAAAAGGCGTGGCGTCAAGAAATCAGCTTATAACGGCTGGCCTGTCCTCGATCAGATAACCCCATTATAGATCCAAAAAAATGTGGACAAGACGGTAATAAAGGCGAGACAAGAAATCAATACCTCGTTCCCATCAGTGCAGTAGCCTCTGAGAAAACTTTCGCAAACAGCCGAGTCAGGATTCAGCTTTACATGTCTATAAGGGCAGTTCTCATTCGAGCACAACCCTAGAAAAAATAAAAAGATTAGATGCTCGTTCCGTAGAATCACCAATTAACGTGCTCCCTACCTTTTAGAAAGTAGGAACAATCTTGCATTCTCTCCGGGATAACCTGCAAGATGAATAGGATCTTTGTAACGGCGAATCTTGGATGTTTGGCACCATCAAATACGAATCACCTAATATTATATTATATATATATATATATACCTTGTGAGTCAATTTGCAGTCGGGGGTGGAGCAGGAACTGTTAAGAAATTTAGTGCAGACTGCGATTTTAGAGGGGTCGTGAATGTAGGGGCACTTTCCATCATCCTTATTGCATTTTCCAAATCTTGTGAAAAACTGGCAGTATTTTCTCTTTCTAGCCATGCGCAATCTGGCAGTTCGCAAACTCCATCGAACCTTCTCACTGGCCAGATAACGGGTCAATTTCTTTGGGTCTCTAACCAGCTTATTACCATTTCCGATTCGAACATATCTACACAGTAGCAGGCATTAATAAATGGTCGATATATCCCTTGCTTAAAATTTGACATAGCCACCAACGGAACGTACTCGTCGTTGTCGATGAATAATCTCCTAGGAACATAAGACCTCTTGGCATCTTTTGCAGGTTTTTCCACCACTGACGATGATTCTGTCTCTGCTAGAAACAAGACAATAAAAAGAGGTTCCAACATCAAACTTCTAGATTTGCTGTCAATAACGCCACACAAATACAATTAATTAACAATGCAATGGCTTTTATGGCTCTAAATCATGTTATATCTAGAGAACCATTGCTACAACTACCACTCAGCATCAACAAATGCAACATGCACATTTGTAAGTTGTAGCACAAGATGCAACATGAAAATTTAATGAAATTTAGAAAGCTAAGCAAACCGTCTGTAATTCTGTGAAGAGTTCTCCTTGTTGGGTCCATTCTGTAACGCTCTGAACCAATACGAAATATTCGTTCTCCTGTTCATGTAAAACGAAAATAAAGAATACAAGAAGTTATGTACTAAGAACTGATAGATGGGAAGATACGATATACAAATTAAAAGCTAAAGATCCACATATATTAATAGTATATTGATAGTTTAGATACATATATCGATGAAAAGTTAACTAAACCAAATAAATTTCACAATTAAAACATTCATGAAATGATAGGCTACACCAGGATTGCAGAGCGGCGTACCTGGTCGCAGCTAATCAATAAGTACCAACTTACTAGAAACAATAGTTCGGGTCTTCGATGCAACTGGAGCAGCTTCCTTTTCCTCTTTTTTCCTCTTCTCAGCTGCGGCGACAGCCCGTGTAGCTTCCTGTTGATAACCATGCCACACATATGAATACACATTCAAAATTTCATAAAACAATCCCTCACAAGATTTTCCATAACTATCATTAAGTGCAACGAACAACCTCATTGGTTTTCTTCGAATTTCTCTCCATTGATTTTGACCACTTTAAACTAGCACCACCGACGCTTAAAATTTTGGATATCCTAACTGAATATCCACGTGCTGATCTTTTGTAAATGGCGCCTCTTTTTCTTGACAGCAGCAATTTTGAGCTACACCACAGAAGTCAGAAACAACAGAGCAGATTCTAACCTAGAACCATCACATTCAAGCAACAAACACGAGAAAAATTTATATATATATACAGTAATAATCATACCTGGGTATGGAATATGAACTGCCATTTACTCTTGTCCCTAAAGCATGGATAAAACTTCTCCAGGGTGCAACTTTTTTCCATGTAAACATCTGAGGCCATGCTTTTCGAGGTCCTAACACTTTCTTACGTTTCTCCGAAGATGTGTCATGCAGTTTCCACACAAGTGAAAACTTTGAAGACCTACAATCCTTGGGAATACCAGATTGTCGCCTTCTAGAAGTTCGATTAAGAATGGAGTAAGAATCAGGAATGCTTGGGTTCACATTTGCATCCTTTCTTCTCTCATGATCTTCAGGCGATGCTCTGACAAGCTGATATTTCTTACTCTTGAAGTAGCTATCAGATGGTGGGTGTGCTTGGGGTTTATCTACACCCGACGTGGATGTATCACTAGAACAAGAAGAGGCAATCAATTGATTTGACCTCCTCTTAACATATATTATCCTCTTTCTTGAATTCTCGTCTACATGAGCACTATGGCTGTCCGAGTTGTTCACTGGACCAATTTCATATTCAGTAACAACAGACGTATTTACAGCCTCATCCAAAGACTCTGATGATTTAGGACAGACATAATTAGGACTATGCGAGTTTCTCAAAGGAAAAGACTCTCCAAGGTTACAACCAGTGCTGGTCAATACTTTGCTATCATGACTTGGGGGCAACTCCACGGATGTTCGACACATATTTACTGGTTCTATTCTCAATTGTGTCGGAGCACCAGTATCAACAGTCTTGCTATTGGATACCTCGGTATTCTTTAAATTCACTATACAAGGAGTTAATTTATAAACCGAAGAATTTGAGACAATGCTGCATCCAGGCACAGTGACACGGGATGGAGAAGGCTTCCGCACAAGGCTATTACCCTTTCTGATGTATGAACTCCCTATAGCTCCAGTAGTCTTTGTTCCATGACTGGGAGGAAGAGAACCAGGCTTTACTTTTGGCTCTGTTACTGCAGCATTAGAATTACCTGTACGATGCCATGTCCTTGATTTTGTAACATGCGGAGAATGTAAAATCCTTGATCTCGCAGAACTTATAGGCTGACGACTAGGAAAAAGTTTAGGAGCAGCAGACGTCAGCTGGTTCTTGTTAGAAATCAGTTTCCCACATAAAATATTTGATTTCTCCATCACTTTCACTTCATCGCCCTCAGTAGAGGTTGCTGCATACTGAGAATTAGTCGATAGATTCTCAGAAACAGCCTTTCCTATTGACTTCCCAAGAGAGAAGAATCTGGGAGCAGCAGTCCTAGGACCACAGTTTCTTGAAAATCCTGTGTAAGAAGGCATCCCTTCAGGAGAACTCATGCAGGATCGCATTTCAAAACTAGATTCCAGCAGTTCATTATCTGAATTTGATGCAGAGTGGCCTTTTCTATCAGCACATAAAGATATATTGTTGGCAAAGGTAAACAGATCATCTTTAACCCGCGATTTGTCAGCATCATCAAGAATTTCATCTGAGACTGAAACCTCCGCGGTCCCATTGCCAATTCTGCACTCCACATCCATAGGACCACATTCATTGACGACTTCAGATGCAGATAAAGGGCCTTCATTTGGTGCAGCTCCCTGTTCAGCTAACTTGGTTGACGATTCCTGACCAAGCACAGAATAGTCACTTGCAACGCCATCAGCAATTGTATCATCATCTGAAAGAGATGACAGTTTTGGTCTTGGGGTTGCTAGTTTTATGTTCTTCCAATGGCCATGGAGTGAACCATCAGGACCAAAGTTGATCTCTGGAGTCGAATACTCTATTCTACAAGGCACTTGGTTCAAGCAGGACTCCTCCTTAATGTAGTCTTTCTCACCAACAAGGCAACCTTCCGCAGCAGGAACAGGATTCTTCTTTAAACATCCTTCGACTTCACCACCTATAGGCCCAAAGGTATCAACAACTAAATTAGTTTCCGGCTCAGCAAGACCCATCTGAGCAACAGTGGCTTTCATGTTCCCAAGAATCACAGATGGGCAATTAGGAGATAAACAGGTCATAGCAGCCCATGATTCTTCTCGTGATTCTTCAATGTTATCATCTCCATCAGAAGACAGTTTCTTTCTCTCGCCATCAAGAGAAGAAACAACATATTTGGTTACGTTTGCCTTATCACCGACCAAAGGAGAGTCTAAACTCGGTGAAACATCTATACTAACATTCAAAAAATCTGTACCATCAGTGCCATCCAAACTTCTGATGTCCATCACATTATCCCCCCCAACTTGGAGTGTATTATCCTGTGCTTCCGAAACCTCATTACAATCAGCATCCCCCGAGCTCTCATCCAATATGATAACATTACCAGGCTTTTGAATCAATGAACTGTCTGCTTCAGGAGATGAACTCAATTTATGGCTTACAGGGAAACATTTATCTTCCTGGAGCTCCAGAGTATTGGATTCAGGAGTTTTCGACATGCCATCGCCTTCAATGGAAACTTCAACTTCAGAAGGTCCCGGAGCAAGATAATTTTCAGACATCACCAACCCATCCTCGCACGAATGTACACCTGTATCATCAATCTTATCAGAGCACATTCTAGAATTACAATTGGAATTCTCGGCAGTGCCAGGTGGCACCATTATGGCCTTGCCAATTAGTGCATTCGACTTGAATGAAATAGCAAGGTCCATTACATCCTGCACCTCTTCGGCTTTCTCTTCAATTCCTTTCTGCGTCTGCTCAGATCCTTCTTCGTCCTTCACCTTGACGCTACCGTTGCTCGACTTCCTCTGACCATGTTGCCACTTGTAGCCTCTGCTATGAGAAGTATTCTTGTTCTGCAGTCTCCTCTTCTTAGACCTTATAAATTCTTCTTGACCAACAGTTCTTTCCAACCTGCCGCTAAATCTGCCAAAATGCAAATCATCCTCCAAGCATCCAAGCTGTCGATTTTCTTTTGCAAATGGAGCCCCCTCACTGCCAACATATTTCCATCTACGCTCATCTATGAACCCCTCCCTATACAAGTCGCGACCAGCATTATAATCCCTCCCACTGCACATGGCATGATCTTGATTGATAATATCCCTGTTCCTCATACAATCATCACAAGCCCTCTCGCTGCCCTGCGCATGATCCCAATGACTAGTACCATTATTCCACCTACCTTGATCACCATCCCGATCAAAGATTCTACTGCCCCATCTTCTCTCATCATAACCCCTCTCTCTGCATAAAGAAAGACTCGGATCTCTATTATCACAATCCCATCTCCTGCCCCAATCATCATTTCTATCATCCCCACGCATATTGACATCTTCCCTCTTCTTGATCATCTCACTACTATAGCAATGGCTATCCCGGTACCTCTCATGATTTCCTATATCAAGAACCCTACCACGACGTTCTATCGCATCCCGATAGAAATCTTGACCGCAACTTGGGGGTAAATCTCTCACATGATGATCTCTAGAACCCCCAAATAAAACTTCATTTCTCAAGATTGGGTTTCTTTCGGAATACTCCCCCATAAACCGCGAAGGAGTATCTTCCCACCGCGGAATAGGCGGGGGAGGAGCCAGAGGATAGTCATCGCGATTGAGATAGGGTTCCGGACGAAGACCGAATTCGAAGCGATCGCCCCTTCCAACAATCGGTCTGTACGGTGAAGAAAAATTGACCGGAGGAGAAATAGGCTGCCTCTCAATGTAACCACCCGGCGGCGGCGGCGGTGGAGGCAGTGTTGGCGACGGAGGGAGAGGATAACGGAAAATCGGAGGACAAAACTGTGGAGGCGGAAGGGGGGCGCCTAAGGGTATAGGGGCGAAATCGGGGGGTTGAAGAAGGTTACGGTACCTGAGATGATCGCGGTCCGGGTAATGGAATGGCGGCGGCGGCGGCGGCGGCGGCGGTTGCCACAGATCCATTGCGCGGCGGCGCTTCTTGGAACCCTCTGCGAAAGCGTATTGGAAGAACGATTCCTTGCCTCTTCTCTGGAGAGAATTTTCAACTATGGTCGGCGGAGAATGGAAATTGTTTCGAGTTTTTCCCAGTATAGGTAGGGAAATTGCATCCACGTACCCCAAGCAAAATTATAATAATAAAAATTATATTATTATCAAAATTTATGCTATAAACTAAATTTAAAATATTTTTAAAAATGTATTTGTTTCGTTTTAATTCAAAATATTTATTTTTTAATAAAATTAATTATATATTAATATTTAAATATTTTTAATTTTTATTTAAATTTAAAATATAATATCTATTTAACTTACAAATATAATTATTTTATAAAAAATTTAAGACGAAAATATCAATTTTTTTAAAGAGATATAAAATTAAAAAATAACTATATATTACATATATTAAAAAATAAAAAATAAAAAAGAGTTAGCTCCACCCTAAGGATTGCTACCGTCGGAAAAAATGAAGAAGAAAAAAAAGAAGACAAATCTTCCACTCCACTTGGATAAGACAAAGGCAAAGTTCAAAGAAGATGAAGTCGAAAGTGAAAAAAAAAAACGAAGACAAAATGCACCCAAATATGAAGACGGAGAATAAAAAGTACAATAGAGAAATGAAAAGAAAAAAAATCAACAAGAAAGAAGAATAAGGGAAAAAAAAAAAAAAAAAGATGACAAAAAAAAATATCTGGAAAATAAAAAGAAAAAAAAATCGATGAACAAAAAACGAAAAGAAGAGAAGAAAGAAGAAAAAAAAAAAAGATCGAGAAAGAAAGAAGAATAAAAAAAAGATATAAATAATTAGAATGATGAAAGAAAAAAAAAAAGATCGAGAAAAAAAAGAATAAGAGAAGATATAAAAAATTTGAAAAATGAAAGAAAAAAAAAGAGATCGAGAAAGAAAGAGAACGAGAGAAAGTATAAATAAGAGGAAGAAGAAAGACAATAAGAAGAAAAAAGAAAAAGATCAACAAAGAAAGAAAAATGAGAAAAAATATAAATAAGAGGAAGAAAGAAAGAAAAAAAAGAATGAACAAGAGATAGAGAAAGATAGAAAGAAGAAAGAGAGAAAATATAAACAAGAGGAAGAAAAAAGAGAAGAGAAAAAAAAAGAGACAGAGAAAAAAAAAAGAACAAAAGGAAGGAGAAGAGGAAAAAAACAAAAAGAGATTGAAGAAAACGAAGATGAAAGAAAATTTAAACAAGAGGGAAAAAAAAAAAAAAAAGAGATGGAAAAAAAGCAACAACAAAAATAAAATAAATAGTACGAGAAGAATAATGAGAAATTGGGCTTTGATTTTAAATTGGGATTTGAGTAGTAAAAATTTTGAATTTGAATAGTAATAATGAAAAAATATATATAAATAAGTATTGATATAATGTTTTGAATGTAAAATTTATTTTTAATATAATATAAAAAATAAAAAATAGATATTTGATTTGATTTTTTGGGTGATTTGATTTTTTGGGGGAAAAAAATTGAATGAATAGTGTAAATCCAATCCAATCCCCCAAACCAACACACCCATAGTGTACGTGTATATATATATATATATATATTATATGTGCATGTATATGTTTGCATGTACGGGTGTGCATGTATATATGCACATAAACATACACATATAATATATAGATTTTGTTTTTACTTTTGTGATTATTTATAGAGTATGCTCTATAATCGGGCTTTGATTTTTTTTTTTTTAATAAAATTTTTAGCTTGATTTTAATTTGAAGTAATGAATATCCGCGGGAACAATAGATCATTGGTGAGAAGAGTTAACGATTTAATTTAATTTAAATTTGAGATTGTGCTCGGAAACTGTATTAATTAGGTAAAAAGGTCAATGAATCAATAAATTGTAGTCTTTATTTAAAAATTTAGATCAAGTTGCCGTATCTTGATAATTCGATCATAAAAAAAAACCACATTACTAGAAATTTAAGTAATACAAATTTGTTAAATCAATAATGAATTTAATAAAGTAGTAATTGATACGATAAAGTATCTTAAATCAGTTAAATCGATAATGAATTGATTATTGTATTGACTCCATTTGATACGACAAAGTATCTTAAATTTATAATAAGTGGAGTATAAATAAATAAACAAACAAGTGTTTCTCATCTCCTAAAACAAATACCGCTCCGTCCATTCACAAAATTTATTTGAATTATCAAATTACAAAGTAATCATTTAAAAAATATTCATATTTTATTACAATATCATTACTTTTATATTACTTTTAACTACTTATTATAATTAAAATATTAATATTAGTATTTAAATTAGGTTTCAAAAGTAAATATATATTTTTTAATTTAATAAATGAAGTATATTTTTAAAATGAAAAAACGAAAAATACAACCATGAAGTAAATGTATAGCCAAAGTGACCATTTTCAAAAGTAATACTAGTAATTTTTTAAAACACTCACAATTAATCTTTGAAAATTTTCAAAATATTGTATCCCAAAAATGTCTAAACGACCTAATGAATGGTCGACTCAAATACATGCATAAAAATCATAACAAATTTGGCCAAAATTCTTCCTTTTAACAACCCCCAACAAAATCAAATGTCACACAAGACATAATAACAATTAAAAAATTAAATTAAATTAAACCTGTGATGCAAATGCCACTTTGTTCTTTTTTTCTGCTTTAAATACACTTAGTCGAGTAGCAATAAGGGGAGGGGAGGGCACCAGGCACACCATTGCTGCAAAACAACCTCACATCCAACCCACATATCATTTCTTCTGTAAACTACAAAACAAAAAGACACACAACAAATGCATATAATATAAATGATCGACGAAATTATATTCATATTGTAATCTTGTTACCGATTTCCCATTGCAGAAATGGTTATTTGGTTCAGTCAGTCAGTCAGTCGATGCTGGAGGATCGGCTCCATCGCCCCCGGAGATAGTCTTCCAGCGAAACGCTATGCTCGATGCTGCTTAGAGACATGGAGTCTTCGTCGACCCCGAGCAGTGCGAGGTTGAGGTGGGATTGTAGATTTTGCTGTGGGAATGCTTCGTCGTCCAATGGATCGAGTGTGTTAGCACCTTCTTCCGTCGTCCCCGATGCGTTCACCTGCATTCGTGCCCATTTCACCGCCTCGTCGTTGCCTTGGAGAAGCTTGAGAATCTGAAATGGAGAAATAGTGTGTGATATAATCGGAATTGCATTGAAGTTCATCAAGAAATTCGTTAGGACATACGAGGCTCATATGGGGGCGAGCTCGCGGCGCGCGTCTGATGCAGAGGGAAGCTGCTAGAGCCATACGCTCGACTTGGTCGTGATTTTGGCTGCTGCCCATGTCAGGATCTAGCAGCCGAGAAAACTTGTCCGAATGCAGAATCGGCCTTGCCTAGACGAGCGGAAATATTTCGGTATTTATGTAGTTAAAGGATATATGGCGTCGGTTGAATTACAACTCGAAAACTTACCCACATAATAAGGCTCTCTTCGCCTTTCGGGCAGTTGTTGTTTATCGGCTTTCTGCCCGACAGAAGCTCGAGAAGAACTACCCCGTAGGCATATACGTCGATCTTTTCGTTCACCTTGCCATACATGAAGTATTCGGGAGCCAAGTACCTGATCGAAAATCCAACACTGATCTGTTGATTGCTCGTTTTTTTTTTTAATCCAAGAATGCTTTGGTTAGATGAGATCTACTGACCCAAAAGTCCCGGCAACATCGCTGCAGGTTATGTGAGTTGAAGTAGCCGATGCCCATGTGGCAAGACCGAAGTCAGAAAGCTGTAAAATAGTCGAACAGTATTGTGAATCGACGCTTTATACGAATGAAATGATAAAATGGCATATACATTAAGATTATAGCTCAACCTGTGGCTCAAAATCGTCGGATAGTAGTATGTTTGACGACTTAACATCCCTGTGGATTACGGGTTGGCCTTCTTTGCTATGAAGATAATCCAATGCATCAGCTATGCCGATAGCAATTTTGTATCGCTCGTTCCACCCGATTGGCAGTGCCTCCTTTTTGCTGCCTGTTCATCATATTCGACAATTTATAGCCAACAATAAGATCATTTTTGTAATGTATGAATAGCTAGGAATCGTTTCATACCATGAAGATTCTCTTCGAGGCTTCCTCTCGACACAAAATCGTACACCAAGAGGAGGTGATTGCTCTCAAAACAGAATCCGAACAGCGTGATAATGTTTTTGTGATGTAAAGATGAAAGGATCTCGATTTCAAGGACAAACTCCTTCGCAGCTTGTTCGGATGGATTTAGAATCTTCACGGCAATCTCCGTGCCGTCGGGAAGGCGGCCTCTGTAAACCTGACTGCTGCCTCCTTTGCCTATGATATTCCCTGTATTTCCACAATTTCAACAATCAATTTATCTTTTTGAACCATCAGACGATGTTCGAAACTATTTGATCATGATAATATATACCTGCTGTGAAATTGGAAGTTGCTGATGCAAGTTCCTGGAACTTGAACTCCCGGCAGGAGGCGGAGAACTTTCGATGGAGGCCTTTCAGTTCATCTGGTATGGTTTCGGAGATGCAGTCCGGAGATGATGGAACGGATATGTTATTACCATTTTCATGGTCTCCACCGCAGTCAGATTCGCTGTCATTCTCAATTAAGTCCTCAGCAAGCGTCGAGCATATATATGAACCTATAGGGCTTGGCAAGATTTCTTGACGAAGAAGAGGCCAGCCGAGCTTAATTTTAGACGATTCTTTAGAAATCGAACTAGAAGCATCTTCCAGTTTCTGCGCCGGCACGACAGCCTTTGGATTTTCTTTATTGTCATCGTCAAGATGCTTATCGGAAAATCGAGCACATGAACTATTCAATGGTGCTGAATCAGGTGAACATACTGAACAATTCCATTCTAATTTCTGTGCCACCAAATCTGCTTCCCTGTTCAACAATGGCTTCGATGAATGGCCATCGTTCACCTCTTTATTCTTACTAAAAGAACCCCACAGAGCATTTACTAAACCATTTCGACATTGATGCTCCGTTTCTGCTCAAATAAAAACCGACTATTTTGATATCACAGAATTATAGCATGAGCAAAAGGTAATTGAGAGCAATTTTTACCTGTTGTTCTAATGTGCAGACCTAAAGTGGATTCGCGACAGAACACAATTTTCCCATTGCTAAGAGCTAACACGGAGCAATCCTTGGACAGTTTTCTAGCACAGTATTTGGCAACTGAGGCAGATGAACGAATTTTATGGTGAGTTTGAGAAATTCCTAGGGCGACGACGGTAGCGTGGTTAGATTTGGCTTCGCGGACGAGAACTTTCCGGAGTGATGAACCTTTGCAGAGCTTTAGTTTGAGATCCACCTGCAGCATCAGCCATGAATTTACCATTGAATTGCTTCCAACTTCATTCACCTTATGATTTTGTATAACTAAACGCTGAATTCCTAGATGTTTTCTACGACTCACTAGTGTTCGATGATTTTCCTCGACGGAGATTTAACCACACAATTCATACATTTAGAAATTAGACGCAGAACAGTACAGACGCACAATACAGAACTGAGAATTTTTTACCTGTTTCAGATTGCAGAAACCCTCGTAAACTTCTAGAATTGAATCGAAGGCTTTAACCAGAGAAAACAGAGGCGATTTCCCGTCGCGATCCACATTTTCTGCACAAATTCATCCTCCCTGAATCAATTCACTTTGCAGCAAAAAAATAATCCCCGCACATACACACACAAATATATATATATATACATAAGCTATATACTCACCGTCGTTGAGAACGTGAAGTGCAATGACACGATCACCGCTCCGAGCGACCTTCATGAGAGTCCACGTAAGCAATTCCCGGCTCGGCGAGTCCAGCTTCACTCCTACCACCACCGTCCGTCCTCCAGAGCTCTCCTTCCCATCTCCGGCGACAATATGAGTCATTTCGAAGCCGAATTTTCCAGCAACAGACCTCCTCCAAATCAATTCCTCATCCGCCCGGCCGAAACCGCCGATTTCCGACCAGCTATTCCACCGCAAAACCAGACAACCGGCGATTGAATTCACAGCACCGATCGAGCAGGTTCCTGATTGCTTTCTAGATGCGAGCAGACCTTCAGGTGTCAGAGCAGCGCCTGGTTTCTTCCCCCTCTCTGCCTACCAGCAATTGTAGGTGGAGAATGGCTGCTCCGCCGCTTTGATTTTACTACTTACCGGACGACTCTCGGGACTACCGAACCAGATCGATCTGACGGTCGTTAATGTGGGTTCATAGATTGTGACGGTCTGGATTAATCCGGTTCCGTAGTCCCGGACTTGTTACACAAATACTTGGTCATCACGTCGACTTCGCTATGGTCCTCGGGTACCATTCTGGGCCCCACACATATCACTGCCCTTTTTAATTAAAATTAATTATAATTTTTTTTTATTATAAATTACCATCTATTTCTCGCTAATAAATAAGTGTGTTTAAAAAATAAAAATAAAAATCAATTCTTTAAACTAAATATTAAATGTATGTATGTATGTATGTATGTATATTTATTTTCAAAATTGTACTAGTTTGACTAATACATTTTTTATAATATAGTAATAAAAAAATCAGGACAACAGACAAAATAAATTACTGCAACTAATTTAGTGGATAATTCTTTGTGATTTTTTATTACACGTTTGAAATTAACACTGTTATTATACCTCGTTATCCATATTTTATGGGTAAATAAACTGTGGGAATAATTGTCAGTTCAGTTTTAAAATATATATTTGTAATTTAATTTGATTTAAATTGTGCAATTCACATGCGGTCTTCATGGGCCATATTTTCAATATTTAATTTATAAGTTACATCAATTGTGATTTTTTTTTTAACAAATTATATATATATACATCATTTTATTGTAATGAATAATTCTTTTGTCTAAATGCTTAATTATTTGTAAGAAAAGTAATAAAAATTATTATCATAAATATATATATATATATATATATAAAATTGTATAAGAGTAGTCATTTATAAAGGAAGTAGCTTTAGGCAACCGATTCTATACGTACGGCTCACGTGAGCCAACCAATCAAACAATGACACGTGTTTGAACTAGCAATAGTGTCGGTGACCAATTTTAGTCAATGATGGATTTAATAGAGCGGAAATAAGTGATGCACAAAGTACAACTCTGTAAAGCATAACAATGAATCTTCTAAAAATACCAAAGGATAATTATTCAAAACACATTAATAATTTAAAATAAAATTAATTGTATAGAATAATAATACAAATACATTTACTTATTTAATAACAATTCAATGGAATTAATTCTTGATATTTTTCAATAGTGAATTCTGTAATTTTGGGCCAAGTGTATTAATTGTGTCTTCAAAATGGGTCCACAAAAATGTAATAAAAAGGCCTGTGGCCCACTTATGGGGAGCCCAGTATTTTAATAAAGTATAAATTGGCCCACTAATGTTTTAAATAAAGAACATGGCAAGTTTTGTCCATATATTATTTAATTAAAATGGGACCATAAAAATATATTCTATTCACAACAAATATCTTATATATGTCATGTTCAATAATTAACCACATTATAATTGTGCTTGCAATATGATTAGTGATCATTTCTATTTTCTAAAATATTGAGAAAATGGAGCTTGAAAATCAGTAGCAATTGAAAATTTAAAAGGTGTGACAATATATATATATATATATTATGATGAAATTGTGACAATTTTTTATATTGTCATTATTAATCAGCTTTAGAATGGGCCTTATAATAAATCACACAAAATATTACACTATTGGGCCTAATGATGTGTAATGTAAGTCGGCCCATAAAATTGGGCTTAGCACATAATTTATTTATGGACAAAAGTATTGTATAATCTAACTGAAGAACACAATATATGTTTGTTTGGTTCGTACATTGTTTCTTTATTATTTTTGTTTGGGCTAATTCAAAATATCATTTTCAGAAATTTTTGTACTAAAATTAATTTTTTTTTTATTTCAGAAAAAAATAATTCTACATTAATGCCAAAATATCATTAACTTTTACTTAAAATACAAATGAAATATTACACTAGAATTATTTATACATAAAGTCAAGTGATAAAAATATAAAAAAAATTGATTAATAAAATACTATTATTTTTTAGTATACAAAATTTCCAAAGACCTCTTTAATTTGGAACAAATGAAGTATTTTATTTTTTGTGTGAGATATGAAAATTGTATTGTTAATAAATATATAACGGCATGGATTCCATAAAAATAAATAAATAAAATAATAAATGAATAAATCTCATGTTGTAGCGCTGTCTAGACAGAGATTTAGGAAGACTAGTTGAGCTGTACAAGTGAGATCATTTTATGCAGTGGTGGTAGGGAAAGGGAACTATTTATTATTATTATTATTAACAAGAAGAAGAATCAATCAACCGATCAAAGCAAAAAAAATCTCATTCTTTTTTTAAAAAAAATTTCAACCTTCACTCACTCACTCACTCCTCCAATCTATTTTTATTTTTCTATTGCAATAATACAAAATTCCTAAAGCCAACCCAACATCCAAAAACCAAACTTGGTTATTCTTCTTCCGAAACCCCTTTTTTCCTTTAATCTTTCAATCCTTTATTTCCTCCCTGGTGATCTGCCCTTTTTGTGTTTCTGCAAACCCCTTTAAGGGTTTTTGGCAAGTGCCCACATCAAAAGGGTATCTTTTTTTTTTCTTTTTTTTTTTTTTTAATGTTTTTTAATTTTTATTATTTATTATTATGATGATGATCATGTGCAGCCATGTCTGTATGAACCCTAAATTTTGGGGGATTCACTCTCTTCAATTCCTCTCTGTCATCTGCAGTTTCTTTCTTCTTCCCTTTGGATTTGAGTTTGCAGCAGATCTTTCTCTGGTTGTTGTTCTTATTGATTGCTAATACTGTGTAATAATTTGTGTTGCTTCTGTTCATCATTATTTTTATTATCATTATCTTGTCCGAATTTTCAATTTTGGATTGAATTCCCATGTCTGTTGATGAAATTTCACCCACTTGTTTTAGATCATCTGGGATTTCATTGTCTTGCCTTAATTACATCATTTTGTTCACATTATTCCTACATTTTGATGCCATGTTTCTTATCACAAAATTCTGTGCTCAAGTGAAAGAACTACCACAAAAAAAAACTTGTTTGTTTCATACACATATATTAATTTGTTGTCTTTAGGATTTTCAAAGAAGAACAAGGCTATGATCAATGCTTGATGTTGAGTTCTATGGGTAGTTTTGCAATGGTTTTCTGTTAGTAAATTTACGCGGCGGCGACGTGTCGAGTACAGGTCGAAGGCGCGATCAATAGATGTTGGCGGCGCAATGCAGCTATATCACCACCCGTATTCGATTGACAGCCAAAAAGTGAGGCTCGCGTTAGAAGAGAAGAACATCGACTACACATCGTTCCACGTCAATCCGATAACGGGAAAGAATTTCGATTCCAGCTTCTTCCGGAGGAACCCGAGCGCGAAGCTCCCGGTCTTCCAGAATGGCTCGCATATTCTATTCGATACCGTCGAGATCATCAAGTATGTCTCTATTGCCTTGCATCGATTCTTGGCGTCGAACGAACGATTTCTAAAACCCGGGTTCTTGCAGGTACATCGAGAGGATTGCGATGGTCTCGGCAGGCGGCGACGAATCGAGCCTGAGCGGCGGGGAAGTGATCGAATGGATTCGAAAGATCCAGCAATGGAACCCGAAATACTTCACCCTCGCCCACATCCCTCCGAAGCATCGTCTCGCCGTAACAAAGTTCCTACGGCGCGTGATCATCGCGAGGATGGCGGAATGTCCCGACCTAGCCAGCGCGTACCACCGTAAGCTGAAGGAAGCGTACGATACGGAGGAGAAACTAAGTGACCCGCAAGTCCTGCGACGAAGCGAGGCACATCTTGAGCAAATTCTCGACGAAGCGGAGAACAGATTAAGAGAGACGGCGTACCTTGTCGGTGAAGAGTTCAGCTTAGCCGACATGGCCTTCGTGCCGCTCCTGAGCAGACTGTCGTTGTTGAAGCTGGAGGAGACGTACATCGTCGAGAAGAGACCGAACCTGGCTAAGTACTGGAAGAAGGTGCAGAAGAGGCCAAGCTACAGAAAAGTTATTGGAAGAAACTTCCATGGATGGAGGAGACACAGAATGGTGATGAAAACCTGGTTCTATGTGCAGATCAGGACTTTGCTGAAACACTACTAGTGTGTGTGAATTGATGCATTAAAATTCTTGTTCAATTGTACATCATCTGTCTATTTATGTCCATGTTTCTTTGCATAATCACTAGTAAGGGAAGAAAATAAAGTCTTGTTTACGATTTACTCTCAAAATATCACATCAAAATTATTACATAAAATCGCAAAATCAAATCCCAAGTAAACAAACAAGCTGTCAAGTTAGTGATTTCGAACTAAAGAATCCGACACTTATTTTCTATTTAAAACATCGCATAAAACCAACGGCATAAACAAAACCTAAACATAGGTAAACACAGGTAACATAAAATTCAAGAAACCACAAAATCCCATTTCATAGAACATAAAAGACACCTCTGTAAGTCAAGAAAGCCAAAGTAGTGAAGGCAAGAAAATATGAACACTGTATAACAACATTCGACATGCATTTCAATCAGAATTTATGACTAACATAAGCTAAATCAGGATCAATGTTACTACAACAACTGAGTGAATCTGCCCAACAATCCCCAAATGTAAGATGCACACAAGCTAGAGGAGGATAGTAGAGAATGGTTGGGTACCTGCTATGAGATATAGAATCGTCAGCAGCAGCAGGCGCCGAATATAAAGCTGAAGAAAAAGAATATTCCAATAATCAAGGATGACTGTGCAGTAAAGAATTGTAAAACAATAACAGGAGCATCATTAAGTTTTCTAACAGCTCCTCAGAATTTCCAATAAATTGAAGCCAACTTCTTGTAACAAATGATTATGAATTTAATGTTTTAGAGGTTATCCTCTCCAATTAGTCTCTTGCCAGCTGTATAAATTCCTGATTCCATTTGTTCCATTTCCAAGACCCGCTCCTGAGGAATTATTCAGTGCATTGCTGCCAGCATATCCCCAGTTGTTCCTCATTCGAACCCATGGAGGTGCCATCTTCGAATGATTCCACTTCTGTTGCCTAAAATATTTCCTTCCCAAGCCATTAGAAGTCCCCTGCTGAATATTGGGCTGACCATTTGGAGCCGACGGGTTGTCATCAGGTGGATCCATGGTGTAAGTCCTTGGACGTTTCTGAGCAGCCTGATATTCGACTAAAGCACCATCATGTTGTTGTTCTGGCTTGAAAGGATCACTTACTGATGCACATTTAGCCACTGCAGAGGCGGGACGATCTCTACTGCCACAGGGATGAGGAGGCAATGGAGGGAAGGGAAGGAATGGCACTCCAGGAGCTATTGTGCAACAGTTAGAAGATTCCGATTGCAGTACCTCAAATTGCTGCATCAATGATCTGGATATTCCGTAGGAGACAGGCATACGTGCGTTAAACCTTGGAGGTGGAACACCCAATACAACATTACCAGGATGCTTCCGTTTCTGCATCCTTATTTCTTCTTGATGAACAGCACTCGAAGGTGTATCAGATGGCACCACACGGCCGTTACAAGGAGATGAAAAACCGGGAGGGAGATCGTCATCAATGCTGAGCTGTTTATTACCAGTCAATTTGGGACTAATCCTTGGGGTTTCTGCCGGGTGATCCCATCGACTCTTGCGCTTACGCACTTTTGTACCATTGGCTCCAGAGGCAGAGGGGTCTAGGGTTGAAGTTTCACCTGTACTAGGTGCAGAATGCAGCTGTTTTTCGCCACAGTTTATTGCTTCGGAAGGTTTTCTATCTCTATCACTCCAATTATTGTTTGCTGTCGGCAGCAGATCATGGCTTGAAGGCTGATTAATCTCACTCCTTCCAATATCCATTTCGATGCAGCAACTTTTTCTGAGGGATCTGGGAATCCACCTATCCCGGAAGCTTCGTGCAATTTGATGAACCTGAGAACAGAAAATAAGGCAAAATTCAATATTTAGCATGTGACCATTCGATTCTTGTGAGCTAAGCTTCAATATGGGGGAAAACAGTCATATTTGAAAAATGGAGGCAAATACATTTGTCAGACAAGAGTGCAGTTGCATTAAATGACAGCAATACAAATTTGCATATGATTTTATGAAGTTTGAAACTCTCATGCTGCATCTTTCTGTTAAACTGCCCTCATGTCTACCATTTTTCTCATGAGAGCCGAAACATGATTCTTGTGACAGATGACTCTAAACACCATTAGTGACATAAGCCAAATTGATAACATGAAGCAAATTTACTATGTATTACCTGTTTGTCAGCATGCTCTGCAAGAGTCAATATTGAATCTTTAAAGCTGCAAACAAATATCATAACCAAATTAGCATATGATAGGAAACAGAGAAATGCAAAAATAAATTAGGATGGAATGATGTTGCTCGTTGCAGTGGGTGAATGAAAAAAAAAACAAAACAAAACAAAATTCTGTCTGGATTGACAAGATTTTTTTTTTCACATGAGGCCTGCTGTGTGGTTCAAAGTAAGATAAATAAATTATACGTAAAAATAAATTGATAAATTAGAACTAAGCATAACAAGTAAAAACAAAAAATAACACCAGAAGTGTGGTGCAAAGGTGTTTCAAAGATTCATCAAATTAAATATCTTCATGTGTTTCAAAGATTAAAAAAGTAATCCAAAACACTGTAAATAATTGGCGCAGAATGATATGAAATATATTCACATGATAATCATTACCTCTCCACCCCCGGACGAGGTGGACCTCCAGTTATGTGCTCCAAAGTAAGAATATGCCGCAGTGCCAGATGCTCCAGGACCTATGCAACAATAGCAAGCAAGATTATTCAATAACTGTTGCATATCAATAAAAGATATTTGGTTAACACACCCCTAACATTATCCTACAAAATTCGTCAACTTGAACCAGACCCTATGAATCAAATACATCAGTATGTGTAAGTTCATAATTTCACAATATGTTTCAGATTCAGAAATTTACAAATTTGGCAGGGTGTAAATTCAATTGGGACCTCTCTCAGCAGAGCTTCCCCCAATGTAGAAACCATTTGTTTTCACCAGTGATTGAATGATTGAATTAGTAATCTAACAAATAACCACGGGCTCAACAGTTGCTAGATGCATGAAGATGATTTTATTTAGCAGGTTTTTTGGATTTATTGTTGGTTCAGATAGTCCATATCAGTGCCTAGAAAATTAGAAGCTCTGCAAAGTTGCCTTATATCCTTGGGGATGAAATTGCAACTATCACTAATTTAAACTAGTCTAGCTTCCAGCACGGATGTGAGACTAGGGTATGTAGAATTAATAATGTTCACAAACAAACTCCAGTAAGTACAGAGAAATATAAGAATCTCATTAGGTGGATAGTTTGTATTTTGTACGCGAACAGATGCACTGGACATTAGCCACTTATTTTACACATCTGCAGGTACACAGGCAGACAGACGTGCAGAACATTGTTCGTTAGCATATTGAGGAATAAATCAGATGGATACTAAAAATTATTTGGGTAAAATTTAGTAACTATGAGCAGGTGAAGTTCTAAGCTTGACTCAAACTCAAGGACTCTTTATATGCAATTAAAAGCTACAATGATATGATAAACTGATAAAGTCACCTTAAGAAGTTTGCGCAGAATTGGTGTTTTGATGAATTCTCTTCTATAGCGCTTCAGTATGTTGTGTAACATCTGCAAGCCTATAAAAGAAAATTGGTCAATGGAGGGCAGTAATATTCAATATCAAAACAAATAATCAATAGCACAACAAAACTTCTTTTTGGTAAGGACATGGGGATCACTACCATTCTTATTGATTATATCAACCAGAACACTTCGAGATTTTGTCTTTAAGAGTGCATCCAAAATCATTGAAAGATCCCGATTACTGCAAAAGAGGAGAAAAGAACATCTCTGAGATTTATTATCCAAATGAACTGACAAAATAAATCTCACAAGGTTACAAAAAAGATGCAGCTCCAACAATTTTAATTAATATTATCATTAATATTTAAGAAGAAGAAAGAAAGAAAGAAACCTTTGAATAGCTTCGCCATGCCCATTACTCCCTGAGGCAGCAGTTAGGAAAAGAAGCTTCAAGTAGCCCCTCGATGAATCCTATTCAATCATAGGAATAAGACATGGAAACTAACATTTTATATAGAACAGGAAACAAACAATAACACTGAGTCTCTGAGACTTATAGAAATAAGAAACCAGGACTTCTTGGGGGTGTTTATTTGCTGGGTTGAGTTTGAGTTTTGAATAGTAAAATTTTGAATTAAAATAGTTATTTGATGTAATATAAATATATTTGATAAGATGTTTTAATATAAAATTAAATTTTAATATAATATAATAAATATCACATAAATGTTTGATTTAATATTTTTGAGATAAAAAATTGGAAATAGTAAAACCCACCCAAAACCCCACAAATAAACACACCCCTTGTTTCCCGAACACAAGAAAAGTATAATGGCACAAAAAAGGAACTTACTTTCTTCTTGCTTATTCCCCCATCAAGATCCAGCAGTTCATTCAATTTCGCCTCAACTGCAAGCGGAAAAATTTATTTCAACTAGTAAGTGAAAAAATCAATAAGCCAAAAACCACAGTGTGTAGATGATTCCTAAGTACCTGCTTCAAAATGATTAGTTATTGGAAGTCCTGGTGACTTTTTAGATTTATGTAGTGTGCCAGTCAGCCTATCAGTGTCTGGACTTCCTTTGTCATTCGTAGCACCTGCTTTAGGTTTTCCCTTCTTAACTGAACCAGTTGAACGCTTAGTCTTAGAAATTGAATTGGGTTTTGGCGGTTCATCCTTTCCTCCCATACTAGCATATTTCACCTTCCTTCTAGATACTACAATCGTACTAGTCAATGCTTTGCTAGGTGATACAGTATCAACCAAATCGTGAGCAGAAGTTAGTTCTTTTTCCGGAGTATCACTTTTCTGTAACGAATCAACGAGGTAAGAGGAAAGCATCTGGGGTTGAAGATCCTCAGATTTAGACTTTATATTGGCTAATACAGATTCATCATTGGAATCATCATGATTCTGTTTGGTACTTTCCAATGGCTCCACCAAACCTTCGCCAGAAGAGTTGCAGACTCTGACAGGAGTTCCAGCAGCCTGTGTAATGTTGATACCTTCAACCTTTTCAGTTACAGAATCTGAAGTTTGTGGATCTGGAATGCTCTCGCTAACAGCACCAAGAATATTCTCCACATTATATTCATTTTCAGTAGGTTCATGAGTGATTTCATTTTCTTTGTCATGCAACGAACTAGAAATGATTTCATTCCATTCTTCGTTCATATCTCTTTCTTCGCAGACCATAACAGGCTCAGAAAACTCATCATCTGAATCATCCTGAACAATTACTTCAGAATTTGTTGGATCACCACCAATATACCCCCGGCAGTTTGGTGAACTGCATACACATTTTTTTGCAGCAGCCCCAAATACACGAACATAGTTGTAATCAAACGTAATCTCTTCACCCTGGCATGCAAATTGTTTGAATATTAGGCATGTGTAATGTTCAACAAAAAGGTAAAAGTGCTACCACAAGAGACATGGAAACATTATGTTATAATTATACAGCATTACAGCATGTCAACCCTCGCCCATCCACTTATATATATATATATAGAACAATAAGTAAATAAAAGGAATGCAACTTCACTAACAAGAAAATTATTTGACATATGGTTAGCCAAAGGGAATTTACCTTCTTAATATCCCTTAAAGAAAATAGGCCAATGCAAACTTCTCCATCCACCATCCACTGTAAAGTACACAAAAAAACTTAAAAGATTTAAATTTCTGCATCAAAGTCAAACTTCATTTTCTTTTAGAATACAAAAAATGAGAAAAATGATAGGCAGACACATTGTACACAGATACTTCTATCCAAATCTGATTTATTCAGATAGAAAATTCTGCAACCAATCCAAATCCGATTTATTCAGATAGAAAATTCTGCAACCATGACAACTTATTTGATGAGAAAATGAGCTCTTAAATATGCAGCAATTTATCCATCCAATTATTTGTTGATAATATAGAGATGCAAATAACAAAAGAAAGTAAGCAAGAGATGAAGAGTAAATTCAGACACCCAAAGTATAACATCAACTAAGCAGAAATGTGATTATTCCTGCTGTATTTGCTTCTCCTGATGGTCAAAGGTACCACCAACGTATCAATACAATTTATAGATAATGAAAAATGGAGAGTAGAAAAAAAAAAATCAAGTTGCAGAGCACTACACATGAAGTTTGTATAAGTACAAAGGGTTGAGTTGCGGTAGTACCTTTTCTGTGCGGCAGTTAGGGTCACAACTATGATTTATAAACCGACCCAAATTTCCCTTAGCGCATGCATCAATTACCTGGACAGAGATAAATTGCAATTTGCAACAGAACAAATATATTAACAAGGTAAATGCCATCAAACACAGGAACATAAATACATAGCAATAAGGAATATTTTGATCCTCAGGAGAATGCACATGTTCATATAAGTATAAAACAATTCTAGTTTTTCATATTCACAGTGCAAAAGCTCATGCCCACCCCTATGAAGTTGATGCCATGCATCAGCTTTAAATCTAAGATTAATGAAACCCCCATTCCTTAAACACTAAGCTTAGTGCCATCTATGCACTGAACATTCATCATGGCACAAGAGATGGATTTCTATAATTCATCAGCGAAACATGGCATAAGAGGCAATAAACACGTGAACTATGTAGTTGGTACATCCTTGAAATTGAGTCACCAGAAAAAATATATATATTTATATATATATATATAATCAGGTAAAGTTGAATTACTGCAAACTTAGATACAATATACAAGTATCTAGAGTAATCATGAAACAATTTATGATAACAAACCTCACTGCCATTCAGTGTCATGAAGTAAAAATGTTTATGGCCATTCAAAGCATACTCTGCTTGCCTTGCCTCATAAGCACGCACATCAAGCACCTACAAAAGTCATTAACCACCATAAGTACATAGAAACTTAAGATGCAAGCTCATCCCAAACATTTGGTATCGTCTATGCAAAATAAGTACAACATGATCATTTCATTAGTCTTGTCTCATTGCAAAATTGACACAAAAGCCAAGGCCCCTTCAACACAAAAAACTAGGGCTCTGAAAATACTCTGCAGACAAGTATACAATTAAACTCCTGCGAAGTCTTATTGCTTTATCAAGAGTAAATATAATTCTAAGCATCTTATTAAGGAATGGCTTTGTTGCTATATTCAGAACCAAATATAAGTTAGTTTTGCTCATGAAATGGAGGGCATTCTGAAAGCATGTGGCTTTAACATGTAGATAGTGGAAGAATCCCAAAGGAAGCTGGTACCAAAGCTGATAAACCCTAAGAGAACACTCCCAAGATATTTTCTAGGTAAAACAAGTATGGAAATAATCAACACATGATACTTTCACTTTCCAAAGTGCATCTTATCCTACAATCAAATTTTTCATGATAGATTGAAGAAGATACATCTCAATGAAAAATAGCAAGGTTTTACCGCACAATATCTCAACATCAGTATAGAATTTTTCAAAATGCATAAGCTTTTGGCGTCACTCATCAGTATCAATTTTCAAATAAGCAATGCAAAACCACATCCTCACAATACCAGAAAATGGAGAACAGTCGCCAAACAGTTGTGAGATATGAGAAAGAGAAAGGGTTACCAAAACAGTCGACAAACAGTTGTGTGTCTATATATATTTAACTAGAAAATTGCTCAAAATGTGACAATTCATTCAAGATGCAACTAGTCCCTACTCCAATTAATAGTAAATCTAACAAAACAGAATATACACACACAACTCCACTGTTTTCATGAAATTAATAGCCATACTGAAACTACATCCATGCCCATATTTCCAGTCTAGCTAGAAGATTATTGACAGTCATGATGTAATAAAGGAATACAGTTTACCTCCCCAACATATTCTATAAGGAACTGCCCATTGGAGATATCCTCAAGTGCCTGAAGGCCATAGCCCTTCTTTCCACACTTAAACCATTTCAACTTAGCATAATTACGCTTTTGAAACTGCAATTAGAATGAATATTGTTAGTATTATACGTATTATACGTAACAGGAATGTGAATAATCATCAACTTAGAATGCACAGCAAGAATCTTGCACCTGTTGATTTGAACAAAGTTCACCACATGGACAAGTTCCTTGAACACACTCAATGTTAAGCATCCGGTTCAAACACTCAGCTCCACAACTCATTCCTCCATCCGCTGGAGGTTTGCAATGGCAAACCATTACCTGTTGCAACAAAATAAATATTAATAAATATTGAACATAGTAAGGTGAGCCAACTAAAAAATGAAGATCAGATGCCTTCTTCTGTATACAATCAGAACACAGGGCTCAAATGGAATAGCCTCACAGATATACATGCAAGAAGCAACCAACCAACACAAACTTGCAGCATATGACTTCATGTAGAGCTGCAGTGCAGGTGCACAGAGGATAAAAGCTCAAGTATTATAGCATGGATCTCACAAATGCAACCACTTATAAATCAACCTTCAGACTCACATCACACATTCGTGTGATATGGAAAATCACAAAAAACACATTTTCATCAATGATTCATATATACAAGAATTTCTGGCATGGTTTAATTAACAGTTTTAGATGATGAAAATATGTGTGCTTTATGCAATAGTATAAAAAAAATAAGTTTGCAAATTTATCTCTCTCTCTCTCTCTCTCTCTCTCTCTCTCTCTCTCTCTCTATATATATATATATATATATACAAGTCTTTTGTATAAATATCTATATGATACAATAAATAAAGGTATGAAGTGATTGAAAAATCAATAGAAAAAATTATCATATGTTGAATAAGTCAATCTATGAAGAGCAGATCAGTACTGAAGTTTGTTTTTCCAGGGGTAAAATAATATATTTCAAGGTATAGTACAAGCATTTGTCCTAGCAAATCACTGAAATTTCAAGCAACATAGCATGCACAAAAAGCTTCTATACAACTATGAATCCAGGCATAACACTAAATGTGGTCTAAATAAGCATTTACCTCATCAATGGTCTGTCTTTTTCGGCTTCTATGCAGAAACAAATTTGATTTAATTAATGACCAGGACGACGGTTGAGTAACTATAAATTTAACAATGGTAAAGTTAGATGAATCTAAATGTTAAGGAAGACAAAACAGAGTGCAGCAAGAAATACCCTTTGTTTGGTTTTCAGTCTTCAAAGTACCATCAGGATCTTCCTCAGAAGGTTCAGATATTCCAAGCTCCCGATTGATTTCTTCATCTGTTATCTCTTGAGGAATTGAACAGTCGGCAAAGTTACTATCGGCGTTCTCTTTGCAAGTCCTTAATTCATAAAATAAATTACATTAAGGCAACATCTTCAAAAGAAGGTAGTAATCAACTTCATAATTATTATTATTATTTAACTATTTCGAATAAAAATACATCAACTTCTTAAAGTTGGATACAAAGTATACCAAGACAAGAAAAATCTACTTGAACATCAAAATATGTATCCAGGTTTTCCAGTGTAAACTAAAGGCGGAAGGTGGTTATCATATTGTTAAATCAGGTCATCTTGATGACACAACCAGCCAGGGAACCAAAGTCAGCACCCAAATTACACATCAAAATTGCTTCAGAAACATGAACATTCAATCACAAAAGAGGCAAAATCGTTCAGCATATTATACAGTATTTATTAAGCAGTTAACATTAGACCATGACAAATATCTATACTTCAATGCAAGATGACCTCATAGCAACAATTATTTACCATCTATGGTCAGGTTCAATTTTATTAGCAAGAGCACCAGGTATTCTCCGCCATTTTGCACACTCGTCACAAAGAACCCATCCATACTTTGAATGATTCTGCTGTTCTACCACTCCATCAGATGAAAATTTCATGCTGTTTAATGGAGCATTTGAATCATTACTCTGTTCTTCAATATCTCCGGGAATGGTTCGGTTATGATTTCCTAAGAAATTATTTAGAATAGACAAATTAGTTTCAAAATCAGACACGTATCACATGAGGCAGGGATAAGTCTCAAAAATGAAGTATAATAATGCAATCAGACATATTTAGGATGGGAAATTTAAACATGTGAATGATGTATAAAACATTACACACTTAAGGGTACCTGTTTCAGGGTGACTTTCCACTTTGCTGAGGACAATATCAACACCAACCTTTTCGTGCCTACCACCAGCTTTCTTTTTGTTGTTTTTCCTTTTAGAGGGTTTATTTTTCTTGCGGGAGGATTCAGAGATTTTAGACCTACACTTGCTCCCTCCTTTTGCTCTAGAGCATTTAGAGGATTTTCTTCCACTGCTGCACGGAGTCGTGTCACAGACTTGTGTCTTTTTCTCAGATTCAGCGAGCTCAGGATAAGTAGTAGTTTCAGTACAGTTTAAAATTTGTTTATGGTCCACTTCATGAGTAGTAGGTGCTTCAGTGTCATCCGTTGTCTTGGCGACAATCTGCTTGCTTTTCAGACTACATTCAGCTGTCTCATGGGGCTTATTTTTCTTCTTTACTTTCCTAAGTTCTGTTTGTGGCAGGCGCATAGTTGATACATTTCCTATGCAAAGTTGTTCTTTAGCATTGTTTGAGGACTCTGTACCAGTTAGCTTTTCCAAAGTTTGATCATCTTGCTGATGGAGCTTATCTTTACCTTTGCCTTTACCTTTCCCTTTCTTGGATTTCTTTGGTGATAATATTAAACTTGAGGTATCACTTGGAGATACACATGAATTGGATATGACAGGGCTATTTTGTATATCTTGTAAACCTTTTCCACAAAGTGTAGGATCAGGAACTGTGTTTATAACTTCTGAATCAGGTGAAGTTCCTACATCTGAACAAATGTGATCAGCAGAAACTGCCAGATTATCTCCTTCTTCCGAGCTTATCATGTTATGGATGTCACTTGAAGGACTGAAAGAAGAAATATCAAAAGCAACTTTTACATCACGAGGTTTGCTCAAAGCAGAGGCATAAGAAGAAACCTTCTCCACATTTCTTTCATGCAGTGTTGGTATAGCTCCTGGCACTTTCTCTTCAAACACATTTTCTACTGTACCTACTGAGTCAGTACTGTCTTTCCCTGATGAACTACAATTCTCAGTAGCATTTCCCAAGCTACAGAGTTTGTTGCCAATTTTAATCTTCAAGGAAATTCGCCCAGTTGGAGGGCACTTTTTCCCAATTGATTCTTGGTGGATCTTCACCTTAGAAGGATTTTGTTTCCCTCTACCTTTTCGCACCTTTTTTTCCTTTTTAAGAGAGGCGCTTTCTTTAGAATCAGATATAGCATTCCCAAGATAGCCCCAAACAGATGATCGGGGCCGCTTGGAAAATGTACTTCGAGTTTTCCTCAATATTTGCAAAGAATTTAAATCTACTGTTGTTTTTTTTGGTGCCATCCTTCCACGTTCTCCAGATTTCTCCTGTGACATATTGTTCTGATCTACTTTGAGGCTGTGCCGATGCCTTCGAGAAGATTTGCGTAAAATTTGAGGACAAATCGCGTTACTTGTATTGTTGATCTCAGCAAAAACCACAGCATCAGCAGCCCCTAGAGCAGATGGCTCAACAGCAGTGACCAAGTCAGTAGGACCCAAATTATTAGTATCTTTTCCATCCATATGTTTTTGTCCAGAGGGTTCAGAATGGCCAATGGAATCCGGCACACCAGCATTGAAACTATCTGTCGTGCAACATTCCATTGTCTTGATTGGCTTAGCAATGCTGATCAAATCAAAAGCTGAAAGACGACAATCAGCATCTGGAACATCTGACTTCACCATGCCAGTAGATGAACCATCAGTTTCCCCAAAAGAAGAATCATATGGTGTTGTAGAAACGGATAAATTCCCAACGCCTGAATCAATTACAGATAACTGTTCCTTGATTTCACCCATAATATCTCCAGACATCTCAGCAAGTGCATCCCCAGGTTGACTGAGATCCATCAGCATCAATTATGGATAAAATCAAAGTTCCAAGGTCATGCAACTAATAACATTTGCCTGAGATTCCAGCAGACACACTTAGGCATTACATGGATGCTCAGTAATTAACCAAAACAATATCCACATTTGAAATATCAAATGCACCCGGTTAAAGAAACAAGAATTAAACAAATATAGTCTTCTAAATCCATCCTAGATGAAATGGAAATTTCGTTCATTTAACCAACTGAAACTCTCGGCAAAACAATTCAAAAGAACCTTAAACTATTCCAGCAAGTGTGAAGCGTGGTATAGAATCAACGGTAAATTCAATCCATTTGAATTGAATAAAACGTTTAAAACAATGAAACTAGTCTGGGTAGCATTTATTTTCAACTTCTATCAAAAAACATGAATGGCAAAAATTACCTCAACACCAAATACCCTCAGTGCCACTCATATGCTTACCAAGAATGCACGGACAGGGACAGCGATAAACACCGGCATAAGCAGGTTCAAACAACTTTTCATCTACAATCAACGGCTACAACTATACGCCTAAGGCAATTGTAAGAAGTCTGGTATAAAAGTTAAAAGCTATGCCCGTCCAACGATACCCAATAAAGATAAATAAACAAATAAACGAAACAGAAAGCAGATAACTTTATTTCGCATCAATGCAGGTAGAGAGATTGAGCACGGGCAAACACATCCTCAATCTCAAGAAAACTGGTCAAAAACCCTAATTCCTAACGCAAATAAACAAAACCCTAATTTAAAAAGCCAAATCGTCAATGCCGAACCGCGCAAGCCCGTAAACACGCGCAAATTAGACTGCGCAGAGACGCAAAGCAGGACCGTACCTGGAGAAAAATCAACATACGGGAATTGATTAATCAGCTCAACGAATAGAACCCAAAAATATGCATTCTTGCGGTATTCATCTATGACGAAGGGATTCCAATCGACGCCTCCGCTCGTGTGTTCGCGAGGGAAAAATCAACCCCTCGTCGGTGTCAGCAGGCGGTTTTCAAGGGGCGGGAGAAAATGGGGATTATACAGAAAAAGGGTAGAGAGAGAGAGGGAGGAGGGGCCTCCGAACAACCTCTTTGTGGGGAGCTTTTATTCGCGTACCCCGTTCACACATGGAGAACCTGTACAACCCATGAAGGGTAAAGTACAAGTCATTACAGCACAGTAGCGGGCTTTTGACGCGTGGCAAATTAGGGCATAAAGGGGTTCAATGTCCATTATTGGATAAAATTTTCATTTTATACTTTTCCAACACTTTTTTCTTTTTTATAATTTTTAATAAAAATTAATATAAAATTTTTATATGCCCCACATAAAAATATTTATTTTTTTATTTTTTATATTTTATCTAATTTATTTATTTTTGTTTAAATATTCTCTCGGTCCAATGTTACATTTACTTTTTTGTGTCTTTTTACTTAATATTAAAAATATATAATATTTTTTTTACAAATATTTTTCTATTAGTATTATAAGATAAATATTTTTGTAATTTTTTTATACGATTTTTTGATATAATAATTAATATTTAAATATCAAAAAAAAAATAAATAGAACTCTTAGAGCCGGATGAAGGTAATATAATTTTACACTTTAATTATATTTTAAATTTCATAATTTATAATTTTAAAATTTTAATTAAACTATTTAGTTATTTTAAATTTAATTTTTAATTATATTTATTATATAATAATTATTTTACTAATACACTTATTAATTAATTACTAATTATACTTTATCTAAATTATCACGTTTAAAGTAATTTTTAACACTTTAACTAAGGCACAGAGTATATATATATATTTTTTTTCCATCAAACTTCTATAAGTATTTTTGTTTTATGTACATTCAACTTATATACGTTATATTTGAAATGTTACTCCCTCCGTCCTACTTATAATGTCCATATTGCCGTTTTTGTCCTTCCCACATTTTATATCACTTTTTTTTTTGAAAAATGATTACCTATTTTAATCTTCTTTTGAATTTTTTATTTTTTATTTTTTTAAATTTTAATTAAATTAATTAGTTATTTTAATATTAATTTATAATAATTTATATTATAGATTAATTATTTTTACTGATATATCCTTAATTATCTACTAATTATACTAAAACATCCATTACGGGACGAATGTAGTATTATTTTTATTTTAATATACAAATAACGATTTTACTATTCTAAAATATTTTCAAGTAATCATCCCTTAGGCATGTTGGCAAATAAATAAAAGTATAAATTCTGAGAAATGCTTGATGATAAAAAGCATGGCCAATTGTGAACGGAAAAAGTGTGTTAACTTATACTTACTCAAAAGTGTTCGTATTATCGTAAATACAAAAATTTACTTAAAATATAATTAATAAATAATTAAAAATATATTTATTAATAAAAATAATTATAATTTAAGTTTAATTAATTAAATAGTTTAATTAAAATTATAAAAAAATCAATTATGAAATATAAAATATAATTTAAATATATAATTATTTATAAAAATAAAATAAAATAACAAATATGTGAAATGAACCGGATAATATTTCACTCATAGTTTTACTATTTTAATAGTTTTTTTAAAAAAACATATCAAATAAATCTTACAAATACATGGAGATGTGTTGACTCTATATTTTGAATGAATATATTTTTTTGTATTAAATATAAAAAAAATTGTAACGTTAATATTAAAAAATAATATTTTGTGTTAAATTATTATTTTTTCATAAATAAAAAATATATATTATATTGCATTAAAATAATATTGTCTTATAATAACATTATATAATTATATTGTACTCACTCCGTCCGGGTAAATCGTACGGGTAAAAGACTTTTTTATCCTTGTGATCATATTAGTGTAAAAAGTAGTAGCAATCGTGTAATAATAATGAAAAAATAAGAATAATTTTACAGTAATATAATTATTTATGAAAAATAAACTATCAGACTAAAAATAAACAACAGTTAGTAAATACTCCATTTATTTAAAAAACAAATATATATCTTCAACTACTAATCCAATGTTGTTATAATATAAAGAAATTTAAAAATTCGATTTTTTATCGACACGCATAACTTTACTCCAGATTATCTGCTTATTAATGTTGATAATGCATGTTGATGCGAGATTATTTTTTTTTATTATTATTATTATTTTTTTATTGGTAGTTGTAATTCAAATCAAAAGTTTTCTTATATAGCTGGTAAACTAATCAAATGGAACTGAACTTGTCACCTTTTGAATTCTGATTTTAGGTCATCTCTAATCGAACAATCCAGCGCCATTTGGCGCCAACAGACACCGGAAAAATGGCATTGCTCCATTTTTTCTTTTTTTTTTTAATTTATTTTTTATTTTTCTAATTTTTCAGAAAAATTATTTTAAATTAAAAAATAAAAAATTGTTTAAACTAATAAAAAAAATTAAATATTTAAATTAACAAAATTACTATTTCATAATTTAATAATTGAACTACGTATTTAACATAATAAATATCATTTTAACTTACAATATATTATACAAATATTATTATTTTTATATTACATAATAAATATTTTTTTCTTTTTTTTTACTACAATTCAATATAATACTAATATTAAAAAATCTATATGAAAAAAACGCCAACTTTCCGGACGGAGGGAGTATTTTAAATTGAGAGGGAGTGATTTGACGTGTCAGGCCTTGTATGCAGATGATTAGGTCTAGTACACTGTTCAACCGGAAATTTGGTTTACCCGTTACGGCGATTCCAGCGTTATAAAAGAAAAGAAAAAAAAAAAAAAAAAAATTCGAACATAACACTACTTCATTTATAAAAAATAAAAAATAAAATCACGATTAAAACAAATACACACAATAAAATGAAAATTTACTAATACTACATGTTTATTAATTTATGCAACAGATACTCCTTTGTCAAAGAAGGCAACTTCACAACGAAAATTATGATATGTAAAAAAAAAATGGAGGCTCAGATCTGAAAAAGAAGCAAGGCACAGAAGATGCAGCTCCGCCATGGCTGCAGGCACCGACAGCACAGGATCCGAATCTGATGTGCCGCCCGGGCCGCCACGCCAAGATACGGACTGCGGAACTCCCTGCCGACTAGCTCAGAAAACAAAAGAGACCGAAACGAAGACAGAAAATTTCATCACAGCCTCCTTCCCGCATCAATACCGACACTACAATTTTACGAATACCTTCCTCAAACTCAAACCAAACAAACCCTTAGTTACTCGCAGCAGCACAGAGTTGCGGCAATTGCCTGTATAAATGTATGTGTGTGCGTATGTACGTACGATAACGCTTCTGCTTAAGCTGCGCTTTAATCGAAAGGCTGTTGGCTTCTTCCCCGACGAATCATCGGCCAAGAGAATAGGAGCAACCGCCTTCGAAGAAAACCCTAATCTCGAAGCCTCATCCAATTCCACCTTTCGTTTTCTGAGCTAGCGAGAGAATGAAAACGACGGAGGCGGTATTATATAGTCCTCAGAATTCCCGTTTTACCCATATAAGGATCCGTTATTATTTTTGGGCGATGTGCTGGAGAATTAGGGGTACTATAGTCATTTTGGCCTCGGCCGACTAGCGGGTCAGTGGGACCGGATTGGATGGCCTGGATTGGATCCGGTTTTTGGTCCCGGGAGCTCGCAAGCAAGAGACGGGACCTGCGATTCTGGTAGGTACCAAATCTCAATCTTCACTTCAGAACCACAATGTCCGTAATTGTTCAAAACCCTTGGCACATTGATTACCTAATTTCGGGAATTCCTTACGTTTTCTGAAATAGTTTTTGTTCCCTAATGGGAATCTAAGTCAAGGAGGCGACGGACACTGGGTATCTGAATTTTTTTTGGCGTCGATCGGATGGAATAATTGAGGAACGGTTTTGTGACGACTGCAGCGGAACTGAGAATTTTTCTTTTTTGGTTTCTGTTGAATCTGACTGATGCGAATGCCGTCATTGGGCATGGATTGCGCTCGTTCGTCCTCGTAAATCGGGTGTTACGACAGCTCAGTTGTGATCTGTTGATTATAGGTTGTGTGGCTTTTTCTTGCTGTATATGGAGGTCTTTCATTGATTTTGAGGTTATGTACTCATGCTGTTATCTGCCTCCTTCCATCGGTGAGCAATCCTATCTGTTCATGCACTTATTTATGGTCTTTGTTTCTGTTATATATCTAGATTTTGTTAATAGGGTTGGGTGTTCATTTAAACTCGTTGCATTGTTTTGGTGTGTTTTATACTGCAGTTTCTTTGGAGCAGTTTAATGTGGTTATGGTTTTGATATGCAGATTGATAGGGTAGGGGACTGGTAAACAATATGGCTTGGTCTGAAAGGATAAGAATGAAGTCGAAAATAAAATGGGCTGCACTTGGAGGACTAGTGTTGTCATTTGCTTCCATTGCTGTGCATATGTTTCTTGCGAAGTCGAGTGCAGGACTTGTGCAGTACATGGCAGTCACGGCTTTTTCTGATGATTTAAATATCATCGACAGGTTCAGTGGAAAGGTAAAAACAAGCTATGACATGAACTTTTCATGTAATGATGATAATTTGAATGGTGGAGTACATGATGATTATACAATGTTTTATGAATGCTGCTAAAGGGTGCTGGGTATAGAAGGTTGTGGGCAAAGGTGGACACCTTGGAGCCATTGCAGCCATATGCAAACCCAAGAAGTACGCCATATCCAGGTAACGTGCATTGGGATTCTGTGCATTTTCTACTGTTATTGTGATATAGTTAGGTTTGTAAGATCGCTCATAAGTAGTTGAATGGTGTGCTTTTCTACCCAAGGTTTCCTGTTTTTAAAACTTTTGTCGATGCGTTGATGATGTATCCTTTGGTTTATGAGGTTCATAGATCTATATATAGGTGATGCTCCATAATAGGATGGAGCTTTAGATGTTGATGGTGATTTTGGTCTCAATGGTGCTTACTGCATTTTGAAATGTGTTTAATTGAGGTGTTTTAAATTGTTGACAAAGTGTTGTTAAGATAAAAAATTATCAAACTCTGATTGATACTCTAATAGCCTTGATAAAACAATTAGGAACTAACTACTTTTACTTACATAGCTAGATTTCCCTAATTTGTAATTGAGTTGAATATAGTAGATATTGCCTGAGTTTAGCTGTTCCTCTGATGATTGGAAAAATTATTTAACTTTGTTCATATTGGAATATTTGTTGATATATCCATGATGACCCAAGTTGTAATATCATCTGAGGATTTTCGTCTTCTCAAGCTATAGTTTGTTGATGTGGAGTTGATTCATTAAGTAATGATCTCTTTCTGTGATGTGCACGTCTGTGAATATCACCAATTCACCATTCACCACCCTGACAATGATGAGATCCTTCTTTTCAGTTCCAAATGAACGGAACAATGGGTTCATTTATGCAAAGATTCATGGCGGCTTTGAGAAGATCAGAACCTCGGTACACTCATCTATCTTTTTCTAAAATATGTTCTCTCTCACAATATTTATAACAAGCTTTAAATTTGATAGATCCCTGACCTGGTTGCTGTGGCAAGGCTTCTAAATGCTACCCTTGTTATACCCGAGATTGTTGACAGCACTCAGTCCAAAGGCATAAGGTTTTTGTACCTTCTGTGAGAAAAGCAATGTAAAACTTAAACCACTATTTGGATTTTTCATCGTGATTATATTGAATGAATTGCAGTTCCAGGTTTAGGAGTTTTTCTTATCTATATGATGAGAAACAATTTATGGCAGCTCTAGCAAGTGATGTGATTATTGTAAGGAACCTGCCACCAAATCTGCTTGAGGGAAGAAAAAAGAAATTATATCCTGTTTTCAAACCCAAAAGTTCTTCATCTACCAAATTTTATTTGCAAGAAGTTCTTCCAAAACTGAAGAATGCAAAGGTCATCGGCTTAGTTGTTGCTGATGGAGGGTGCTTGCAGGTATATAAATACGCTTGGTTTTTAACATTAACTTCTTTAATGTGAGATGTTAAAGTACCCAATTTTTCATGAATGATCTACATCAGCTTCTGAATGGTTTGTGCAACTCATTGAGTTTCCAATCTTCAATGCTTGAAAGTAACATCTATTGAGTATTTTGTCAGCTAATTTGGCTGCCTCCTTTTATTTTCTTTATTTTCAGTCAACCCTTCCCTCAACTTTGGTTGAGTACCAGCGGCTAAGGTGCCGAGTTGCATTTCATGCTCTACATTTCCGTGCAGAAATCATTGAACTTGGTCATCGAATAATAGAAAGGCAAGTGATCTAAATGATTTCGGGCATTAATTTTCATAGACATTGATTGGGACATGAGTAGCATTTTGTAGAGCTGGATCATATTTTTCTGTTTAATCTTCATTTAACTTGTCCCAGGTTTTCAGACAAAGATTTATCCAAAACATGAAAGCACCTCAGTATTTATCTGTCTTTGCATGTAGATTAGGTGATGCTCTTACAATTTATTGTCTATTCTATAGGTTGCGTGGCCCTGGTCACCCATATCTTGCTTATAATCCAGGATTAAAAAGAGACACTCTTGCATATCATGGATGTGCAGAACTTTTTCAGGTTTGCTTCTGAACTCATGTTCCCATCCACCGGCCATACTTTGGCCTGGAAAGGTCTCACTGGAGCATGATTTTCACATCACACATTTAAGTTGTTCGTTTATTCAACTGGGAATCGTGTTTTGTACAGATATTTATATCTTCTTTTAGGATTAAGTGGAGCATACCGTCGTTTCATTGAAATTCTCAACTTGTATCGATTAACCTCGTAGCTTTTAGTTATCATGTTAGTTTCCATATCTGTTATATTTGCCTCTATAAATCCCTCAATATTCTTAGTGGGTAAAATTTCAAATGATTGTACAGATGAATCATGAACTTTAAACTTGTCTAGTTCATATAATTGTCAAATTGTGCACTCTAAGCAATTATTTTGCGGAAAAATTACCTGGCATGTGCAACTAGTTCTTATTCGTCATTTATTGCTCACATTCTTAAATCGAGCTAAGGCATAGGTATAGTTGTTGGCAACTCGCTTACCCTTACACCTTACTCCTGCTTGGCATCTGGATCTCCTTCCATTGTTTATTTATATAATGCAGATTTAACCTACAAAGTACAGTAGTGAGTCAGTTTGACTTCTACTGTTGTATGCTAATCCCTTGAAATTAATTAATTTGTATAGGATTTACACACAGAACTCATACAATACCGTCGAGGTCAGATGATCAAACAGGGAATAGTAAAAGATGAACTAAGTGTAGATTCGTATACCCGAAAAAGGAATGGATCATGCCCTCTGATGCCAGAAGAGGTATCTTCAATTCTTATGCTCTCTTTCGGAACTCCTTTTTGCTCAGGTTTGCTTCAGTTTGTCATTTGTAAGTTATAGTTTGGAGTCATGAGCCGTTTATTCTATCATCTCAGCTTTATTGCTTTGTGTATGGAAGTCCATTTATGTCTCTTTTCCCGGGGAAGTTGAGCATTAAGTTGAAACAGCAGTTGTCGGTGTGAAAATGGCCGTGAATATTGAGTTAATACTTGTGACTCCATTGCTTCTGCTTTACACATATCCTGAATTGACGCAATACCACTTTTATTGCGTGTCTAAACATTGTAGGTTGGAATTCTCCTTCGAGCATTGGGTTTCCCTGCAAGAACAAGAATATATGTCGCGGGTTCTGAAACCTTTGGTGGCCAAAGAATTCTGATCCCTTTCCGAGCAATGTACCCTAACTCAGTGGATCGAACTTCTTTATGCAGTAAAGATGAACTGGTCAATATCATCGGTCCGGAAACCACTCTTCCCATTGATGCATTTAAATTCCCACCTCCAAAGAGTGAAAAGCAACAGAAGGAAGAATGGGACAAGGCCGGCCCTCGTCCTAGGCCACTTCCTCCACCTCCTGACCGACCTATTTATCAACACGAGAAAGAAGGTTGGTATGCATGGATTGGTGAAAAGGATTCCGAACCAGATCCTTCACCAATCGAATTCAGGGAACACGCACACCGTATGCTATGGGATGCTGTTGACTATATCGTTTCTTTGGAAGCTGATGCATTCTTTCCCGGATTCGACAATGATGGTAGTGGATGGCCCGATTTTTCCAGCTTAGTAATGGGACATCGGTTGTACAAAGTTGCCTCGAGTAGAACATATCGCCCCGACAGGTGAATTGCTGCAAACTGAAACTCCGAATATTGAATTTCGCTTCTTTCACTATGTGTTTTTTTTTTTTTTTTTTTTTTCGTTCCCTGATAATTTCTCTGCGCTATGATCCACAGGAAATATCTTGTCGAACTGTTCAATACTACGCGAGAACATCTCTACCATCCTCCCCGCAACTGGACTCTCGCAATTCGAGAACATCTCAACAAGAGCATGGCGGAAGCTGGAATCGTGCAAGAGCTTCAACACTCAAAGACAAAGTCATTTCTTTCCCACCCCCTGCCGGAATGTTCCTGTACTCTGAAAATGCCCGATTCCATCAAGAAAGGCAGCAATCTGGAAGCTCTCTACCGGAAACAAGACAAATGCCCGCCCTCTTTTGAACAAAGCCTCAAATCTATCGCCAAATCTCAAGACACCACTGCTACAGAAGATACTGAAACTCAAGAAGACGAAAGTGATGCAGAACTAATAGAATCAGACGAAAACAGTCAGGTCGACGTTCCTTCTGGAGAGCAGGACGACGAAATGGACCCTGACGATTAGCATCACTGTACAGACAGAGACTCAGCAGCAGACAGACTATCTCAGGTTCAGAATTCACATGTACATCGAATCTTTCCTTTGGCTTTATAATCTCGTCTCGTTTGTCAGTTTTGCAGCGCGCCCGACTCTTTCCAACAGGTGCGCTGCAGTTTTTGTAGGCTTGGTTTACCGGAATCAATCATATACTGTTTCTTCAGCCGAGCACTCGGCTCTCTTACAGCAAGGATAATTATAAAGGCGGCTTCTTTCGCGGTGACTGCTTCGATCCAGTTATACTTCAGTTTAGCCAAATTTTCCTATAGCAATTTTTTCATCCCTTCCGTTGAAACAAACAGGAATTGTGAATGCACATATATATATTTTTCTGTTACATTTTGTTGATTTTTTTTGAGCTTCATTAGTGCCATTTTTGCTTAATTAAGGTTTTGTCTATTTCAGTTGCAGAGTATATATTTGAAGGTCTAGTTGAGACAAGCTCGAATGGATATTTTCAATTTTATTATACAAATTTATAATATTAATGGTATGCAGAAAAAAAATAAAAAAATGTAACACTGTTTTCAAATTTAAAACGAAATAGAAAGTGATTAAAGACGGTCTTTAAAATATTTAACTTTTAATTTTTTAAAAAATTCTTATCTAAAAAAAGTATATGAATAAATAGGAAGGGTGGTTTCGCCCAATTAATTTTATCATATGGAATTAATATTATAAAAAAATATATTATATATATTCTTATAAAATAAGTATATATATTTATAAAAATTAATAATTTAATATAAAATATTTATAATATTACTTAAACACTTCTAAATACTAATATTAAGAAAAAATTTAAATTAAAAAGACAAAACAAACACGATATATACTTTTTACTGTAATTTGTTTGGAGGATTGGATTTTAAATTCAGTATTCATCTCAATTTTTTTTTTTTTAAAAACGTCACATCAAACAACTATTTTTTATTTTTTATATTATACTAAAAATCAATTTTATATTCAAAACATCACGTCAACACCTATTTATATCACATCATACATCATAGAACTATTCAAATTCAAAATTTTTACTATTCAAATCCCAACTCAAAATCAAAACCTCAAACAAACACACCCTAAAAGTATTTAAGTGTGTGTTTACTTGTGAAACTTTTGATTTTACTATTTCAATAATTTATTTCTTCTAAAATATCAAATCAAATACCAATTATTCATTTATTATATCTTAAATTTAATTTTACATTCAAAATATCACATCAATATGTATTTCAATTCAAAATTTTATTATTCAAAATTAAAACTCAAAATCAAACGTTTTGCTTACTCAATACACTTTCACTCATTTAATGCTATTATTTTTTCAAAAAAAATCACTCCAAATACACTTATTCTCTCACAAAACATCGAATTAAATACTAAATTTTTACGTGTTCCAAACTTTCAAATTTCCAAAATTTTCCAAAACCTCCTATCTAAACAAACCCAAAAATCTCACAAATAAACACAAAACCTGTACATAATTTTCATTAATGACCAGATTTATATCTCATACTTATTTACTATTGTAATTCAAAATTTACATTAGTAATCCCTATAAAAACCAAAACTGTTAAAAGTACTATTGGGAGTATACTTTTATTATGCAAAATAATGAATAAAAGTAAATTAGGAAATTAATACTTGCCCCTCTTCGTCAACCCCAATCTAGGGTTTTTTTTTTGCAACAAATTTTCCGCTCGGTTTCTTCAAATCCCCAAAGGCTAATTAAATCAATTCGCCGAATAATCTGCTCAATTAATGGTGGAAGGGGGTAGGTGTGGCGGACCCGACGCCGCGGTGGCGGCGGAGGCAGATTCCGGGTCGAAGCCCGCGTCGTCGTTCGAACGTACTGGCGACCGCATGCGGTTAACGGTGGAACTGCGGCCTGACGAGACGACTATTGTTTCGTGGAAGAAGCTCGTGAAGGAAGCCACTTCGAGGAAGGCTAATGTGCCTGACCCATCAGCTTCTTTGCCCAATTTGGAAGTCAATCAACTGCCCGTTTCTCAGCCTCTGCCTTCGCCTCCCGTCGTTGCGACTTCGAAGCAACCGGCAGAGAATGGTCCGAAGAGTTCCGAAGCGCAGCCCGGGTCAAACCGTTTGGCTAGCGTGATTGAGAAAATCGAGAGATTGTATGCGGTATGTTTGTGTTGGGTGCAGTGAGTTTACTGTCAATTTATCGATTTCGTTTTATATTCGTAAGTTCGTGTATGCATCTGTTTAATGATTCTGCTTTTACGAGTATCCAATTGGTCCTGTCCTCGAGTTGGATTTGCAGCAGCATTAATAAAGTCTGTGTACTATGATAATCCTTATTTTCAATCTTGTTTCGGGATATTATGTGGTGCAATATGAGCGATGAGATGACAAGATTGTCAGTTTCACTCCATTATCACTGTTGTCAATGTTGGTTTGATATGTATTGTCATTTATCATGTTGTGGGTTAGTGGATTAGTTAGTGATCACACCTACCCACTTGACAAAATTTTATTAAGCACATAGAAGGGTTTCAAAGACAAATTACTTGCAGATTCGGAATTGGTAGCTGCAGGGTTTAAGAGTTTTGTTTATGTTACTGTGTTGCATTTCAGGGCAATGGAAGCAGCGATGATGAAGATGTTGTTTTAGATGATGTGCCGGATGATGATGAGTACGACACGGAGGATTCGTTCATTGATGATGCTGAGTTGGTGGGCTACACTTTGAGTGCTGCATTGCCTTGTGTCACTTTATTCTTTGTGTTTGTATCTATATATTCATTAGTAGCTATTGAATGATTTTTGACATCTGTGCAGGATGATTATTTCAAGATCGATAAATCAACTTTAAAACATGATGGATTTTTTGTGAATCGCGGAAAGCTGGAGCGTATGTAAGTTCTCTTAATCTAGACCCTATGCTTTTGAATGCTAACTTTCTCCTCTACAAATATGCATCATTATGCTCTCATCCAGTTGCTTTATTTTAGTTTGCCATCAATATCAGTTGTAGAAAATTGACATGGCACTCTTTTATGTTGCTTTTAATCTATTCATACCTGGATGCTTCCTTGAAGTCAATTCTTCACCAATTTTCTTACGTAGTTATTGTACGGAAATGTGAGGTGAAGGCTACTCATTATGCTTTATATTTTTCCTATTTTGCAGCATCTCATGTGATTAGATGAGGTTATGTTGATAATAGATTCAGAGGAAAATGCTATTGATTCCTTATTCTATTTGGATGTGTATTCTATATCACAAGCACTGACAGAAATGTTATACTCTAATACAGTATCAGATGAAAGAATTTGGAACTGCTAACATGCACAGGGGGTGGATCAACCTAAAGAAACAATATGGACTTTTAGAATGTAGAATTACACTGTGTAGCATATATATTATTACTCAATTGGTGCCGAAGAGGAAATTCTTTTGAGTTGTCTCAGCTAACTAGAAACAATGTTTTCACTGTCTCAGGATGTGTTGATTTCATTTTTCTTTATCAGTTAATTTGTTGTTATGTCTGGACAAGGACTGACAAAGACTTCTTGTATAGCGAACCTACCATGTCGACCGACCAGCTACCTAAGAAAAGGAGACGTAAAGATGGAATGGGAGGCCAAGGTGGTGAGGATGGGCATCGCTCAAATAAACTTATGAAAACGGGGAATAAAAGTAGAAAAGCACCATCTTTAATTGAAAGAAACTCAAAAAGTCAGTTGCCTAGTGTGGCTGCATCTAGCGTACACAGTGCCAATCTGCTGTCTGAGAATTATTTAGCAAATGCTGCTGAGGTTTCAGGAAAGAAGAAAACCACAGATACCCAAATTGCTTCTGTTTCTGTAGAACTACCAAATTCTGATGCCATCATGCATGGTAAGGGTGATGACCATCAGAGAAATAAAGTTCTTTCATTGCTGAACCATAACAATAAACAGAAAGAGAGTAGCGAACTTCGAGAGTCTTCAGCTCAGAGGTCAAATGATAGAAACTTACATGGAACCAAATCTCAATCTGGAAAGCAACGAAATAATGCTGATGAGCAGGATCAATCTGTTCAAGGCAAAACAAAAGTTGAACATGCTGGCAGATATGACCTCCATGTGCCTGCTATGAGGGACTCCCAAACTCAGGTATTTTTATTTCATGTTTTTTTTTTTTTTTTTTGTGGTCCTTTGTGACTGTTAGTTGTGTTCTTGGTTACTTTCTTCTACTAGATATTGTGATAATCATGCTTGAGCATAATTTTCATGTATTCTTGTAGCCAGTATTCCTTGAATTGTCACATTGTTGCATAGGCTTCTTTAAACTCTATTCTAAAATATATGTGTTCTCAACCAAACTTGTAATATGTTAGGTTGTTGAGTTATTTATTTGCTTCAGTTTGTGTAATTCATATATTTTGAAGAGTAATGTGCTTTTGTCATCTAGAGACATGGTGAAATGAAGTAGGTTTGAGCACTCTAATCTTCAATGCAGGTTTTCCGGAATTATAATATGATTTGTTATCTTTATTATTTTTATTTTTTGAAATGATTGATGGTGGAGGATACAATGAGGTATAGGTGTTTTGCTAGTAGCATGCTTTTACCTACACAAAGGTTTGTAACTCATCTGCATGCATGTTTTCCAACCTGGTTTATATAAATGTCTGTCATCAGCGGAGTGACTCTTCAATTTGCTCTTAGTATATGTTCTTATTATTTATAATTATTATTGCGCTCTTGCCTTGCATTTTTTCATTGCTATCTACTTGAAGTTATTCTGTGCAGAGTCCTCATCTCTCCAGTGTATTTTCTTTTTCTTTCAGAAGATTATGCCTGTGGTAAGAAAAGAAGGATCTAACGTGAGATCAAGAATTACAATGCTAGAGAAGGCCATTAGAGACTTGGAGAAGATAGTTGCAGAATGTACTGCACTATTCCTGTTATGATTTTCATCTTGTTTCTCCTTTTTCCATGACTTGTCTTTGATTGTTTAAAGTTCTCATGTGTTGCAAAACCAACAGCAAGGCCACCATCAACAGAGGTTCAGGAGAATGATAATTCTTCTCAGGGTGTCAAAAGGAGATTGCCAGCAGATATAAAACAGAAACTAGCTAAAGTTGCTAGACTAGCGGTACTTAAGATCTTATAAATGTTTTTAGTTTGTTGTCATAACCAGTAATGCAGTCCTATGGGCTTTTCAGAAGTTGATATCTTGTCTGTTTGGAATGATGCAGCACGACAGTTATGGAAAAGTATCAAAGGATGTGATCAATCGTCTGATGAGCATTGTTGGCCACTTGATGCAACTTAGGACACTGAAGGTATCTTTTCATTCAGATCAGGAACTGGCATGTGTGGATTTTGACTATTTTGTTTTTCTTAACCTTTTAAATGTTCTACCAATGCTCTCTCCTTTCTTGTTTAACATATCTTTTGATTATGGCTTTTGATGTTTTGTTGTCAATACAGCTTAACTATAACCTGCAATAAAGTTTATGACCCTATCACAACTAATCAATTGTGGTTTTATCAGAGAAATCTTAAAGTCATGGCCAATTTGGGAATGTCAGCTAAACAAGCAAAGGACGACCAACTACATAAGATTAAACAAGAAGTTGCTGAGATGGTCAGGCATCGGATCTCGTATGTTGACTCTAAAGTATGGGTTTTTATCTTTGAACTATTTCATTTACAATGTTGTTACCGGTTCCCTACTCATGTCATGACAGAGAAGAAGAGAAACAGTTTCCACATAAAGTGACCTTATCAGTTCACTCTTTACATAATTAATTTATCCCTTTTTGGCTTTCTCTTGTCTCCCACAACCAATTGAGATGTGTGATTTAAGAGGATCAACTTGTTACCTGATTAGCAAAACCGTTCATTGCAGGTGGAGGAACAAAATACTAATTCAGATGATTTCCAAGAAGCTAGTCCAGAAGATAAAGAAATTTTGAAACGAAAACGCAGAATGGATGATGCATTGGAAAATAAGATCTGTGACTTGTATGACCTTTATGTCGAGGTAGTACATTGGATTTTCCTATTTTCACTGTGAAGTTTTCCCATCAGATGGGATATTATTCTGATATACCTTACTTCCTATATAATTTACATTCCAGAGGCTTGAAGAGCATTCCGGCCCTCCAGTTAAAAGGCTCTATGAAGAGGTAATTTGCACATGATTAGTGTTCCTTATTTATTACTAATGGACACAAATCTACTGAGTAATAGTGTTTTATTGAACTGGATACCCGTACACAATGCATGCTCTCTTATCTTAACTAAGGCGCACACATGTATATATACAAATGTAATTGAAGCTTTCATTAAAATGATTTAATAAGATATAGCTATGTACATCGTATTATTAAAATCGGTAGAGAATTAGAAACAAGGAATCACATTCTCCACTGTCCTTGAAGTCAATATCTCCGAAAAATTCTCAATCTTTCCTAATCCAGCTTGCAGCACTGTGGCCTACTGGAGTCATGGATGTCGAAGGAATAAAACGTGCAATATATAAAGGGAAATTTAGGAGGAAGGCAATATCTACCCGGCGGAAGGTATTTTGTTTGTTTATCTTAGTTGCATTCTACTTTTATATGTTTTTTAATTTCAAAGAGAAACTGAAGGCCTTTACTTAATGTTATCTAAGATAAGGAGGGATGAATCCGGTAAGGGGCTCTGCCCTCTCTGAATGTCGATATATGACTGAAAACCATGGCAATGTTTTTGGTGTCTACAACACTATTATGCTTCCATTTTTTTTTTTTAATGTGCGGTATGGTGGCATCTCAAACTTGAAAGATCAAAAGCATATAATATATCTGTAAAGCCTTTTCAATTGCTGCTGTCATTATGAATATGTCAATGTTGTGAATTCACTGCCTATCTTTCCCTAGCCATTTTCCTTCGTAATCATACTTGCTAAAAGATGGAAACTAACAAACCTATGTTTATAAATTTGAAAACTAGTACCTTACCTTCCAGTTTAACAGTGAATTAACTTTGGCATGCTGTGGAATCATGCTGTTTACTCTTTTACCTTAAATCGCGATTTAGAATTGTAGATTCTTGCTTGACGAATTCGAAGTGTTAATTTATTTATTTATTTTTTTTCAGTATCTCTATGAATTCATATTGCCTCTTTACTTCACACGATCACTTTCTTTTCCCTTTTCCCTTTTAGGATCAAGAGAAGAACAAGAAGAAGCTTTTGGCATCTTCAAAACCCGCGAATAGTGTCCAAGGGGAAGCTATTAATCTTAATCAGTCCTCGCATACTCTTGAAAAAATATCACTGAGTGACAACACATCTCGCAATCCAGCTTCGACTGCTGCTGCTGCTCGTCTCCTCACTCCTACAGGCGACTCAAGCGCAGACAAGCAGAAACAAGAAAGAGTTAGAAGTAGCTCCAACTGCAATCCCTCCGATGCCGAATCAATGGCCAAGAAGAAAGTGAAAAGGAAGCCGAACCCGGAAAAGTTAGAAGCCGAGCCCTGTATGGACAAACCGACGGCTTCACAGTCGGAGGAAAAGCAGAAGAACCATAAGAAACATGCCCCTGCTCCAGCAGCTAAACCAAATCTTAAGCCCAACACCTCCGAAGACCCGAGCTGAACTCGGCGGCTCGATCAGGTTCGAAACTACACATTTTTTTTTTTACAATACAAGTGCAGATCGTCGGGATTATCTCTCCCCTGATCCGAACCTATTGTTGAAGATTAGTAAATTTTTGTAATTATTTTCCCTACCATTAAAGCCTGAAGAAGATCTCTCTAATGCTGAACTGTTTAACAGGGGAGGCAGACATAGAGCGAGTAGTTGTACCTTTTGTTTTACTTGATGTACATTGCAATTTCAGATATTTCAACGTGGGTTTTTGGGGTGGGGTAGGATGGGTTCGTCTGTGTATGTTTTTATCTTTTGAATATTGAACTTGGGTTGGGATTTGAGTATGAATTTATTTTCAAAATATTATAAATAAAATGAATTTATGATTTTTTAAATTAAATTTATTTTGGATTTGAATATTGAGTTAAGAATTTTTCTAACATAAAATGAATGTGAAAAAAGGTTGTCGACGTGGTAGCTGTTAATTGGCGAAGGCTTGGGCCGACAGGCGGCCACGTTTACCTCTTTCACAATTTTTATAATATTATTCTGTTTATATATAATATATATATTCAGTTAAGTGGTTTGGTCAAATATTTTTATAATGGCTGTTAAGGTTAAGTAATTTTGACGTTTTCTAATCAACTTTTACCTTCAGTTATGATAATAATAAAGAAAAACAAGCATTTCTATTTACTCGAGTCAAATGTTTGGAGTAAATATTGTAGATCAGGTGTAATGAATTAATAAATCCTCGTTTCGTTCTAACTAAAATATTTTTTACTACTATTTTTTGTCTCATTAAAAAATATTATTTTTAATATAGTAAAATAATTATATATTATTACTAAAATATATATATATTTTTTAATTTTTTTATATACCGTACCAAGGATGAAAATCAATGATAAAATTATGTTATACACTCGTACTAAATGCTATATTTCTTAATCTACTATAAAATTTTTTTTTTAAAAAAAAAAAATTAAGTTAGACTATTATTTCTTAATTTAATACCAAAAAATCAAAAAGGTATATTGAAGTTGAAGGGACTGAGTAATAAGGATTTCTATACATATATTTTTAAAAGTTTAATATTTCTTAAGTCCCGTCAAATTTAATTTAATTTTTTAGTTCATCTGTTAATTTACCTTATTACTAATTTTACCAACATATATTTTAACAACACGGTGTATCATTTCGCGTAGCATAATATATTATTGGTAAATATATGTATATAGTACACACAAATATAAAACTTCATGATATGCTTCTATAGGATACAATATATAACAAATTGTTCTTTACTTCCACTGTATGCTAATTTAACTTAATCAGCACTTCGACTACATAATTATGTTACATACAGCTTTTATTATCTTTAAAATCTAAAAACTTTAAAATTAAATATATATATATATATTTAAACTGAGCCTAAGTAAACTTGGAAATTGATTGATTGATTAATTAATTAATTTTGATGGACTCTTTAAATTAGCTGAACAACACAGCCTAACGTGTGTCTGGGCATATTTGATAGTATTTGTCTTTGTAATAATTAAATTTGGTTAGTAATTTATTCTAAATATATAAGTTTTATTTAAATATAAATATAAATATATAGAGAGAAGTTGAAAAAGAAAGAAATGTCGGGTTGAGAGTAACAGCACTGAGTCAGCATACATGTGCGTTTAAGTTAAAATAAAATTTCTTGATATTAAAGGAATTGACAAATAAATAAACTCTACTTATTATTTATTAGGATGTTGGATGCATGAATGAATAGTATTAACCAACCATCCAACATTCATGTGCATAATATTACTTTTTTAAAAAAAATTAAAAAAAAATAAAATATATATATATATAATATTTTGTTACACAAATTTTGAGGCTGGCAGATATAATTCAACTCTAAACTGATGGACAATTAGTAATTGCACATATTTTTTATAGCATTATTGTAATTTATTTGATGGAAATTTAATGAAAATCTATTTGAGTGATATATATAAAATTAAACTTCCTTATTTTTTATTTTTTTTGGGATGACGTGGGAATTTGGAGCCGCTACTCGAAAGTGCGTACTGAGTAAACCCCCGGCTGAACCTAATACCCTGCAAATCAAGCCCGACGGGAAAATCACACTAGACGAACTATGTATGACAGGTGACCTGAGGCGTCGGGGGTTTGAACCTATGATCTCACGGTCACATATCCAAAAAATTGTTTGTCCAATTACTATAAATGGAATCTCCGAAGCCATTTGAAATACAATGTACATGAATTTAATGGTCTCGAAAATTCCAAAACCATTTGAAATGCAATGTTCTATTAACATGAGCTTAAATAACCTTGAAATTTCCGAAACTATTTAAAATATATTACAGCTCGTGAGTTTAATGACCTCAGAACTTCTGAGGCCATCAAACACACTAACCCTGCTCGCATCATTCTTTAATTCCGAAATAGGATCGAAAATTATGAAGTTATACTAAACTACTTTGGAATTTCCGAAGCCACATAAATGACAACGAGTTTTTCCCTTCGAGTAATGATCCCGAGACAAATTTCGAAGCCAAAATTAATTTTTCTTGAAACTCTTTTGAATTCCGAGGCAATTTTTTCGGGACCATTTAAAAAAATTATAGTAGTGAAAATTAATACTCCATTCACCTCGAATAATTATGGCATGCTAAATTTATGCATAATTAATGTATAATAAATAATTTATCTATTTATATTTTTATTATTTCTATTTTGAATAAATAATTTCATTTGTCATTACTTTTTTTTCCTTATTCAATCCCATTTTTATTATTTTTAATAAATTTTCTTAAAAAAAAAAAAACTACTTAAACAACATACTTCCTCCATCCCATATACCGTGTCCAGACTGTACACGAGAGAATTTAAGATAAATATAATTAGTAGATAATTAAAAATGTATTAGAAAAAATAATTATTCTATAATATAAATAATTATAGATTAAGATTAAGATAACTAATCAGTCTAATTAAAATTTAGAAAATTATAAAATAAAAAAATTTAAAATGAAATTAAAGTGTATAATCATTTTTTAAAAAAAAGAAAGTAACATCAGATATGAAACAAAAAAAAGTAAAATAAACGGCAATATGGACAAGAGTAGTATAATTATTCCAGATGGAGAATAATATACAATCTCCAATTATATATATAAACTATTATTATTATTATTATTAAGATGATTGGAGTAGAGGTGTAAGATGGTGATAGTTAATTAGTTAAGTTAATTGGAGTGAACGATAATATAAATAAATAAATTAGAATTAAAAAAAAGTGAAGAAGTCAACTAGGCAGAGTGCAGACACGTATGGATGTACCTTTACGTGCATGCTCCCCTCCCCTCCCTGCCAACTACATCATTATTATTAAATACTATTAACTAATTATTCGAAATTTATGGCTAAATAATTGGATCAGTAGAAAGAAAGTACCTGGCCAGTACAAATCAATCAATCAACATATTATTATTATTATTATTATTATTATTATTAATAAAATAGTGTTGATGATTAAATATGTTGTTAATTGGGACAGCAGAATTACCTGTAACAGCAAAATTAATTAGTACCTATCCTATCTTACTCTCATTTTCTGCCAATAAATAAACAAATAAATACTAACTGTAACAGCTCACTTTTATTGGAATATCCATCTATTACATAATTCTTTTATTTTTTGTTTTTTTAAATTTCTCAGCATTATTAATTAGTAGTAGTAAATAACACCTAATCACCTTAAATTTCAAACTATTCACTTAACTTTAATACCTTTTATTTCACATTCATTCCCTCTATTTGGTAAGTATATGTTTCCTCATTTTTTTATTGTCCAAATATTCATTTTTTTTCTTCTTTTTAGTACATATGGACTTCTCTATATATTACAAATACCTTCTTATTTATACTTATTTATTTTAATTTTATATGTTATAAAGATAAATAATCTTTACATATCAATGGAGGGAGGGAGGATTATACTATGTCTACTTGGTGCCATATTCAAAATAATAGATAATGGAACCTCATTTTACTATTATTAATATTATTATATTATGTGAACCTTTGTACGCAAAAATTTAAATTTTTATTATTTGAATTTTGCGTTTTTCAAAAAATATATATATATTTTTTTTCATAAAATATTTTATTGTATATTATTTTAATACCAAATTCAAATTAATTTCTTTTCCAAACCTTATCGAAAGAAACATATCCTATTCATTCCATCCCAATCATATGATCACATCACATTAAGGATGTTTAGCTATAAGTGTTATGTGAATTGAGCCTTAAGTAGACTTTAATCAGAAAAACAAACAAACAAACATCATAATAATTCTCTAAGAGCTCAAAGTCGATAAAAACTTTTAAGTTAAAAGTAAAATTCTCAACTAGATTCTAACATCTCCTTCTTTCTTCTTCTTCTTCTTCTTTTTTTTTTTTTTTTTTTTTAATTGAAAAAAAAAAAAGTTCGTTCCTACAAGCTTGAAGTTTGGAGAATTGGAGATAAGATCATGAAATCATTATGATATAGTAATTTTTTTTACTATGATTTAATATTATAATATTAATTTTAATTTTGAATTTGTTAACTAGATTATTTTAATACACATATGTTATGAGGGGGATTAAATAAGATAATCCCACCGTCCTTTGCATGACTTCCAACGGCTGTCAAACTCATGCCCCTCTAATCAAATTATTCAATATATATATATATATATATAACCATGGTTAAGGTGGTGTGTATTCCAATAACCCCGGTATACAACACAACCATTAACCATAGTTAACCATAGTTAACCAATTAACTCACTACTATAAATAGAGATCACCATCCCCAACACTCCGTACCACTCATCATCATCATCAACAGCACTTAAACCCTCAAAAGCTTCAGAAGCAGAGCATCCATGGCAATTCCAGTCATTGATTTCTCCAAACTCCATGGACCCGAAAGACCCAACACTTTAGCCCTCATCGCCCATTGCTGCCAGCATTGGGGATTCTTTCAGGTAAGTTCTTCATTTTTCGATCAAAATCGCTCGATCGCGATCTAATCGTCGTTTTCTTTTGATTCATCAATGGCAGCTGATCAACCACGGGATAAATAAGGAGCTGCTGGAGAAGGTAAAGAAAGTAGCATCACATTGCTACAAACAGCACCGGGAGCCGGCCTTCTTCCGTGACTCCGCCCCCGTCAAACTCCTCGACGACTTGCTACGCACCAAGAACGACGTCGACCGCATCGACAATGTCGATTGGGAGGACGTTTTCCTCCTCTCCGACGACAATATCCATCAATGGCCGTCCGAAACCCCTGCTTTCGAGTAAGGATCGATCTTCTTCTAAAATCTTTTTCCCCCTAACTATCGGTTCTAATTTCGTAATCTTCGATAAATAAAAAATAAAAAAACGACGATGACAGGGAGACGATGAAGGAGTATCGAGCGGAGCTCAAGAAACTCGCGATCAAAGTCATGGAAGTAATGGACGAGAACCTCGGGCTTCCGCGAGGCTACATCAACAACGCCTTCACCGCCGGGAAGGGCGATGACGGCGCCTTTTTCGGGACTAAGGTCAGCCACTACCCGCCCTGCCCCCGCCCTGACAAGGTCAGCGGGCTCCGCGCCCACACCGACGCCGGCGGCGTCATCCTACTCTTCCAAGACGACGAGGTCAGCGGCCTCCAAATCTTGAAAGACGGGGTGTGGATCGATGTCCAGCCTCTCAAGAACGCTATCGTCGTCAACACCGGCGATCAGATCGAGGTGTTGAGCAACGGGAGGTACAAGAGCGTCTGGCATCGGGTCTTGGCCTCGCCCGACGCCACTAGGAGGTCGATCGCCTCGTTCTACAATCCGTCGTTCGACGCAATGATCGAGCCCGCGCCCATCGTTGTCGCCGAAAAAGAGGAAGAGGAGGAGGAGAATCAGACAAAGTACCCCAAGTTTGTTTTTGGGGATTATATGTCTGTCTATGCTGAGCAAAAATTCCTCCCTAAAGAGCCAAGATTCCAAGCTGTTAAAGCAATGTAATCTTTAAGGTGTTTTTCTACAGCGCTACTCTAAAATGTGTACTATATAGTCATAAAGGTTCGATCTTTATTTTTATTTTTTCCTATTTATTTATTATTGGAGTTTTGGTTTGTTGAATCAATCCCCAAAGCAAAATTGCTTTGTTGGGCTTATGTTTCTCCTAGTCTTCTTCTGTCTATCGAACAACTATTTCACCTAAAAGAAAGTGCGCAACAACCTTAAGATGATCGACTTTTCTAAGGGTATATAAGCTTTTAGTTACGCCGATCATCCGAGAATTTTTAAGGTGGTTCGAAAAGCTATCATGAATGTACAGATTATTATTACAGCTAGTTCTCATGTGAGCAGCTATGTAAACTGTACAGTGATGTGTATATATATATATATGTATGTATGAATGAAGGGGAAGTATACGTATCTCTCGATCAGTGCGTGGCGATTGAGCCAGCGATCAAAGGGCCTTCTGCTCGAGCCTTTCGTTCCAATTCAAGCAACGAACAAGGCTTCGAAACCAGTCGCCGGTTTGATCAGCCTTGTTGACAGTCGGGAGCGGGTGTTGGCTCATGCATATTCGGACAGAGTCTCCCCGCGAGAGCTGCTGCCGCCGCTTCCCGTCAAAGGAGACCCAGGCGTTGCTCCGCGCATCCTCCGGGATCTGCCCGGTCGAATACAATGTCAGAACAATGTACAAGCACACAATGCTGGAAACTTTCGACGGATTCCGAGCAGAACGTATTAGTTACCTTCAATTCGAGACGAGCAGAGTCTGGAAGGATGACAGGCCTAAACGAGAGCGAGTGCGGGCAGATCGGCGTGAAGAGCATACACGGAACATTAGGATGGACCTGCATATGAAAGCAGCTACTTTTTCATAATATTGACTGTTTTTCGATAGGACGAGCTCGGATTAAAGATTGAGCGTGAAGGGCAATCCGAACTTCACACAGACAATCCTATATTATGCTAGCATTGGCCCCGGAAATTTAATGAATACAGAATCTTACCATCGAACCTCCCGCTGCGGTGGAATAGGCTGTACTTCCAGTTGGGGTGGCGACAATAACTCCATCACCTTGAACCTTTCGACAAAAAACGAAACAAAAATTATTCAGGTATAACGAATGTTTAATCGAAAATTTTCGTTGGTGAACCACCGTACCTTGGTTATGAGGCGATCGTGTTCATAGCATTCAATTTTCGAAAGATACGGATTGGAACCACGATCAACTACGATTTCGTTGAGAACATCGAATATCTTGCCGGGCATGGCTTTACCGTTTCTGAATATTTCGCAGTGGAGCCGCATTCTCAAAGTAATGTAGACTCCATCAATGGTGTTGTTCCCGTGGATCACTTGTCGTAAATCGTTCTTGTAATCGTTGAACTGAAAGTAGCAAGACGGGATTCAGGGAGAGATCTTTTCTACAAGCTCGAATAATGATCATCACAGGTTGAGGAAAAAGAACGTACGGTATGCGAAGTGAGGAACCCTAGGGATCCAAGATTAAATGAAACAACAGGAGGAACGGCACCTTTGAATAAATTTGAAGCGTGGAGGATAACGCCGTCTCCTCCCAAGCAAGCTACAAGATCAACCCTCTCATGGAGGTCGCTGCAATACGGATCGAATTAGTACTTCCCTCACCTAAAAAAGCTTCGACAAAGAAATAAAAAACTCAAAAGCCGAAAGCTCGATCACCTCGTATCTTGATTATAGAACGTTTGTACAAATCCAAAACCCGGAATCCTAGCAAAAAGATCATGAACATCAGGCTCAACTAGAACATTCATTTTCTCTTGGTGATGCAAGAACGTCGCAACCTGTGTAACCGTATAAACAACATTCAAAGAGTTTACACATCCAAAAGCACACTCCATTTCGACAACTATTGAGTATTGACCATAAGATAAACACATAATGAACATAAGGGAAAGTTCTAACAAAGTTCTAACATATTTCAAAGAATGGCGCACCTCTTTCGCTTCTTCGATGAGTTCTTTGCCGAGCTTCTTTAACAACAACACAGTCTTTGGCGTCGATTTCCACAGAAGCATCTGCTGCTGAGTGCTGGGATGAGTGAACGCCAGAGACGACTCCCTAACTTTTTCTCTAGTGCACGAAAATCCGTCAGTTCTTACCAAGAACATCTCTGCTTTCTTCCTCGACTGAACTCTCACAACACCAGTTGCCGAAGCACACATATCCCCCTCGATAATGTCCAAGTTCTCATCATCCGAAGAGGTGTACCTCTTGCCATTCTGTCCAGCAGCAGCATTTCGATTCATAGGGCTAAAAAGAATGGAAGGATCCTGATACAATCCATTCGTGCCGATAGGGGCAACCTCGACAATCTTTTCCTCAACATCGGAGACAGATTCTTTCTTCAAGACAGATCTATTATCCTTGTACCGTAAATCGGATAACATGTCCAATCTTTTCCGTTCATAAGTGAAGAATGTCGCGGGCGAAACTTTCTTATTCTTTACAAAATCCGACATTTCCTTTCTGGAGAAAACATCAAGAGGAGGCAGTTGCGAATCCAGGGGCTTCAAATTGTAATCGTAATCAAAATTCGACTCAACTCCTTCATTAGCAGAAGCCATCTTATCATCTTCATCGTCCGCTATGGCATCGCCCCCTTCATCAACACCTCGCGTCGAACTAAACGACTTATCGGATTCTTGGGATACTGATCCATTCACATACTCCGATGATTTACCTTCGTCGAAGTTCTTACTAAAATCAGAATCTCTTCTATCCAACGCCGCGCGCTCCATGTATTGCCTCCACCTAGATATCATCGAAGCAGTCCTCTTTTTTCCTTCTTTGCTGTGTACGTATATCGGCTTTCTCCTCGGATCCGCAACCAATGCAGCAAACTGCACGACCTGCGCCATTGACGGAACCGTCCCAACTTCAATCGGAAGCTTAACTACTTCTATGTTACCGCAAGAAACAGCTTCATTCAAAGCAGTTTCGTAAAAGTTATCCTTCACAGTTTCTGCTCTAAGATCGATCACTGTTCGGAAGCCTTTCGACAGAAGCCACGCCAAGCTTTCCTCCGTCACCTGTCCGCCCTTCCAAAACACAACCTCCATGTTTTCCGGTGGAGCTCCTTCGTAAACGGCGTTCCAATTCGCCAACAGCGTTTGGCAGGGCTGACCTTCGCCGCGAGGAAATCCGGAATCATAACACACATTCTTCAATCTCTGCAGCTTTCTCCAAACGTTCAAGCTTCGATCGTCGCCGGGGAGCAGATAATTCTCGAGTGCAACGTGCAAGCTCTCGCAGTAACTCTTCATCTCGGATCTGAAATTTGCGAGCGGAGGGAGGGAATCATCCATGGCGGATTTATCTAAGTCGCGAAACAAATGCATTATCGAGGAACGCCCTAACAGGATGTCCTCCCGACCTTTGTTGAGAAGGCAAACCATGCAGCCGAGAACGGAGACGATTTTGTCCTCCAGCATAGGTTTATCCTCCGACGGAACATCGTACGTGACGCTGCACTCTCCGGTGACCGGATTGCAGAGCGCATCCATCAACGAATTGTGGAACCGCTCTGCCGCCCGGAATATTCTGCAGTAAGCCTCGAGCTCAGCAATGTCCCCCGGCAGAGGTCCGGCCGACGGCCAATTGGACGTATCGTTGGAATAAACACTCTTCGAATAAACAAACAAGCCAAATTTAGGGCTACGGATTCAATCGAATTTACCAATCCAACTGCAATCGGAAAAATCGACAGAGAAATTGATATTAACCTGAGAATCCAAGCCGATGTTGACCGACAAGGAGCTGGAGAGCTGAGCAGCGACGACAAGCCTGAAACGACGTCGTCCCCGGTTCCCCTTCCATTTCTGCAACAAAAACCCTAAACCATGGCCGGAAACCTCCACGCAACTCAACAGACGACAAAAGGAAGGCGCACAGAGCGCTCGATTCGTCTGAAAGTGACACAAGCAATGATAATTGCTCGAAACACACCGCGCCGCCGCCGCCATGCCGCCGCAGACGCAACCATCAAATTAACCGCCGGCGCCCTGCTCCAACTACTAATCGCCCAAATCCTAATCCACAAACAGAATCCCCAATTTGTTGCATACGGTCAGTTTATATATTCCCCACAAATTAATTTTTTTTTTATAAATAAAATAAAATTCATATCTTCTGGATAAATCGAACCAAGAAATTCATTTGTGTGGACACAATCAAATCGGACAAAACACGATGGGGCAGGGTCGGGATTGACAATTCTTGCAAGAAAATTAAAAACAACTTCTTCATGACTGCATATTTCCATGGACACAATCTTGGTGCTTGTCAAATTTATCCAAAAGTTTTCGAAAATCTTGAAAACCCGATCAATGGAACAGTAATTTTCAATCCCTATCAGAAAACAAGCTGTTACAAGACTCCATGTTCATTACATTATAAGAAAGCGGCAATAGCCGGTCCGGCAACGGCGGGATTTCGGCGATGGTCGGCCGGAGGGCGACCATCACGTGAGCGCAGAGGATCCCCACGTGCACGAAGCGTGCCATGACTGCTTTAGGTCCATCCTCCCTGATCGACTCATGGAAGACATCCTCAACTCTTCCCGACTTGATCAAGCCCCAAACTCGATCCGCGAGCAGAATTTTCGACGGCTCAGATGGCTCGAGAGCTCAACTCCGAAGCTGTACACGTCACTCTTCTCAGTCAGTTGCCCATAAAGAGCATATTCCGGAGCGAGATATCCATGCGTTCCGGCGACGCGCGTCGGTAGGTGCGATAGCCCATCGGCATAATTGTCGATTTGCTTCACCAACCCGAAATCGGCGGCTTTTGCATTCATGTTGGCGTCAAGGAGTATGTTCGTAGCCTTTTTACGTTGCGGTGGTATATTGCCGGCTTGATCCCGTAATGTAGGTAGCTTAGCCCGTTGGCGACGTCGAGGATTATGCTCTTACGCTGCGGCCACGTTAAACGGTGTCCGAAAATGTGTTTGTCGAGGCTGCCGTTCGACATGTAGTCGTAGATGAGGTATCTCCGGCGGCTGTTGGAATTGAGATGATCTCCGCCTCCTTGTTGGCGAAATCGGGGCCGTTCATTTCGAGATGATCTCTGGCGAAATCAGAGCCGTTCGTTTTGGAGATGATCTCCGGTGACGGCGTTTCTCTTCTCCTTACAATGTCTGTAAATTAACAGGAGGATTAGGATTGTTTGAATTGAAGCTAATGAGCTGAAAGTGAGGGAGAAAATGAGGCGGCGTTTGTAGGTGGTGGTGCCGCCGGAGGGTTTGTTGACCACCGGCAGGCCTAATATGCAGGCGGCGGATCGGACGTCTTGTGGGCCGAAATCGTCGGCAATGGCGGCGGCGTAGGATGCCTGGCCGGAGAGGTCGCCATTGCAGGAGGATTTAATTGGGATTGATTTGGGGACGCGGCGGTGACAATCGGTGTGGGAGAGGATTCCGGCGAATTCGGCGGTGTCGTTGAAGCAAGTGGGGAAGACGGCGGCGGCGGGGGTGGAAATCGCGGCGAGCTTGTGGCAGAATCCGGCGAGGCAGGAGGAGGAAGTGGCGGCGTCGGGGAGGTAGAATTGGGAGGTCCGGCGGAGGCGGTCGGCGAGGCCCATGCCGAAGAGGCTGCGGAGAGTCTGGCAGCAGCTGCGCTGCGGCGGCGCGAGGCAGAGGGCGGTGGGCCATGCGAAGGAGGAGACGTAGGCGAAGTCGATCGGACATGGCGGATTGGGATCGGAAAATTCATTTTCGGTGGAACGGTGGAAGAAGAAGAGGAAAATTAGGGTTTTGGAAATGGCCATTTCTGCGACGATCAGAGAAGGATGGGTGAGGGTTGAGGAATTGAATTGGGGACTCCATTGAAGATCAATTTTGGCAGCTCGGAGTGCGCCATTGCCCTTAAGGTTTTGACAGTTTGAAGTAAAATGGGCTGTTTGGGCTCTAGAAATAAATGGGCCGAATGATGGCCTTTTTGTTATTGGGCCTTTAGGGTCTATCTTAAAAGCCCATTTTAAAATGTGGTAAATTATTGGAAACTATTCCACGTCATTTTCAATTAAGGCCATGCTTGTGTAATGTCGCCGGCGAAACCTTCATATTCGACTGTTTCGTTTGTGTTTTTATTTGAAATTTTTTTTATGCGAAGCTATAAAAAATCGTATTTAATTTAAAAATAATATTTTATATTGAATATTAATTTTAAAATATATATGTTCAAAATCGAATTGAAAAAAAAAAAAAAACTTTAGCATACAAACTCAATTTTATAAATGGTAAAAGGTTCGAGAATACACCACTAATTGCATTGTTTTGATAACCATTTATTTTGGATAATGGTTGGAAAATAATAATAAGAATAATCCAAAACAAGGCGCACAATGAGTCATGATATTGGTGGGTCCCGGCGCACAAGGCCGGATATGATCCACACCGTTGGTTAATTTAAGAAACAAAATTGAAAATATTTATTTAATATTATATATTTACATAATTACTATTATTGTTAGTGAATAATCCAAAAATATTCCAAAGAACACAATAAACAAAACATCAGCATTTGACTTAGTTATGGTTTTAATTGACTTAAAATATATATTTATTTAAATTTTTTTTAAAAAATATTTTAATTAATATTTTATGAAAATAATTAATACTGTATATTTTTAAAATAATAATTTTCAGATTTAAAAAAAAAAAAATCCAAGGAACGCACTCCAAGGTTCCAGTCAAAATATCGCCACTCCTTGCTACCTCACTCTCTATAAACCCCAAATTGATTCCACCAAAAAAGCCCCAATTTTTTTTTTTTTTTTTCATCATCTCGTCTATCAGCAGGATGAAATCCATTCAAATTACCTGTTTCATCATCTTCAATTTCCTAATTCCATCGCTTTCACTTTCCGAGGCTGCCGCCGGCGACGGTGGAGCCTCCATAGCCTTCGCCACAGTGGGAAGAACAAGCTACGCCTTCGACATCTACGCTCTCTCTACTTCCGGAAATTCGAAGGAAATCCGCCTCACCGATGGTAAGTCTGTCAATTTCAATGGCTACTTTCCGTCGCCGTCGTCGGTCTCGATGCTTCCTACCCTACCGGACCGATCCGACGCCGCGGCGTACCTTGTCTACGTCACGGAGCGCAACGGAGGATCGGAGATATTCCTTGACGCGCTCTACGGCGCGTTACCTCGCCTCGGGAGGTCGAGGTCTATGCTGGAAGTTGAAACTGGATCAGCTAGGGTTCAGACGCTAATCGCCGGCGACGAAGTCTCCGGCGGCCAGGTATCGATGAAGGATAAGCCGAGTCTGGTTGGGAATCATTTAATTTACGTCTCGACTCACGAGAATTCCGGCAAGCCAAGGACGAGTTGGACTGCGGTATACTCGACTCACCTGCCGACTAGATCGACACGGAGGCTGACGCCGCGAGGGGCGGCGGATTTCAGCCCCGCCGTGTCGCCGTCGGGAGTCTGGACGGCGGTCGCTTCGTACGGGGAGACCGGTTGGACCGGCGACGTGGCGGAACTCGGAACGGATATTTATGTGTTCCTGACTCGGGACGGTTCGAACCGGGTTAAAATAGTCGAGCACGGCGGGTGGCCGAGTTGGGGGGACGATTCCACACTGTATTTCCACAGAAAATGCGACGACGGTTGGTGGAGCGTTTTCCGAGCGACTATAGACACCGGACTCGGTGTCGACTCGGTAGTGACTCAGCGAGTCACTCCGCCGGGTATTCACGCGTTCACACCAGAAGCTTCCGCACTTAATAAGAGCTTCATCGCGGTAGCGACCCGACGACCCGGATCCGAATACCGCCATATTGAATTATACGACGTCGTATCGAAAAGGTTTACTCCACTGACCCAATCTGTTAACCCAAACGCCCACCATTACAACCCGTTTCTCTCACCCGACTCCACCTGGGTCGGGTACCACCGGTGCCGGGGCGCCTCCGGCGACGCGAACGGCAGTAAGTTAGTCTTAGAGAATATCCGTAGTCCGTTGCCGCACACTTCCTTATTCCGGATCGACGGATCGTACCCGTCTTACTCGCCGGACGGCAGCCGGATCGCCTTCGTTAAGTCCCCGGGTCTGTTCGTGATGAACAGTGACGGGTCGGGCGTGCGGGAGATTTTCAGCCAAACCGCCTTCGCCACCGCCTGGGACTGGAAACGAAACGGCGTCGTTTACACAAGCACCGGCCCGACCTTCGCCGCCGAGAGCACGGAGGTCGACGTAATTTCCATCAACGTCGACGACGACCACCCCTCCCCAAAGCAGCTCAGCCGCGGCGGCGCAAACAACGCATTCCCCTCGCCGTCGCCGGACGGCAAGTGTATCGTGTTCCGGTCGGGCCGCTCGGGGCACAAAAACCTCTACATCATGGACGCATTGGAGGGCGAGCCGGCCGGTCTGCACCGGCTCACGAACGGTCCATGGACCGACACAATGTGCAACTGGTCACCGGACGGCGACTGGATCGCATTCGCCTCCGATAGAGAGAACCCCGGCGGCGGGAGCTTCGAATTGTTCAAGATCCACCCGAACGGTACGGGACTCCGGAAGGTGCTCCAGAGCGGGCTAGCTGGTCGGACCAACCACCCGTGGTTCAGCCACGACAGCAAGTACATTGTACTCACATCAGACTACGCCGGGGTATCCGCGGAGCCGATTTCGTACCCGCACCAATACCAGCCGTACGGGGACATATTCGTCATAAAAGCTGACGGGTCGGGTATTCGGAGGCTGACCCATAATTCGTACGAGGATGGGACGCCTAGCTGGAGCCCAAAGTACACAATCCCTGATGACGTGGAGTGGCCTGAGAGAGTGTCCAAATGCTCGTTCGACGATTGCCATTGGCTGCAGATAAGCAACGGTAATAACGAGCATAAACTGGTTCAGTGTGGGCACATACAAAAACACAAACACTAGTTTTATGGCTATGTAATTTGGGCACACACTGCACTTATTATGTTGTCCGTTTATAGAGATGCAATAAATGTGGTCCTTTTGTAAAATCGCAAGAAACGCTGTACATATAAAACTGGTGTTAGGTCTAAATTGAGGGAACCGGACGGTACATGACTGTAGGGGAAACAAGAGTGTGTGTGTCAATGTGCTAAATCAAGAACTAAACAGAGGTGAACTGAGGTTGAAATCTTTCCCCTAAAATGCCTGAGTTTGGGCATGAATCCTTGTTCAATATCGTCGTCGTCGTCATCGGTCTAATCCTTGATGTTGTTATAAAGACATCGAGAAATGGAGGACTAGATGGAAGTGTTATGGAAGTATTCTATCGGTATGGACGCAGGGCAAAACTTCTTTGCCACGAATTTATACTGATGCACGAAAAAAACAAACTAGCGTTAGAGATCAAACTACCTCGGCAGATAACAAACGACACATTATATATTAACATGTCCTGTGCACCTTATGCTGGCTATACTTCTCCCTAATTGCTGGCAAGCTCGATTTGCCGCTACTGCAGCAGAGCCCGTGTAGTGCGAAAACGCACTCGCGGAGATCGCAGGGCTGGTAGAGAGTGTAATGTCTCAGGGTGGAATTCTGCATTAAACAGAGTGTTAATATATGACTAATAAGATGATTCCTAAGTTTCTTGATTGCAAATATATACATACCCAAGGCTTCTTGGAAGGGAGGAGAATAAATTTGGCTAAGAAGATGGAAGAAGCTGCAATTAATGATGGTGCAAAGCAGAGCATGTTATACTCGAGGAGCGAAAGTTCTGCAATATAGTTGGCCAAGCATTCCAATTGCAACATCGGAGCCTGCAAGGAGGAGCGAAATCGATAAGTTTTTTTATTGACAAAGTAAAGAACAAATATCAGTTCAACGTGATGTCGTAGAGACGAGGATGGTACCTCGTTGACGCCTTGCGCAGCACGGAAAAACCTCCTGCAAAAGTAGTTTAAACACAACAGAGATTAAGACACCTTGTATGGAAGAAGAATACCAGCAGAGATAATATGCAGTGAATGGTTGGTTACCTCAGGAAGCATTTAGTTGTAGGAGCAGTCATTTCAAATTTCAGGTAATTTAAAACATCGGATTCCATTTGAAGAACCTGTTGAGTTCAAAGCTTCTTAAAATGTGTTGCGAAAAGCAATTAAAAGTGGTGCAACAATTTCACAAAAAGTTTACCTCTTCCCGAAAGTATGTGTTATCTGTTATGTAGCAAAACTCTTCCACTTGGGGGGCACAAATTTCTTCATATTTTCTGCAAAGACGCATCAAGTCATACAATAATGTATATGGAGCTGCAAGATCATATAAAATGATAGGAATGTAGAGATAGCAAATCTTACGATGCGATCATCATACAGGCCACACCAAGCAACTGCAATCTTTGCCTATCCATGGCATTTCCAGAAAGATATCGATCTATATAGTTAACTGTCAGGTATAATGTGTCAGGTACAAGTCTGTATTCCTCAGCAACCTGTGGATAAAAATTGTTAAGACAGACAATTCTTTATTGACAAATATGTTAAGGGAATTTTTTAGAAATGTGTAAAAATATGCAGTAGTTACCTCAACAAGCCAATCAATGAGAATTGCCCGCATGCTGGAATTTATGTCTGTTTGTATCTTTTCCATAAAATTCGTCGATGGCCTTTTCTTTGCCTGAAGTTACATTGGAAGGGCAGAAATTAGTAAATGATAAATGTCTTTGCAAAACTAATACTAACAGAGAAGTTCTCTTTTTAGAACAAACCTCAGATGCTCTCAAGTGCTTGTAAATGTCACAAGCAATGGTTGCACATAGCTGAGGATTGTCCATATCAGTGTCGACATCTACAGTCTTGTCAGCAGATTCGATTACTGCAAGCACATCTCGCTTGCATGTATTACCTGCAAGAATCATAACTTCGGTTAAACAAGTGAAAGGAGAGTGGCTTCTGTCCGATTGAATGAGTGAGGGGTAACAATGTACAAACCTGGAATTTCCATATTATCTGAAATGTGGAGCAGGTTTGATGCCTTCCGTTCGATTGAATTCACATCTGCAATGTCGTTGCTATCCATGTACTCAACTTCTGGACTCTTCAACGAATCGCAAGTGGACATAGACTCGTCCATGGAAACAGATAATGAGTCTGATTTAACAGGAGAGACATCGACGTTGATGCAGGGGATGGGTGCAGCTATAGTCTTGGGAAGCTTTGCATCACTTTTGGGAAATGATGTAGCTCTACTCGCAAGAGCCGTGCTCTGTTTAACCAAGGAGGTTGGTGGCAGAGTAGGACCTGGGAGGCTTGCATTTGTGGAAGCTGAAGGTCCCTTCTTGATGCTCACGATTTTAGCAGAGCATGGTGCCTGGTGAATTCAATTGAGGCCAACAACATAGCTATAATAACCCAAATAAATGCCATAGAGAAAAGCAATTAAGCATTCCATAATGATTTAGCGAATTTCTGTTTTGGCACAGGCATCATTTGCAGCATATATGTTTCATAGGCTCAAATATTCCGAATAAACCAATCTTCAAACATTTTGTAGTCTACATTTCTTTGAGTCATTAATCACTAGCTGCATTCCATTGCTACATTATAATAATTTAATTCATGCAGTGCTTTTTGTTTTTCCTTTATTAAAGAAAGCAATGCAAAAAGAATGAGTAGTTATATTAAAAACTGGCAGTTTTTAAGGCGGCCAACAAATTCAACATTGCTGGTATCTTTGCCGAAACCAATTATAACGAGAAAAAGTAGAAAGAATCAAAGAACAGGTCTACCTGGAAAAACGAGATAAAGTGCACAATAGTGTTCCATTTCAAAATAACGAATCCGTACATGATTACTTCAATCCAAATGACGGAAACGGAAATGAACTTAATATAGGAAGACCTTCGACAAAAAAACTATATAACATTGATCAAGAAGAACGTAGAACATTTGGTACAACTTCCAACAGGGAGAAGAACAGGTTAAAATTACCAAAAATGGAATACTCAAATCACGAATAGTGTTTCCACAAAACTGGTAATTCCAAAAACGACTTCGCTACTCATAAAACTAATTAAACATTCAGCAGTTGTTTAGATTCCAAATAAGCGTAAACATGCGTGATCCATGGGGTTCCGAAACTAAAAACAAAAAAGCGAAGAGGACAATCGTTCTACACGTACCATTTTCGACGATTCAGGCATAGACGTCCGAACGGAAGTCGCAGAAGCAAATCCATGCCTCTGGTTGGTAATATTAGCAAGCGCCGGGCGCTTCTTCGCCGCGGCGGCCGTCGACGCCGCTTTTCCAAAATTTTCCGACGCAGACGCATGGCGCTTCGCCAAAGACGACGACGTCGCCGCCGCTGCCGACGATCTCCTTGCCCCTGTAGCACTCGCCATTGACGCTAAGCAACGGCAAGAAATTTCAAATTTCGAATCAAGGAAAGATTATACAGAAAAAAATCTTCAGAGAGAATTGAAGAAACTGAGAGAGGCGGAAAAGTGATATTTAATAACGCCTAACGGTAGCTTTCGAAGCGGGCAAAATCGAGCGATGCGGTTTGAATTCCGGATTGATCTGAGCCGTCCGATCTGACATGGATATTCGTTAGGAGCGCTCAGTGCGGGCCCCACAAGGGAGCTGTCCTTTCCACATTCTTTCGCCGAGCGGTGACAGTAACTTATGACACGGACCAATGAATAACAGGCTACGTGGCATGTGATTGGCTGTGAAGATGACGGCTCAGTGAGGTTAGCCCACAGGGTTAATTTTTGAATTCGAATTTGAATTACACCTTGGGAAAGCAGTTTTAAATTTGTCCAAACATGGCCTCCGACTTACTATGCAGCATAAAATCATTTTTAACACTGACCATATCTTATGCGCTTGGGAGTATGGTCTGAACTTAAGGACGTGTTTGGTTACTAATTTCATTTCAAATTTGAAATTTGAATTTCCACTTCACTGTGTCTCTACACAGAAAATTACAAAAATAAAATCGGACACTTATGGTAATTGGACTAAATTATGTTATAAATTTTGGAATATTGTAAAAGATACTTTGGATTCAATACTAAATTGATTCAATGATTTTAATCAATAATTAGGGGTGTGTTTTGTTTGTATGTTTTAGGCTCATTTAGATAGATTTTTTGGAATTTTTGAATTTAAAATTGAGTATTTAATGTGACATTTTAATAATGTCAAATTTTCCAAAAATGTGTATGTAACAAATATAACGTTAACATTTAAATGTTTGTGTTTTTTAAATGTCCTTAGATATATAGGATTAGAAGGATTATTTATGGTATTTAATGGAATTGATTATGGTTTTTTAAAGGATATTTAATATGAAGTTTATTTATTTATTTTTATTTTTTATTTCATATTGAAATCAACATTTTCTTCACCATTTACAATTTCAACAGAAATATATTGGTATTTTATCTCACAAAATATTAAATTAAAATATTTTTTAAACAAAAATTTAAATTAATATTTCATTTCAAATCACAATCAAACAGACCCCAAAGGTTTAGCTTTTTAAATTGAATAGATATGGTAAAATCATAGAGTACTCCTGAAAATCTCGACCAAATAAAAATAAAATTATAGTATGATTCTGTTATTTTTAAAAGTTTTTTCTATTTTATTAAATGCTATTGAAAGTATATATTGTTTTCAAACAAAAATCATTCTGTTGGAAAATTATTTATAATTGAATCAAAATTAATAAATTTTTTTTATTGAAATAAAAAAAAAAAAAACAATTGTTTTGTATTTTAATGGATCCATCTTCTTTTCTTTTTTTTCCATATAAATTCTTAATTATAAGAGAGATACAGATATATACGAGAATTTGATTAATGTGTATAATTAGCAATGTATGAAGAGTGACTAACAAAAATTAAGTAGGTTAAAAAAAATATTCTCTCCATCTCATAACAAAGTATCCATTTTTCTATTTTAGTTTGTCCTATAACAAAGTATCTATTTCTTTTTTAGTAAGTGTACTATATACCTAACATTACAAATACCCTTACAACTTACAATATATTACACAAATGTCGTTACCTTTATATCACACATATTAATAAGGTTATTTTAGTCATTTTTTCTTTATTCCTACTACATTCAAATATAATACTAATATTTCTAAAACTACGTGCAAAAAATAAATGGATATTTAGTTATGGAACGGATGGAGTATTAGATCTTATTTATTTGGAATTCGATTTTAATTTCTTATCATACAAAGAAAATACTATTTGCTTTACAAAAATAATCATTTAAAATATAATTCAAACACTTAGGTTTGTCTGTCACACATGATTTGTTGAATGTAATATGCTTTGCTTAGGCCTAATTTGCAAATTATTAGGTTCGATTAAAAATTTACCTATAATGCATCTATGAGTAGCGGTCGCAAATTCTCACATTATAAAATATATATATATAATTCAAATCAAAATCTAAAGTCAAAAGGTATAAAATAAAATCTCAATGAGCAAACGCTAATTACCAAATCAAATTAAGTAAATGTTATTTAAATCAATCAATACGGAAATGTGCATATTTTTATATAGCATAATATATAGATGTGGTATTTCAAAAATTTTGTACTATGTTACAAATACATCAAATAAAACACATCATAATAAAAACAAGACAATGATTTTAACATATTACATATATTCATACAATATATACATACTTTTATTTAATATTTAATGTGATAATTTTATTTTATAATATAAAAATTCGCAGTAACTATTTAAAAAACGATTTAGTCAAAACAAAATTAAAACTAAGAAAAACAAAATCAAACTAAAAAACACACACATATATATAGAAAGGGTAAGTCATAGAATTTTTTAGCTTTATTATATACTTCGTCATATATATATATATACACACACGAGAATTAAAGTGAAATATAATTTATAAGTAATTAAAAAATACTATTTTCATCCCATCGAAATTGAATTATTTGATTAGAGATACGATTTATTTAAGGTGAAGATGTTTAATTAGTTAATAATAATTAATTATGATATTATTTTTTGTATAATTAATAATATTTATAATTTTAAAGTAAATTTAATATATATAATTAAAAAAAATAAAATATATGTTTAAATATTTAAAAATTATATAACAATTAAAAAAATATATGAATTATGAATATCATTGTAGAGAATAAAATTTTCAAATAAAAAATATTTTTGTTTATTTATAATTAACATAAATCGATTTATAAAAGATGTCTAGTTAATATAGATAAAAATATTTATTATTTTAGGAGAGAGTGGTAGAAATAAAGGTATTTTGATTGAGTTCTACCTACGTCATTTAATAATTTTTACCAAAAATAAAAAGATATCAATTGTTAAGAGACCGACGAAAATAAAAATGGTGTTAATTGTGGTGGAACGAAATGAGTATATTATTAAGAATAATTATAAATTAAAATTAAAATAAATTATAAAAAAAATATGATTAAAATATATATGAGAAATAAAAAATAATGTGAGACAAATTAAAATTAAAGTAAAATATATAAATATTTTATGTGAAAATATCAAGTACAGTAGTTATTTCAAACTACAAGACTCAAAATAATACTAATACCATAGTAAAATTTAGCAAAAGTTATGGGTTGATGCAGTAATAGTACACTCAATTAAGTTCAAACTTAAGGGGTTGTCAATAAATTTCAAAAAATGTGTCCACCGAAAGAAATAGGAGCATACAACAATTTAATTGATTCTTAGGGACTGATTGAAAATAAACCAAAGCGTAAAATCTTCTTCAGTTCCAATCACCAAAAAGCGGGAAAGAAGCCCTTTGCTTGGGGAAGGAAAACCTCGATTCATCCTCGACGATGGCGCCAGTGCCGCCGAGTTCTCAGCCGTGGGTCGAGAAATAGTAACTCCTCCACATCCCTATTCATTGGTAGATCCTCTTCATGTATTTGTTGGTGCAATTTTCATTTGATTGGTTGAATTGGCAGCCGTCCTAAGCAAGTGAAGGACGTTGCTCACCAAGACGAGGTTGTTCGAGTGCTCACCAACACTCTCGAAACTACGAACGTAACGTTCTTTGCTTTATCTTTTTGTTGCCGTTTTGTTTTTCGCTTGGTGTTCTTAATTACTACGTGTTTTCTTCCCCTGTTGAAATCGCAGTGCCCTCACATGCTATTCTATGGGCCTCCTGGCACCGGGAAAACAACTACAGCTCTTGCTATTGCTCATCAGCTCTTTGGGTAATCTTTAGTAATGATTTTTTGTTTTGGAAGTTTGGATTTGTATTGTTGTTTCACTTTGCAACTTGTGATTGATGTCAATCTGTGTTTCACTGTAAATTTAATAGTTGTATTGGGTAAGCTATCAACAGTTAATATTAATTGCAATTATGATGATAGGAGGAGGTTGAAAATTCTAAATTTTAGATTCCACTGATGGAGTTGTGCTTGATGTAATGTTGATTGCCCATTATACAGTGGTTGTTTGGATTATTTATGAAGTTTAGTTTGATTGACTGAAGCAAATTCCTTCTGTAGACCTGAGTTATATAAGTCCAGAGTTCTTGAGCTGAATGCTAGTGATGATCGAGGGATCAATGTTGTTCGCACAAAAATTAAAAACTTCGCTGCTGTTGCTGTTGGTTCGTCTCGGCAGGGGTATACTCTTTTTTTTTTTTTTTTTTTTTTTTTTTTTCTAATAGTATTTTTGTATATATCTTGCTGTGCTGATCCTTTCTCTTTCATGCTTCAAATGAATTCTCTTCCCGAAATGTAGGGGTTATCCTTGCCCACCGTATAAGATCATTATTCTTGATGAGGCTGATTCGATGACAGAAGATGCTCAGGTAAAGTTCCACCTTTCTTTCACCTAGGTTTTATGTTGGTTTCTGCATTAGTTGATTACTTTTTCACATCTTAACAGAATTTAACGTCTATCTTTGCAGAATGCGCTGCGGCGCACCATGGAGACATACTCGAAGGTTACAAGGTTTTTCTTCATTTGTAACTATATAAGCAGGTAGGATTAGACCTCCTCTCACACTATCAAAAGTTTAGTTATTTTAGGGAAATATTCCAGGTTGAGATACTTGGGTCAATATTCACTTTGTAAGATAATATGTTACATGCTATGCAATAACAAATAATCGTAAATATGTTGCCCATGGGTACCAGCCCCTGTTTAGAGGTTAACATTGGAGAAATGCCTATAATTTGAATATCTATATTTTACCGAGTTATTTTACTGGACTTTATTTACTATATATATGAATTTGCATTTCGTAGTTGCATGTATTTTGTAGAGTTTATGCTTATACTTTTCATGAGATTTGACTTTAGGAAACTATCTGTTTGGTGTAGAATCATAGAGCCTCTTGCATCTAGGTGTGCGAAATTCCGATTCAAACCACTCACCGAAGAAATTATGACTAGTCGCATATTGTATATCTGCAAGGAAGAAGGAGTACAATTTGAGTCACAGGTAGAGATTGATATGCTCAGGTTTCATGCTTGTAGAGTATATTTGTTTGTGCATGTGTGAATTCATCTTTGTTCTCTATCGAAGTTAAATTTTTGATATGGCTTCTTTTAACTGTAGGCTCTGTCAACCTTGAGTGCTATTTCTCAAGGTGATCTTCGCCGTGCTATAACATATCTGCAGGTATATATTCATCGCATTCTTTGGTCGATGTAGGGGCTTTGTGCCCCATTTACAATAGCTAGTAGATGCATATTCTAAGTTATACTAATTCATCCTGTGTGTATCACTCTTATATTCCGACTTCAATCCTAAATTATACATTGCCATAAAACTAGAAAATTGGTTAATCGGGTCACCCTACCAAGTGTTTGCATGCATTTAGGATATAATAGATTGTAGTTGGTGTGTCTTATTGCTGCTCAAGCTTGAAGCAATTGAACATCCGTTCTTCTTATTAAACTAAACATTCTCATTTATTTCAGGGTGCTGCTCGCTTATATGGATCTTCAATATCATCGAAGGACTTGATTAATGTGTCTGGTGTAAGTTCTTCCTCTTTAACATTTCTGAAACAAAATCTGATCATCAGATGATTTCATATTCTAAGATCAGAAAGCTCTTACCTTCAAATTTATTCAGGTGTATGTTCATCTGTTGATCATTGTTTTAACATTACTTGTCCCTCACATCACATTATTCCATGTCTTTAATTTGGTTTTTTCCTATATACAAACCCATATTTACAGACCTTGAACATGTCAAACTAATTCGATAGAGATTGTTGTCATTCCCAGGTCATCCCCGATGAGATTGTCCAGGCTCTCTTTTCTGCTTGCAGAAGCGGTAATTTTGACATGACAGACAAAGAAGTGAAAAATGTAGTCGCCGAAGGATACCCGGTTTCTCAGATGCTTTCTCAGGTCCAGTTGATGTTGGTCCTATTATATTTCTTGCTTCCTTTCGACTAAGTGCTGATCCAGCTCCTATTCCAGTTGTATGATATAATTGTTGAATCAGAAGATATATCAGACGAACAGAAAGCAAGAATATGCAAGAAGTTTGCCGAGGTAGATAAGGTAACAATGATGATTACGCACCATATACATTAAAAATGACTGCAGAAGCTACACTACTATCAAATTTCCATTAGATCAGATATTTATCCTCATTGCTGTGGCCTTTGTTTGCAGTGCCTTACTGATGGAGCCGACGAGTATCTGCAACTGTTGGACGCAGCTAGCAACGCGCAGCGTGCGCTGTGTAACATGCCTCAAGAATACTCCTTCGCGAGTTAGGCATCCGCGACGTCCACTCAGCATGCTGTCGAAACATCGGTCAGTATCTTAATCGCTTCTGGAAGATCTAATTAAAGTTTCATGTTTAAGAATGAAATCTTTTGCACGTCTCTTACATTATCTTAAGCATAAAAGTCTTGGAATTTAGCTTAAACTGTTGTCATTTGGTGCCATGGATAGAAATGTCACCATGCCTGATCTTGACATGGTTTTGAATTTCACCCCTCCCCCCACCCACCCCGCCAATAAATAATAGGGTTGAATCATAGTGCCCCACCCCCCCATTGTCTTCTTGCATGACTCTTTATACTCTAACAGAACTTGTCCCCACCAGCTCCCACTTCCCTCGCCTTTAATCAAGCCTAGATGGATAAATAGATAGATATGTAGGTGGATAGACAGATAGATAGATGATTAGATAGATTACTCACCCACCCCATCTGCCAATATATATATATATCTGTTTCTATATATACGTATAGATGCCCTGTCTTTGTGGTGTTCTTTCTTGTCAGTGATATAAACCCACCCTCTTAAGATGCCAGTAGATGAGTCGTATAGGAAACCGGGTGCTGTGCCCTTCAAGTGGGAGATCCGACCCGGTGTCCCGAAGCTCCACGACCCGCTCCCTTCTCTGGACAATTACCAATTTGAATTCAAGCTCCGGAATCACCACCACAAACGGTTGTCTGCAACTGTATCCCCTTCCCCAGAAACTCCATCTAGGCTGAAACCGCCGCCGGCTGGATTATCCATCCGGTCACCTTCTAACCGGGTTGGGCAAGCCCGACCCGACGTGGTTTCCTCTGCTGGGTGTTTCCCATCCCCTGTGGTGAAGCTTAGAGCTTTGAAGACGGGCGGGTCTGGATCCGGATCTGATCCAGGATACTACTCGGATCTTGAGAACGGATCATCCCGCAGGTGGTCGTTTTCCGGTAGGAAGTCTGTGCCGGTTTCGCCGGTGTGTCATTCCTACCGCTGGCCCGGCGGCGATGCAGATTGGGCCGGGTTCGGCTTATTTTAAAAACACACCATATATTAACATATATATATATATATATATATATATAAACGTGTGCATGTACATGTGTGCTGCATAGTGGAAGAAAAAATCCAAAGTAATTGTTTGCCTTTTTAATTAGTTTTGAAAATTTAAATTTAAATTTAAATTAATATGGGAATGGATGTATTTTCAGGGTTTGCTTTAATTATGCTATCACTGTCCACTCCAAGAAATAAAGAAAACCAAGGAAGGAAAAGGTCAATAAAAAGGTTAATTAATAATACAAAATAAACATACAATCGATGAACTGAATTCAGGCCTTAACATGAATCAAGCTGCGGTTGAATAAATGTTTTAGATCATCATGTGAAGATCTTGGCAGAATTGATGCCAAAGCCAAATCAATCCTCTCTAGGTAAAGAAAAATTAGAAAAAAATGTATTTTTTTACTTAAACAAAACGATAATAAATTTAAATGAAAAAAAAAGAGTAAAATAAATTTGAATTATATGATTTATTATAATAAGTAATATAAATACATTCATACAATAAGATATATTAATACAATACAACTAAAATAGAATTATTACTACTAAAAAATGAGTTAACTGTTTCCTTCATAGAGTTAACTTAATTGTGACACATAAAAAACCCTCGACGGCGAAATGTTAGTTAATAAGCTTATTTAGAGATAAATTGAATTTATAGTGACCAAATATTAAGATTAATATATTATTTTTTATTTTAAAAGGTGGCAAGGAAGAGGTTGGGTTGGAAATGAGTGAATAGAGCCTCCGCAGAGGTCAGAGAGGACTGACTACTAAACGGGTAAACAATACGTGAGTGAGTCGCGTGCGGGAGTGTGCTGTGTCTCAGGTGCTTATTTAACGGAACGAAAACGACGTCGTTTCGGTCACGACACTGACGTCTTTAAATTGTTCTTTCCCGAAACGGCGTGTTCCATCCTTTCCACTATTTTCTAATCTTCGATAAATTCCATTTCCATATCACCTGTAAAAATTAATTCATGTATACAAAAATTATTTACGGAATATATGTATTATATATAGAGAGAGAGGGAGTGTTTTCCTGAGGCAGTTAAGGTTACGTTCAGTATCACAGTATAAATAAACCTCAGCTGAGACCGATTATAGACTACAACTCTTACTCTATCCATCGAATCATCATCGACGGCTCTTTGAAATTAATCCAATTTTAATGTTGGACCAAGGCGGCGGCGGTCTTGATAGCGGCCACCGTGTGGTCGCAATGCCGGAGATGACGACGGAAGGCGCCACTTGGCCGGAGAACAAAGAGTTGGATCAGGTAGTGCGTGTGTGTGAATTTTTATGTGAATGAAATAGTCCTGTGTTAGTGTTTATTGAGCTTTGTATTCGGATGTGTACTACACAGAAACCTGGTTGGAAGAAATTTTTAGCGTATGTTGGCCCTGGATTTTTGGTCTCTTTGGCATACCTCGATCCTGGAAACAGTGAGTGATTTTCTAGGTGTTATACTGTGATGAATACGTTTGTTTCCTTGTGTTTCTCGTGTTTGCTATCTATCATCTGTTGAAATTGAAACTGTTGTGGTGGTTTTATTGGAGAAGTATATACTAATGTTTGTAAGTACCTCTGAATTTGAAGTGGAAACTGATCTTCAAGCTGGAGCAAGCTACGGATACGAAGTATGTACATATATAATCGTGAAAACAAATGAAATGCTTATCGATTAGTTTAATTATATGTATTGTACCAATTTGCAGCTGCTGTGGGTAATCCTTATCGGATTAATCTTTGCGCTGATAATCCAATCACTCGCAGCAAATCTCGGAGTCTGCACGGGTATATTGATGAACACACACACGAAAACATATTGTCAGTTGGCCTTTAGACTTGAATCCTATTTGATAAAATTCGATGTATAGGTAAACATTTGGCAGAGGTGTGTAGAGCAGAGTATCCAATACTGGTGAGATACTGCCTCTGGATTCTGGCAGAGGTCGCCGTCATTGCTGCCGACATTCCTGAAGGTAAAAAAGCAGATAGATCATAGATACCTTATTTTGTTACTGAATCACTAGAGATTTTGGAATCAGATCATTTGATGATTACATGTATTGGTCCATTGTATTGTGTATAGTGATAGGGACAGCCTTTGCACTCAACATACTGTTCCATATTCCGGTGTGGGTTGGGGTTCTTTGCACCGGGTTCAGTACTCTCCTCTTGCTCGGCCTCCAGCGCTATGGCGTATGGCACACAATGCAATATACATATATATATATATATATATTCATGCTCTTCATAGATGCTTTCTTTGGTAGTTATTGAAGAATTATTGATTGTTAATTTTGTGCGTGCATAGGTGAGGAAATTGGAGCTGTTGATAGCAGTATTAGTGTTCATAATGGCGGGGTGTTTTTTTGGGGAATTAGGCTTTGTCAGCCCTCCGGCGTCCGATGTCTTGAAAGGAATGTTCATCCCTAAACTGAGTGGCCATGGCGCCACCGGCAGTGCCATCGCCCTCATCGGCGCCCTCGTCATGCCGTAGGACACACAATTCCATCATCTCTTTATGTGTTTCTTCTCAATTCACTGAAAATTTATCTTTCTAACATATACATATATGTATGAAATGTGTATACACAGGCATAACCTTTTTCTTCATTCTGCTCTGGTGCTTTCGAGGAAGACGCCCACTTCAGTCCGTGGTATCAATGTATGAAAATCCCATCCAATCTCCATTAAAGAAACACATTGTGCAATACTACATATATATATATATATATCTTTACACACTGTGCTGATGCCTGATTGGTGTTAATATTACTGTTAGTTTGCGCTACAGATTACTGTCATGCACTGAAAATACATAGGCAACATATGAAATAGAATATAAAATGCTATCACTCATGTCAGTTCTATTATATATATATATATGCTGTCTTAGTAGACTTTTGTGTGTTTGCATTATACAAACGATTATCTTTGTATTGTTACATTTATATATAATGTGTTGTCGGTATATATTAACTGTGCTATTAGTACTCTGTAATTAGTATAATAACAGCCGTCATATATACATATGACTTTGGGAAACTAACGAGTTGGATGAATTTGATCAGAATGCGTGTAAATACTTCTTGATGGAGAGTGGATTTGCATTATTCGTCGCGTTCTTGATAAACGTGGCAATGGTGTCTGTGTCGGGCTCCGTCTGCTCAGCCAAAAATCTGTCTGAAGAAAACGCAGCAAATTGCAACAATTTGACACTCAACTCTGCTTCTTTCCTCCTCAAGGTAACCACTGATAATCAAATACCACATTAATCAAATCTTTCCATTTGCTTAATAAGAGTCTTATTCTGATTGCAGAATGTATTGGGGAAATCAAGTTCTATAGTGTATGCAATAGCACTGCTGGCCTCAGGGCAAAGCTCAGCCATTACTGGCACTTATGCTGGCCAGTTCATCATGCAGGCAACTAACGAATTAATTATCTATCCAACTTATTAACTACTTACTAAATAGGGAGTATAATCATTTCAATTATTAAACTTTTGGTTGGTGTTAATCAGGGCTTTCTTGAGCTGAGGATGAAGAGATGGGTAAGAAATTTGATGACTAGGTGTATTGCCATCACACCAAGTTTGATAGTGTCGATAATTGGAGGCCCTTCTGGAGCTGGCAGACTCATCATCATTGCTTCGGTTCGTCAATACTTCTCTCTCACACACACATCATATATATATATATATAATACTATGTGAACATTTTGTGCTATATTAACAGAAAATTTCAAGTGCATTCATATATTTGTTGGATTAAAAAAGGGTGAATTTTGTTGGTGCAGATGATTCTGTCATTTGAACTTCCATTTGCTCTCCTCCCACTACTCAAATTCAGCAGCAGCTCTCCCAAGATGGGGCCTCACAAAAACTCCATTTCGGTAACTCCCAACACACCCACACTAAATCTTCATCTTACATAAGGCAGCCGTTATTTTACTACAAGGGACAATACTCAATTTACATAGAAGTTTTTTAAATTTTGAAAATAAGAAAAAAAAAAATTACACAGACTTTTGAAACTTTTAACTCTATTTATATTTTTTTATCACAAAATATCATATTAAATACTAACTTTTTAATATTTTCAAAATTTTTCAAAACATTAAATTTCTGTCTAAAGGTAATGTATTGGATATAATATTCAATCAGAGAAAAATAAATATTTGATCTTATATATATATATATTTAAAAAATATATTAATTTTAATGAATAATATAAAAAATTTCAAAAAAGTTTCTATGTAAACAAAACTATCTATCTAACTATGAGAATTAATTAGTCCCTTGTAGTAAACATGCCCCGCCATTGCAAAATAATTGATTGCAAATGGAATATGAATGGCAGATCATAGTGTTCTCATGGATTCTTGGGCTGGGGATCATAGGCATCAATATATACTACCTTGTGACAGCCTTCGTCGATTGGCTGCTTCACAACAGCCTCCCAAAAATAGGGAACATCTTTATAGGGATTGTGGTGTTCCCGCTAATGGCTATGTATGTAATATCTGTCCTATACCTCATGTTCCGAAAAGACAAGGCGAAAACGTTCATCGACACTGCCCCGGCTAAGGACAACGATGATCATCAGCCTTATAGAGAGGACCTCGCCGATATCCCCTTGCCACAGTAGTAGTGTGCTTATAGCCTAACTCTTCTTGAAATCTCACCATCTTTTTGCGGAAAAAAAAAAAAAAAAAAGAAAAAAACTCAATTTTGCAACCATAATTACTACTTTTAAAACAAAAGAAAAAAAAAATTATTATGAACGTGTCTGTGTGTGTGCTTATATTAAGAAAAGGATGGCGTAAGTGATTACTTCAGTTCCGTATTATTGAATAGAAGTAATTAAAAGCTTTGGATAAATTTGTGACCACTTTGATGGAATATATTGGGATGAGAATATGTGTTACATATTTATAGAATTGAACTTAGATTGGCATCAAGAAAAGAAACTGCGAAGAGGAATATGTTCTTTTCCTTGAATATGCGACTGCAAAAACATTAAAAAGAATGGTGGCAAATAGATTTGAGTGTGATTGCTTCCATTTTATTTTATTTTTAATAAATTAGTAACACAATTGAAAACATAAACCAACTTAGCCTTACGCAATTATCTTATTTAATAATAATAGTACAATTATTGAACTACTAAAAACCACATCATTTAAAACTTTTTTTCATAAGTCAATAACCTTATTTAATGTATATGATTAAATATATATTTTTTATATTAATAAACAATTTTCCCTTAGGATGGAAGCTTAAGCTAATTAGATATTGATTTTCACCACAATAAATATATTTATACAGTACACTTCTATATATATATTATATATATATATAAATATGAACGGTACAACATATACTTTTATTTAACATTGCAGTTAGAAATTATCTTATTATTTTCTCTTATAAATAAAATCCAAATGTATTCAAATAAGAATTGTAAATTTACCTTTTTTGAATCTGTAGAATTAGATCACTTCTAGACAATGCTAGGATCTTCTTGTTGATGAAAATCCTAAAAATGGATAAGAATTGTACCGGTTGCATAACTTTTTTAGGTACACAGTGCCTATGGATATGCCGAGAGGATTGCCCATTTCTTCCTCGAACAACACCAACATGTTGCCCCTCGGTTTCAGGAACGACCGAGGTATATGTAACCTACACATTATATAGTTTGTGAGGTTGTCAAAATGCTACATGTTAAAAGTGAATCAACATTCAGATACAAAATAAAAATGAAAAAATAAAAAAAGATCGATCTTACCATGTTTGTGAAGGCATTCCATCAGGTTTGGGAAAGGAAATCCAATATCGGCCAATACCTTGGCCGTTGATCCATACTTGGCCTTTTCTCATAGAGTTAAGATTTATTGCGACAGGATCAGAACCTCCGGGCGCATCAAATATGGCCTGGCAGGGCGTCGAAAAACTCATAACTTTACGATCATAAGCACACATTGATGCAAATGTGGGAACAAAACTATTGGAGAGATTCTAACCTTATACCATGTGAGCTGGTTGGGACTGATGGTGTACTTGCTCCATGGCACCTTGCTCGATCCATTCATCGAGTAAATCTGTACCCTCTCGCCCACTAATCCGACCTTATATGAAGATGGAAAATTGAAATCAAGTTTGTATTTGGCAAGCTCAATAATCAAGAGTGATGACTACGAATAGTTAGTTAGTTAGTTATACCTGATAACCCCACGGATATTTGTCCGTTAAATTTTTGCTACCTTGATTTCCTAGAACGTTTACATTTACCAATCCGGCAGCTCTACTCTCAAGATAAGCACCTGAATCCTAGAGTTTGTAGATCGATTTTTATTAGTATCAAACATTGCAGGGCAGGCAGACAACATGTAATCGGTATTCAAATTTAAAATTAGGGATCGATACATTGTTGAACTCTACATATATATATTAGCAAATCAAGTGTTTTACACCTAAAAGTGGCCTAAAATGAATAATGCGCAATGTCGAATAAAAAAGGAAAAGGCGAAAGAAGGGACAATACCGGCATTCCAACCATAATGCTCAGCAAAGATATGGTGTTCACTCCACGGTGAAACAGAACGGTAGTGTCCAAAGTAAAGCTGAAATTTCTGAAGTAGCCATGGGCGGATCCTACCAAGGTAAAGCACAATCAAGTTAGCATAACACCATGGAAGATTCCTTGTTGCAGAAAACTATTATGAGAAGAAAGATTGAGAAGAATTTTGCATTAATGGAGAAAAACCATATGATTCAAATGAAAAAGGTCACATAAGCTGAGAATTATCATACCTACAAGGCGTCCATTGATGTAGGCACGCAGCACATGTCCACGCGAACCTATCTTGATCTCGGCTTTTGCGTCTGCCGGCACCTCATATCTGCAACAAGTTTGCTCTCATAAACCACAAGTACATTGATCTAATCGAAATGCATCAAATTTTAAAGCGTAGAAACTTACTCAGCAGTGTACCACAGATAATCAGATGTATCTTTGGTAGTGTTCATCTGTTCTAACAATAAATTTGATCTCAATGTCGTACTGTCAAATACTGGTATAACTTCTCGCCATTCTTGCCATAACATTGGAGAATCAAACTTCATAGTTGGTACTCTTATTCTTTCAGTGCATTTGGCAGCAACCTATCGAGGATGAAAAATAATAATAATAAATAACAAAACAAAACCAAAAAGAATAGTTAGACATGTTCCTGCTTTCTGTTTTCATCCTTTTCAAAGACATAAGTTTGAGGTTCATATACAAGATACTGTAAATACCTTGGCTGTGTTAAAGGACACAATATTGCAATCTGGCAAGATGCTAATAGATTCGGCCGGAAGCCTATATGTTCTATTCTGAAATTTGATGTCGGTATTGTTTCGATCAGCATTTACAAGAAAGGCAGCACATTTTCGCTCATCCCCGGAATACACATAGGCCTGGCTTAAGAAGAAAGCCAAACAATCAATAGTATCTTTTGTTAATTCTAATCTATCGAATGCCATGTAGGTGATAAAATTCATATATAAACTTCGACATCCTTACCCTCTGCAGGGGACCCAAAGAATAATTGGTTTGTTGTCCATAAAGTAGCGTATCGGAGCAATTCTGTACCGCTGCATGCAGCTCCCTTAGATGACCCCATAACGGCTCATTGATCAAACCTGCATGTTTTCAGCAGGTTCTTAATAATTTAAATACAATCAAGAAAAAAATAGCCATTGAGATTCAGTTGAATTACCATACTCATCGAGGGGGGCAGGATCATAATAACTGGTTAATGTGAATGCTGAAGTAGTCCTCCCAAAATTGGTCCCTCCATGATACTGTTAAGATAAAAAAATATGCTCCTTTAGTGAAATATACATACATATATATATACATGGGGTGTTGTAGTAAAACTTGGAACTTTTATTCCCGGGAATTCTTTTGGATCGGAAATGGGCTTACCATGTAATAGTTTATGAAACTTCCATTCAACTTGGCTATGAATAGGGCAACCTGGTAAGCAATGTACTCTGGCTTATAGATTCTTGTAGCATTGCCATATAGATCATACCTTCAAAATCGAAAAGCCGAGAGTCACTTAAACAATAAGCATCAAAATGCACGAAAATAGCCACCTAGAGACAACAAACATTGCAAGCCTTCTTTTAGCCAGGGTAGCTTACAGGTGTGTCCAATTTTCTGTCCAAATTGCTGGCTTATTCGGCGAATTCGGTCCTACAAATGTTTCTGCACAGCTCCTCCCATTGCAAGCATTGATCTTCATTCCAAAGCAATACCACATAATTTCAATATAAGCTTATTTGAAGACCTTAAGAATCAAAATTCAAGGAGATAATCAGAAATGGTGCTCTTACCACAGGATCGGGAGCATCATCTTGCTTACACATCACCCATGGCACACCAGTGTTAAGGCCTACAGCCATCTTTGCTGCCCAAAGGACATACCGTGCACCTGCTTCGTTAAAAGCCTTCTCCACATTCTGGTACTCATTCTCAATCTGATCATGTTTACATTAAATCCATTCGATTATGCACGTTATACTTATAGAATAAACATATAACCACAAACACAAACGAACAAATTTGTGTGCATATAACACCAGCAAAAGTAGAATAATAAACTCTCGAACCTGCGATAGTACTATAGGACCTCCCTGTGAAGCAAATAGCTTCTCCGACTTCATCAAATCCACGATTTTCGTCGTGAAATTTTGCATGTAAAACTGTTTCGAAACCAATGCAAATCATTCATGTTCTATACATACTCCATACTGTACTCTATATCAAATCTCGAAAATCAAAATACCTTATACGGTTCATTATCCGTCCGGAAAACAATGCCGGGGACTTCACGGAGCCAGAACGGCAAGCCTCTGCAGCAGCCACAACACAGCTTATTAACCGCTCAGAGATAATCAGAAGTTGCTAATTCGATCGATTGTATTACCCGTAAGTCCACTCGGCCTGAATGAAAGGACCAATCCGAAGGATTGTATAGAGTCCTTGAGCCTGAATTTCCTTGATGAATCTCACTATATCCGCTCTTCCACTGAAATCATACTGCCATTTCCGCTTGCTAATCAGCTCAATTCATCTCCGAAATTCATTAGTGAAGGGAATTGGGGATTAGGGTTCGAGAATGAGAAGAAGAACCTGGCCAGGCTGAGGTTCGTGAACGTTCCAGAAGACATACGTATCAATAGTGTTCAGTCCACCTTCTTTTGCTTTTGCTATCAACGACGTCCACATCTTTTACCCATAATAATATAACAATTTATTTATTTTTAATAAATCACGTAATTTAATTATTTTTAATAAAAATATATTATTTAAATAAAAATTTTAATTTTAATTTTAAATTCAAATCAAAATTAAACAAACCTGTTGTTTCTTTATATAGATATTGATTTTTTCAGTTGAAATATAATGTTAATAAAATAGTAGTTTATTATTGTATGACAAAAAAAAAAAAAGATTAAAATTAATTTTAAAAAACAATTCTTTTATTTTAATAACATCAATTACTTTTATCTACAAAATATCAAATTCAATTGTTATTTTACTTAAATGACAAAAATAATATATATATATATATATATATTATAATACAGGCCAAACATATCCAGTGTAATTTTTCTATCTTCTCCACATATATAAAACATTATATTGAAATTTTCTATTTATATACAAACAATAAAGTTAAGATTTTGTAGATATTTTTAATTAATATAGAAATTTTCCATATAATAAATGTATTCAATGAATAAAGGATTTCATTGTTTATATTAAAATAAATATATTTTAATATATATATTTATTCTAACAATACATAATTAATACTCCCTAGCCTATTTCATGTATCACACTAAAATTGAAATAAATATGGTTATATATACATATATACTTCTACAAGTGTTGATATTATAAGCCATCAATCATTTTTTTAAAATATATATATATATAACATCAATTAAATGCCAAATATTTTACTATTTATAAAATTCTAAACTTCTCCAAGTATCCAGTTGCTACACTAATTTTACTCAAACTATAACTCAATTTTTCATTATTATTCTTTAAATATTCAATTTTTCCTATTATTTTAAATAAATTTTTATTTTTATAATTTAGAATAATTTTAATAATCAAAAAAATCAAAAAAATCAAAAAATAAAAATAATAAAGCAATGCCATTTTTTTATATTGTTACGGTGCAACACCAAAATTAGCTTTGCACACTGTATGAACAAAATCTAAGGCTACATTCGCTTATAGAGTTTTCACTAGATTTTTGCTATTTATAATTTTTATTCTTTTAATATATTACATCAAATATTTATTTATTATTTTTATATTATATTAAAATTTATTTATATATAAAAAATATTATATTAATACATATTTATATTGACATAAACAATTATTTCAATTTAAATTTTTTATATTCGGAACTCATCCCAACACACCCATAACAAAGAATTTGTTTGTGATTATCTAGTTGTCAATGAATGATGATGTCAGTTTCTTGTATATTGAAATAAAACAATTTTAGCTTTTTAAATTTAGTAAATACAAGGCTTTTCTTCACCTCTTTATGCTGTCTAAATTATACTGCATAATAAAATTTCCTTTCTGATAAAAAAATAAATAAATAAATATAATTTTTTATTCAAAATTTTATATAAATATATCATTAGAAAAACAATTATAAGCATGCTAAATTTCTTAATTTAACATGGTTTAAATCAATCAATGTCCTTATAATCTAAATTAATTAAATAATTTTTATTTAATTAAGATTATTAAATGGCCAGAATCAGCACATCATGATCCGAACTCTATCTTCAATCTTTTTTAAGAAAAGAGCAATTATTTCTTTTCCATTTTTTGGCAATCTAATTTTCATGTAAATTAATTAAATTTAGCAAAGATTTAATTTTTTATTTCTCAAATTCAACCATGTTTCCATTGATTTCTTCAAACAAAAATCCAAACTATGCCAACCAAGTGACAAAGAATCAACAAGAAGAAAAATATATAAATAAATAAATGATATAGTAAAAAAGAATTTTTTTTTAATAAAAGCCAAACAAACAAAATTAAGAATAAGTAATTTTGCAAGATCCCTGGATGAAGGCATCGGATTCATCACCGCCGTTAACGCCCAACTCATCAACGGCGAGGATACATCCGGCATTGTACTCCCGGGACCGTTCAAAAGAAAAAATCCTTACATCGGGTGTACTTCTCGGGTAATGTATAGACCCAGAGAACAGCAGTTTCCGGCGGCCGGCGATGATCAGAGACCGGCGGTCGTAGGTCACTCCGCCGTCGCGTCTGACAGCGGAGGAGGCGGCGGCGACGGCTCCTCCGGCCACCGCAATCAGCAGCAGCAGCAGCCACTTCAGGCACATGTTTCTGGAACTATACATAAATTTTAATTTATATTTATGTATGAAAGAAAAAAAAATAAAAAAACATGTTTGGTGTGTCTGAAGAAAAAAGGGATTTATAGATAATCCATTGTTTTCAATTTTTGGTGTAATTTAGAAAGTGTACTCAGTTCAGCCGTAGAAGCAACGATGATGTAAGTGTATTATGTATATATCGATGTAATAAAATTATACTGCAGGGGTATTCTAGGAAATTCACCCAAATATTGAAAATTTTAATATATTACAAGAATTTATCGATAACATAAAATTATAAACAGATAATACATAAAAATAATTCACGTAATATATAAATAATTGATTTTCGATACATTGTAAATTATAAATTAACATGCTAAAAATCTTTATATTGTCTAAATTATTAGCTTTATATCTATATATATTGAGCTCTGTATTTTAGGTTTTTTAAGTGGATAAATATGATATTTTATAAAAATAAAAAATATATTTTTTATATAAAATCATGGTATTTAAAAAAAATAAAAATAAAAGTGGACAAATAGACTTTATTTATATAAAACTATCATATTTAATGTTTTTTTTTTTTATATACAAATCTTTATATTTAATATTTATTTTTAATAGTACAAAATAAAAACAATAATAGTGAAGAATATAACCTTTATGCACATGTGTCTGTATATTTGTGAATAATTAATTAGAAGGAAAAACATTGTTATATAAGGGAAATTTTTACAAATGCTCTTGTTTAGACAAGAATATTGAGTAATTTATTTGTGAAATTTTAGTTTTTTATTTTGATTTTAAATATTAAAATTTTGAATTGAAATATTTATTTGATTTGATATTTTGAACATAAAAATAAATTTTAATATAATATGATAAATACAAATTAAGTATTTGATTTGATAATTTATTTTAGAGAAAAAAAAAGTATAAAATGGTAAAAAATGTAATGAAAATCACACAAGTAAACGCATGTTTTTCCAATTTAATATTTATTGTCTTTTAAAATTTTATTAACTTCAAATATATATATATATATATAATAAAGAAGCAATAAAAGTCTTCTAAATTATTTTAATTTTAAATATGGGCCCCAATTAATTTCCAACGTGTAATTTAATTTCAATGCAATATTTCTAAATCATATAAAACATGGTACGTTTCATTTTGTATTAATGGGTAGATGTGAAATTAAGGAATTATTTATTTGAAATTTAATTCTTATTTTTATTTTTTTGATTTTTGATTGTAAATTGTAATTTGGATGCAATATTTTACTAGAAAAATATGATAAAAACATTTAAACCAAATTAACATAAGATAAATAGAGTCGAAAATTCTCTATATTTTTGGTTATATATAATTACAAATAAAATAACTTTTATTACCAATTTACAAATTTACTAAAAAGTAAGGCAATCTTTTAAATTGGGGGCAATATTTCTTTCCAAAAACATATACTGTAAAATTTATTATAACTCTTTAATACTCATGAACGAAAATTAATGTATTATATTATTTTTGACTACATTTAATGATTTATTTTAATTAAACAAAGGGGATATTTTATTATTAATAGCCACAAACTAAATAAGGCTGATATTTAAAAGGTCAAGTATAATTCTCAAATTAAAAAATAAGGCAAATGAAAAAATATAGGCAGTTATATAATTTTTATTTCCAATTTTACAACAAAATGAATTAGGCGTTTTGTGCATGCGTTACTTACCGCAGGGAAATGCCATTTATGCTGTAATAATAAACTACAACATATATATATATATATATGAATAAATTAAAAATAATACAGTATTTAGACAGATTTTAGAAATTATTTTGACATATTAAAAAATTGTAAAAATAATAAATAAATATAATATAGATTTATAATTAATATTTTATATAAAAATAATAATATTTTAATTTACATACTTTAAAAAAAAATGCTTAGTGGGTGGTCTGTTTAAACAGATTTTTTTAAAAAAAAAATTGAAAAACAATAAAAATTCATATTTTCATATAATATTTAATAAAAAAAAATATATTTAATATATTAATTTTATAAAAAATGAATAATATCAAAAAGACCAAAAATATTGTGTAAATAGAGTTTTAGGGCCAAAATAATTTGAAATGATAAGCAAACAAAGTCCAATTGAATTTGGTACGCATGTTGGGCTGGAAATTAACCCGATCCAAATAACCAAACCCGGACAAATCCGGGTTGCTTGATTCGAATTGTCCCCTCCTTCAAGAAAGAAGTCATGAAAATTGAAAACTAAAATGGCTCCAACCTCTCTCTCGCTGATGCGAAGGCACGCAGCTGCAGAAGCTTTGGTATTCGTCTGATTACTCAACCAGTAGAGTTTTTTCAGTCGGAATGTCGGTGAGTATTATTGAGCTCGTATGAAGTTCTTGTTTCCGCACGTTTATCGTTAATATTTTGCATTTCGTGTGCTTTTTTTGCTGAATTCATTGTGGGAATCAAACTTACAGATCTTTGAGTATAATGGAAGTGCACTGGTGGCAATGGTGGGGAAGAATTGCTTCGCGATCGCGAGCGACCGGCGGCTTGGCGTGCAGCTGCAGACCATCGCCACTGACTTTCAGAAGATTTACAGGATACACGATAAGCTCTTCATCGGTCTAGCTGGCCTCGCCACCGACGCACAGACTCTGTAACATAAATTTTCTCTTTGTTGTTTTCGATAGTGCTCTTGCTTGGAGAGTGGAAAGGATTTAGAATTTTCTTAAATTTAATCTCCTTAACGTGGTGGTGCTTACTCATTTTCATGCTCTGATTATGCTTAAATTGTACCTGGAAACATGTGAATCTTGAAAGTTGAAATTACAGGTAGCTTGTGTCTTTCAATTCAATTTGTATAGATGCATTGGATGGAGTTGAGAGCATGATCCAATTAGCTTTTACATAGATTGGCTTCATTTGTTTGGCTATGTTTGTTTAACTGTTCCTTAAGTTACTAATTTCGAGGCTTAGTTTTGGTTCGATTCAATTTGTGTCGATGCATCGAAAGGAAACACAGCATGATCCAGTTCATTTGTTTGGTTAATTGTGTTCATCTGTTCACTTTTTAATAATTTCGAAGTTCATTCTTTTAGTGGTTTTGGTTTAAATCGGCAATAGGTATCAAAGGCTAGTTTTCCGACACAAACTGTATCATCTAAGGGAAGAAAGAGATATGAAACCCGAAACTTTTGGCAGCCTTGTATCTGCTGTTCTCTACGAGAAAAGGTCGGTAAAACTATTTACAATGTATGTATATTTGTGAACTTATGCTTATGTGGTTGAAACTATTCACTTCGTTACTAATTTTTTTTCTCGTTTTCGTGCTTCATCGTAGTTTCTCTCTTTATTGTTTAGGTTCGGTCCATATTTCTGCCAACCCGTCATTGCCGGATTGGGTGATGAAGATAAACCATTCATTTGCACTATGGACTCTATCGGGGCAAAGTACGTCTTGCTCATACATGTTATCATTTCTTTCTGTCTAAATGAATCATTGGAAAAGAAAAGAAATCGCCTAACGAAACATTTTGGTTTCGACTTGTTCTGTATTAGCAATTATTCGATTTCAATGCTGCAAATATTCTACTTTTGCCTTGTTGTTGATCCTTTATCTATAATTCAATTTAGCTAAGAACGAAGGTGTGATTAGTATACTTGTTATTATGTCCTATTGGTCATACATTAGATTCTTTTTTGGTCATTAATGCAGTCTCGGTATCTTCATTTGTATAATTCATTTGTATTATACGAATGCATAAATTGATTTGAACCCGATTATACTGTGCCATATTAAGTAAAGCCAGTTCTTGTAATTTCTCTACTGAGCTGTCGAGTCTTTTGCTTTACGAAGTAACTTTTTTCATGGTGTGAATGTAGGGAACTTGCCAAAGATTTCGTCGTTGCTGGAACTGCATCGGAATCCCTCTACGGTGCCTGTGAATCGATGTTCAAGCCTGACATGGTTCGTGATTCTACTCAACATTGCCTTTTATCTTTTTCAAAAAACAGCAAGATCTTTAAACAACACTGCCCTTTTATGACATTGCTTTTACATCTATTTTCGCAATGTCCCTGCATCTTCGTTTAATTAACAAACTTTTCATACCAAATATTCAGGAACCTGAGGAGTTGTTTGAGACTATCTCACAGGCACTGCTATCATCAGTCGACCGAGATTGTTTAAGTGGTTGGGGAGGACATGTTTACGTCGTGTAAGTGGTTTTCCAATTCCTTCGATTCTTTTTCCGAGTTCCTTCCTCTTTGCCAAAATGTGCATTATTCTTCGGCTAATGTTGCAGCACACCTACTGAAGTGACGGAGAGAATCCTGAAGGGAAGGATGGATTGATCGATCGGGCGCTAACAAGAACTCGACGACGGTCTCGTTGTCGACATTGAGCTGCGCTGGGAGTTGCCATTCCTTGAACTTCCCCCATTGCAGCTGTATTTAGTAATCCAAGCTTTGCAGCATTGCTCAAAAAAGTTATGTTTGATTGTGTTGTTAAATTTGCCTCAGATAATTTGGTATGGAATAGATAAAAGCTGTTTGAACTTTCCCTTTTATATGGGTGGGAGGTAGGAATGGCAATGGATCCCGGATCAGAGCCATTTATTTGGGTCGGATCCAATTACTTAGACCCTATTTGGGCCGGGCCGGGTCTAAGTTTAATAATAGACCCTATTAGACCCGAGTCCAACTATTCTCAGTTGAGATATAGTTTGATATTATTATTAGGGTCGTTGATGGTGTCAGTATAATTGAAAATTTGTATTTATTATATTTATTTAATTTTTTTATAAAATAAATAGATATTCTTTTAGACAGTAAGGAAGGTTCAGATACATTTGAAGGTCCAGTAACATATATTTGGATAGGGTATAGGGTCCGAATTATATCCTATCTATACTCTATCCATTATCGTCCCTCATTTGCAAGTTAGATTTAGAATTGACATTATTTTTTAAATTTTATTTTATTTTATTTTTTAATCTCTAATTTATTTTTTTTTTAAAAGATGTGATTTAATTTAATTTTTTTTATTTCTCTTTTAAATAATAGTAAAATATATTTATATACAGTTTCTGGGTGTTACAACGGGAACCGCTTGTTCGAATTTTGATTTTTGGTGCAAAATTACCTTTCGAATTTCAGTCGGGTTTTTATTTAATTAGGATTAGGGGGGGCTAAAATAGGAAAAAAATCCAAACGGTACGATCTTTTTTCTTACTTAATCTTTTAATATAACAGTTATATTTCTTCCCGCCCATTCTTCCTTCACGTGTTCCGTTTCTTCCCCGAAAAGTGAGCGTTGGTCGGAACATTTCTCCTCTTCAACTCAAAATCGTTTTTGATTTCGGGTATTTGATCATCTTGTGTGTACGATGTGCAACTGGCGTGCGGAAATCGGCGACAGAAGCTAGACAGCGACGTTGACGGGATCGACAATGAGGAGAATCCGTAATCGTTCAGCGTCCATTACTTTTTCATCAGGTTTGTTACTTCGATTGCGTTCATTAGCGGTGGTTAGGTTTGTAGGTGTTTTCCGGGGAAGATATTACGGTTTGATTTTGTTGGCAGAATTTGAATAAGTTTTTTTTTGTGTTGGGTAGAATGCATGGAAATTTGAGTCTGAAAATGCATTTTCGTGAGTTTTTTAATCATTTCGGATAAATGATCTTGAACAGAGCTCTGATTTGTTTTTAAATTAGCAGTTTCGCGAATTCTACCAAATTTGCTTCTATTCCGACGGTTTTACTTCGGTGAATTTTAGCCTTGAAAGCCAATCGACATATTGTCTCATCAGAAGCATAAGACAGTACAGTGAAGACGAAAAGAGTTTGCAGTAATCCATTTCAACGTATAATAGCTACCGTTGGAACTAGAGTTAATTGGCGCTTCGATTTCAGGATTTTTCTGACTCCTAAGCCCTCAAGCCACCTGCTGTTGAAGAACACCTCAGTAAGATCTATCATAGCCTTAAAGCACTTGAACTGTAACGAACTGAGATGTTAATATTTTTTTGTTATATTGTGCTTATACTGAATAAGAAGAATAGGAAAGCTCATCTGCAGTTGTATCTTCTCATGAATAATTTGGACTCTGTTCTTAATTAAATCTATGTGCGTACCTTTATTGATTGCAGAAAGTTACTAAAAATTTATTAGCCTTCATCAATGGGGAATGTAGTTAGTTCTGTTTCCTCTGGATTTGGTCAACTCATCGACAAGATCCTCGGTCATCCTCTTGATTTCCTATCTGGAAAAAATTGCAAGTAAATATTCTCATCTTTTGAAATATATATATATATGTTTTATATTGTCTATGTTGTAGTGCTGATCCATATTGGGAAAAACTTCAAAAAACATTGCCCAATTTCGATAACTAATTAGTTAATGTCCACCAATTCTGCAGATCTGTATGTGCTCCAACATGGGATTTTATATGTTATGTCGAGAACTTCTGCGTTTCTCAATTGCTCAAGCTCATCATGGTTGCATCACTGGTTTACTTCTGTGAGTGAATGTCTGCACACTTCAATCTCTTTGTTGGCCATGTTTGGTTGAAATGATTTTAAGCTAAACTATAAATTCCTCAAATTTATTATTGCTGTTTGGGTTTTTCATAACATTTCACATCATGTATTTCACACAACATTCTGCAAGTCTTATTTTGATGGTTTAAACTTACATTCATTCACATGTATTTCAAGACTTTCTTCAACTTCAATATGATCCAAACGATGGATTTCAAATTCAACATACTTCAAAGTTACTAATATTAGAATTCATATTCAAATCCAAATACTTCAATGTTATAGTTAATGATGTTTTCATTTGACAACATTTGCAGTGCTCTTATTCTTATTTCTGTTGTACAAATTGGGCGTCTGCCAATGCATTTGCCACATTATCTGTGGAACCATTTGGGGCTGTTTTGCCACTTGCTTCTCATCATTAGAATTCTGCTGCACCTATTGTTGCTCCAAGCTTCAAAATGTCAAAAGAAATAACAGACGACGAAGAAGAAGAAGAGACATCGAGGAGTTTACTCCACCTATCATCACAAGTGAAGAAGAAGAAGAACACAACTTGGGATCCCGAAAACATAAGAGATCCCACGAGAGGCGAAGCCACATACACGAGCATCTAAGGAGATCCTTGAGGCCTGTGAATCATGTCACACACTTGGAACTCTCCAGCAGATCGATTGATCATCCACGCAGGAAATTGGTTCTAGACGATGCAGGGGATCCCGCGAGCCATGTTCATCACCATGTTCGCATCGCTAGAAGTTCGAGGTTCTCGCATAAGGGATCGAGCCATAGGACAAGAAAGCATCACCCAAGAAGGTAAGATTTCTTACAATACCATGCCATTTTATATAGTTTGCTTTCATCTAATGAAATTGCTGCATGATGAAAAGGTGTGTGAATAGTGTCATTGTTTTTTACACATTTTGATTTGAATTTGGAATCCTAAATTGTTCTTATTATAAAAAATCCCTTTATAGTGTAGAGCCGAGCTCAAGCTTGAAATCGAGCCTAATATGCCGAACTAGCTCAAATTTTAAATAAGTTTGAGTCGAGCATGTCCTAATAACATATATACTCAAGTTCTAAATCGATTCGTTTAATATCTCTATATACAAAGTTGACTTAGATTTCACGTATGTTTAGACTCTTGAGTAGATGTAGAATTTACAAGAACATACACACATAATCATGCTAATCTATTGCTGAGCTCACACTAAAGTAGAATTTGTTTAGTGGGTGGAACTAATTATTACAATTTACAGGCACTACCGACAATGCTAAAGTAATGATTAGTTACTTTTAAATTAAACAATCTAATTGGCGGTGACATGATCTTCACCTAGACAACATAATTGCTCTTAATATTAACTGTTTGAATCGCCTGATAAATATATTTTTATAACTGTGTAATTATATAAGACCTTGTATTCTATACTTTTTGAACTATTTAATCATAATAAAAATATATTAATTATTTATACTATAAATTTGTTAAATATTTATAATTTTATTTATTTATTTATAATATGTACCTTTTAGGCCCACTGTCTAGATGCTTTATTCAGTATACCACAGTAGTGTTTGCCTACCCACATTGTCATAAATTGCTGCCATAGATTATACTACTAGGATTAGTGGTGGAATTGTTTATTACTACATATCATTTGATTCGATGACATTCTTAAAGTCAATACTTTGTCAACCCTTAATCAATCAATATTAATGGTTGAATTTATTTATTTATTTAATTAGGACACTCTTACTAGGAACACTTGTTTAACCAGTGGCTGCAATTTTACATTCCTTAAGTGGAATTAAGTCCTTTCCTGGTGTTCTTATTATAGTAAAAAAAAAGTCTTCCCTGGCGTTTCTTTGTGAATGTTTCTCTTCCTGTTTAGTTAATCATATTTGGACCAGAGTTTTATACGAAAGTAGGTCAATTATTATTTATTACAGTATTTTTTAAAATAAATAAATAAATAAATAAATCTATAATTGCATATTTCGTAGTCTAATTAAATTAAAATTATATACAATAGAGAGTCCTTTCTAACGTATAGGTATAGTACATAGGTTTTTCCAGGCGATGGAGACCTTTCATATTTTAAATGATGGCCAAATTTTAGAAGTTAGTGTGTGTCCAGAAATTCTGCATGTATGTACAGCTATTTAAAAAATAAATTATAAATTATTTAATCAATTTATTCGTAAATAAGGAGATACTTTTAAGTAAAATTGTAGAGGTATTATTATTATTATTATTATTTTTTTATGACATAGGAATTCGCAGCTCACTACTTGAAAATACGCACATAGTAAAAATAAATAAATATTTTTATTTTTAATTATTATTTTTAATTTATTTTTGATCAAATGAGCACGGACTTAGACAATATATTTAATTGTTCCATAGGCAATGTCATCGCTTATTAATAATACTATGTATAGATATGTGTATAATATATATATACACACAACATGCTAACGTGGCCAGCCCATCTCAGCAGTGGGTGTTCTTGGTTGTCTTTACGCACGTGGCCCATCCAAAAAAGACAAAGACACGCACGTGACAAACGTCTGCGTAACATAGGTGTGTCCGAGATGCGTCTATAAATACAATTTTCAATTGTAAGTATAATTATAATATATCTTAGGAGCTTATTTTTATTTATTTGCTTATATTGAATTGACATTAGTAAACTTTAATCGGAAATAATAATTATAAAAATAATAATAATAATAATAGATTGGGACATATCAAATCACAAAGGCGGCTGCAATTGGAATTTGGTCGGCTCGGAATTAAATTAAATATTAAATAATGACCTATGGAATTTTACCATTTAACAATAGGAATATTCTAATAGTTGTTGGTATTTAAAACTAATATTATACTGTTAAATAGGAAGTATATGAAATAAAATTTTAATCATAAAGTGGAATAGAAAGTTTGTTGGCCCACAGTTTGGCTACTTTTGTCTTTTTCTGTCTCTGTACTATAAATGAAAATTTAATTAATTAATTTATTTATTTTTTAAAATAAATCAATTAACCGATCGTCCTTATCTGCACCGATTAGTAATTAGTTTTCTTCTATAATGTAAATTCTCTTTTACTTAGAAATTGTTTTGTTATTAATAGTATGTTCATCCAACGTTTTTATAAGATTTTCAAATGAATATTATAAAAAATATAATATGCTAAACTTATGTAATTTACATTCGGTAGAAAAAATAATTTTTTTTAATATTTAAGTAAAGTAGATAAATAAAATAATATTAAAATATTATTTTAAAAAGATTAAATAATTAATAGAAATTTGAAGAAATTGTAGGAAAAATATAAAAACATTATTATTATAATTAAAGTATAAATAATAAAATTATGAATAAGTAAAATATACTATAAATAATTTGTACATAAATTTAGTGGATAGAAAAAAAAAATAATAACATAATTTAAAATAAAAAGAAAATATATCTGATAATAAAAATGAGCAAGTCCCAAGAATCATTTCCTAAAGTATATTTTCAATTCGTAGTACATTACAAATAGAAAGGCATATAAATTGGGTATGTTTGTTTCTTAAGATTGTTGGAAAGAATTTTTTTTATACGGGATAAATGTGCAGTGAATATAAAAATAATAAATACGCGAAGTTGTGTAAAATAAATAAATAAATAAATAACAAAGCAAAAAATACAGGGTGTGTTTATTTTGTAATTTGAATTATAAGATGTTTTTTTTTTTATGTTAAATATGAAAATAGTATAAATACTAATACTTTATTTTGAATAATTGATTATTTGAAATGATAGAGTGTATATATTACTAGTCTCACTTAATTTGTCTGATTTTTCTATACGTAATTTGTGATTTTTTAAAAATATAATTATATACTTTAATTACATTTTAAAATTTAAAATTTAAAATTTTTATTTAAATTAAATTATTTATTAATTTTAATCTTAATATATAATTATTTTTATTAAGTTATATTTATTTCATTAGGGCACTTTTTATTTACTTATTTACTAATTACACAGTATCTAAAATTTCGTGTCTAAACTAAATTGAATAGTTTAACTGGACGGGCAGAGTATAAATTTTGCGTAAATACATATATATTGTATGTTTAATAACCATTGTTATGTAAAAAAAAAGTTGATTAGGTGAATAAATTTATAAATACTGTATTAAAAATATATATATTCACCACTTTGTGATGTACTCTATCTATTACAGAAAAGAAATATATATATATATATTTTGTCATAAAAAATATATTTGTCATTTTTAGTAAAAAAAAATATGTTTAATAATATATTATTAGTCAGTAAAAGTATATAAGATAATTTTATTTTTTTTTTAAATTTTATGTGTAATGATATATTTGTAATTTACATACAAGTGAAAATATATAAAATAATTTTAATTTTTTTTAATTTTATGTGTAATGATATATTTGTAATTTACATACAAATTAAATGATATTTTAATACTTTGTATAATTACCTATGAGTGAAACATACCAGAATTATAAAAATAGTAATTTTAATTGGAATAGAGAGAGTGAGTATCATTTTTTTACTCTTGTATACTATTTTTTTTTATATAAAAAAATATTATTTCATTTGTATGTACTCTTTTGAGATTTTAATAGTATATTAGAAAACAATATTATTATATTATATAATAGAATTGTGAAAAAATTTTGATATTTTTGCCGTTTGACTTTATGTATAAAATAATTGTATATATAATGATATATTTAAAATTTTAAGTAAAAATTAAAAATATTTTAATATTAATATATAATTATTAAGATACGATAGAAATAATTTTAACTTAAAACTATACAAATGAAATTTAAAATTGCGACGTAAAGAATGTAAAATAATAAAAATATACAATAACAAGTTTAAAAAATAAATGAGTCTATCTTTTTTTAATGACGAAGTATTATAATATTTTTATTAAATTCCGAGTCCACCGTTTGCATGTTGATCCTACGTGTCAACGACGGCTGCTATACAATGTCCACGTCCGCATCCCTCCAAAACCGCTGACGTAAGCAATGACAGTATGCTCGTCCGCGCTCCTCCTTCAGCCACGTGTCACTCAACAAACACCTTATCGCCCACGTGTCTTCTAGAAGGTCCTATATATACCCCATCTTCCCCTGCGGTTTAACTTTCACAAAACCCTCACTCCTCTCCCCCGATACCACCGACCTTCACTCACTCACTTCTCCCCAACCCTACCATGGCCGCCGCCGGAGATCTCCATCTGCCGCCGGGATTTCGCTTCCACCCTACCGACGAGGAGCTCGTCATGCACTACCTCTGCCGGAAATGCTCTGCGCAGTCGATTGCCGTTCCGATTGTGGCCGAAATCGACCTCTACAAGTACGATCCGTGGGAACTTCCAGGTACGTACGGATTAGCGATTGCCTCTGTTTCAGATGCGATTAGGTTAGTTGGAAACTGAATTTTGGTTAATCGTGATTGCGTTTGTGATCGATTTCAGGTTTGGCTTTGTACGGCGAGAAAGAGTGGTATTTCTTCTCTCCGAGAGACCGGAAGTACCCTAACGGTTCGAGACCTAACCGCGCCGCCGGTAGCGGTTACTGGAAGGCCACCGGAGCTGATAAACCGATCGGACATCCGAAGCCTGTTGGTATTAAGAAAGCTTTGGTGTTTTACTCCGGCAAGGCGCCGAAAGGCGAAAAGACGAATTGGATTATGCACGAGTATCGCCTCGCCGACGTCGACCGCTCCGCCCGCCGGAAGGACCGCAGCCTCAGGGTTGGTAACGCTAATTTTCGCCGGTTTTCTGTTGTTGTGGTTGAATCGTTGAAATTGCAGGGAAATTAGGGTTTTGTTGATTTGAGTGATAAAATCAATTTGGGGGAAATGATGAGTAATGCTTTCTGATTGATGAAATTAGGTTTCCGATCAATCTAACGGCTGTGGTTAATCTGTGTGTATATATATAGCTGGATGAGTGGGTGCTTTGCCGGATATACAACAAGAAGGGATCAATCGAGAAGCCGCCGGCGACGGCGCCGCCGCAGAGGGAAGCGACGCCGGCGGAGGAAACAAAGCCAGCCGTGATGAAGACGGTGGCCGACGCGTCGCCGATGGTGTACGACGAGTTTATGTATCTTGACCCGTCGGAATCCATGGGGTCCGAGCACGTGCTGTCGCCGGAGGTGGAGAGCACGCCGAAGCTGACGGAGTGGGAGAAATCCACCCTCGGCTATCCATTCAACTACCTCGGCGGCGGGCCGCCATTGTCGGCGGCGGCGGCGGCGGCGCAGTTTCAGGGTGGTAACTTTCCGGTGGAGGCGGCAATGCCGGATTTGTTAGCCTTTATTACAAAGCAGTGCTGAGGTGAACCAATGAGGGGCGTCCACGTGGCATAGGAGACTTGCAGAATGACGAGTCTATGAGAGTGCCGCCGCCGGAGGAATATGAATGAAAGATTTGTGGATTTGTAATTTGTAGTTTAAAATATATATATATATATATTATATTAATTATAATTATTATGACAATTAGTTTTAGAAATTTGTAGTATAAGGATATGTGGCGCCGCCATAAGTTTGATAGTGTAGATACATTATTTATATTTAATTATTATTAATTAATGATTAATTTTTTTAATGCGGTAGTTTGTGGTCATTAATTAATTAGTAGTGTAGTGAATGATATGTCCGTCCGTCAGTCGGTCCTTTTCAGCCAACTATAAAGGTTGGGTTGGAAAGCGCGCACACAGCGATAAATCTTTTCTTATTTGTATTTATTATTTTCTCCCTCTCATATAAATTCATATTTATATAAATTGTTCATATATTTTTTATGTCACATATAATTTGATTTTTTTAAAAAAAAATAAATATATAGTATACATTTTTTATTATATTTTCAATTTTATAATTTATTATTTTTTTAAAAAAATTAATTATATTATTTAATTATTTTAATTTTAATTTATAATTATTTTTATTAATATACATCTTAATTATACATTAATTATATTTTACTTAAATTATAGTAGATAATTTATGTGAGACTGAAAAGAATATATTTATCAGATAAAATTAGAGAAAATATTTTTAAAATTTCATATTATTTTAAGATCATAAATGAATTTTATAAAAAATTATCCTACAATTAATTAATTTATGCATAAATGGTTTTTTGTCACTATTTATTTCTACATAAATGATTCTCGTCATTAGAGTTGGAATCGACACGTTCTTGATAATGAGGTTCGTTGGTGCTTATTTAGTATTGACGTGTCTAATTTATTAGTTCGCTGGTGATGATGATGTTCGCTGGTGCTGATTTAGCATTGACGTGTCTAATTTATTAGCTCGTTGGTGTTGGTTTGGCGTTGATGTGTTTAATTTATTAGCTCATTTGTGTTGATTTGACGTCGATGTGTTTAATTTGTTAGCTCTTGGTGTTGTTTGGCGTTGATGAGTTTAATTTACTAGCATCATGTGGGTGATATATGCACTTTTTTATTTTTTAAAAAATTTATTATTAATTTTTAATGTAAAAAAATAAAAAAAATCACTTGTTCTTATTTTTAAAAGTTTATTGTTAATTTTTTATGTAAAAAAATATTAAAAATCACTTGCCCACAGCGCCAAATTAGCACCGGCAAATCATATTATCGACCACCTATTAATTCGATTTTTATTTTATACATTATAGTACTTTAAAAAAATAAATACATAATCTCTATCTTGTTTTATAGGACCTCTTTTAAGAAAAGTAACAAACCCACTCTAATCAGAATAATTTTGTAATTTAAATTTTATTGTTCTAGGTTTAAAATTTTGTAGCTTAATTAAGTGATACAACAGGAGAGCAAACGTAACATAGTCAACGAACAGATGTAGCCAACGTACTTTGAAAATTTCCTCTTAAATTAAAACAGAAACACATTTTATTAAAAGAAGAAGTAAGAATAGTTCAAAATCTATATTAAGTATAAATAATGTGAACCATAATTGACATTTTCACCTACTTGGGCCACCAGCTTTATTAAGGCTTTGTATACTTTAGCTTTGGGATGTGAAATATGGCAAAATAAAGACAATAATATTTGGCCCATCCTGTGGCAAGAAATCTCACTAAAATATCTATTTATTACGAACCTTCTTCAAATGTTGAAAAGTTTTTCTAAGGAAAACAAACATGCAGTAGTTGTAGTTTTAGGAGATCTTACAGTCCGAAAATGGCACGAAGAATGCGAATTATGTTGCCGCTCAATATAGCTTTGAGAAGGTTGAGCTTCCGAGTGGTGTATGGTGGATATCTAGCCGATATGTCGCCTTTGAAACTCCGTACCAAAACTGCCTTTTTGTGGCTGAAAGCGTCAAACGAGAACTTCCCGTGGTATGCTCCCATCCCACTTTCGCCTACACCTCCAAATGGCAATCCATGCTCCGCAAGCTGCACCAAAATCTTTGCTTAGTTAGTTAACTCCGACTAATTATGTATATGTATATATATATATATAGACATACAACACACAATATCATTACAGATAACACATAAATTATTAAATATTAATAAAATTAAAATGATACTATTGATTACATTCGGGGCATCGGTAAGTATCAACTGACAATACATGTTTTTATTTAATACAGTATAGACTGTGTTAAATAATTGTATTGCTAGGTTATGATTAAATAAGTTGCAAGGGATTCTAGAGCTATTATCCGTGCTTCCTCTTAATGTCTAGTAGCTCGGGGAGAAAAGGCTTACGTGCAGAGTTGTGTCGTTGATGGTCATGCCTCCAGCCGAGACGCCTGTAATGAATTTCTCCTCGAGCTTTTTGTCACTCGAGAATAAATATGCAGCGAGAGGCTTTTCTTTGGCGTTGATAAAAGGGATACTATCCTCGACTTTGTTGACCTTTCACATTTGTAAGAACAAAAGGTTATTAAGTCGAAACAATTAGAAGAAAGGAAATGTGTCTTGCATCAAATATGCCATCCAAGAACTGTGTTCGAAAGTTTATTGAATTGTACCGTGATAATGGGGAGCAAAGGTCCGAAAATCTCTTCGCCCATGACTAGAGAGTCTCCCGGGGCATCCAATATAATCGTGGGAGAAATCTTGCTGCAAGAAAAAGACACATAATATGCATATATCCGGACTGTTAATTCAGCCGAAAAGGCGAATACCAAGTTCAGGAACTCACAGATTGGTTTTATCTCGTTGGCCTCCGAACACAATCTTATCAGAAATCTTCTCATCGTCCAATAAGTTAGCAACGCGCTGAAAGTGGCGAGCGTTGATGATTCTTGCCAAATCATTCGATTGCAAGGGATCTTTTCCGTAGAATTTCTCAACTTCAGATGAAATAGCATTTATCTGCGTAGTTTATTATCAAGCAACGATGAGATCAAATGCATTTTTATCGATAAGCATAATTCAGTACATACCAATTTTGGCGCAAACTCATTTGAAGTCAAGACATAGTCGGGCGAAACACAGGTTTGCCCACTGTTGCAAAACTTGCCTGCAGCTAGTCGTCTGGCTGCAACCTTTTAACAACAGAAACAAAAGTTACATGGGATAATCAATCGAACAAGAAAGAAAGCACGGCAATTTAACACATTGGATTCGAAGAAAGGGTTGCCCAGATTGGGATATATAAAAAGGCTTACTTTTAGGTCGACATTCGAATCAACCACAGCCGGACATTTCCCACCAAGCTCCAAAACCACAGGCGTAAGATGCTTTGCGGCAGCAGTCATTACAATGCGGCCAATCTTGCTATTCCCTGTAAGATCGCTTTGTTATTACAACAAGAACGGCATAAATCAAGATGATTGGTTTTGTTATTACCTGTGTAGAATATTTTATCCCAATTTTGCTCCAGCAAGGTAGTAGTTTCAGGCACACCTCCTTCGACAACTTTCACAGCAGATGTATCCATATATTGTCCAAGAAGCTTTGCAAGTGCCGAAGATGTAGCCGGGGCAATTTCTGATGGCTTCAACACGACAGCATTACCAGCTGCAATAGCTCCAATAACTGGGTCTAGAGACAACACTGTTTGGGGATACAAGATCAGAATCGGACAAGAAGAAGACAACACACACAAGCAGTAATCTAGTAAAATATAGCATCAAGTAAGGAATCATCGATAAAATAATACAGTTTACATCAATTAAACAAAGTATGCACTTGAAGAATAAAATTAACTTACAGACGGGATAGTTCCACGCTGATATTATCAATACAGCACCTAAAGGTTCCGACACAATTTCGCCTGATGATGGGAAAGTGGTCATTGATGTTTTCACCTGCAATGAAAAACGGCAGCCCGTGAAAATTGTATCCATAAATAAATACCAAACCATAACATTTGCATTGGTCTTGAATTTACCTTTTCTGGCTTCATCCATCGACGCAATTCCTTCAACGCAAACTTACAAGCCTTTGCCACTCCCGCAATCTATATGATTTACAAAAAATGTCGGCAACGTTAATGAAAATAATTTGTTAGTTCAGCTGGAGCACATGAAATGAATTCACACATAGAAGAATTACAGAGGAATTCATTGTACATCATAGGATTCTATTGATCCTCCCATGTGCACACAGAGATAAAATTATTTTACTCAAGTTCATCAACTCTGCCTATCGAAGAATTTCAAATACCACATCCTTCTGTAGTTTCATCCAAAATCATTTTAGAACATAAATTAAACAAATACTGATACTGGCATCTCTCTGTTTCCCTTGATTGTTTTCAGAAATACCACAAAATTGTGCCATGGTTTTCCATATAATTTGATTCAAGAAGATCTCACACCGTATCCAAAGTCGCAGCACGTCTCACATACGATATCTTAATATCAAAATCAAAATCAAAATCAAAACCAGAACAAGAACAACTCCAGTTCTAATGATCTTCAGAAAGAGTACCAAACAGCCATGGATCTTCTATCATGACAAGTTCACCTACCACATAAACCAAACGTGTTGTAATCCAATCGATAGATTTTTCTGGAGGTAATTTCAAGCCTCATACATGTTCATTTAAGAAATTCATCAAAACTCGATGCACAATAGAAGTATGTAACAATTGCTACATCAACCACAAAAGACCAGTAGAGAAAAGGTGAAGCAGCTGTCAATTTCCCCCTCTTTAGGCTAGAATCAGAATTTAATTTTAGCCTTTTTGCAGCGACGTAGGTGGAATCAAACAATATCATTCCATCATCAGCTATGGTATTCGATTTTTGTCATGTGTCGCAAGTCAAACTAACTCAAAGGATGAACCCTAGAATCTCCACCATTAATACCTCCACCCCCAACGCCATAAATGCTACTCAGAAAACGACAAAAAAAGAAAAGGAAAAAGAAATCCTGAGCATCCATTCAATTCAAGGAATTATAAACAAAACACCTATGAACAGCCAACACACAATCCCGATGCGCGCAGGAATTCCAGAACAAAATTTCCACCAGTCCCCCAAAAAACTCGCACGAACGGAATCCAATCCAACAAGTCAGACGCATGCAATCGCGAGTCAAATCACACAGGAAAACTCACCTCGAACACGAACGCTTCATGCTCCGGCTTCCTGAGGTCGGAATACAGAGCTTCCGCCAACTCCTTGTCATGGCAGGTCGCTACCTTCTCAAGCGCCTTCAACTGCGACGCTCGCCACTCGTAACTCCTCGTCTTCCCCGTTGAGAACACCGCCCTCAAATCCTCCGCCACCGTCGCCACGCCAACCGCCATGCCGCAGAGAATATTATTCTTAGAAACCCCCAAAACTCCGGTATTGCTAACGTAACCGTGCTGTGACCTCTGGCCTCACTCACTGCCCTACATACACATATATATCTATATATATGTATGTGGCGGTGTTGTTATCTTCGTGACAGACGGTGAGCTTAGCAGATATCAGCCACCGCTGCGAATTGCGATTGAAAGGCCGTTGAGGTTCCAATTTTGGGAGAGCTTAGTTATATCCGTCACGTATAATATTATTATTATTTTTTTTTTGTTACCATTAAAAATAAATATAAATAATCGAATATTATTGCGTGTGAATCCATTTATTAATTAAATATTTGCATTAGATTTCTTATTTTCTAAAATGGAAAAAGTCTTACAACAATGTATTATCTAACATTTCTTTTGGATTTATAATATTGTATATATTCAATGTATTAAAAGTTGTTATTATATAATTTATTATTATTTAAAATAAAATAATTATTCAAGAGCGACCTTAATTAATGGGATTATAAGTCTAAATTATGATACAATTAAAAGGAGAATTTATGGTGCGTTTATTTTTATTGTTATTATTATTTTCGTCCCCATAACTTTTTATTATTTTAGTTTCTTCAACTTCATAATATTTATTTGTAAAAATAATTATACACTAATATCAAAATAATTTTAATATAACATTTTATTAGAAAATTAATGTTTTTCTTTTTGAACAATATAAATAATTAATAAAAAGAAAAGTTCGCAAGTATTAGATTCGGCCGGGGGTTTATCCAATACGCATTTTCGATATATATATATATATATTTTATTCATACACAGTAACTAATAATTTTATAAAATATTATTATTTTTATATTCTCGATATAATTAAAAAATAATAATAATAAAATCATATCAATTAAAAATGATATTTGTAAATTACTCCACTTAAAATAATGATACTCCACTTTTAATTGGTTTTAAGTTACTCATAAGTAGCTTACCAAATAAGTTGTTTCTTTGACCAGCTTTGGAGAAAAATTATATGATACTAATATATTTAAATGGTAACATTTTAATTGAGCAATAAAGTACATTTAAAAAATATATAGAATAATAACACTCCAATCTCATTAAATTTTGATATATTATTCATTTAAAAATTGTTCTAGTTATAATATTTTAATTACTGTATGTTTGATTTTTATTTATATTTATATTTTTTAAAAAAATGATTTAACATAACATTATATATATAATATGAACTTTATAGAAATTTCTTTTAAAAAATATTAATAAAGAAGAAAAGATAGAAGGAACCAATACGTTAGACTTTAATTGTGTATTTGGTATAGATAAATGCAGAAAAACATTGATTAATTGTGTATTTCTTTTATTTAATTTTTTTTTTTTTTTAAAGTTACATATATTTGATTAATTATACATAATAATTAATTTGTTATTTACATTATTTAATAAAACCGATTCGAGTAAGACATATTTGATTAATTATAGTATTTGGTTTCATTGAAACTAAATTAACAATTTTTATTACAGAAAAATCAATGAATATAATTTAGGTAAAAAGAGACAACTTATACCGGCCGCACGATATGTCAAGATTCAACAATATCGAACTTTCCAAAATTAGAGGGTCCCACAAAAGGACAAATTTTTATGTCTCAAACTTATCACTAAATTAAAATATAAATAAAATAAAATAAAATAAATTTATTCTTATCTACACCGAATAGCGTGTCTCACTTTTTTTGGAGTCTGGATTTTAAGTTAAAATTTAAATAATAAAAATTATAAATTTGAATAGTCGTACGATGTGATGTGATGTGATGTTTTTAATGTAAAATTGATTTTTAATATAATATAAAAAATAAAAAATAATTGTTTGATTTGATATTTTTGGAAAAAAAATTTTGAATTAAAGTGAGATTTTGTCAAAATCATTGAAACGAACATTAATAGAAAGTGAATTCATTAATTAATTTTAAGGATTCAATTATTCCGACCAATAAATCAGAAGGAGATTTTCTTATTCAATCAACTGATGTTTCTTAGACCCGGGACTTCAGTAGCGGATCAATCCACGCCATTCAGAGGTGAAAGCGGACGGTCCGGATCCGTCGGGTGCCGGAGTCCCTGGAATGGGCAAGAATTACAACCAAGAAGTTTGTTGAATTAGGCCATCTTATTATTGTTATTACTATATAAAATTTTTAAAAAAATTAATAAATTAAAAATGCAAATTTCGATCCGACCAACTTTTAGTTGGAAAAAAAATTCAAAAGGGTTTTCTTATTCGTAGTATGACAATAGATTTCGTGTTGGAAACTGCAATGAAATGAGATATGTGCTTGTTGTATACTTCTTGGCAAGAAATTATTTCACAATCATATGACTCAATTTGTGGATTTGCCAATTTTGTAGAACAAAATCAGTATATTTTACGTTAGGACAAGTACGAGGGCATTTTGGTCATAAATTTGTTGGGAATTCCTAGAGCTTATAGGATTCATCATCGATTCGCAGTCATTAATCTTATATCTGCAAACATAAGTTTCCAAATGCGACTCTAATACCATTTTGAATACTTAATGATCGTCTCATCTAAAAGCTCGAATTGTTAAGCAAACGCAGCCATTAATCATATATCTATAAACGGGAGTCCCCAATATCACGAAACCTGGTGTCACAAAATTGTGACAAATATTTTTATATTTTTAAAATTGCATTAGATTTTTCATTGCATTTTGTGTCTAATTTTTTTCGATCGTTCCTTATTTAACAGTTAGATCTGTATGTACATAAGTTGCGAATAAATTTCTAAATTTTTAGAATTACAAATTATGAAATTTATTCGTAATTTGAGCACAACAGATAAACACTATTAAATGATAGCACAAAGAGCAAACACTTTTAAATAACCATAATCAAGAAATGAATTTGAACTAAAAATTTTGAATAATAAATTAGTGTTTATTATAATATAAAAAATAAATATTTAATTTAATGTATTTAAAAAAATACATTAAGATAATCAAAATCTCATATCCAAAACACATGTTTGCTTGATTGTAGGTGTTGAAATGAATAGTAAAATTTTAAAATAAACTAATTTTTTTGATGTAATAGAAATAAATAAAAAGTAACAAAAAGAAGTATATCATATTAAAATGCATATAAAAGATATTTAACCAAATTTTTTATAACGAAAAAAGTAATATATATTCAGGTCGTATGTTGGTCCTGTAGGTTCAATATTTAAAAAATGAGTAAAAACTGAGTCCATTTAAGTTGGGCCATCTAATTGGCCCATTTAAGGCCCATAAGGAATTTATTATTTAAAGCCCATAATAAGTTGAGCCGAATATTTTCACGACCATATATAATATAAATATATATCAAAATTAAAATACAGCCCAATCCGTTTTCCAGTTTAACTCATTTCTGCCCGAACCGACCTACGGTACTGCGGTTTCCAGCTCCTGTCGTCGTCGGCAAGAAATCGCTGGAGATTGGCGTTGTTGATCTGCGAAACGGTTTGTTTTTTGCTTCTTTATTCTTTGCGTTCGGGTAAATTATTTGTGTAAAGCGTGGGTAGTTCGGATCCGGATCTTTTCAGAGGGTTCCCCGCCGTTGATTGTGCTAGATCGGAGGAGATTTTACGGTTTTTTGGAGCATCGTTAGATTTTTAGCTCAAGCTGATTGTGATTGGAAAATCTTTGTTATAATTTTTTATGATGTTAAGAAAGAAATGATGATGTAATTTTTGCGAGATAAATGTGAGTGTGGAGAATATGTGTGTGGATGTGCTTGTACTAGGGGATAATAATTTGTATGTGGATATAGATTTAAGTTAGATATCCACATTGCTTGGATTCTTAGTTTAGTAATTCAACTTTTTATGCAATACATCAATTCTTTAAAAGATTGAATTTAAATCGTTGAAAGCTCTAGTACTCATCTACTTGATGTGTCCATTGTTTATAGATGTTTGTTATTATATGTATATGTTGAATAGGTTTTATTCATGTTAATGCATCAATGAATGTATATGTTTACATAGGATTGATGGTACCTACTAGGAGAATCAACTACATCTCTGTTTCGATCCTGTTCAAGTGATCTCATAATGATCTTTTTCCCCTACATCTTTGCTATTATTTATGCAGATATTTCCTAATTTTTGAAGAAATGTATGATAATCTTGGTGCACAACCTGGAATACCCAGACAAGCACCTAATGCACAGCCAAATCCTTTTGGCAATGCATTTTATGGTGCGAGTTCCGGTTTCATTAAAGGTGGGCTGGGTGCCTATGGGGAGAAAATCTTAGGTTCTAGCTCTGAATATGTGCAAAGCAATGTAAGTTGTTTGTATGTCCTGTGAACAGATTTACTTCAATTTAGTCCATACTTGACCAGGTCATTTAGATTGTTGATACAACACTTTTTTATAGCTTATATTTTTTGTTTTTACCTTGGATTTGCAAGCAGATCAGCAGGTACTTTTCCGACCCTCAATACTATTTCCAAGTAAACGACCATTATGTGAAGAATAAGTTAAAGGTCGTCCTTTTCCCCTTTTTGCACAGGGTAAGATTTAGTATATATCAATTCCAAATCATCTTCCATGCTTCTATTTTTGTTGTCTTGCTGTAATTTTATCACTTCTAGAGAACCGTTTTCAGTTATTTTATTCTGTTTCAGGGCCATTGGACAAGAATCACAGAACCCGTTGGCGGGAGGCTCTCTTACAAGCCCCCTATCTACGACATAAATGCTCCAGACTTGTACATTCCCTTCATGGCATTCGGCACCTACATAGTTCTTGCTGGCTTATCATTAGGTCTTCATGGAAAGTAAGTTTATAAAGTGTTCTTTTCTACTTCTTTTGTCTGTTTTATTAGTTTCTAGGCATGCTTTAGTATGAATTATCTGTGTCCCTCGATTAAATTACCCAAATACAATTACCCTAAAATACATTTATATAAAAATCATTATCCAAAACATTTTATTTAGGTTGATAATCCCATCCAACAAAATAAACATTGCCCCCTCCTTGTGTTGCTAGGTTTAGCCCCGAGGCTCTCAACTGGCTCTTTGTCAAGGGAGTTGTCGGCTGGACCTTCCAAGTGGCTCTGTTGAAGATGACATTGTTCTCGTTGGGCAGTGGTGAGGCTCCTCTACTCGACATTGTGTCATACGCCGGATATACCTTCACGGGATTATCTTTAGCTGTTCTGGGGAAATTAGTATGGGGTTATTCGTACTATTTTCTTCTGCCGTGGACGTGCCTATGCATGGGAATATTCCTCGTGAAGACTATGAAAAGAGTTCTGTTCGCAGAAGTGAGGAGCTACGACTCCAGCAGGCATCATTACCTTCTCCTCTTCATCGCATTGGCTCAGTTCCCGTTGCTCATCTGGCTCGGCAACGTCAGCCTGAATTGGCTGTTTTAAACTCGCGGCATTTCGATGAGAAGTGAAGGTCAGTGTTAATATGAGCAAATTTAACAGTATGTTTTGTGGCCAGTCAGGGCTTTGTTTCTTGTTGTTGGTTTGGTGTATTGATATTTTCTTCATATATTATTACATCTTCTTTCTTAGCTCCACTAATGTTGAATAGATTTGTGATTTTGTCAGATTTATGTATCCAAACAGAGCCCAAGGTCCCCCCCCCCCCTCCCCCCCCGTCCCCTTGCATAAGAAGTCAGTGATTCACAGCCTTGTTTTATTTGTCAATCAGTTATGCAATTTTATGGAAAATATAGATTTTGATTTGAAATTCTAGTTTAAATAGTATTTTGATGAGATGTATTGTAAAAGAAATTTAAATAGTTTTTTGATGAGATGTATTGTAAAATAAAATATTGTATTTTATCAGGAATTGAGCAATGGTTTATTTTGTATTTTGGTTTGAAGAGATATGTATATATATATATATTTTAAGTTGAGGTATAAAAATAATTAATATGTATAATATATTATATTTTTAAGGAAATTTGTAAGAATTTTCACAAAAAGAACTTTGGGTTTTTGAAATTTTTAAAGAAAGGTGGGCTTGTTTCGGTTTTTATTTGAATTTGAATTTATATATTATTTTTATGTTATATTTTATTAATAATGGTATTGTTTATTTGAAATAAAAACAAATTCTGATATAATATTTTGAATAAATAAAATATATTTGATGTTATATATTATTTTTATGTTATATTTTATTAATAATGGTATTGTTTATTTGAAATAAAAACAAATTCTGATATAATATTTTAAATAAATAAAATATATTTGATGTGATATGCTTTAAAAGTTACTGTTAGTAAATTATAATAAAAAAATTAAAAATATTTGTGTAAAGTGAGCATATTCAAAATATTTTGTTTTTCAAAAAATTAAATTAAAAATAAAAAATAAAAATACACTAATATAATTGGTCCAATGGGTCAAAACAAAAGGCCAATAACAATTCGGACTCTTCACAATATGCATTAAAAAAGATTCCATTCAAACATAATCCAAACGCGTTTTACCTATAAAAAGCAAAGAATTGGAGGAAACCGAACCGTAGACATTCGGCCCAGGTGACGAGCCTCCACGCGCACACCACAATCCCAACAAAAAGCAACGACATTTCATGGCGGATCTTTTGACAAATACTGCAGTACCAATGACCGCCGCCGCCGCCTCCCGCCTCCTCCCGGCAATCGGTGCATCGGCTTCCAGATTGTCCTTTCGCACTTCTCTCTCCGTCACCTCTCTCCGATCGCCTGCTTTCGGTTCTCGCTTAGTACTTCCGCCGCAGGTATCTTACGCATTTGTTCGTGAATTTGTGCACTGTTCTCAGTTCTTACCTAACTTTGTATAATGCTCTTTGTTAATAATCTAGAAGTGCTGTGCGCGACGAATTTTGTGCGAGAGAGTCGGTTATTCGACGGCGTCGTCGCCGAAAGGCGTAGCATCGGACGCCGGGCAGCTGAAGAGTGCTCGTGAAGATATAAAAGACCTTCTGAAGACGAAGTTCTGTAACCCTATCCTGGTATACTCTGCTGCTTCTGGAATATTACTATATATATATATATTTGTAACATAGCCACCCAGGGGATTTGATTTTGAGGATTCTATGTAGTTTATAAGCTTAATATGCAGGTGCTCTGAAATTGCTGGAGTCGTTAGATCTTGTTGAGAAATGATAATTTAATGGAACTGCGTATTAATTTATAGCCTTTTAGGTAGCTTTGAACGTTTTTAGCTTCTATTCAATTTACGCCTAGTTGGTGACTTGGTGGTTTGTTTAAGTGAATTCTGCCTGTCTAATACAATGTTAGCTGAGTGTTATCCTGTTGTCATTAAATCATTTAAAAAATTACTAACTGAACATCACATCCCTTCATGTGTTGTTATTCATGTGAGAAATGAATGAACACACATAGGTAAGTTTACTCACGTTTGATTTGTTTGATTTGTTTGAGTGTTTTGAGTTGGTTTTTATTTGATTTATTTATTATTTTATACTTGATCGTAATTATTGGATATGATATTTTGAATGAAGCATAGGTTTTAGATATGATGTTTTTAAATAGAAAATAGGGCTTTAGATATAATATTTTGAATGAGAAATAGACATTGGATGTGATGTCTTTACACAATAAAATCAATTTAATGGTGGATTACCTTGTGCAAAAATTACACAAAACACAAGGGTTTGGCTTGAAATTGGGGGTTTGATTTGAATTTTGGTTTATATAGTATTTGATGTGATATTTTGTGAGAATAAATAGTTTATTTTTATTGGAAATCGTGTGGATTAAAATTATTGTTCAAATAGAACCAAACACACTCAAGTGAACACATTCATCATGTTGTTTGATTCCTTTTTGTTGTGATCTTTGTTATTTTCATGATTCATGTTCCTACAGACACCGTTGCTTCACATACTCTGTTATCATAAGTTTTGTTACTATTTAGGTTCGGTTGGGTTGGCATGACGCTGGTACATATAACAAGAACATTGAGGAGTGGCCGAAAAGGGGTGGTGCTAATGGAAGTTTAAGATTCGAAATTGAACTAAAACATGGAGCAAATGCTGGTTAGCTTTGATTATTTAATCATGTTTACTTATAGATGGTTATGTTGTTTATCAATATGTATGGGCTGTACAGGGCTTGTCAACGCACTCAAACTTCTGCAACCCATTAAGGATAAGTACTCTAGTGTGACATATGCAGACTTATTCCAATTGGCTAGTGCCACTGCCATAGAGGTCATTCTGAATTGCATTTGTCGATGGAATTGAGACAATTTGGTTCGTACTGATTTCGCAAGCTTGATTGATCTGTTATAGGAAGCTGGGGGACCCAAAATTCCCATGAAGTATGGAAGAGTAGATGTGTCTGGACCGGAACAATGTCCAGAGGAAGGAAGGCTTCCTGGTAAAGTAACTGCAGTACTTACAAAACTGTTTATAGTTTTGATAGAAGTGTTTTAAGACATTAACAATATGAAGATTTGGTGATTGAAATGCCTTTTAGAAGCTCTATCCCATGAAACATAACCGAGTAATTTATTAGATTATTTCTCTGCATCTGTTCGATACACTTCTTGGAGTAGCTGATATATAGATATTAAGGATTGTAAAATGAAAAATATGAATGAATTGCTACATAGAGCTTGAAGCACAAATGACAATCGTCTTAACTCTTTTATAGCAGCAGAAATAGTTGGATGGTTTTACGATGACACAAAACACTAATTGTTATGTAGAGCTGGAAGCATAAAAAAAAAACATTTGCAACGATTTATGCTGGAGTAGATACAAGCTCTAAAATATATAAATACATAAAATTTGGGTAGTCAAAAGTAACAATTCAATTTCATCATTCATAAGAGCAGGCTTCTGTTATGCTGCGTCATTCAAATGTGTTCCCATATGTTTTCCTGAGTCCCGCTCTAAATATTATTTGTTGTAATTAGATGCTGGCCCCCCTTCCCCGGCTGATCATTTACGCGAGGTCTTCTACAGGATGGGGCTTAATGATAAGGTACTTTGCCCCTCAGATTTTTGTTTATTATAGTTTATTATAGTATCCAATTAGGTTACACTTAATGACAGATGTGCTTCCTAATGGCCAGGAAATAGTTGCTCTCTCTGGTGCACACACTCTTGGACGGTCGAGGCCAGATCGCAGTGGATGGGGCAAACCAGAAACCAAATACACGGTACCATAAAACTCTCTTTGCTTCTACAGCAGCACAGAATATATATACATATATATATATATATGATCATCTGTGAATGAAGAATGAGGGATTTGATGACTATATGATACGGGCTCGCAAAATATGACCTTTATAATTTGAACATATATAACACTTAAGAATACATTTTTCTGTGATAATGAATTCGCATTCTTGGTTGTGTTTCTTCACGTGGCAGAAAGAAGGACCTGGAGCGCCTGGAGGACAATCATGGACTACACAATGGCTAAAATTCGACAATTCCTACTTCAAGGTGATATATATATAATATATAATGGTTTTCGCATCTCACAGTACAAGTTTTCACGTCCAAAAAGTAACTCAAACTCTGTGATCTTTACTATCCAAATTTCAGGATATCAAAGAAAGAAGGGACGAGGAGCTCCTAGTTCTACCTACAGATGCTGTTCTATTCGACGATCCTTCTTTCAAGGTGAAATAACCAATTCCCTATTCTCAAAACGCTTTCCTATATGCTATAAAATCGCTTCTAAGAACTTACGAGGAGTGGTTACACACATATGTATGTATAGGTTTACGCCGAGAAGTATGCTGAAGATGAGGATGCATTTTTTAAAGACTATGCTGAAGCTCATGCCAAGCTTAGCAATCTTGGAGCCAAATTCGACCCTCCTGAGGTATTAATATATATATATATATATATACATACTCCTATCATTCAAATTTATTTTCAATTTTCTTTTTAGTAAAAAATTTATTTTTTTTTACTTTTTCTTTATTATAAAAAAATTAAAATTATATTTTTTTATCTATTTATTTGTGGCTCAAAACTTTTTCATTCCTGAAATGTCATGCAATAAAATGGCATCAAATTGTTTCTTCAAATAATAATAATAATAATAATAATAATAATAATAATGTGTATTGTTGTTCTCAGGGCTTCTCGTTAGATTGAAGTGGCGCTTTTGGTTTAGTGATGAAAGAAGAGGGAGAAATAACGCCAACTTATTATTTCTTGCTGGTTTGAACTGCAGAGAGCGAACTTATTCGATTTGTCTCTTTATTAGCGTTTCATATTTTTGATGCACCTATGTTTGAATTACTAATAACGATCAGAGAGTAGTTTGGGATTTGTAAAAGTATGAAAAAGAAAAGAAAAGAAAAAATTATATAAAGATTGTTCTAATGAAGTTATTTGAGCTTGCCTGTAACACCCTGGTCTGGTAAGCGTGAACTTAGGAAATTAAATTTAAGTAATTGATTGAATTATTCGTGTAAATAGTTAAGAATATCCACATTTATTTTTTTGGAGCCCACAAAAAACTCATTAGATATTAATATTAATTTTTTCCTAAGGAAAATTTGCGAAATTATCTGCGCAATTATTTACCTACGGGAGTCCTAACTAAAACTGCTAGGGGCAAAATCGTAACTGTATAACGAGCTATAAAAAGCAGCCAGCGAGGGCTTTTCTACCCCGGTCATTTGGTCGGTGGGCGATATCGGGTTTGAAGATATTTCTGAGGACTGGGATTTAGGGAAGTGATCAATGGCGCTATACGAGGTTTTGACTTGCGTATTCCTCACTGTCTTTGTGGCTTTTGAATCGATCTCCGGCAATGTTTTGGCGGCGGCGGAAGAGTCGGAATCGAAGGAATTTGTCGTGACTTTAGATCAGTCAAATTTCACTGAGTTCGTTGCGAAGCACAAGTTCATAGTCGTTGAATTTTACGCACCTTGGTGATTCTTATGCTCTTTGCTGTCTGGTATTTGTTTCATATTTTAAACCATGGATCGGACTTGGCTCCCTTTTTCTAATAACTTGCGATGTCAATGAACGTTTCGGGTTGATTTTTGGTTAGAGATACGTGCTCATTGTTGTTAAATAGTTAACATTTTCGTTCTCACGACGTGAATTATCGGGTAAATGCTACGGAGTGTGTTTACTTGTTGCCGTGTGGTCATTGTGCTTCTTTGTTAGATCTGATTGTTGAGAAATTTTGGATTATCATTCAAGGATTCGAACTTTGAAGTGTCGAAATGGATGTCTGTATTCATAATATAACAAATCTTGAATTGGTTTATGTCTTCAACTGAAATATTGCTATCTTGTGACAGGTGTGGTCACTGCAAGAAACTTGCTCCAGAGGTATTAATTTCTTGCTAATTTGATTGACCTGAAGCAATTTGCTTGTACTACAAAATGTTCGATGTGTGCATTTGTTCTAAGTTGTTTCACTTGCATTTGCAGTATGAGAAGGCTGCTTCCATTCTAAGTACAAGTGATCCTCCAGTTGTTTTAGCAAAGATTGATGCTAATGAAGAGAAAAATAAAGCTCTTGCCCGTGAGTACGAGATTAGCGGATTTCCCACACTTAAAATACTGAGGTATGGAGGTAGTTTTGTTCAGGATTACAAAGGACCCAGAGAGGCTGATGGTATTGTCGAGTATTTGATGAAACAAAGTGGACCTGCATCCATTGAAATTAAATCTGCTGAGGACGCTAGTTCTATAGTTGACAGCAATAAGATTCTTGTTGTGAGTTCTCTTTGTCCGGGCACTCTTGTGTGTTTGCTAAACTATTTTAGTGTCATATAATTTGGTAATTTTAGGAATATTTACTTATATTTTAATTTCATAGGTTGGGGTATTCCCAGAATTTTCTGGGGATAAGTTTGAGAATTTCACAACTTTGGCTGAGAGACTGCGGGCTGACTATGAGTTTGGTCATACTTTGGATGCCAAACTTCTTCCTCGCGGCGACTCATCTGTTTCAGGGCCTCTTGTTAGGTTGCTTAAACCTTTTGATGAACTCTTTGCTGATTTCCAGGTATACTGCAATGGCTTACCAACCATGGTATTTGTGTCTTTCCTAGAACAAGACTCTTGTGCAGTGTATCTACTAACTTGTAATATATTTGCAGGAATTTAATGTGGAAGCTCTAGTGAAGTTTGTTGAAGAAACAAGCACCCCTATTGTGACGGTGTTTGACAAGGATCCAAAACATCATCCTTTTGTTATTAAATTTTTTAACAGCCCCAGTGCCAAGGTCTGCCAATATTCCTTTGTTACTCTCAGCAAACCTGTTTTGATATCTATCTAATAAATGGAAAAGTAAAACTCTTGTATAAATACGTATGCATTCTTCAACTAAACATGTCGTTTAATTTATTTGGGTCACTCTTGGTGTTGTACTTGTCATTCTTAGTTGCTGCAAATAAGTTTGTTAATAGGTCAGGAAAGTACTTCTTTGGATGGTCTCATACTTGGTGTTATTTTTGAAGTTTCTATGCCGCAGTTGGAAAATCATGATGTTAATTGTCTCGTGATTTCTTTGCCACTCTTTGCTAGTTTAGTACAGCTCTCACTTTAAGCTGCATCTGCTTCTTTTCTTGATTTCAATTGTTGGTACATTTGATTCTCAGATAGTAGTGGATATATATCGCAGTTTAGAGCTTGACTGCTCATGTTGAAAATGATGTAATTCTTGATATCATAGTGCTCTGTTAGCTTGTTTCTTTCCATTTTAAGGTGTTTATCTGTCTTTTGCAGGCAATGTTGTTTGTGAACTTTGGTAGCGAGCAGTTTGATACGTTGAAATCAAAGTATCACGAGGTTTCTCTGCTTTACAAGGGCAAAGACCTGATTTTTCTGATTGGTGATGTTGAAGCCAGTCAAGGTGCCTTTCAGGTTCACATCTAACTGCACACTGTACTTCAGCTTTCACTAATGCAATGACATAACAAACCTGATTATCAACGCTGTTGCTTTTCAGTATTTCGGGCTAAAGGAAGAGCAAGTCCCTCTAATTATTATCCAGACCAATGATGGGGAGAAATATCTCAAGCCAAACGTTGAGCCCGATCAGATTGAATCCTGGGTGAAGGAATTTAAGGTGACGGTTACTCAAATTTTGGTTTTGGTCATTTGAGTCAACAAATAGTATTTTCAACTAATGGCTTGATAATGTTCATTTGAAGGATGGGAATGTAAAACCTTTCAAGAAATCCGAGCCCATCCCTAAAGAAAACAATGAACCAGTAAAGGTGGTGGTGGCGGACAATCTGCAGGATATGGTTTTTAAATCTAACAAAAATGGTCCGTAGATATATTTTCTTTCTCTTTCTCTTTCTCTCTCTTTCTTTTCCCATTGTTCCCATGTTCCATCCATTTACTTCGTTTTTCCCCCTTTCAATGTTAAATTTTTTTTCTTGATTTAGATTTAAGCTTCTCTCAGTTACACTCTCTTTGTGTTGTGGTTATAATATACCTGTTACTATTCCTAATTTGAACTTCGAAACCACTCTGAATTTCACCTCGAATGTTACTATTACTTTCCGTGCAGTACTATTGGAATTCTATGCACCGTGGTGTGGGCACTGCAAAAAGTTGGCACCAATTTTGGATGAAGTAGCCGACTCATTCAAAAACGATGCTGATGTGTTAATTGCAAAAATTGTAAGCCCTAAATTCAGTTTCATTAATGCATTTCAGTCGACCATAATTCTTCCACTTGTGTACTAGTGCATCTCGAATTTTCTTGGATGTTGGCCTTCTGTTTCGTTAACCATTTTTGTAATCCACACATTATCTTTATTACTGATCTGCCCCATTTTTTCTTTGTTCGGTTCCGCCTTGCAGGACTCGACTGCGAATGATATCCCACAGGACACTTTCGATGTGAAAGGCTACCCAACTTTATATTTCAGGTCTTCAACCGGAAACCTGTTGAAATACGACGGGGACAGGACCAAGGAAAGCATAATCGACTTCATTAACAAAAACCGATCCACAGTCGAAAACCAGGCACCCGGACACGATGAACTCTAGAGAAGAAGGTAATAATTACACACACTCACAGTGTACGAACATAGGTTGTCTTAATGAAATGGCTTATCAATCTGATGATGAGATTTTTGGATAATTTGCTCTATTGTTTAGCTTTTTTAAAGACAGTGTTTTCGACTTTTGGAAATATATATATATATATATATGTTAGACTGTATTGCTGAAGTTAATTTTTAGCCCATGAATTGGAAATCTATAGAACTGCCATTGATAGTATGTAAATTTTAAGATTATATGCTCTGTTCAATGCCATGGAAGTGATTGATATCTCAGAATTTTATTTATGTTCATATAATAGTTTGTTTTAAATAAATAGTTATGTTTGGCTTTGTGTTTGAAGTTTGTTTTTTAAATAATAAGATTTAAATGAAAATAGGGTTTTATAGTAATTTTTTAGAATTGAATAGCCAAATTTTTGCTGCTAAAATAAATAAACCGACATACCCCTTGGCGGCCGCGCATATTCAATTTCGCTGATAGTCAAATTTATACCCATTTATTTTTTAAGAATTATCGTTAAGAAAAATATATATATTCATGTGTCTTTTTTAATAAAAAAAATACTATAAAAAAGTTATTATTATTACCTACTCTTATTAAAATTTATATCCAATTATAGGTATCTTTTTCGATGAAGGATGCAGTATTATTTAGTATTTTAGTGACAAGACATAAATCAGGATATGTCAATTATATATAAAAAAAAAATGCTATTTCAACAACTGCGGTTAATAGCCAGACAAGATCAGACATTAATTATGAAATATGTTGTTGATTTAATTTATTAATAAATCTATAATATTTTTTTTTTAAAAAAAAGAATTTAATGTGTTTAATGGTGCTTAATGGAATAGCAGTTTTAATTAAGATCATCTAAATATTTATAAATATAAAAAATGTAATATACTCTCGTTTGATTCAATGTGTCCTTTAAATATTAATAGTGTCATGTCCCAACGGGATTAAAAAAACTGTGGTCAAATTTGCTGGGCAGAAAGACCAAACCTAACTACCCCAACCACGACTTCCCTGCAGTTCCTGCCTCTACAGTTCAATACAATTACACCTAAAGTCGCCAACGCGCACTCCTTTAGAAAAAGAAAACCGGGTTTAATTAGTTTGTTGGAATCTATCGAATCATCTTCAACGCTTATCTTCTCTTCCCATCCTTCCTTGTCTGCAGATTTTCGCATCATAAATCCCACCCAAATCCGACCCCCAGCCCCTTCCTCTGCTCTTCAGATTGTCCAACGCGCGGTGAGTACTTCGCTGTCAGAGAATCTTTAATTTATTTTTTTTCTCGTTGTATGCTGAATTTCTGATGAATTGTTGGCAATAATCGCGTTAAACCATGTCATGAGTAATTTGATCTTGTTTTTCGCCATTTTTTCCTTCTGAAACTTAATGTGCTCGATGTTTCGATTGTATCCTCTGTGGAAGCTTATAATCGAGTTTTCTGTGTTTTAATTAGCTGTCTTGAATTTTGCAGTACATTGTTATATTAGGAAGCTGTTATGGCTTCGTTGATGCTCAATTCAGTGAATTGTAATGCTGGTAGAGCTCTTAAATTCGAGTACGTGGGTCTTAGGCCAGTGAAAGTGCATCACAACATTGTTGGTGCAAACCTGAATTCGATTAAAATCGCGCCTCTAAAGCTCACAATAAGAGCTGCGGACGATGGTGCGCGTAAGAAGATTGGATTAAGTGATGAGGAATGTGAGGCTGCAGTGGTTGCTGGTAATGTTCCGGAGGCGCCTCTGGTGCCTCCAAAACCTCTTGCACCGGCCGGAACACCTGTTGTTTCTCCCCTTGTAAGAAAAGTTTTCCAGACATCAAATTAATGTAGACTAAGAATAGGCTTAGATGTCTTCCATGGCTTGATAATATGAGACAGTGCTTGTTTTATCGATCATCTTGCTTTTTCAGTATGTTGAAATTACTGAAAAGTTACATATATATGTAAAGGTTTTCGTTTATTTTTAGCTTAATCTTTTTTTAAAAATGGCACTCAATTACGGCTAGGAAAATGAATTGTGCAATGCAAGGCTCTATTCTGTAATGTTGAGCTTTCCGTGAGGCTAGCTACTATCTTTATTTCTTGCTCATTATCTTACTGCTTCTGCTCGTATAACTTTGAAATAGGAACTTGCTGTTGTAGGATGTGATTAGATTCGGTGTGGTATCTGCTTGTGGCATTGATTTGTAGTGTTTTTTACAGCCACTTAAGAGGAGACCGCGTCGAAACCGTAGGACGCCTGCATTGAGAGGGGCGTTCCAAGAAACGAATATAAGCCCTGCAAACTTGGTTTATCCACTTTTCATTCATGAAGGTGAGCGCAACTTCAAAAGTTTTTCATAACCAATATTTATTTGATTTGATGTTTTGTGAGACTTCTAGAATTTTGGAAAATGTAAAATATTAATGTTTTGGTTTGATGTTTTGTGAGACTTCTAGAATTTTGGAAAATGTAAAATATTAATGTTTTGATTTGATCTTTTGTGAGAGAAAAAGTGTTCGTATGATGTTTTTCTAGTGTCAAATAAGTGAAAATTAGTTATGTGAAGGAGCCCTTATCTTGCAAGATGTGCAGGTGAAGAGGATACTCCAATAGGAGCAATGCCCGGATGCTATAGGCTCGGGTGGAGACATGGACTTGTGGAAGAGGTAGTCACCTCCTTGCTGTCTTTTACGATTGAAACCATGCTGTGGGATGTGTGAGGAGTTAATTATATGTGTTCATGCTTAGTTAATCTCCGTAAAATATGTTTGTCAGAGATGTGTTTCGACTTAATACATGTAAATGGTGTAAACAACTTCCTGAAAAGCTTTGGGCCGGCTTTTGAGTATGTTTGTGAAATGCAGGTTGCTAGGGCTCGGGATGTTGGTGTTAACAGCATCGTGCTATTTCCAAAAGTTCCTGATGCTTTAAAGGTACATTATTCATTGAGATATTTGTAGGCTACTAAACAAAAACGAACCGAGTAGCTTGTGAGCCATGTTCGACTCGACTTGTCTATAGAAATAAACAAACCAAGTTCGAGATCAAGAATTATTATTTTTGTAAATGAGTTTGAGCTCAAGCTCGGCTCGCAGACAACTTGATTGAATTCGTTAGTAATAATATCTTTATATTATTCTATATGTTAATATAGTTTATATAAAAAAATTTTATGTCAATTTACTTTTATTAATAAAATTGAAATATTCTTTAATTGAAATTTGAGTCGAGCTCGAGCTCGACCCACTATTTTAGCTCGAATTCTAAACCAGTCAAGTCGAGCTTGAAGCTTATAACAAAAATGAGTGCTAGTTGGTTACTGTAGAATACTTCAATTCTTCTGTGTTATAGGCTAATGTATTTGTTTCCTACTCTAGACTTCTACTGGAGATGAAGCTTATAACAAAAATGGATTAGTGCCTCGAGCCATACGGCTTCTTAAAGACAAGTATCCTGATCTGGTATGGCAATATTCCCATCAGTCCAATTTTGTTGCTCCGAGCAAACACAATTTTATCAATCTATCTAGTAAATTGTATTATATTTACCATTTGTGGCATTTTCCGATCAACGCAGATCATTTACACGGATGTTGCCTTGGATCCTTATTCCAGCGACGGCCATGATGGCATTGTCAGAGAAGACGGTGAGAACATCAGAGATTAGTGTACAAGTAAAAACACTTCGATAATTTTTCTATCCTAAAATTTCCGAAATGTTCACAGGTGTTATAATGAATGATGAAACCGTGCATCAGTTGTGCAAACAGGCTGTAGCCCAGGTGATTTTGCATTAAGTATCATTGCTCTCGATTACACTGCTACGGAAAATTAATGTACAAAGAACTAAAATTCGAAAATGGATTTTGATTCCGGCTGACATTTCATTTGTAGGCTCAAGCAGGAGCAGACGTCGTTAGTCCCAGTGATATGATGGATGGCCGTGTAGGGGCTATCCGAGCTGCCCTTGATGCTGAAGGCTTCGAGCATGTCTCCATTATGTCTTACACTGCCAAGTAACTTCTTTTTTTCTTGTTTCTATTATCTTCGGTCGACTTATAATGTTCCTATTTGTGATCTTTTGGTTGATTTTTAAATTGGATTGAAAACACTTCAGGTATGCTAGTTCATTCTATGGTCCTTTCCGGGAGGCATTAGACTCGAATCCACGTTTTGGCGACAAGAAAACGTATCTCTCGATCAACCTAATCTTAAGCTCGTTCTATATGAATATTATTGAACGTCATTTAAGCATGGATATACTACAAATAGGTATCAGATGAACCCTGCAAATTATCGGGAGGCTCTGATTGAAACCCGTGAGGACGAGGCAGAAGGCGCCGATATTCTTCTGGTCGGTATATATATATATATATTCCTATTCGATGATCACTTCTTCCTGGCGTCAACTGAAACCTTGATTTTCTTGATGTGATCTTTTGTTCGAATATTAGGTGAAACCGGGATTACCTTACTTGGACGTAATAAGGCTTCTCCGGGATAGCTCCCCGTTGCCCATCGCTGCATATCAGGTCGGTACATTACATTAAGAATGTTATAAAATCATTAATATCGTGCTTATTATGTGGTCTATGATACATCGTTGTATAGGTATCGGGTGAATACTCGATGATTAAAGCCGGAGGCGTTCTTAAAATGATCGATGAAGAGAGGGTCATGATGGAGTCCTTGATGTGTCTCCGACGAGCTGGCGCAGACATCATCCTCACATATTTCGCCTTGCAGGCTGGTCGAGTCTTATGCGGCGAGAAAAGGTAAAAACTTGATTTGTAGAATTTTCAATTGGTCTTACATATTCCGTCTGTCGACTTTAATCGATTATCGTCGCGTTTCGATGAATTATATGGTGATTATGAGAGTAGGGGAGATTCCATGTAGAAACAAATGAATAGTAGAATACTTACATTGAAGCTACAGTATGGCTTTCGACTCGAAAACTACCGATTTTCGTGGTCTATTATGTATATCAACATGAACCCCCCCGGCCCCAAAAAGAACAAAAAAATCGAGCTTCCGATGTTTCTAATGCCGGCTCAGAAAGGGGATAGAACTTGTAACCCTCTTTTCTGATTACCTGTTTTACTATGTTTCGTGAAAATTCAGCTGTGCATTGTTTCAGTCTTGACGAATTGTGTCGAGTGGCGTAGATAATTGGCGCTCGTGTAGATATCTCTCGGCAATCGCAGCATGTGTTGCAGCGCCTGCAGGGAGGGCGTCTTCGTCGATGGTGAAGTGAGGAGAATGAGGTGAGTGAACGGACCCGAGCTTTTCGTTCTTGATTCCTATGAAGAAGAACGTTGACGGGATCACTTCTGAGTAGAACGAGAAGTCCTCCGATCCCATCAACGGTTGGATCACCTCAAAATTCGCGTCGCCTCCCAAATCGACGACAGCCTTCTTCATGTGTTGGTAAGCCCCGGCGTCGTTCACTGTTGGCGGATATATCGTGTCCTTATCTCTAAAGGAGTCGACGGTTGCCGAGCATTTGTATACCTTAGCTTGCGCGACGATCACCTGTTTCCCGGCGCGAAAGGTTCAGTTTCTCAACAAGGTATGAATGTTTGTTGTGTATCTATATATATGAGTCGAATAACGAGTGACTAACCTCTTCGATTCGGTTGAGGAGTTGGTAGAAGCTCGAGCTCGAGAAAGCCCTCAACGTGCCACCGAATTCGACCCTCCTCGGCGTCGAATCCAGACCATCTTCGCTGTTCAAGAAAGTTACCGAAAGTACCTGAGAGTCCAAAGGATTGGACTCCCGCGATACGATTCCCTGTAAACTGATCACTGCTGCCGAGGCAGCCAAAACGGGGTCACCGCGCTGAGTGTTCCCGGAGAGTTCGCCGGTAATTACAGCTTTGAAGAAGCCACATCCCGCGAGCAAAGGACCGGGCCTCGATCCAATCACGCCGGTAGGAAGTAAGTGCGAAACGTGCACTGCGTATATAGCTTCGACGTCTTGAATCGCCCCGTCTTCGATCATCCGCTTCGCGCCATTCCCGGCTTCCTCGGCGGGCTGGAAAAGAAGCACTACTGTACCCTGTAATTAAGTTCAATGTCACCATCAGAGGTTAAAAAAAAGAAAACCAAAAGGGAGAGGATAAAACAAGAAATCGACATAAGTTGTTCGATCACATGGGGATTGGTACACACAAGTTGGGCAGACAAGGTAATTATCTAAAGCTTTCTGTAGATTGTGAAACCAACGATTCTCCTGTCACTACTAAAAAAGAAAACTACGGATTCTCCATTGATGACAAAAAAGGAGGTCCAGTCCATCTCGTACCTTAAAGTCACCAAAAAATGAAACGTAGGAAATTCTTCCCCAGTCACAATCAACAATGGAGGTATCTATATCATATCACCACATATCATCTCTATTCTCTCTAACCAGTATGTATTCAATTCAATTCTATTCATATACGGTGCAGCAGGTAAACAAACACCTTTTCGAATTGAGGGAGGACGTGAAAGTGAAATCCTAAATGTCCCAGCTAAGCTAACCATGATGTTTTTAAAGGGTCCCTACCAGGTTGTTGCTTGTCCTTGTCTACAAGTTTAAAATGCATATACAGGTTTGGGGAATTGGATTTTACCCAACACCCACCCCTAGAACAAATCACAAGTACACTATATCATTATTATTATTATTATTATTTGGATCTCATCTGTCAGGATAGGATAATGTTTCTAATTGATCATGCTTACTGTTACAGGGAGCTCTTTTGAATCTTAAGACTTAAGCCATGGGTATTAATTGGAAGAGACAAGATGTAAAGGGGGGGAAAAAACGTGGATCAGCTATACCTAAAATCCCCAATTGAATTAATGTCTTTTAGGTCAAGGAACAGGGAAGATGGTAGTAAATGCTCTGTTTGTTGGTATCTAAATTATTCTTTGAATAAATTAAATACTCCATTAATGGAGTCTAGAATCGTGGTGTAGTGAGGTGAAATCGATTAGGAACAGTGCGGATTTGTGAATCTAGATTCGGAAAACAAGCACATGCCATTATTGGTTTTGACTGACCTTCAAATGGTGTTCTCGGGCTTTCAGGATCTGTGCGGCGCCGAGGAGCATAGCCACATGGGCGTCGTGCCCGCAGGCGTGCATCTTCCCGGTGTTCCTGCTCTTGTGCTCCCATTCCACCGCTTCCTGCAACCAATTAGGTCATTTCGTCAGATTTTTTTGGAGCGAGCTTCAGACTTGGGAGAAAAGCAATGTCAAATCTGATTCAGGACCACTTAATTGGAGAGAGAGTGAGAGAGAGAACGGTTACAGCCTTACAGGCTATGAACAATAGGTGACCACAGCGTCGAAAGCGTGATACGCAAAAATTCATAACGGTCCCTCGCGCACATGATTTGCAGTCTACGAACGTGCAGGAACTCATGGAGGAGGAAATCGGAATGGAAATCGGAAGTAGTGAATGAGGTGAAGAAGAAGAAGGAGAGAGGACCTGAATCGGAAGAGCGTCCATATCGGCTCTAATGGCGACGAACGGAGGTTTTCCGGTACCGATCGTCGCTCTGATTCCGGTCGTCGCGAGCGGGAAGAGATAATTGACGTCAAGCTCGTCCAATTTCCGGCGGATAATCCTGCTCGTCTCGTGCTCCTCGAACGCCAGCTCCGGATTCTCGTGTATCCGCCGCCGGACGGATTTTATCCACCGCACGTTCTCCGGTTCCGTCGCGATCTTCCAGATTTCCTCAGCTTGATCTCTGCTCCATCCGCCGGCGCCGGAATCAGCTTCCTGCAGACCGGAGGACACCAGATGATTCGTGGAGCGGTTGCTTGACCTCATCGCCGGCGCGATCAGCGCAGAAAACGCCGATCTCAGGTACGAAAAATAATCATCGTCGGTGGATTCCTGGAAAACCTCCGGCTGAGTAGTGGTGGTGATGATGCAGGTAACCGTAAACAAAATGGATATGATCAGCTGGAATAATGGTGAGTTCTTATTGTTGATTATCTTCACCATGTTTGATTTCTGGTTAGGGTTTCTGCTGAGAACTCACTCCTTCTGGTTACCGTTTTAGTTCTGAGGAATTTATCGAAGAGGCCGGAGAGAGAGAGAGTGGGGGTGGGGGTGGGGGTGGGGTGGGTGGAATATCAACACGTGGGGATAAAGAGGGTAAGAGAATTGAATACATAAATAGATCACGTGCAAAAAATTCGTGCATTGATTTCACTAAGAATCTGTGGGGCCTACCGCCCGGGCGGGACCACATTGTTACTCCCAAATTGGTAATTTTTTATTTAATATTTTAAAAAAAAATTGAAAAAAACAAACATGAAATGCGTATTATTCCCTTCTATCACCTGCTATGTCCACTTTAATTAATTTTTTTATACGTCTTATCTCATTTTATTTTTTATTTGCAAACTATTTACACATTTTAATTTCATTTAAATATTTTTTATTTTATTTAATTATTTTAATTTATAATTATATATATCCTAAATTATTGTGTCAGGTCCTAAATCAAAGAAATTAATATTTAGAAAATAGCTGATTTAAGACCTTTTACATTATTTAATACTCCCTCCGTCCCAGATAATTTGTCCTATTTTCTATTTTTCGTATGTCTCACATAACTTGTCCTTTTTGTTTTTGAAAATATAATTATACACTTTAATCGCATTTTAAAATTTAAATTTTATAATTTTTTTAATTTTAATTAAACTATTTACTTATCTTAATTTTAATCTATAATTATTTTTATTAATACACTTTTTAATTACTTACTAATTATACTTTACCTAAGTTTCCGTGTCTACGATAATACACTCATATTACATGGGACAGAGGGAGAAGGAGTAACTTTCAAACAGCTAATCTAGAATTATTTGAAAATTCTATATCTAATATGTCGGACTTTCCTTTTAATTTTAAATTAATTTTTACTATTAATTTTTTTCATAAAAAATGATATTTTAATTTCTTTTTTATGTACAAATATTATATTAAATAATTAATTTTATCTTAAAGGTAGAAATAAAAACACAGTCTGAAATATGTTTTATACAAAATATTGATGAATTTAACCTATATTTCATTTTTTAAAAAATCGATTTTAGTCCAAAATTATATTATTTTTTATTGTAAAAATTATTATAAATTATTTTTATTAAATTTTGTACTCAAATTTTTAACATAATTTTAAATAAGAGTAAGTATCAAGTAACCGAACTTCATATATTTTTAATTTGTCATTTTCTTATAAGTTTAATTTTCTAAATCAGATTACATAAAATATATTTATAATATATATATATTAAATATAATTCAATAGTTGCCTTTTATTTAAATATTATTAGTAGAATTTAGGAATTTTCTCTGTACTTTTGCTCTTTTAAGTATATATATATATATATATTTTTTATTATTATTATAAAATTTTATTATTTTTATACAAAGTTGATAATAAGACAAACACATTAATTACTGCCACCCTACTTACTATACTCAAACATCTTCTTTTCCCTAAAAAGGTTGCAATTATTTATTTCCCACGGGTCTCAAACCAATAATCCAATATTATCATTATTTTTTAATTTAAAAATTGTACTACATAATTAAGATAATAAATATATTATACAAATTTTATTATTTTTATATTATGCATATTTTTATTTTTTTACTAAATTTAATATAATATTAACATTAAAAAATTTATGTACAAAAAATAAATGACAATATTTATATGAAACGGAGAGAGAATATATTAATTTGTTTTTATTTTAAATTTTTATAATTTGAATTTCATAGTACTTTAATCATCCAATATTATTTTTATTTTTTTAAAAAGAAAAAACAAGTAATTTATTTCCTTATAACACAATCTCAGTTCATACACAATTTTCACTAAGCATTTGCAATCTGATTCCTAATCATCCAAATTTTATTTTATGTTTTTTATAGTTAAAAGTAAATATATCTTGTCATATTTATACTTTTTTTAAATATAAAAACTATTAGTTTTAGTTACTGAAATTGAAATATGTGTCTAAAATTATAAATATATTTCTTATTAAAAAAAAATAGATTTTTTATTACTATTACAGAAATCATACTACTAAATTATACTCCCTCTGTCCCAAATACCGTGTCTGTTACACTGTAGACACGGTATTTTACGAGGGAGATAATTAGTAGATAATTAAGAATGTATCAGTGAAAATAATTATTCTATAATATAAATAATTATAAATTAAGATAAATAATTAGTTTAATTAAAATAAAAAAAAATTAAAATGAGATTAAAGTGTGTAATCATTTTTCAAAAAAGAAAAGTGACATGGTATGTGGAACGGACAAAAACGGCAACGTGAACATGGTATCTAGGACGGAGAAAGTATAAATTATTCAAATATCAAATTCAATCCAAACCTCTTAGATTAGCATACATATTTTTGTAATTATTACTATTTATCAATAATATTTTTTAAAATATTATATTAAATATATTTTTTAAGTTAAATACTAAAGAAAATTGAAAAGAAAAAAAATATATAGAAAGAGAGACTGTATTGTATTATGCGGGTCCGTTTGGTTGTGATTTTAATTTAAAATTATAATTATTTACTTTATACAACTCATAATAAAATAAGTATATTATTTTTCTTTATAACATATTGTATCAAATATTATTTAACAAAAATTAAAATTAATATTATATTTTAAATTAATTTTAAATCACATTTAAGCAAATCTATATCTTGTTTTTCTCACATGATGTTTTATTTTTCGAATATATATTTAAAAAAATATGTTTAGAAAACACAAGAATAAACAACTATTATGATTTGCTCTTTTGTGATTTTAAATTGAAATTAAATTATTTATTCTGTATAATTTTTAATAAAAATATAATATTTTTTCACAAATCATCATATTATAATCATATTTGAATAAAAATTCAAATCAACATTACATTTCAAATCAATTTTTTTAAAAAAATATATAAATAAATAAAACTCTAATAGTTGGTTTTGTGTGTGCATAAGATAAATAAATTAGTTGAATTTCCAAACAAGGTTCAAATTAAATTATTGTGTTAGATATTTAAATATTTATTATTTTGTAAAAAATTTAAATTATTCAAAATTCATGAATTTATTGGGTTTGTATCTATATATATATATTAATTTTAATTCACTATATTATTTTTATTGATAATTATACAAATTCAAAAAAAAAAAAGAGTTTAAAGAGCCAAACAAAAAACAGCCGTAATATATTTAAATAGAAACATATAGTGGCGGTGGGCAGAGTCGGCAAAATTAATGGGCTTTGGCATATAAAATTTATTATTGCACGTGTAACGAAGACTACAAAATCAATGCAAAAAATATTAAATGTAGACAACATTACAATCTGATCACATTATGTAATATATTAATCTGATGGTAATTAATTTATGTAATACACATATATTACACTGAATTTAGATAAAATATAATTAATAAATAATTAAAAAGTATATAAATAAAAATAATTATATAATTTAATTAAAATTAAAAAAATTATAAATAAAAAATTTAAAATGTGAATAATTACATTTCTAAAATTAGAATGATAAATAACAGAGAATTGACAAAAATAAAAAATAAAGACGAATTATGTGTTTCTTTTACATTAAATTTTTTAAATTTTATTATGCAAAGGTGTTATTTTTTGTTAATAACAAAATAATTTATTTTTTTTTAACAATCTAAAAGAAAAAATAAACATAAATTTAATTGTGGAAAGTAATAAGCAAACAAAGCCCTTTGCCATGCTTGTTTTCAAGTATTTTAGTTTTGATCAACTAGTCTTGAAAATTTTGATAATTGATTAGGGTATTTTTAGTTTGAAATTCGAATATATATATATATATATATTAATGTAATAACTACATATGTTTACAAAAATATAGTACTCCTTATGTCCACACACAAAATAAATATTTACTTTTGCCCTTACTTTTGTGTAAAAGTAACGATGTGATGTAAAGTAATAGTACTTGTAAAAAAAAAAAAGTGAGATATTTAATAAAATATTTACTTTATAATTGAATATCCCAGAATATAAATATATATATTTTATAGCGGGATTGAGAGAGGCTTATTGTATATAATGTAACATAAAATGACATCCAAATTACTGTCAAAACTACAACACCATTAAAACTAAAATAAACTCCAGATAAATGATTTTATGATACAATTTAGCACAAATTTTATGGTTTGACATTTTTTTTCCTCATAAATCGACAAATTTGCAATAGTAAATTTCAATATTATTATTATTATTTAAATTCTAATTTCAAAACACAAATTCATAGTAAAAAGACATTGTATTTTCTAATAAAATAAAACTCAAAATTAAATAAAATTTTTAACTCAAACTAAAAACAAACAAATCATATACTCCCCTCCGGCGAGAAGAGCACCATTTATTTTTTGCACATAAATTTTTTAATATTAGTATTATATTAGTTTGTAATAAAAAAAATCAGTATGGTGTGTTATAAAAATGATGACATTTGTGTAATATATTAAAAATTATAAAGCCTTTATTATATTAGATATGTAGTATAGTTACTAAATTAAAAAATAGTATCATTGTTTTGGGACATAAAAAATATAATATTATCAATTTTAATTACATTTTAAATTATAAAATTTACCAATAAATAAATTTAAAAAAAAAACACATTAAAATATAATAGTAGTATAATTCATAATTACTCGAAATTAGAGATGTCATAAATGCATCACGTGCTTCGAGCGTGCCCATGCTTGCCGTCGTAATTAGACAGTACAAGTGTCGACGAAACGAAATTGCTTAAAACGGCGTCGTTTCTTTGTTTAATACTCCTTCAGTCCAATGTAATATGGGTGTATTACCGTAGACACGAGAATTTAGGTAAAATATAATTAATAAGTAATTAAAAAAATGTATTAGTAAAAATAATTATAAATTAAGATTAAAATAACTAAATATTTTAATTAAGATTAAAAAAAATTAAATTTAAAATTTTAAAATATAATTAAAGTGTATAATTAATTTTTTAAAAAATAAAAAGACAAATTATG